TATAATATCCTTCCTCAAATATAGCCTTCCAATTGATAATGTGATCTATAGAGATGGTCAACCAGTACAATCAGTTTCTACCTTCAAAATGCTTGGTTTGCTGTTGAGAAATGATTTGTCTTGGAGTGATCACGTGATTCACGTCGCCTCCGTGATTAAGGAAGCAAATTCCAGATTGTACGCGCTCCGTCAGCTAAAAAAGGCTGGATTATGTGGTAAAGATCTTGTTATTATATACTCTTCCTTCATTCGGTCACAGATTGAGTATGCTGCGCCAGCGTGGTCATCGCTCACTAAAAATGAGTCGGATCTTATCGAGTTTATCCAGAAGAGGGAATTGCGTATTATCTTTCTAGAAGTGTCGTATCAGGATGTATTAAATCTTGCTGGATTAAAAACATTAAGTATACGAAGACATAATTCTTGTTAACAGTTTATTCAAGTGAAAATTGTTCGACAAATCCTCTCAAGGATATTAAGGCGGATTTCCATTCAGTACAAAATGTCGCGCGATCGACTTTTTGCGATCGCTTTCTTTTAAAATGCACTGAATGGAAATCCGCCTTTATCGCGGCCCATGGGCATGGGAGTCCGTTTCTTATAATTATAATCTTAGAAATAAATCAAATTGTCAGTTTACGAAAAAGACGGAACGCTTTCAAAATTTTGTAACTGTAAAATATAATTCTTAATTGCCTGTTTAATTAGGTACTAATATTATAATTTTAGTAATCTACCAATTGGACTATTAGAAATAGTACAAAACGTTTTTCAATGTATGAAATTATAATAAATTTGGATATTTGTAGCTTAATTTAGTTTTCTAACTTTTCTCCTTCTGTCTCAACCATGTGATTCAGTTTTCTACTGCAACGTGGTTTTATTAAACTGATTATTATTACTATTATTATTATCATACTTAGCTAGAGACCAGGATATTCTCGTTTTGTCTTTGGGCTTTCAAGTGGAAAACCTTGAATTGACCACATCTATCTTTTTCTATATTTTTCACCAATTAACCATAAAACCAAAGATTCCAAAACCTCACTCTTCAATGAAGCTATGCAAAGCGTTGTTACATAAAGAAAGCGTTGCACAACTGAATTCCATCCTTTTTTTGTCCATCGACCTAACACTGCTCCATGTTGATTTTACAAAACTATATTTCTCCACGTCAGATGTCATTGGACCTCGTGACCCAACCATTCCGCCAATCACAAATGCTTCATCACCACAAAGACTGAGAGCGAATTTCATTCTTGGCGTGCTCATACCTTCAGGCAACAGCTGCCATTGATTGCTGTTCGGATTGTAAACTTCAACAGAATTCAGAACATTTTCTCCGTCATGGCCACCGAAGGCATATATGTTGTTCTTGTGCCAAATCGCGCAGAAGTGTGCCCGATTGTTATTCATGGGTGCCAGCACTTCCCAAGTTTCTATAACGAGATTCAACTCATTTAACAAATTTACTTTACAGCATTATACATGAAAAACGATAGATCAGTGGTACCGCGCACCTGTAGAATTATTAAATCTCTCGACTGAGGCCAAGCAGCCAGACTCGTTCTTACCGCCAATGACGTATATGCTGAGGTCATCGACAACGGTCGCATGACCTTCACGAGCAATATCTAACGATGATAATTCTCGTGATTCACCGTTGCATGGATTTAGCATGATCACTGATGATGTTACCGAACAAGAAGTAAAAGAAAAACCCCCAGAAATAACGATGTGGTCGTTTAAACCAACAATCGCAGCATTGTCTCGTTCCAGTTCACTTAATGACGTCACGTGGACGTCTTCCCAGGTGTCTTTGTGTGCGTCGTAACGTTCAATCCAAGAGACAGGTGTGTCTGCAACCTTCTCCATTGTCCCACCAATCGCATACAGAGTATTTTCAGTTGAAACCAGACTAAAACTAAACGAAACAAAGGCAGCGATATTCACGTCAAACTTTTGCGAGAATACTACCTATCTACAAAGATAGTTCCCACATAGATCATGACACTTTTGTATTGGATACTTACAACTTTAAAAGATACCACTTAACACCTGACAAAACTGACCAAAAAATATATGTTTGATACAATATTGACAACGGACTATCGACAACGTTGAATTGTTTTTGTCCACTGCCTGCAAATACTAAATACTCGTCATTTCAAACATCCCGGATGATTTTATACGCGGAAGACTCGTGTTTTAATTTGTAAGTTTTAAAACTTTACAGTGTCAACAATTTTTAACGAAACAAGACGCCCGGTAGGAGTTAACTCGGGCTGTGTAGCCGGTAAATACACTGCACTGAAACTGAGCTATATTGATACACTGTAAATACGCGACTGCCCGCGCGGACACAGTTGCCCGGAAGACTAAGCCCGCGAAACGGAAAAAATAAAAATAATCGCGAAACCCGAGTAATAATTCTCCACAAGTAACGTCACGTAGTCAGTTTCGTTGCTACGTTCTTTATTCTGCTGTTACAACACAATACTACGGTGCATGATCATGATTATGTCAGTAGTCAACCTCGCTGGTGCAAATATAGATTATAGCCCAGTATACAGAAGTTGTTCCAAAAAAGTGCCCTCAATTGAAATCAGAGCTTTTGTTTTTGAACATGCGTTGTGAAAGAGGTATCGTGATTTTAGTAGAGGGAACTGATTACATTGCACTTACATACTAAAGGCTGCTTTCCACTTATGCGTTTTTCATACGCACGTACACGCACGTAAAAGTCTATAAATCCTTATACATGTTACCTTTGAAAAAACTAGTAAGTGATTAATTTGAAGGAACTTAGTTTTCTGCATATTTTAGTGTACATTAGTTGACCTAGATGTTAAATAATAAAAATTTAAAAGCATTTAAAATTTTCCGTGCGTGTACGTGCGTATAAAAAACGCGTAAGTGGAAAGCAGCCTTAACGCCTGTATTCAAAAAGCCCACTTACAATCACACTCATCGAGTGTGACATTGAAATTTTTTTATGACGGATCAATGAGAAAGTTTTTTCTTTATCATTGGAAACATTCAAGCTAAAAAACTGAAAATCAAGCTTTTATTTGAGTGGAAATACCTCTACGGAAACGTGATAAGAAGATTAAGCTAGATACGCCCACTCAATGAGTTTGAGTGTGAGAAATACAAACGCAAGAATTAGAAAAACCAAAAGTAACGCACAAACACCCAACTCACCTTCGACGCGGATATTGCATAGGAGTAATTTCAAACCAATGATCCCGGTCAAGAATATAAGCAGAGACTTCATTCAGAATCGAACTTTCCCCTTGTCCACCAACAGCGATGATTACTTCAACATTTCTATAAGAAAGCCTCGCTTCACTACACCCGGAATTGGTTTTAAACTTTTCCAAAATCGTATTCTGGAACCAATGATGTTCGGACAGACCATAGCTTTGAAGCAAAGCGACAAATTCGTCTTCGCTCAATGAAATAAACTTGAAACGAACTAATTTTAGCAGCTCTTCACAGAGCCAGAGGTTAACTACTTGAAAGTCTTTCTCGTGGATACTATTCAAAAAGTGTTGACCGTTGAGCCATTTCAGAAGACATCTTAATACTTCGAGTTCACTGCTTACTATTAAATCTTCAGATGCAAGCACCATTCGCAACACAGCAGCGGGACACGATGTCAACGTCTCGGAATCCAAATTAGCAAAGTTCTGAAGAACGAAATTAGTAACAGTTCTCGCAATCGAGCCAGAGCTTACGCTGTCAGCAAGGATCTTACGAGCGATGCAATTCTTTACGTCCAAAGTTTTCACAAACACTTCCCAGCAGTATTCGGTTAGATCGAGTAGTAGGAACAGCGAGGAGGTAAAAATTAGTTCAGCAACAGAATTTTTGGTAACGCGAAGAGATCCAGTGTATAGGTAATCCAATACTTCGGCCAACGCAGTTGAGGGAACAGTTTTTAGATGCACTTTTGTTTGTTGTTTTTCAGTCATGTTTATATTAAACAACACGTTAAAATACATGCTACCTGCACCTAAGACAACCCGATGAACGGGAAATTCGACTCCATCGGAACTAACTAAAATCACATCGCAAAACACACCATTTGTACGAAGCGTATGTAGTTGCGTGAAAAATTCGCTGAAATATGATTTGTTTTCAAAGTAGTATTCTTCCATATTGTCTTGCATTCTCTCTGAACAGATGAAAACTAATTACTGCTCAAAAGTTACTGAGATTATGAAGCATCAAGGCGTTCCCGGCAGGGTGCTAAACATGACGCAATAATCGTATTTGATTTAGGGCTGCTTTCCACTGTCACGTTTTTAGCACGTACCAGGTACGCATACTCACGTATAAAAGTTTAAATGCTTTTAAATTTTTACTATTTAAAGTCTGGCTCAACAAATGCGTAGTAAACTACGCGGAAAACTAAATTCTTTCGATTTATTCCCCTAGTTTTTTTAAAGATAACTTATATAGGCATTTAGACTTTTACGTGCGTGTACGTGAGTATGGAAAACGCGTAAGTACTGTAAGTGGAAAGCAGCCCTTACTCTAATTTACTAATTGTTAGTTAACAAAAACGTCGTTTACAGGTACAGAATTTTCGCGTGAGCGATGTCACAATATTTTGAATTTCATCAGATCGCTTAAAAACCTACATCCGTCAGGCGAAACGAAGTGACGTTATTTTTACATGCAAGCTGCATGATAATGTTATGATAATGAATGATCTACTGTGACAGACAATCTATTATAGAATTATATTAATTTACTTTAAACAAATCACAACGTAACGTTTTAGGGCCATAAAGGAAATCGTGTAAATTATACCGATGGTATAAACTTACCAAACCTGCGGGTTTTACCTTAGTAAGAATAAGATAGATACAGGCTGCTTCCGTGCATGTGACATATCTCCAGATGCGGTCACTGACTATTACAAGTATAAGTCATTTTTACTTGAAATTACTGGGCTTTAATTTTCATTTCAAAATTACGCTTTCCGCCTAATGTTTCAACCATCAATAAGTTTTAAAATTTTTGACTTTTTCTAAAATATTCACTGAGATCTACATGCACATGGCATATATATGGATTTACACCTTATAATAAATATGTAGGCACATTGTATGTGGCAGGTACTGATACCTCGAAGAATCTTGTGTTCGATTCTTAAATTTCTCAAAGAAGAAATCATCTGATGCTTTATCAACCTGGTTCCCAGTCTCCTTTGAATTCAGTTTTCCGTCTTCACCATCAATACCCACACCAAGACTTTATGCTGTGACGGTTTTCAAAACCACAGACAGATTCCAAAACCTCACTCCTCAATGAAGCTGGGCAAAGCGTTGTTACATAAAGATAGCGTTGCACAACTGAATTCCATCCTTTTTTTGTCCATCGACCTAACACTACTCCATGTTGATTTTACAAAACTATATTTCTCCACGTCAGATGTCATTGGACCTCGTGACCCAACCATTCCGCCAATCACAAATGCTTCATCACCACAAAGACTGAGAGCGAATTTCATTCTTGGCGTGCTCATACCTTCAGGCAACAGCTGCCATTGATTGCTGTTCGGATTGTAAACTTCAACAGAATTCAGAACATTTTCTCCGTCATGGCCACCGAAGGCATATATGTTGTTCTTGTGCCAAATCGCGCAGAAGTGTGCCCGATTGTTATTCATAGATGCCAGCACTTCCCAAGTTTCTATAACGAGATTCAACTCATTTAACAAATTTACTTTACTGCATTATACATGAAAAACGACATATCAGTGGTACAGCGCACCTGTAGAATTATTAAATCTCTCGACTGAGGCCAAGCAGCCAGACTCGTTCTTACCGCCAATGACGTATATGCTGACGTCATCGACAACGGTCGCATGACCTTCACGAGCAATATGTAACGATGATAATTCTCGTGATTCACCGTTGCATGGATTTAGCATGATCACTGATGATGTTACCGAACAAGAAGTAAAAGAAAACCCGCCAGAAATAACGATGTGGCCGTTTAAACCAACAATCGCAGCATTGTCTCGTTCCAGTTCACTTAATGACGTCACGTGGACGTCTTCCCAGGTGTCTTTGTGTGCATCGTAACGTTCAATCCAAGAGACAGGTGTGTCTGCAACTTTCTCCATTGTCCCACCAATCGCATACAGAGTATTTTCAGTTGTAACCAGACTAAAACTAAACGAAACAAAGGCAGCGATATTCACGTTAAACTTTTGTGAGAATACTACCTATCTACAAAGATAGTTCCCACATAGATCATGACAAAACTGACCAGAAAATATATGTTTGATACAATATTGACAACGGACTACCGACAACGTTGAATTGTTTTTGTCCACTGCTTGCAAATACTAAATACTCGTCATTTCAAACTGATCCCGGATGATTTTATACGCGGAAGACTCGTGTTTTAATTTGTAAGTTTCAAAACTTTGCAGTCTCAACAATTGTTAACAAAACAAGACACCCGGTAAGCGTCAACTCGGGCTGTGTAGCCGGTAAATACACTGCACTGAAACTGAGCTATATTGATACACTGTAAATACGCGACTGACGGCGCGGAAGATTAAGCCTGCGACACGAAAAAAAAAGTAACGTCTCCACAAGTAACGTCACGTAGTCAGTTTCGTTACTATACGTTCTTTATTCTGCTGTTACAACACAATAATACGGTGCATGATCATGATTATGTCAGTAGTCAAGGTCGCTCACAAGGTGTTGCAAAAAAGTGCCCTCAATTGAAATCAGAGCTTTTGTTTTTGAATATGCGTTGTGACAGAGGTATAGTGATTTTAGTTGAGGAAACTAATTATATTGTACTTACATACTAAAGGCTGTTTTCCACTTACGCGTTTTTCATACGCACGTACACGCACGTAAAAGTCTATATAAGTCCTTATACATGTTACCTTTTAAAAAACTAAGTGATTAATTTGAAGGAACTTAGTTTTCTGCATATTTTAGTGTACATTAGTTGACCTAGATGTTAAAAAATAAAAATGTAAAGCATTTAAAATTTTCCGTACGTGTACGTGCATATAAAAAACGCGTATAAGTAGAAAGCAGCCTTAACGCCTGTATTCAAAAAGCTCACCTACACTCACACTCATTGAGTGTGACATTGAAATTTTTTATGCCGGATCAATGAGAAAGTTTTTTCTTTATCATTGGAAACATTCAAGGTAAAAAACTGAAAATCAAGCTTTTATTTGAGTGGAAATACCTCTACGGAAACGTGATAAGAAGATTAAGCTAGATCCGCCCACTCAATGAGTTTGAGTGTGAGAAATACAGGCGCAAGAATTAGATAAACTAAGAGTAACGCACAAACCCCTAACTCACCTTCGACGCGGATATTGCATAGGAGTAATTTCAAACCAATGATCCCGGTCAGGAATATAAGCAGAGACTTCATTCAGAATCGAACTTTCCCCTTGTCCACCAACAGCGATGATTACTTCAACATTTCTATAAGAAAGCCTCGCTTCACTACACCCGGAATTGGTTTTAAACTTTTCCAAAATCGTATTCTGGAACCAATGATGTTTGGACAGACCATAGCTTTGAAGCAATGCGACGAATTCGTCTTCGCTCGATGAAATAAACTTGAAACGAACTAATTTTAGCAGCTCTTCACAGAGCCAGAGGTTAACTACTTGAAAGTCTTTCTCGTGGATACTATTCAGAAAGTGTTGACCGTTGAGCCATTTCAGAAGACATCTTAATACCTCGAGTTCACTGCTTACTACTAAATCTTCAGATGCAAGCACCATTCGCAACACATAAGCGGGACACGATGTCAACGTTTCGGAATCCAAAAAAGCAAACTTCTCAAGAACGAAATTAGTAACAGTTCTCGCAATCGAGCCAGAGCTTACGCTGTCAGCAAGGATCTTACGAGCGATGCAATTCTTTACGTCCAAAGTTTTCACAAACACTTCCCAGCAGTATTCGGTTAGATCGAGTAGTAGGAACAGCGAGGAGGTAAAAATTAGTTCAGCAACAGAATTTTTGGTAACGCGAAGAGATCCAGTGTATAGGTAATCCAATACTTCGGCCAGCGCAGTTGAGGGAACAGTTTTTATATGCACTTTTGTTTGTTGTTTTTCAGCCATGTTTATATTAAACAACACGTTAAAATACATGCTACCTGCACCTAAGACAACCCGATGAACGGGAAATTCGACTCCATCGGAACTAACTAAAATCACATCGCAAAACACACCATTTGTACGAAACGTATGTAGTTGCGTGAAAAATTCGTTGAAATATGATTTGTTTTCAAAGTAGTATTCTTCCATATTGTCTTGCATTCTCTCTGAACAGATGAAAACTAATTACTGCTCAAAAGTTGCTGAGATTATGAAGCATCAAGGCGTTCCCGGCAGGATGCTAAACATGACGCAATAATCGTAATTTAATTTATTCTAATTTACTAATTGTTAGTTAACGAAAACGTCGTTTACAGGTACAGAATTTTCGCGTCAGCGATGTCACAAATTGTCTGTTACATGTTGGAATATATTTAAATTTCATCAGATTCTTTAAAAACCTACATGGATTGGCATCGGACGGAGCGAAGTGACGCTGTTTTTATTGCAAGCTGATGTTATCATAATGAATGATCTACTGTAGTGGACAATCTATTATAGATATATTAATTTACTTTAATTAGTAATTACATAGTAGGACCTTGTAAATCGTGTAAATTATACCGATGGCATAAACTTACCAAACCTACGTGTTTTTCTTAGTAAGAATAAGATGCAGGCACTTTCTTTTAATTTCATATTAGCAATGCTGCTTCCATGTCACGTATCATCTACAGATGCGGTCACTGACTATTACAAGTACAAGTTATTGGACATCAAGTTAATAACGACTCCTTTCTTTTTCATCTGATTCGGCGTTTTGAGTTATATAACAGGTAATTCCAATACAGAATTTCGAATGACATGTTTAACTAAGCTAAGCACCTATGATTAGATGTTCTGACGCAGAATTGAGGAGCTACATATTACAGCCAAGGTGTCCGAAAGAGAAACGGAACCCGCATAAATAATAGTTCTTCCTGTTTCTCATTCGCCAAGAGCATTGGTCAAGAGCGGAGTGTCCAAAAGTGTTTGTTGTTGAGGGATTTCGGGGTTCATTTTTCATTTCGTGCACACACATGTATGCTCGATTGCTTTTTGTAAGTGTTACTACGGTTACAAGAGCGATTGCGCGAATTGGGTACACAATATTGCATCCGTGCAGTTGTGTATGTTTGCTGTTTTTCTTAAAACTTCATATTCTTGCACGTGATTTATCACCAGGCGTCTTGGAAGAACTAAACGAATGCGACAAAAAACCTCGATTCGACCAATTCGAGCAATAGGTTTTTGATGTACAAGATACGTCGAACTTGATTCGAAGTGTCTTCAGAATTTAATGAATGGCGAGAGTAGGTAAGTAGAAAATATTTTTTTTACAAACTTGTTATGTATTGAGACTCTTAATAATGGACTTTCATATATTAACAGATATGAATGGCATATATATGGATTTACACCATATAATAAATATGTACCTTGTATGTGGCAGTTACTGATATCTCCAAGAATCTTGTGTCCGATTCTTAAATTTCTCAAAGAAGAAATCATCTGATGCTTTATCAACCTGGTTCCCAGTCTTCTTTGAGTTCAATCCTCCATCTTCACCATCAATACCCACACCAAGACTTTCTGCTGTGACAGTGGGGCCTTGTGGTTTGCTTTCCTCCTGTTCTTTCACTTGTTTTTGAAGTTTCTTCTTTTCAGCATCAATTGACTTACGTTCATCATAAACTGAGGTGAAAAAAGCAAGTAAATAATTGTCATATGGAAACTGCTCATTTTGAATAATAGAGATCTTTATAAAACCTGAAAAGCCAAACTAATTTCATTGTACTTAAAGCAGAGGTAAAGGCCTTGGGTACAAGGTTGAACCAGGTCCTAAAGCTGTTAAAGATTTTTTCTAAAACTGATCATTTTTGGGTAGCAAAATAATTTTATGATTGTATCTCAGCATGCCAATTCATTACGCCTATTTCTATGGCTCATTCAGGATGACTACGACTCCCTTCAAACCTGGCCATTTCAGAAGAAGATTACCATGATGCTCTTAGATCAGATTTGGATTGCAAGTATGTTAAAATATGTTGGGATATGATGTATTTTAAATGCATTGCCAGGAACCTGCAGTGAGATCCATAACTAACTTACATCTATTATGCTGCATAAAATCCACAGCAACATTTGTTGGTACCATTATGGAAGGACCTTGATTCTTCTTGTTCCTTCGTTCCTCTATCATTTTCATTTTTGCTTCTTCTGTAGCCTCAATGTTCAGTATCTTTGCTTGGATGCCAAGGTTCACTTCAGGAATACCTGATAACATTTGATTTGATAACATTTCTTCAGATTGTTTAAGTTGAGATTTCACTTTGAGTTTTTCTGGCAGTTCATAAAGTGCATCTTCCCTTGACTTGACTCTGTAAGAGTGAATATTATATAAAGAGTTGGTTAAAAGATTTTGTATTGCATAACTTCAATAATATAGTGGATTTTTAAGTGATCAAAATACTCAACATTTCATTATATTTTTTTATTTTCTTCAGGATTCTGGGCTCCCCCCCCCCCCCCTCATCACTGATACAAGTACTGATCGCAACACACAAAATCCAATGGTTTCCTTTAGCAAACATACATTTTTATACCACTAAATTAACTCACTTCACTTTAATAATACCATCACCATCTGTTTCCCCCCTTTTCTTTTTCATTTTATCTTCAATATACTTCAACATATGTGTGTCTTCATCTCGTCTATTTGTCTCCACAGCAAAACTAGTGCCAAGAGAAATAGATCTCTCTTTCTCTTCCCCTTCCCTATCTCTGTCTCTATCTTTGATCAAATCCATATCTAACATTCCGCCTGTTTTGCTTTTATACGGGTCAACTTCGTCTCGTGTTTCCTTGTCAGGCAAAGTTTGACCCGAGGCAAGCTCAGTGGCGCTCAATCCCTTCGGTCTTTTGCGAAGTCTCTGTAATTCTTTACGTTCTTCCAAGTTCTCTAAGCCATTTTCCTCGTCCAATGATGCATTATCTTCGCCTTCGTCTACCTCACGGCGTTTTCTGTAGTTTCGTTTGCCCATTTTGCAGCAAGGGGACAAAATATGTTATTTTTTCACTCCTCAGGAAACTGCCATGTTTAAAAATTAGATAGATAGGGGATAACAATGGGAATGTTAGGGATAATGAGGTTGGCATAATGATTGTTAGGGAAAGTGAACAAAGCAAATTGAAAAATGTCGCTAAATTTGAAGAACGATTCTTCAGATTCGGGAGACGAAAAATCCGAAAAGCAAACAAACGGCCTTTCATTTTTCACTGCTGATGACGACGAAACTTCATCAGAATCGGAAACAGAGCAAGAAACAAGTTCAAAGCATGAACCAGCCGTAAATGAAACTTCTGTTTCAGTGAAGCAACTACCATCACCGAGCACTCTTTTTGCAACTGTTGGGAAACCGAAATTCTTGGAAACACTATTAGAACAAAATAACGTTGACTGGAACTCTTTATCAAAACGTTATGAGCCGTTATTTGAATACTCGAGCGTTTCCTGTCCCGTGGAAACAGTGGATTTGGAATCAGATGAAAGAAACGAAGCTAGTATATCAGGTGCACCAATAAAATACAAGACTGAAATTAGCGAGACTAAAAAACATTTATTTCTGCATGGTAAAAGATCTGCTGATCTTGCCAATGTTATTGACACATCATCAAATTCTACAAGTCAAGTTCAAAAACAAGGTACGATGGCATTGATGATCCTACCATACATGATTAGTTCATATCCTTTTGTGCATACCACTCCAAAGGGCAGGGAAGGGGTTCTTTTCTTAGGTTCTTAGGTGGAGGATGGTATCTGGAACAAGGGTAGTATGGTATTTGGACCAGGATTAAAATTGCATAGATTTTCGGTTTTTCCCAAAAACAGGAGTATCATTCTTTGGCCAGGAGCTAGGTCATGACCGATATATTTTTATGCTATGCTTATCCTTCATTTCCCTATAGAGCTATAAAACATGGAATTTTGGTGCCTGGGGAAGCATACACCAGCGTTCATCTTTTCTCCTATCTCCTAAAATCTATCAACACACAACATAAAGTCGATTTATATGTATTTTCTAGATGTTGATCCTAGTGGAAAGAAACAAAAGATATCATAACAATTTTGGAACAGTTACAATTTCTTGCTTGTAAATAATGTTTATAAAATTGTAATTAAACAAATAGCTAAATCTTGGTTTTCAACAAACCGGAGGCTCTTAACAACAAACACTAAAAAGCAAAATGGTCCCAAAACATAAACAGTAAAACATACTTCTTTGAAAGCAAGCTGATCAGTACATTACCAATTACTAGATTAAAAAAAATTAATTTCTAAAGTGCAATCGACTTAACAGAATCCAAGGATGCTAGAAAAGGGGGATACAGGGGCATTCACCCCCCTTGCCTCCTGATTTACACTTATTCTTACTAATTTTCACCCCAGAAGTGCCCCTTAAGTCTCTTTTTCACCCCCCTAACAATGTGATCCTCCAGCATCCCTGACAAAATTACTCACTCAACAAAGTATGAAAGTAAACCATTTAATACATACTTATATTTATTAACAAAACATACTCAAGCCAAACACAAAATATCATATAAACCAATATAAATATATGCCAACTTAGCAAATTTGATTTGCCTTTAGAGTATTATATATAGCTTTACTCTTCTTTATGTATATATATATATATATTACTGCCTATTTAGAAAATGGTTGAATTTCATATACCATATAACATTCAGACACCTTTTGTGGAGCAAAATTTCAAGCATGCAAACATAACCAATGAGAAATTACACACCCCCATCCCACTCACAATGTAATAATTACATTGTGCTGCTCTGAGCAACACATGATGCACAATGCTGTAACATTGCAGATGCACGATCAAGTTGAGAAAGACCTTGAATGAAGGATGTCCTAAAATTACAAAATGACCATCAAATGAAATATCACTAATAAAACACAGTGATGTTAGAAAGCTTCAGTAACTACAGCATATACAAGTACCAATACATAATAATTAACCAACCTCATTGATGCATCCTCACAAAAATTGAACAGTTTTTCTGCTGTAGCACTGTTTTCCTGAGACAGAACCTGGAATAAAATTATATACACCGGTGTTTCTATCATATTTTCACAATCAGATATCACACGTTTAATATTACACCATCATCATATGTGGTGGTTTGTACTTTGTATCTGAACCACCTGAAAAAATTATGAGCAAAATTCATTGACCCTTATAACAGATTGTTTAACTTCTGGACAGCAGATTTACAGTAGAAGAGTAAAAGTGTCATTGCTTTGAAAGGTAATGTTTTCTGGCAATTTAGGTATGCATACCTCTTTTAAAAACACTGTAATGGCTTGTTCTAACTGGATGAACAGATTGTTATTTTGTGAAACTTTATCCCACGGATCTCGTAAAACACTAAAACGCGTCCAAAGATGAAAGATGAGCAACTTTTAATTTTTTTATACCGGACGTTTTTTAAACTAGCAACTGCAGCCACAATGATTCTTTAGAATTATAAACCGACTTACTTTTGAATTGAATGCACAAGATTTAGTAGTTTGGGACAAAGAGTGCGAAGAAACGCAATTGCTTCAACCTTCGATGCTTTGGGGTAATCTTGTGGGGCTTCGTCTGTGATAGTGTTTGGATAACCAAGTGCGGTAAAAATTTGAGTACTAAAATTAAACAAGAACACGTTATCAAACTTAGTTCTCTCTGGGGTATTGAGTTCAGGGTACTGGCCGACCCAACCCACTTTTAAACAGGCTTTGCCATAAAGAGTTTGCGGTCCCAGGTTGTCCCGGTCTCCCTGGTCATGTAATATGCAATCGTCAGCAATGCCGAAATGTCGTAGCCGGCTCGGCTCAGCGAGTCCATCAACGTGTTCTTCGCTGGTCATAGCAATAGCGGGCAATGATGTGTGTGACATAACGCCAAAATCGTTGATCATATTATAGTGACTACATGGTATTATGACAGTGGTACTATGACAGTCTTCAGTCGTAACCTTTTCACGATTTGATCATAGAAGTTTACGACTCTCATTGTTCCAGCTACGCCCCTGCTATATAGAGATCTGTGGGTAAAGAGCGGTCACAGACTCAAAATTTTAATCGTACCAATCGTACCTGAACTGAGTCACAGCCGCCCAAATTAAATTGAATGTGTGCAAAACGTCTTCATGAGGTTGCCCGGTATTGTTACCCATTGTAGCATCCTCTTCTACGACAGTGCTTGAACTCTAGAAAACACAGTTGCTATAATTTAGCGACGCTGGATGGTGGTCAAACAAGATGAACTACATTCTATTCGGGTTACCGTTATCTTTTACACATTCACTATTGTTAAAAGGTAAAAGATAAGGTACAAGGTTAAATGAACCCTAGGCCAAGTTACTCGGCTTGGGAAGTTCATTTACTTACATTATTTACAACTTTCGACGTGCTTGGATACGTCAAACATTTTGCTTGCTCACTGCCAAAACTTGATGACATACTTGCTTCGAACTGCTGACATTTTTTAACAAGTACGTTTACAGCGGCCAGGCATTTAGGCATAGCATCACCGTAGCTAGGAAATTAATAACATTTAGTATCAACAGTAATAGTAGTGCATAAGACTCAGATGTATATGTCAGATGAATATTGTGACGATGCTACTCAGCAACCGGGTAAGCTGAAAAACTTGATCATGGTGGGAATGAAACCCGTGACCTTTGGTTGCCTGCTAGTCCAATTAGTATCAATGTCATATTCTATATCGGGAAAAGTTTTTGAGATCCATGCATGCATGGTTACAACAAACTCACTTGGAATGATAAGCAAAGGATTGAAAAAGCTGCAACGCCAACTGTAACATATCTGAACAGAATTTTAAGGAACTGGCGGTACCTGAAAAATGATCAACATTTAGGACGGGTCTCAGTTTTGGTCCAAGGACACCAAATACAATCCTAGTGGGCTTGTCTGGGTGGTCAACCTTAGGTCAATCTTGGCGAGCGCACGTTAGGTAGAGGAAGAACTTAGCGTCCCCGGGCACGAAAGATTAGTGTTCTCATTAATATTGTCTACGCCAGGATAGATAAAGAAACATGATGATGAGCAAAACATGATGGATGAAAATCTGCGCCCCGCGGTACCAAATATACCTAAGGACCTATGCGTTCGTTACGCCACTACCTTAGATTTCAGGGTATGGAGTATGGACGACTACAATTGAAAAGGTTTTTGGAAAAGACTCTTCTTCAACTTCTTCTGTATGGTAGTAAATAACTGGTTGAATCCCGTAATTCAGAACGGTACAACTGACAGAGCTGGTCGTAGGTAATGAACCTTAGTTTAAGGAATCTCGTCATGCAGATACAGATTTGAAGACATCTTTAGATATCGAACTTTATTATAAGAATTGATCATGGTCTTTTTTCTTATAGCGTGCTGCAAAATGGCTAACTATAGTATACTATATATTGCTTCACTGAAGTAATTCTAAAATACAAACTAATAGTTAACTATGCTGACAAATACCTTTTCTATCGTCAAATTTTTGTCTGAGCTTGTGGATGAGTTCCTTTTTGTCTCGTTTTAAGATATGTCCAAAAACAGCAATCCAATGCCTGCAAAACGCATTATATGAAATGTATATAACATTATAGGAAAATGTATCCGAGCCGTTTCCAGGATTCGCTTGGAGAAAAATTTTGAAGGAAAAAGCGAGCACCTTTCATAGCCGCAAGATTTGAACTTGAAAATAGCCTGCTAAACATCTTTTGGCTCACGGATACTCCGTGGGAGTATCAGGCAGTCATTGCTAACGGCCTCGCATTCTTTAGTGCCATTAACTCGACCAACCTGCTTTGCGCACTTAATATTAAAAACTTGTTTATCTGGTTATCTACAAGCCAACAATTAATCGGCTATTCGTGCATCTGTCAGCCGTCTCATTGAGACCTTTGATTATAGTTTATTAATTATTAGCTATTAAAATCACCAATGTCTTTTTCAACACTTACTTATCCAACAACTGTAGGACATCAATGAGAGTCCAAGGTGGTTTAATGTGTACGATCTCCATCCTTTGAAACAATAAAAATCTAACATGAAGTAACGAAATTAAGCACGTTATTCTGTGCCTTTATTTATCGGAGATGAGTCACAGTCAAACCCAGTTTTCCTATGTCACCAACAATCGGCGATGGTTATTGCCGCTGATCACTCACGAATACAGTGTTTTGTTATTCTGAACAGATTTTCTTTGCCACCTTGTCGTAGGGCCTTATATCCCTAGGGAGAATTTGTCTGCCCCTCCCATTTATACTGGAATTATTACCACAAATCATCGTAAGCACTTTTCATCTCATTTTCTATGATGTAAGATACGCCTTCGCGTAAAATTATCTGCAGCTCGCACAGGATATCATCAGCCTACGAGAAAGACAATTTAGCTCTGTCAAATGTAAATCGATCTACATGCATTAGTATACGGGGTGTATAAAAAAAGTACCCTATTAAAATCAAGCTTTTGTTCGAATTTGAATGCCTTATTATTATGTCAAAGTCACAGGTCTTTTTTTTGGAACAGCCTGTACAAGAAGGCTCAGTCAGTGACAAATTATTTTCCAAAGGCTCAGTCAGTGATAAATTATTAATGTCTTCCAGTTTGATTCATTGTAACTGCAGTTCTGACTAATTAATTTTAGAACTAAATTAGATGTCTATATAGATGAGGATTTACCTTCTGCCTTCGACGAGCCTGGTCTTCCTCAATTGCAAGTTGAATTTTGTACTCTAGATGAAGACGTATAAAACATTACGTCACACACGGAAAAAGAACATTGCGAAGATTTGGAGTGTGCTGGGATTCTTGTGTGGAAAGAAATACGCCCACTATTAACCGCCACACGTACCAATGGTAGTTGGTTATTTAAAACATATTAGTACAGTTTAAAAAAGGTGCATTTTTCATATCCTCTCGACTCTGCAAACCACAAACAAAAAGTACCCAAAAAATTGTGGAATTGGGCCTGAGTGAAAAAGTTTAAGTGATGCAATCATATATTAGTATAATTTCAACGATCTTTGATATAAGTAATATTCATTGGCCGTACCTCCACTATTTTGCTTTACCATAACCCCACATTGGAAAAGAGCTTTCAGTCCTGGCAATAATTTCTAATTAAAATAAAAAGCATGGAATGAGGTTGAAACGATACTTTAAGTTATGTTTAAACCCTCTAGATTTACTGGGAGAGTGCATCTTAAAAATTCTATTTGAGCCCTATCCCATGCATTCACATCAATTATGCGTCGTTACGACAAAAAAGTGCTCACTTGCTACATGTAAACCATTAAATATGAAGACGTTTCTACGGCGTGGCTTCATGGCGTTTATGTTCAAAATTTAAACACGAATGATGACAAAAGTGACTAAAACAGAATGCCGAAAATGTGAGAACGTTAAAGCCACGCCCTAGAAACGTCACCGCGCGCAACGGTTAAAATTAACGCGACAACTGTTCACATTTAACGCAGTATTCTCTCCATGGAAGAATGCCCATAAAAGTCAATTCTGCTAGAGATTTTAGAAAGTTTTACCATGAACAATATCATAGCTATGTACTGCAATGAATGACAATATAAGCAAAATAACTAAAGCCCCAGCTCTCTCTCTACATTTCGACCTTTTGGTTATCCTAAAAAGATTTTTCCTGTACAGAACTATATTAATTTATTGTATATTTTTATTCAAATCTTTCCAACCTCATGTTTAAATGCCTTAATTCCATTCACCATCGCTTTATTGCACAAGTTTATGTCATTTGAAAACAACACGCAGCTGCCATTTTGAGCTATAAACATTAAAAATAATTTCAGCGTTTTTCATTCCAATAGCCCTACAAGGCCACTTATACATACACGCCCTAAAAGCGCCCTCATTCACCTCTCTGATGAAACAATAAACAACATTGCAATATTCTGTCATCATTGGTTTCTTCTTGCAGACTCCCGACATGTTCTGCAGCCTATATAAAATATATAAAATAGCTACTACCTGACACACGTGATGATGCCCGAAATACACGTCATCTGATGTCACCATATTACCATTAACATTCTGTAAAACCTGATATAGGCAACTAGTGTAACAATCCTACCTCTTCGACTGTTTGACCTCGTACTCTTGGATCTGACTTTTGAAACAAGCTGTTTAGCATCTTGATCGCGTTTCTCGCCAAAAGATCGACTCTCGTAGCTTTATCACCACTATCATGTGATCGCCATTTATTTTCCTGGAAATACGAAAATGTATGGACTAAAAGGGCTTTCAAATACTACCTTATTTTTCGTATCGAATCCTACAAGGTATCCTGGTAATAGGCTCTGCCAGCTGCTCTGATTAAAATCATACTTGATTCATACCCAAAATTATTTTTCCCTTGTTGGCGAGAAAAACTAAAACGTTTTCCTCCTATAGGTTTCGGTTAGTTTAGAATAAAAACTGCCGACCTGTTGATGATTGGGGATTTATCAAGCCCCCTCCCCTGCGTTGCACATGTTTGAGCAACTACGGATATAGGAACAGATATCTCAGTTCCATCCGTGGTTCTATTTACACATTTTCAACATCATGGTCATCATTCGCTAGTATATTTAAATAGTCACGCTAGGCCCTACGCTAGCCTCATGGTCCACGGTACCTTAAGAGAATCCAGTTCCTGCATTACAATCCAAGGAATAACTAAAGTTGGTCTTCCAACCCCTAACAAGGAATAAGTCAGGTATATATAACGCGCTTAATGTTTGACAGTGTGTTTTACCGCCAGTAAAAAAGACCGCGGCGCTTACTGGATGAAGGTCTACATATATTGCTTTTAGTAGGGTTTTTTTATTTCTAGTTTTCATGATTTCATCCCACAGGTTTTGTAGTCCCCAGTATTTCAAACTCCGGTTTCTTGCTTTAAGTCCGCTAGTAGTGGTGGACTATCAGACCATGACGGACTATGTTTTTACACAGTTAGAAAGCGCGAGGCAGTTTGCAAGTTATATTTCTTTTTTACCTGTTATCTATATTACCTGGGATAGGATAATCTTTCAACTCAACGACAAATTTTAAATGTGAAAGCAATACATTTGTGTCCAGAACGATATACAAAGAACCCTAGATAACATCAAAAATACAGTGAAGGAAAAGTGTTTATTTCCAGTTAAATTTGTGTGATGCACATGGCACCGGCAAGTTGAGGAATAAATCATCTGCACCCAAATTCACATAAAATCATTTTCAATATCATAAAGAAATTCAAGTCCCGTTTACACTTACGCTCTCGCGTAAAAATGCCTCTATATTTGAACAACATGTCCATTAAAAGAAAACCAAAAATTGTAAATGTAAACGGGCCTCCTGACCGGACATCTCTAGCTTGTTTCTGGTAAAATAAGGAATTACGAAAATAATTTGTAAGAATCACGGTACCTCATAACCATCGCTCGAAACGTTCATCGCCATTTGATCTTTGCCTTTGGGTTTCTGTAAAAAGGTATAACAAGTACTTTCTTTTACGAAAAAATATTCAGGACTGTCAGATGAACACGAGAGATTGCAAGCGCAAGGATAATAGTAATTATAGCTGTCAAAAAGTGGGATTCCGCTTCCAAATATAGCTAGCTATATATTAACAATTGAACCATGCAAGAATCAAATAATGAGTAAAATGAAAATGCAAATAACGTCCGGCTTGAAAAAAAAATTATATCTATAAAACTATAGTATTTAATATATATCTATATTAACTTTTGTTGACTAGACCACTTTGCGTTTTTGTAAATACATGCTACATGTCAGAGAAAGAGCCAATATAGCAAAAGCCAATACTATAAAAGTCTTTATTCGCTAACATGTCAGAGTCGTTTAGCACATTGTAGTCGAATTATAGATAGAACCACAATGCTATGCGTGAATCAACTTTATATAATTATATTGTTTCTTCGGCATGTGACCACTTTGCGTTTTTGTAAATACATGCTACAGGTTAGAGAAAAAGCCAATATAGGACAAGCCAATACTATAAAAATCTTTATTCGCTAACATGTCAGAGTTGCTTATTTGAAATTTTTTCAAATTCTGCGCTAAAATTGTCAACAGTAAGACTTTGCGTTAGCGAACGACTGTTGCTTAGAAGAAATTCGTTTCTATGTCTGCATTTCGATGAGGGTTAATTCGATACCGCAGAAATTGGTGTTGGAAGTCAAATATCTCATCAGTTGCTCACATTTGAATCCTAGTATTCAGAAACTGCTGTCAAAGAAAATACTATCAAATAAGTTGAAAACAAGTTCAATTTTTCTTCCAATATCGGTTTTGGAAACTTTTGAAGGCTCTTCGTATGCATCTGCCACCGTAAAATGGCCATTTTGAGACATTTTCAGATGATTTGTTTTTGCCGTGTGCAAGCTTCAAATCTTTTGTGCAAGAGATATTTTGTTGAGTATTTATAAATCTTTTAGCTTGCCGAATTTAAAGTCTAAGTATTGAGAATTACGGCTAAGTCTACCAATTTCCGCGGTGTCGGGTTAATTCACTTCTCGAATTCAAAGAATTCAAGAAGTGAACTTTCATCAAAATGCAGCTGCAGACAAACGAATTTCCCTTGAGCAATATTGGCTGCATGGCATATCCTTACCTAATATAATCTGTAAATGTATATATGCATGAAATCAATTCGAATTGTTTTTCCCGTCTACATGTAAACGCCAAAACGAAGGAAATTTGATAGCACCATGCATAGAGCATGCGCATTTCCAAGTAATATGAGCGCTTCCAAACGATCGCAAATAACAACTGAACGGTCAACCTTGTATTAAGCGGTCACATGCGAAATCCCCGTGGGTGACCGCTTCGACTGCAGTTGGGATCGTTGATCGCTATATATAATTAGCGAACGACTGTTGCTTAGAAGAAATTTGTTTCTATATATGTCTGCATTTCGATGAGGGTTAATTCACTTCTTGAATTCAAACAATTCAAGAAGTGAACTTCTATCAAAATGCAGCAGTAGAGTGTAGACAACGGATTTCTCTTGAGTAATATTGGCTGCATGGCATGTCCTTACCTAATATAATTGCTGCCGCAGCGAGCGAGCCTGGGGCGAGCGAGCAAGGCAGCAGACCTAATTGATGTAGTTGGGAATTTTTTAATTTTTGCTTTAGCGCACTGCATTGTGGTCGAATATCAGATAGACCCACAATGCTATGCGTGAATCAACTTTATATAATTATATTGTTTCTTCCCATGTGCTTCAATGTGCTTCCTTCTATGGTGCGTTTTTAGTGCCGGCATAGTATCATCGCTTATATAAAACATTCTTAATTCACGGTTTCAGAATGCTTTCCGTGTTATTATACGCCAGCGGTCGAATGGTGATTTGGATGAAGACGGCATAGACAGTATTGTATTTAGGCTTGAACAGCTTTTAATTCATTTGGTTCGACTTTGCAGTATACATTTGATGAGTGATCAGATTGAGCAAATTATGATGCTATTGTGCTCCTTCAAAATTGCAATTACATGAACAGACAACCATTATCTTTTCAAGCGGGAACAATTGTAAATGAAAGAAGAGGTCGACCAAAACTTGATATAAGCCGGGAGCAGCTGAGTATTTACTGAATTATCATATAAGCGTTCCTGATATAGCTATGGCATTAGGTGTTCCAAGGAGAACCGTTTTCAGACGTTTTCAGTGGTTCTCCGCCATATTTTCAAGTCTGGCGCGCTTTGCGAGTTGCGACAACACGTGACAAAAAGGCAAGTTCGAAAAGGTTCATGGGATGTTTGCCGAATGATGTGCATCCGAATGAAATAGTAATCGTCGGAATGACAACACGTTCCGAATGAAAAAGTCTAAACCCGAGTAAGAGAGTCTGTAACCGAATGACCTTAAATTGATCGCTGTTTTCATATAAGCGATGATACTATGCCCGTCAATTCAATGAATTGAATTTTGGCACTAAAAACGCACCATAGAATTTGGCGATTACCCGATTATGTACTTCTTTCTACGAATCAATCCTGCATGACTAAGCTTGCGCAAGCGCATGTTTGCAGATATACAAGATGCAATAAAGGCAGCATTCACTACCTGTAGGTAACCTAGTCTGTAAATGTATATATGCATGAAATCAATTCGAATCGTTTTTGCCCGTCCACACGTAAACGCTAAAACGAAGGAAATTTGCTACCACTTTGCATAGAGCATGCGCATTTCCAAGTAATACGAGCGCTTCCAAACGATCGCAGATAACCTCTATGTTAATTTGGCGGAATTTAAAAACAATTCCGCGTATGTGTTTGGGTTCGCTTTATCCTCGCTCTTTCTTGAATTAAAATGACTAAGTTTATGAAATAGGCCAAAGTAGAACAGCCAAGCAATTTTAGTTTACCATCTTGAAGAGACACAAATCACGCGCCGTTAATGGCCCGTTATAGACTGGATCCGATTATAAACGTCATCGAATTCGAAAACCTCCGTTTTGCCCGTCCACACGTAAACACGAAAACAGCGTTTTCGAAAAACTCCGCTCTGGAGAGCGTTTTTGAAAACCTCTGTTTTCGGTCGCCGAAAACACCGGTTACGTGTGGACGCAAGGCCAAAACGGATAAAAAACCTCCGTTTTTAAAAATATCCGGATACGTGTGGACGGGGGTCTCATACTTGGGCATCGGGTATATGACGGTGACAACTACATATAGCGCGATATTTAAATTCACTCGATGAGTGGGGCACACAGTACTTGTCATACGAAACAAATTTTAGTGAATAAAATCGTATGAAGTAACCAAGTTAATTTATTCTTATCTACTTTCTCCTATACATATATATAATAAGCTTACCCGACTTGGATGAACAACGACAATACCTCTCATCTCTTTTAACTAAAAAACAACGCAATAAATAATAATCCTTGTACACTATACTGATATTCAACATCTTCAACCTTCGCAAAATATTATAAACCCAAATTAAAACAGGCTCATGCAAAAACAACATTAAGAGCGAAACATGCGCTTTTTTCTGTTGATTCTCTACTATGTTTTGACAGCCAAAGCCGCGACTGGCATGAACTTGGTTTACATGAAAAGCACGTTTAATGTTAGTAATACTATTATAGTAACATACCTCTTGTACAATTTCTTTTGCAAACTCCTCAACATTATCAATTTCCATATCAGCAACGCCATCCTCAGACAAAGATACAGAAACATCATTTCTAACTTCTTCCTCCATCGGCAGAACTTCATCCTGTTGTACACTGCTGACAACCCCGCTCGGCCTGGTAAGCTGATGTGTTTTGGGTGAACTAATCTTTCCTGACGAATTACTAACAGTTTGAACGCTAAATCTGTTAACATCGGTATTATCACCAATAAATAGGTTTTCGGTAATAGTCGCATCTTCAGAATCTCCGGGAACTAACAATCCGGGGGTTGCTTTCCCGCCAAAATTCCTCGCAACGCAATTGGCTAATTTGGGTAATAAATAATTTTGATTGGGCGTCGCGTCAGAATTCGCTTTTCCCTCAGTTCCCCCGCTAAGTCTTCTCTGTTCAGCTTGACTTGAACTTTCAGTTTTATGTTTGATGTTAGGTAGTTTCAATTTATACGGTGTAAAACGCTGTTTCCCGTGTGTTTTCGGGGGTGATTTATCTAATATTGCATTTTTTTCTTGTTTCGAAGTTTTAGAGCATCCCAGGATGGCGACCTTGCACTTTTCACTTTTCTCCTTTCCAGTATTAACTGCAGATGTTTGCTTCCCAGAAACTGTCTGGTTTTGTGCAATGTTATCTAATTTATCTTTCGATATCTCTTTATTGACTACAGGAGGATTATTAGGGATGGGATGATCCTTAAAGTCAATCCTTGAGGTGTCTGCAAGCCATGCTAAAATTCTGTCGCTTGAATCTGACACGCCACTGTCACTTCCCTCACCTAAACTTTTCGTTCTCGATAATGGCTGATGTTTGGTCTTTAATTGCGCTTCGTTTTGGGATTTGCTTTTAACCAACACGGGAACCTTTTGTTCTTTTACACTCGTAGTAACTTGAGGGTTAGTTTTGAAGTTTTGATTTGCAGTCGTAGGCGTTTTAATGTTACCTTTAGCAGAATCGTTGCCAATTTTAGTTGTTTGGGAACCTTTTCTGCCGGTTTCGTTGCAACGTGTTGATTCATCAGTTTTATCAGTTTTTTCAAAAGGTTTAGTTACTTGTAGCTGTGGGCTACCTTTAGCTTCTTGATTACAAGTATGCAACTTTGGTCGGGATCCACTAGGTGATGGTTTTAGGTAAAATCTTTGTGATGGTATTGATTTTTGAGAAGATTCAGTATTGGGAATTATTTCCTTCTTAATGTTGGTTAAATCATGCGTAGTTTTGTATGACTGTTTGATTTTGTCATATTTCAGATTGGTTTGTTCATCAGTCGCTGGTTTTCGCTTCTTACACTTTAGTTTGCCATCATCCCTCTTAACAAAAAAAACAAGAGATCATTAATTTTTTAAGGTGCCAACCAGTCTACCTACACATATAAGAAAACACACATATCTTAACACCACAGTCATATAGCACAGCCTATAGGTGCATGGGTTTTGAAATGCTGCCTCCATGGTTTATTTTTAAAATGTGTACAGTTATACATAAGTATATATCTGCTTACTGGCATTACTGTAATACAATAGATGGTAAGCTGTTACAATTAAGTGATTAGCAAAAAAAAAGCAAGAAAACAACTAAGTTTTGACATTGGAAAGCAAAAGCAAACTTTTCAGAATCAACCAAGATGGTGCAAAAATTTGCAACAACATATTGCAAATGTAACAAAATGTTCTGATTTTATGATGTGTAACAGAATGTTCCAATTTTATAGGGAAATCCTTGGGACACAGGAAAAATTTTTATTAATATATTATATAATGCAAATTGTTATACATACATTTTTCTCTCCACGACATGGATGCTGCCACTGTGTCTTTTTTGTAACATTGTTGTAGTAATAAAATCTTTTGGATTTTGTGGAATGGAAAACTTTCCAATCTTTTGGCAAATCCTTTTGAGCTTCTTTCAAATCTTTTTCAGACATTTCTCAACATATCTTGGGAATTCCATCAATAGTCTATAATAAATATCAAAATACATGTCTTTAAACTTCTTCAAGGAATAGAAAACAGAGCACAATTATTTTCCAAGTGTTCCCTTTTCCAGGTGCAACAATCGGTAATGTTCCCTTTCTAATAAACTGCCTTCATAGATATCCAAGCAGGGCAAAAGGCAGGATTAATAAAAAAAATTTGGAGGAGCAGTCGGATAGAAGAGTGACACCCAAACTGGTTTCCGTGGAATGCAGGCACCTCTGATACCCAGGAACAAGTAATGTGACTACAGCCTGATATGTGTACCTTAGTTGAACAGGTTTATTAATCTAATGTTGCACTATCATACTTATTAATGCAACACTAGAAAGCAGGAAGAGTAGGTATACCACTAGTAATAGGATTTGGTATTTAAAGAAGTGTTTTCAGTTTTATGTTGCTCTTTATGTATAGCTTGAAAATTATCTCATATGAGTATACATATAGGCTTATTTCGTGGTAGTAATGATTACAAGAAGATCTATCACTGGACTTATACATTGGGAGTCCTAAATGCACTGTGCCTGAGGGATTGTGGCAGGTCATAAATATTGCCATATTTCTGGTGAAAGCTTCCATAAATGCATCTTGTTTGATCATGTTTAAAGGAATTAGGATGGTTAGCTGAAAGCTTCAAAGTGTCTTCAAATGTTCACATAAGTTTAGCTATCTGTTTTTGAGACCTAGATCAAACCTTAGGCCTTTATATTAAAACGTTACAGGATGGTTGTTTATACAATATTGTTTGTATTATATGACTGTTCTTTTAGTTTCTTAAAAGCAGTGCTTACCTTTCAAATAATTCACGCAAAACACATACCAGGTGGTATGTAAGAACAAGGTTAAATAAATTCAAACAAAGTAAATATTAAAGATGAAAAACAGGACACGAACAAGATGAGCATGGTTCGCTATACCACAACGCGTGAGCCTCACGCGAGTTACACACGCACTATAGCAGATTTAAGGCCTATTCATATGGGGTGGGATAGCCGGTAGCCGGGACAGCTCGGCTTGCTGAGGTGAGCTTGAAGGTCGTTTCATACGCAATTCATCCCGCCTATCATCCCACTTATTATCCCACCTGTGCCAAGCAAGCGCGTTTGATCGAAAACGCGCGGTTGTATTCATCCCGGCTTACCGGGACAAAATCGAGAATTTGCGTTCATATGGAAAATTTTTATCCCACTTGACTGAGCTCCCACTTTGCTTACACCGGGATCCCACCTAACTGAGCTAGCTCACATTCCATGTGAACACAAACTTGAAAATAATGTACGAGGTGGGATCTCACCACAATGTCATCATCCGGCCAGCTAACCGGGCTATCCCACCCCATAAAGCAGTACTGCATTGGCTTCAGTAGATTTGCTTCTCATATACATTACAAGGCAACAGACAATAAAACATCAACCATCAGAGGTGAATTGGATGCAAGAAAATTGGATCGTGTGAACAGACCTTAAGAACAAGCTACTGAAAGAACTCAAGTCACTCAACATGTTTTTCAGTGTTTTTATAAAAATTATTGAAAATTCCATTCTCTCCGGTGTAACATCCATTTACGTGAGGCTATACAGTGTTCTACTGCCTGCTGGGAAGGATGACTAGGGATCCCAGATAGAAGAATGACAATCCAGGATGCCTATGGTACAAACCTTCTAAGATGCCCAAGGGATGCCGCGTGCTGGGTGTCCTCACCTCAACTGACAGCTGTATTCATTACGTTACTTTCATCAATTATATTTATGTCACATCACACATCCCATACAAAGAACACAACACTCGTCCCTGGATTAATTAGCCATTTCCCAAACGAGCAGGGTACTGGGTCGAGTCGGGAACCGCAAAGCATCTATGGACTGTTTGGAATATAAGTCTGAAATCATTTGTCCCTCCCAGTGGTCCCTCCAAACAGTCCATAGATGCTTTGCGGTTCGCGACTAGACCTAGTACCCTGCTCGATTGCATTGGGAAATGGCTAATACTCTATCATCCAATCATGATACTCAATCTTCTAACAACCTTAAGACCTGGTTTTCAGCAATGCTCCGCGGAGTATAATTGTCGGAGATCTAGAGGATTCATAGGATTGTAAACCTTCTTTTAATTCTATGTGGTGACATTAATTATATATTCAAATATGAACTCCACAAAAAGTGTAAAACGTCAACTTTTCGTCCATTTGATTCTTTCAGATGATTTTATATGAATTCTATCGGTTATATTCATTCTTTCTGGTACCCTAAAAATATCTACAAATTGTATCCAAATTTATTACATTTTTTTCATTACCTTAAAGTATTTATATATCTTTCTAAGCGGTTGTTTACAAGATCTCATTTAACCGAGATTTAACGAAGCGTAAAATGACTTTGAGGTATTGAAATGAGTATAACATGATCCTGGCAGTGATTAAGTCACAGTTTAACCATCCTAACAATAGCAGGCACAGAGTAAGTAATAGCAGAGTAAGAGATAGCAGGGTAATAGGTATTATTAAATATCTATTTACACTTACTCTGCCCTAGTTCTTGTTTGATTTCATGGACTCATTTCAATATCTCAAAATCACCTCACGCTTCGTCGAATCTCGGGTAGCCGGGCTCATGTAAACAGCCCCTAAACTCTTAGTATTTACCGAAATATTATCGACTCATTTAACATCACTGACAAATTAACCAGCCTTTCTTTAAAACTGGTTACTTATATTATACAATATCACGTGTCAATAGAGCGTTCTTTGCGTGACTTATATCCAGTACGTTTGGCGCGTGCACGTGATTTACTAGCTTTTACCACGGACGATTGCCTTCGCGCTTTTTTCTTCCGTCCTGCGCTTTTCTCTTGAACTAAACTACCATTTTCTAAACCAGATTCTTGTTTAGTCTCGTGTAACTCTGAATCAACAAACGCCTGATTGAGATCAGTGGAACTTTCTTCAGGATAACCACTAGCATCCAGGACCAACACCGCCTTTCGATTTGATGATTCAGCAATCCTACGAGACCTTCGCAAAGGCTCGTTAGTGCTTTCATCGGCGGCATTATTCCGGCGCTGTCTAGTATCGTTCATTTGCTTACTATCAACTTCACTAATTGCTTGCTTCGATCGTGTTTTGCTATCCTTAACCCTAGTGTGCTGACCATTATTCTCCACCAACGCTCCCCCTCGGTGCTGCCTTTCCTTAGAAACTTGGCTTCTTGTCTTACAATTAGATCTTAGCGCTGATTCTTCCGTTGACTTAGACTGTAACTTTGAGCGTGTATATTCCTCTCTCCGGCGACTTGCCTCGGTTGATTTCGGACCACCTTGGGTCTTCTTCGGTTGCTCTTCGTAGATCACTCGTGGCGCCGTGAGTGCATCGGAGACGAAATCTAACGTCTCAAACAGATCATCCAGTTCGTTTCTCTTTCCCTGAGCTTGTTGTTTGCTTGACGTCTTTGAACCACGACTTTCTGCTATGGTTGAGACCTTAAAGAATAAAAATTGTTTAACAAAAAATATCTAGATAATAAATCCCGTAGAGCCTTCAGTTTTTGAAACCAGACATTGCCCACGAGGAATGCATATGAGCTACGTTGAATTACCTCTGAACCAGAAAACCTGGATTGTTCACCGTCATTACTGTGATGTTTTTGAGGGTCATGATCCAGTAAGGGTGCATCAGTGTCCAAAACATCGGGATCTTCATTGATAGGATCCTGCAGTTCGTTCATCATAACATCAAGTTCTGAGGCTAGTTGTCGACTATGACGAAAACTGGATCTTTTTTCTTTAGCTCGGCTTGTTTCTGCTTGCAAGGACGGAGCATATAGGATACCTTTTGGGGATTGAAGAGCAGGAGTCGGTTCTTCCATTATTTCCCAATCGTGTTTTTTCAAGATTTTACTGGGATGAACGTGGGGCGATAAGGGTTTATTTGGATACAATTCGGTATTGTCAGGTATCTGTACGTCTGTAGTGGATTGATCAGGGCCGTCAACAATCGACTGCTCAACGTAGTCCGAGGGATTCAGTTTTTGTTCACCTAAGTCGTGATTATACGACGCTTCTAAGTACATTCTTGGATCCAGGGCTTTCGAAGACCGCTTCGTAGTGACGTCATCAGTAATCACGTCATGGGCGACGTCATCAATGGCCATCACCGCAGGTACGTTGTGCTCAGAAGCAGTTTCTGAAAATCCCATACCAGAGTCTGATCCCGAGTGCGACCCTGTGTCCAACCCATCGTCTCTTGGAAGTCCGCCTTCCTTTTGAAATACATCGTCACTCGGTCGACGACGATGTTTTATGGTACTTTCCGGCAGTACAAATTGAGGACATGATGTATCGAGAGCCTGCTTTTCCCATAGTTGCCTGTGAGTAAAATAAAGTAACAAAGTGTTCGTCTGAACTTAGTACTGAATATATTTCTTAACGTAAACCTTAGTTTATGGCGGGGTAGAATAATCTGTCATTGTTTGTGTATAAACTACGCGAGGAAACCGTGTTGGTAGCATCCTAAACAGATAAAGAACTTACCTGTAGTTTTGCATTAATACTCTAATAGGCTCATGAACGGTCTTCGTTTTCGGAAAGACAATAAAACTGCCGATCTGAAATATATAAAAAAAGTTTACTACAGTGATGCCGCACTGAAAACCCAACTTGGATTATCATCCTTGACTTGCTTCGTGCCTCATTCTATTTCTAATCTTTTTCAAAACCAACTATTTCCATTAGTAATGCTAGCCTGACTGGGCTATATATATATAGCACTCAGTTCATGTGAGTGTGTCATATTTCACTAAGTCACGGGCGGCACTAAATTTCTTCCAACCTGGCAAAAACCAGAAGAGCTTACTGGTTACTTACCTCCATCCAGCCGCTCACAACCATAAACAACTTGGCTTCATTCAAATCCCAAACCAGAGGACGGAATAATTGACCGTTGGTGGATATACGTCGTGGCGTTTCATCGTCAGGATCCTTCGAAATGCACCTAAAAGCAAGGAATAGATTACAGTTAAATTTACATGTTTTTATGTGGAGAGTATTTTTTTTCAACATCTAAATTCTCGTTATATTTTTTCATAATCTTATATTTCCTCAGTAATCATTATTCCCTCGTTACATAAAGTCTACCGACACTAGTATTCTTCAGAAAATAACAACTTTAAACCTGCATAAAGCAAGTAGGATTTACCTGAATATATTCAGCATAATTTTCAGAGTTCCTTGTAGCCGTTCATCAAAAGTGTAAGATTTAATAAGAATATTGATGGCAGAGTCCAAAGCAGAAGGAATGTCAGCGTGAGCTGAGAACATCTTCTCTTGAAGGCTTTGACGAGGAAATACTTTCTAAGAAAAGGTAAATATAAGAAACCAATCAGTGGCTATATCTATCATTTAAAGCAAACTTACTGCACTCAGATACAGTAATAGAACTGTGTGAAGCATTTTAACTGCATTCAAAGCTAGCTCGATCTCGTGGATCAATGCCTCCACTAACCAATCGTCTAAAACTAGTTTCCTCAAGACACAAAACGGAAGATACCCATGTTTACTCATGAAGTTGGCCTTTGAGCGATTCAGGCACTTTAAGGCTCCCTTAATTTAGCCCTGAGGTAATTCAGTCACTTTAAGACTTCCTAGCGACGGTACCTGCACGGTGTCAATGATCATGAGGATGGGGTATTCCCAGACAAAGAATTAACTGTATAATTTATTAACCCTATAATTTCCGAATCTCAGTAAAATGAATCTGAATACTACCCACCCTTGGCAATGTGAGTGCTTTGTTCGAATCTTCTTCCAGTTTTTGTTTCACATTTCTCTGAACATTTGAAAATGAAGAGAAACGTTTGACCGGCTTTGGACTTCCATCCGCACTAAATGATAGAGAATTACCTTTTCAAAACGAAGTATCAAAGCATTCATAATCACAGTACATAGAATGTCTTACCCGTCCAACGCTGAAGTCAGGTCTCTTCTAGTCTTGTTGGTATAATTGCTAACAGAATTCAGGAAAGCAATCTTTTCCTTTACACTGACTTGGCTGTTCGTTAGAATCTAAAAATTTAGGGAGTAACTTGTGTAAAAAAACACTGTGGCGTTCGCATGTTGTTAAGTCCTAGCTTTTATCAAGGCTATATCCTTACTAACTATTTATGAGTGAAAAATGTAGTCCTGTAGTAACCTGATGAAACAAAGGTCAAAGAGTTATTACAACTTGATTGTCGAGTTTGTGAGAACAGGCTACTGAGAAGATACTTGTGTGCAAGGTCAGACATAATTATAGCAGTCAGTAGCTTATTTAACAATACCAGGTAACAGTCGAAGTGGATTTCGAATCAAGACTGTCTCATAAAGTGATCCAAGCGTACCTTTTGTCGTTCAAGTACTTTCTGGCCTTCCATGGCAAGTGGCGTGGTCAAAGCCAACATGGCGGCGAGGCCAGCGGCTGCTGCGATGGCTCCACCGTCATTATATTTACCATCTTTCTTTTCTGGCGTGAGTGTCTTTAATAATGGCGCTGTTCTCTGAGCAGCTGGCGAAAGACTGCAATTGAAAATCCAAGGTATGTAAAACAAAGGTAATTGAATCTTTGACATTACAAAAACATTATATTCACCAATAAAGTTATGTACAAACCTTTTAATGTCATCAAATACTGAAACAGATTCTTTTCCAGTCTTCATATCTAACTTTGCTCTTTTATGTTCTTTCTCGACACCAGTCTGTTCCGTCGCCTCCCTTGCACTTACAGGCTCGTCCTTCGTCTGCCCCAGTCTCTTTTCTTCTCTCGCCTGTCGTAAGCTGGTAAAAACTCGATCAGTTCTCTTAATATCACTGTTGGTGCGTTTCACTTGACCAAGTCTTGCTGGGGTTGCAGCGGTATTACTTATGCTTCCTCCACGCAACTCGCTTGTTTTCCTAAGAGAATTTCGCAAAAGCTGAGGACTGGCCTCATGGCTGTTCAGTTGCCTTAGTGTTGATTTGGTGTACGTTTCTGTAATAAGAGCCCCTCCAGCTCGTGCCTTACGGTCAGTGTTGGTCTCCTTTGAGATGCTCCTTCCTAGTCCATTTTTACGGTGATCATTCGTTTGTGATAAAGTCTTCTCCTCCTGTTTTCCAGGCATTCCTTTCCTAACATGGCTATCCGAAGCCGTCTTCTCAACCTGCTTCTTGGGCGCTTCCTTTTCCTTTACCTCGTTTTTAACCTGTCCGTTTTTCAACGGTTGTGCTTCCACATCTCTTTTTAACTTTTTCACATCCTCTTCCTTCCTTCCTGCTAAATTTTCATTCGAGGCTGACTTTGAATCTTTATCAACCGAACGAAGTTTGGGTTTAGTCCCACCAAATAATCGCCAACGTTTGGTGGATCGCTGTTTCATAAGGACGCTATTATGTTTATTCTCGGCATTTTCTTTTTTCTTCGCTACAGTTTGAGGACTCTCAGTAATTGTATCTAAACTGTTATTACTACCGTCAGTATCACGTGATTTAGTTCGTCCCAGTTTCTTTTTTCTTCGCACTTCTTTCTCGTCCGCTGACTCCGAGGATTGACTGCGCTGCTTTTTCACACTTTTCCGGCTCTTCGTTTTAGAGTTGGGTGTAACATCGTTAAGCTCATTGTCAGTGTCACGGCTGTGACTACGCCGCAATGCTTGCTTGATTGATTTCTTACGAGACTTCGTTTCTAAAAATATTAATTCTTAACTCGAAACGTTTTCTTGTATAACCAGTTATTTAAACAAGCTGCCACGCTGCTTCCGGGTTATTAATAGTTTGTATAGTATTCCACTTACCGTTCTTTCCTTTCTTATCATCAAGATCATCAGAACTAGACTTCCGCGATCGAATTCGTCCTGTGGATATAAAAACAAGGTCATTTTTACCAGATCAATGCGGGACCCATCTGTTGCAAGACACTGCGGACTGCAGAGTGATACAGATCAGCCAATCTATACCATCTCGTGCGAGATGTTCAGATTACCGGTGAACAGATGAATGCAACACCGTTAAAATATCACCAATGAAAGAAAAACTTGTATAAATGTTTTGAACCCAGTCCTAACCTCTTTTCTCATCTAGATCATCAGAGCTAGATTTCCTCCGTCTTCCAGTTTTAGCCGCTTTAATTCCACCCACACTAATACGACGTTTCGTGTTTTCTATATGCAAGACACAAAAGTCACCAATTTTCACCTTGTTAATAACTATTACATATAATCGAACGGTCCTAACTTTTTTACTGGATAGTATTAAAGATTTCGACTGCATGTCTTTTAAAATTCTAACTTCTTATTTCTTACTCGTTAATAATATCAGTCCCTTGTTTTTTTTTTCAGTTGCTACTCAGGACCGTTAAGAACCATAAAGTTTTTATTGTCCAATCTTAACCATAAAAAAATCCTGTCTACGGCTCCGGCCTCTGTTGTGTGGTTTTACATTCTCAGACCTAGTCAATGACAGACCCTGCAGAGCTATATAGTCCAAATATCGGATTCAATTCAATTCCGATGCACGCAATATTGTCTGTTTTGATAAAGCAGTGCCAGATTTTCTTTGGTTGATATACTCAATATACTGCATACACACCAAAAGTCGATGAATCAGATCTGACAAAAAAGTGAAGAAAAGAAGAAAACCTACCAAAGATTGAGGCAACACCGGTGGGACTTCCGACTCTGAAGTCCGCATTCACTGGATCATCGGAATCATAGAGATGATAAACCTCCTTCACTCTCTTCAGGTTAAGATCAATATAACGAGAAAACGGGTTGATCGTGTACGCCTCAAACTTCTTACGTAAATTATCTACAGTTGTTGCTGAAAGAAGTTTGTAGATATTCTCTCTTTCGCTTAAAACTTGTAATGGAGGTCGGTCCATTGCAAACGAACGTAGCATCCACGCCGTGTCTAAGGCACTCAGAACGCCGCGTGCACAACCAGAACCGGTTGGCCAAAATGGCTACAAAAAAAAGAAGAAAGATGTCATGTTGCTACTATTTATTGTAATATTGATAGCGTAGTAATCCTTTTCTTGGAATTGTCATAAAATTACCAGAGTGAAACAACACAGTTTAAAAAGAACCTTCTTCAGTGAAATCTCACGCTCGAAGCTTTTCATCGTGCCGGGTTAACCAATCATATGCGTGTTTAAGGCCTAGGTTATACGTCGCATTTTGCTCGCGTCGAATCCAATTCAAACAATAGATGATGAAATGATGAACCCTAGCTATTAGGCTTCGTTATCATCTCGTCATTCTCATGATCTATTGTTCGAATTGCTTCGACGCGACAAAAATGCAACGTATTGACAAATTGCCAAAATTTCTCGCGCAATTTTGGGCCTATGGTATAACCTGGCCCTTACTGTAGTTATTCTATACAACCTCGTATTAGGGTGTTTGCACATAATTAAAATACTTCCATGCTTGTTTGTTAATCAAATAACTACCTGTATAAATATTCTTTAATGAATCAATAAACAGTATATTAAAACTGACCTCAATTAGACTATCACCAACTAAAGCCAATAATAATCTATGGCCTTTTCTTTCTACGATTCTCGCTGCATGCTCGGCTTTCTTCAGGGATGTAAAATCAAACACGGCGATGTCCGACTTGCCTCTGTCATTTTGGACAAACTCGATATCTGTCAGTTTGCCTTCTGTACCAAACTTCACCGCATCGAGAGCATACTCTTTGAGTCGATCATAATTCACGTTCGGAGACGCCAACAAATCTGCAGGCTTTGGATAATCCTAGAAATAACGAGAACGACGTATGTCTTATCAAACTGTAAGACCATCATTGTAGCGGACAGGCCGGCATGGTTGCCTGAAATCATACTACAAATCAATGAAATCATCAGTGAATTAATTGCCTTTTCTGTACGTTCTAAGGCCAGTTGCAAACTGATTACCTGAGAAAATCGCTTGAAGGTCATAAAAATCTTTTGTTTTTTGGGATTAAGCCAACGAGTTTCTAGCTTTGTTTTTGAAAATTGTCCGCGGATCTTATGCATACGTGCAGTTATAAAATATATCTATACATGTTCAAAGAGTTTGTCTATTTTTTTATATAATTTTGGCATAAAGTAATGACTAATGTTACAATAATTGGTAAAAATACACGAGAATAATACTGGTTATACATATTTGCAATAATGAGATAAAGTAAAAGTTACTTAGAGGATTAGTCATGTATAATATTGTTACCAGTGATATGCCACGGGGGGCATTCTTGTGGTGAAAATTAGAGACCAACATATAATTTTTAGAAAAGCTATTTTAAATAGACATGTTAAAATTTTAATTGGCAACGTTTAATCTTTAACTCGACATCTTGATATAAAATACATGTACTTTAATAAGGGAGCTTTTTGATCAAGGGGATTTGGAGGTGCATGTAGATTACTAAATACTTCATATATAGCATACAACACGTGAAATTGAGGGTAAAAAATTAGAGAATGTTAATATTAATGTTAATGTTAAGATTTTAGAAAACGAAGACTTAAATGAACTTATGCAGAAGAGTAAACAAAGGAAGATAAAATTTTGAAACGAAAGTTGACAGAGACCTCATTTAGAATTGGTGGAGAATGATCTTCCTGTTATAGGAGTCTGCACGTTTTCAGTGTTTAGTTGGCGTGGGTTTGACCCCACGGCCACATACGACGCGGAATAGCATCGATACTTAAATGGAATTATAATCAGTATGAGAACATGCATACACGCATTGCTGACAAGGTACGCACATGCGTGTATTTAATCTCTGACGGTAAAAAAAGTTTATACAGCTGGTAGGTACTTGTAGTCTTTCATGTTTGACACCTGTCACATTTTTGCCTCTCTAAATGAATTCCAGAATGCACTGTGACCTCTTTTGAGAAAACGCTCAAAAATAAAAAATTGACGCGAAAACGTCACGTTACAAAAAACCCTCTGAATAATGGAATTTTGGATCGTTGCTTGTCTAACAAAGAGATAACCATAGCAATAGGGATCGGAAACTGTATAAAAAAAGCGGCTGTTTTACATGGCTCGTCCACGTGAAATAGAGCACTTAACTGATGTACATTGTGGATTGGAAAATCGAGAGAGCATTTCTGGCAAGGTCAAAACACTAAAAAATCAGATCCTATCAGACATCTTAGAAGGCGGGCAATAATAGGGTTAGCGTTAGCCATCGACAACGTTTTACACGGACAAATTTTGCATGAAGATGACAATAAACAGTCAGTTTATTACGCCTATTTAGCCGGAAAAAACAGTCAATGTCAATGCCAATGACTTGAAAAACAATCTGTCTACATACGCCTCTGCATAAAAGAATGTCCAGTGAATATTCTAATTTTATGATAATACGCCCATGTATGCATGTTACCAACACCTCTTTCAATTGAGTCTGATTCCATTAAATCAGTTTATTGAATAAGTATTTTATCAGGAGAGTTTTCAGGATAAATTATGACAGGATTTCGAGGTTTTGAAGTACAATACCTCAATAACACCTACCATTATCAATGCTCCTCTTGCAAGCAAACTGCTTTTCACAGCTGTCATGACAAAGTAGTGAGTCTCTCCCTTGTAGTAAACAAAGTTTTCTAATCGCACGCCACTTTTTTGATATAAATCGTCAAAGAACTTCGGTTTGAAATGATAGGCCAAACCACTGATTTCGGGAATAGCGGCTTCCTGTTTCGTACCATGGTACACCAGATTAAGCGTTATCCCAATTGCGAGACTGCCTGAATTATACGGAAAAAACATAACTGAATTTATATCTAATATGACAAGGCCAATGGCGCACAGCTCGGCATATATGGACAACCAAGCAAAAAAAGGGCCATGCGGCATGGGCCGGTTGTTTAAGAGTTAAAACTTTCAATCGTAGTTAACTACAAAATGCACTCTTTTTTCGAGTAGGCAAAACCTAATTAGTATCACTATAGACTATAGTCATAGACTGATAGTGAGAGTCACCTAATTTTTATTGCGACCGGCAGCTGGGCATACGGTATACCGCCTTACCGGTTACTGTCCGAGTATGTGTATGTGACCGGCGGATCATGGAATATACCGTTCACAGCGTAATTTTTGCCATGGACGTAGTTATTTTTCCTTTCATCTTAATCAGTTAATCGCATTGACTCGTGACTTCAGAAACCCGGAAAGTTTCGGATTTGTGTATAAGTTAATAGCCCCGTTTACTCTACACTCAATTTATTGGCACGGCACGGCTAAAATGGGTACCCGTGCCCTGCCCAATTTCGCTAGTGCTCAGGCTACCAAAACAAAGGCCGGGATCGTGATCAATATTCGTTTTAAACGCAGATGGCGTAGTCTCCGAAAATTAAGCCCAATATGATAAATTGTTGAAATCATTTTTGAATACTATGGAAGGACGCGTTATGGGGTCACTCTCCAATGAATTTATGGTCATGATATCCTACCTCTCATTTCAATTTGTGGAAAATCAGGGAGGACATTCCTCTTGCCATCTGCTCCAACAACCATATCAAGATCAAACTGACTGGCTGGATGGAATGGGGGATCCACCTGGCATCGCCAACCACATTCAGACATTGGTTCAATCACTTTCTCAAATGTAACACCAGTGTAGATCTGAACACCCAATATGAGGGCTGCTTTCATTAACAAACATTGTAGCATTCTGATACCTAGAATTTGTCATGTTATACAGACCAATTTAATAATTAGTTATATCACATCCCATTCTTGTGGTATATACCACATAGTTTGAAAGTCTTAGTATTCTCACTTTGTTACCCTATTGCTGTTATGGGCGATTACCACAGCCAATCACTCAGACTATTCAGTTAGCCAACCACCCAGATTATTTCATTACACTAATATTAATCTACTAGGTATAAAGACAAACTTTGGTAATGTGATAACAGACAAAGTAACATTGAACCAGTTATGTGAGGATTGCAATTTTATTGCAATTTGTAGGGTAGGGTAATAACAGAAAATATTGATCAATTCTTTAGTTAGTTGCACTGTTGCAGAAGGTATGTCATTATATTACATTATAACGCATATATACTAATACAATATATTTTTATTAGGAATTTTAAAATTAGCATTCATTAGAATAAACCTTTGACTATCGCAACATCACATCCTAAAAAGTGTTTTATAAATATGTAGTAAAAACGTTGGCCTGTCTGACAAAATGTCTTATTGATGTGCATACGTATACCAAAGCATTGTGTTTTAAACGTTCTTTACTGAAATTCGCCCAAACATTGAAACGGGTGATCCGTGCACAAACAATGGAGTAAAATTATTATATAATTCTAAATTTACATCTAACATCCGCTCATGATGACACAGACACCGATACTGAATAGTCTCGTGATGGGGTTTCAACCACTGAAATTTGAAACAAAAGTCGAAAGGTCACGAAATTCAAAATACAACAAAAACGTTACAGCAAATTCGAGCATGTCACTACAGGTTTAATCCAAAATACATAGTCAAATATATTTACCAAATTCAAAACACTTGATGACACATTACGTTTGGCGTGATTATACGTGTTTGTATAAAATACTTGAATAAAAAAATTAAGTATGAAAGAGCACAATGATATATGTATTATTTCACGACTGAATTTAAGAATTTAATACATGTCCAGGCTTGTAAAAATAAAAACAAAGATACCTAGAAAAATACTCAGGTAAAAATACAAACCTATGTGGTCGAGCGAGCCTGAGCAGAATTTGCCATAGAATCGTTTGGCGCCGAGAGAACGAAAATCATGTATGAGAAATGGCCATAAATGAAGAACGTTATTCCGCGAGAAAGTCGTCCGTTTCTCTACTATAATAACTTTAGCTCCTAACAAAGCTACTTCAATTGCAGTACGCAAACCAATAGGCCCAGACCCAATCACTAAAACTTGCATATCTTCGCACGTTTTCTGATTCCCATATTCTTTATGTTTTGCTCTTGCGTCCAAAACATCCCATAAACTCTTACATTTCCACGATTGTAACTTTGACTTAAGTATACCGTACAACTCTCTGCCGTTGTCCACATTTTCAGCCCCGATGGCAGCTTTGAGTTTGTGAAATGTAAGCAAAATATCAACCGAATCGGCTGCTTGTACGAATTCTTCGAATAGAGTTTCATGTAATTTTGGTGGCTCGCTTTTGCCCTTTGCTACAACCATTGTTATATAAAGGCGAGACACGACTTAGGGCATCCCTTCCGCTCTGTTTTAAAGCTGAAGGAAGCGAAATCATCCCATAATATCGGTTAAAATGCTTGTTTTCGTAGCATATGTGCACACCACTTGAATTTCCGATCATTCAAATTCGATGATCGTTTCGAATGAATGCGCTTTTGCCAGGTAACCAGTGGAATGCGACGTCCTAATCACTTCCGGTCATTTAAACCCCTTGACCAATCACAACAGGAACGCAAGTATTATGAATATTTACAATGAATTCAATGAAAGAATAGCGTATTTGTACGGTTATATTTAACACAAATAAAACGCCTACTTAAATTTTTCAATAACAACAAGGGTCAACATTGTAGTCAAATTAAATTTGATAAAAAAATTTTCAGCGAAAATTTTTAAGCAGCATAAGCCAATGTCAAAGTCATAGGTCAATTTCGGAACCGGCAGGCGTAGTGCCCTTATCCGAGGAGCTGTTTATGGGGTCAAGGGATCGGACAGGCTTACTTGCCTAATATATGGGCTGGCTCACTTTCCAAACCAGCTCGCATAGGGAGATCTCACCACGTCTTTGTTTTATTGTATTAGAGTAAAAATTACTGTACTCTCATATTAACAAACCGGCTAGCCTGCTAAGACTTCCTGAGGCGAAAATGTTTGAAAAACAATGAAAGCCACGTGATGGAAATCAATGCCAACTGATGAATAAAGAGAAATTCTATTTCTCAGTAGGCCTGAAGGTTTTCTATGAAACATGGATTGATTTTTTTAATGAACAAAAAAATAATATTTAGAACCCAACTAACTCGGAATCGCTTTATTTTCTGATGCACAGCATATATTGGTGATGATTTAGCCCGATATGAGAAAGAGATACCATGGTTTTCAGTTGATAGATATTAATCCCTTCTGACAAAGCATAATTTATCTAGATTAGTCATTACAGACTGAGTTAGTTTGCTTGTTCTTATACATGTAAAACTTGAATATTCACAACCTATAAACAAGATGACTATTCTGTCTATTTCTTCTCTTTTCTGACATCTCTAACACGAAGTGCTGCTCACGGTAATTCTATCTTACTTTGCCTCGGAGCATAGAGACATCAGTTTTAATTCCCGAATGAACAATTGGCTTATCCAAATGTCCTGCTTCTTTGGCTAATAATTGATCGGCAAAGAACATCGCCTAAAAACAGTAAATGTTCAATTCAGTACAAAAGAAAGTTCATATTGAGAGCGTAATAATGCACTAATGGACAAGGGGATGGGTGTAGTATAAATTGCTTGTGCTCTTTTGAAACTTTAAAAACTTTTCATTTTTTAGCCAGTGTTTACATCGGCTAATACTACACTTACGTCACCGACTCACCATGGGGGCTGAGAGGTTGAGGTGTTTTTGCTATAAATACCCCCCTAGTTATTCTGAATTTATTTATCTGTTACTTAGTTAACTTCGAATAGTATTTTTATTATTCCGAAACAACTCATCTGTTACACTACAAATAACGACGATATCATAGAATTGAATATTTACCTTCTGGGCGCTGAAGGTTTGGACGCCAATAGATCTTGTCTCTCGGGACGTAGTCAATTTCGTATGAACTGGACCAAGTATAGGTTTACTTCTGGGAACAATACCAAGGTCACCCAGTTTATAATGAGGAAGTGGTCTGGACGGTGGACGTAGCCCTTTTGAAAAGCTTGATCTACATTCAAAAAACAATTATAAATTTTAAGTACAACAGGCGTATTCATTCTTGGGGTGGAGAGTTGTCATCGGGAGAGGGGGAGAGGGGTTGAGGGGCCCAACCACCACTTGTAACGGTTCATGGGGACAAAACCGACACCGCGGAAATTGGTATAGGCTTAGCCGCAATTCTCGATACTTAGACTTCAAACTTGGTGAGGAAAAAGATTTATAAATATTCAAGAAAATATGTCTTGCACAAAAGATTTGAAGCTTGCTCACGGTAAAAACGAATCGTCTGAATTAATAACCTTGTGTATACTTTAAGCCTCAAAATGGCCATTTCACAGCGGTCAGATGTGTATGATGAGCTGTCAAAAGATTGCAGAATGCGTATTCAGAAGAAAAATTGAACTTTTTTAAGATATTCAAAAGGTTTCTCTTTGATAGGGCGATACAGAAATGCACAATTGTGAACCAGCGATTAGATTTTCGGGTTGAAACGTCTTAAACACCAATTTCTGCGGTGTCGACAAAACCTACCTTGTCTTTCTACGAATGTGTTTACTTAGATCAGCGCCTGTATTTGAGGCACTCTTTGGACGAAAGTTTCTAGCATGAGGACCCACTCCGTAGTCTGCTGCGCTGTTTAATATTTCCAGTAAGATTTGAAGTAAATCTTCTCTTTCTGCAGCCAGTCTGTGCTTGATTTCCTCCGCACCAATGATTTCGTCTGCATCGCTCTTTATCTGATACAGAAGAAAATATATATTTCACTAAACCAGAATAACAACATTTAAATGACTGCTGATCGTTACTAACTACAAAGATCGTGGCTTCGTGTAGAAACAGGTGATGTTTTTATCACCGACTGATTTTAGGTTTCGCATTTCCCTGGTGTTAATAGTATAAAATGAAACTGTTGAAATCGTAAAATATTATAGATTGTGACGGCAAAGGACAGAAACATTCGCTTATTTTATTCACCAAACTGAGATTTGGTAGTAAACAAATCAGGTCCTCAGGCAGAGAGTTACGGTGCAGTGTTTCCCCCAACTAAGCTACAGAATTAACGTTGCTAAAATTCTGTCCATACTCCACCCGGGCGACAAAACTCTATCATTATTGAACCTTGAGAGATGATTCCAATGCATTTGCGGCTTCAGACAATGTTTTAACCAATGCATCTTTCTGTTTCATTGCCACTTCACGGTCCTTTTTTACTTTTTCTATTTCCGCTTCAAAGTCCTCATTCTTTATCGTACTTTTCTAAAAGGAAAATGATCAAGATGATGATGAGTGCTCGAGAGAAGCTATTATGTCGAAGGTTGGGATTCCCATTTACGCTTGCAATTTTTGGTGCGATTTTACGTGCGATTTTCTTCTTTTGGTAGATGTGAACGAGTGACTATAGTTACGAATATTCTGATGTATAAAAGCTCTTATTTGAACATCCAAACTATTTCCCTCGTTCACATCTATCAAAAGAACAAAATCTCACATTCACATAAAATCGCACCAAAAATTGCAAGTGTCATGTACTGTAATATATACACCTTCAACTCGTCTTTAATGCTTTCCACTTGTTTTTGATAAAGTTCAATTTCGTCCTCTAAACTTTGTTCCTGTTGATTCTTCTCTTCAAAATCCAGGAGCCTATCTTCTTGTTCCTTCGCTTTTGCGGCAAGCATGCGAATAATCTACAATAAACGATTCAAACGAAGTAATCTTTCAATAATTTGTACGAAGAAAAACCTCAGGAAAGGGGGGGGGTGTGACAAGTTAATTTGATTCTTTAACAATATTCTTAACCAAAGTACTCCACTAGTGTCAACAGCTTCCAAAAGCTGCTCTTACAATTTTTTATTTTCTTCTAAAAAAATGGAAAATCGCATCGCAAAAAAGGACCTTTCAAACTTAAAACTTCTTCCCGTGGGGGTTCTACAGTACGCACGTTTTGACAAAAAAAGGTTTATCTGAGAATTTACCACTCGTCGTAAATGGAACGAAAGTCGACTGTGGGTGTTCGCATTTTTAATGAACCAACTCAAATAACGATTCAACATTGTGGGCAGAGAAACTTAAAAGCTACACAACAAGCTTTGCTGACGATTTATGCATGCGGTAACCGAAAATAGACGGCGGATGACAAAATAACTATATCAAATTTTTCACCGCAGACTAGGAATATGTGTAGGTCAACAGTTGCGACATGTGTACTTGCTAAGTTCACCAGTGTGCGCCAGGCCTTAGTTCCTTTGGAAATTGATTGTTTTTACAGTTTGGTGACGTGAATATCTAAATATTACACCATTTCCCGCCCTCCAAGTCATGAGAACTATCAAGAGGTTCCTATAACATTCTCATGGAAAGTTCTAGCTAACTATATTCATGATCATTATAACTCTCAATCAGTCAAGCAATCTGTCATTCAAACAACGCAATAATTTAGTTTAAACCTTTTGATTGCTGGAATTTTTCTTTGCTAATTCCTTCTCGTTAAACTCCAACATATCAATATGTTGTTTCATCTGTTTCTCTTTCTCTCTCAGTTGGTCATTTTCCTGAATCAACTCCATTGTTTTATCCGACATTTTCGACAGCTGAGCGTTGATTGAAACATTTTCACGTATTGTTCTTTTAGTTGTCTCCGCCATCTGTTTGTTTGAAACCTTTCTAAACTCTGCTGCAACCTGATTCACACGTAGTATCATTTCTTTCTTCAACCTAAAGTCATAATTTCCATTAGCTTTTTAGGTAATAATGAGCACCATGAGAGCAAAGAAAAGAATATTTGATTTCAAGCATTATTCAAAGACAATGTGAAATTCTCATGCTAGGATATATAAATATTGCAAATGTTTTAGTGTATGGTAGTTCTAAATGTGCTATGTATAAATCTGGAATATTATAGCTGACCAGCCCATACCAGGACAGTGCCCATGCAAACAAGACAGTGCCTAAAGTTAGTAGTGCTGGGGCCCGTGGCCCCAACTGGTGAGATTTTAATTTTCTACACCAAAAATCCCCACCCCCTCTGCGGTCCATGTAGTGGGTATTGGTAGAATCCAGCTGTTTTAGGTTTATCACATGTGACTAGCCAGGTAGATAATTATTTAGGTTATTCCCTTAATAGTCTTCTAGATACACAAACAGTGTAATTCTAAAAGACACTATCCATCACTGTCTAACTAATTGACTTTTTAACTTTCTTTCACAGAGTTTCTAAGCAAAGTACAGTGATACTGATGCTTTGCTTCGAAAGTGGTAAAAAGAACTAACCGATCTTTATCAACAACAGCTTTCCGTTCTAAATTATAAATCACATCCTTGTGTTCCATTTTATTGCTTTCTAATTCTTTTTCAAGTTTTGAAAATTTTGCCATCAGATCTTCTTTTTGTACTTTGAATTCTTCCAACGAGGCAAGTTTCCCACCAAGGACCATGTTTTCTGATGTTAATTGGTCCTTTACCTCTTGCATTTCTGTACGTATCGTAGCCAACTGAACCTCATACTGGTCTTTTTCTGCATCTTTTGCTTGTTGTAACCCTAAAAGATATTATTGACCTCTAGATCAATAATCAATTGGTCTCATCCCTTGACTGTGTGATCTTACTTTAGGGCAGGGTATATATTTCTTGCCCCCAGAATGCAGCATTACGAAAGCTGACAAAGGAACAGAGTAATTGCTATTTTAGCTTGTTAGACTAGCCAAACACATTCATTAGTTCTCAAGAAAACCAGTAGAGAACAGATGGTATTACTGTGTTGGGCAACTTCAATTAAATCTAGCAACCCTACAAATGACCAGGAGATATGGCCATGGTTATCCCTACTTGAATTGTCAGGCAACAGGGTGAGAATAAGTTAAAGCAGAATTTACACCCATATATAGTTCTAGTTATGAAAAACAGTAGTTGTTCGACAGTTTTTCCCACAGGCTCAAACCTATCTACCAAATTATATGTCCCAGTCTTGCAGCCCTACCTATCAAGCGATCTTGTAAATCAGCTAGCTCTTCACCCCTCTGTTCAAGTTGCTTTTTCAAAAATGATACAATTTCCTTCTTATCATTAACTTGTTGTTCATACTGAGACTTAAATCCATTATTTCCGATCTCTAATTCGTCGCACTTCTTCTGATACCGTGCTAGGCGTTCTTCTAAATCACGTATTTGAACAAGAAAATACTCCTTTGAAAGCTCGCTCAATTCTTGCACTTTTGCGACGTTAGTGCTAGCTTTCTTTCCACTTTTCTTTTTCTTACCACTCTTTTTACCCTTCTTTTTAGGCGGCATGGTGAGGTTTGGTGTTTAAAACGCTTAGAACATGATTTTCTGCGACATTTTGTGAACAAATGTTTTTATAAAAAGTACAAAACAAAAAATGACGGAATTAATATTTGTTCCTATAGCAACTGTCGCGACAACAACTTGTGCCCACTGTATTACTCTTCAGCGGGTTATGTCTGTGGAATATAATACTTCATACAACAAAAACATTTTGACAGAAAAAAATGCATAATTTCTCGACTTCACCTCACTCTTTATTTGTTAATAGTTTTATTAGTTTATACACTTTGCAAGCAGCAAGCAAACCTGTTGTTACTTGCTGGTATTGTACAAAACATGTCTGTGGTGAACAAGACGTTAGGTGTTCCATAAAATTGTTTCTCTTCGTTATCTTCGTTTTCGTTTAGTCCTCCTATAAAACCCCTTTTTCCCTCTTTCTTTTGATGCCTGAATTTCGAAAAATTTCCGTTTGTTATACCTACAAAGAAAACATATAAATCATCCCTGTAGCCTGTAGTGACAATGCAGCTAGTTATTGGTAAACTTATATTTACCTTCTAAATTCTGCATCGGCTAATAAACTTTCAACAATTGTTTTCTTCCTTTCACGTTTTGGAAGCCGAGATGAATAAAATTCCGCTGCACTGCTCACGACTGTGCCAAGCTAAAAAATGCAATTCAATTTCAGTTAACCATGCAGTTTGTATATTACACAAGTGCACTGTCATACTTGAAAATATTTTGGCAATTTCTTTGAGCTGTTTTTCTTGTAGTGACGCTTTGGATCAAGGACATTTCTCATCCTGAGAATATTTAGGTCTCGTCGCAGTTCTTGGGTCATTTCTGGAGCAGGCATGTTAAACCAATTTTGACCAGCAGACCTTTCTCTGTCATTCTATGGCAGAAAAAACCCATGGACAAGTTAAATTTTAGTTCACACATCATTCAAGAACTAGAACTAGTGTAAAAAACAAAATACACAAGACTGGACTGTACACAGTTCACCACCGTTTTACAACCATCATCAAGGTATTGGACTTTCAATATTCCTCAATTTCTTATCACTACATGACAACCATTTATGATGGTAAGACATCAATGCCATCTACCAGTACCTGCTACTGTTATGTAACAACTATGATTTTACCTTTCTCTGTTTCTTCATTGCATGGTGTGTAATGTGGTACTTTGGAGCAGTCTCCTTTTTTTCAAAGTCTGAAGATATCACACACTTTCTCATGATCTAAAAAATGAACCATTAAACATTTAAGGTTTACCATGTAAACAGCATTTCTGACAAAGTTGCATCTCAAAATAATAAATACCTTGCCTGAAAACTAAAAAAAGTCAGTGGGACGAACGTGGGTTCTTTGCTCAAAATTATGGGGTTCTTTGCTCAAAATTATGAGGTTCTTGTTAAAATTTTCAGGTAGTCAATCTAATCACGCAACAGATCTAGATACTTTGATTCAACATTACACCCCACTTCACTCTGCCTATGCTCTTCCTACAAGATTTTTGTCACATTAGACTAGAGTACCGGTAGTCTAAACTTCCAGACTAGCCCAAAATATTGTTCCTAAGCACCTGTATCACATGTCCTGTTAACTTAAAAATACAATGTAAATACCTGTTTCTCATCAAACTGTGGTAAATGTTTACTGATACATGGAATTGCTTTTGAATTACTCTGGTCCATTTTAAAATACAATTTGTTTGGGTCTAGTCCTGGGTCTAATTCTGAGGCAAGAGTATGACAGCTGAAATGGATAAATAATTTAATTTAACTTATTTGTTGGTGGGTAACCAAAATGTAACTAATTTAAACATTCCTTTAAGGCATATGCTTAAGGTATATCAATTTAGTAAATATGCATTAACCAACAGTGGCAGATTTAGGGGTGTGAAGAATAAATTACTACAGCTTAAAATTGGAATTGCATTGGCAGATTTCAATGTAAAAATATTCTTTTCGAATCTATAACAAATAGCGTTATTATTAAAGTGTTTGCAATTTAAAATTAAGTTGTGTAATTTCTTCCGCACACCCCTAGACCCGCCAATGTTAACCAACGAACTCAGGTAGGTCAAACTGTCATATTGGTGAGAAAATTTTTTAGATTAGGGCTGCTGTGGCCAACAAAATTTGGACTGCATCAGTTATAGATGTAACTAGTTTACATCAAGTTTATGACAAGCATTTATGATGACAACTTTGTACTACAACCTCGCAAGCCAGGCTTTTCTACCTAAGCGTGTGCCGTGGAGCGTAGCCGTGTAAATAGAAAAGCCTGGCTTGCTAGGTTGCTTTGTATGACTGGATATCAATAAAAAAATACGTAAAACACTGGAAGTTGCTGATAGAGTATATTTGTTAATTAAAATTTACCAAGGCAACAAATTCATCAGTTTCATGTTATTATAATACTTACTCTGAAACATTGTCTTTTACACCTGACGAAATACGAATAAAATCTTCAGCTTTCTTTTGTGTATCCTCCTTCTGGATCACCGCATCACATCTAGAACTCTTCTCCCTATTTTCCATTCTTTCTTTAATGAAACTATATGTCCGTTGAACCAACATCTCCAGCGTTTCCTGGCCAGATTTTACACTTAAATCCTCACATTCCTCGTCAGCATTACCGTCAGGGTTTTTGTTTCTAAGACGAGCACTTCTTCGCACCATTATTGATCAAAATAAAAGTATTTTAGCGTGAATGGTTAAATATTTATTGTTTCTTAGCAGAGCTCTTTTCCTCACTGGTTTTCCTCACTCATAAACAGGACGCCATCTTGCAATTTTTAACAAAATGAACACGTGCAAATAGGAAAATACTTTGTGTAATAGATATATAGTGTCGCGATGGGTTCAACCTGGTCTAACCGTGGTACAGTGTACGAGGTTGCCAGCCGCCAGCGTCAGTTTTGCTCGAGGCTGGTGTAGCCTGGTTCACACTTGTCCTAAGAATCTGGGACTCCCTTTGTCTGAGGTAGTTGGTGTGCAAAATGCTTTGTCCGCGAAAATTATCGCTAGTGGCCCACAACAAACGCTACGCGCGATTCGCCAACGCGACGCGAATTTACAGTTTCTTAAACAGGGCGCTTGTTCTTGAAGCAAATAAATTCAATTCTTGAAGGAAATTTTAATACTATGGGCCGACATATCAAAATGTGCCATTCTTCAGTAATTATAAAGAATAACATAACATGGTCAAAGCTTTCGTAAAAATCGCGTCGCGTTGGCGTATCGCGTCCGGTGTGTGTGTTTTTTGTACGTACGTATACGCACGTAAAAGTTTAAAATAATTTAGATGATATTTATGAAATCAACGATTGAATAGATGCATAGAGCTGGATTCTGTTGATAATTTGCTGCGTTTTTTCTGTACGTACGTAAATTGTAAAGTGTTGATTTCCACTCGCAGAGAAAGAGTTCGCTAGCGAAACATTTGCATATTTTCTTTTGAATTTTGACAGAACAAAAGAAAATTAGTTCAGCATCATTTACATCAGAGCCATTACTCTGCAAGTGGAAATCCAACCTAAGTCACGACTCACAAGGTTGTTTTCGCGCCTAAAAGCAAATGTTGTTTCCGGGCAACATTTTTCATGTGGGCGAACAGAAACATAGGAAGAAACGTCGCGAATCAAAATTTTTACAGCAACAATGTTTAGCCTCTGTTCTGCATGTCTAACTATATTGGAAAGGTTAATAATTATTTCTATCAACCATGTCTAAATATGGATCATTCACACGATGAAGATTGAAGTCCATCCGAAATCACATTAAAAATTCAGTAAAATCACAGATTTTAATTTACACAGTTGTTTCAGTTTCAATATTTAACGAGCTTGAATCATTTATGCCTGCTTCCGACAATTTGATGATTTATAGTTTTAACGAAGGTAAACGTTTGTGCAATTTCTTTGCATTTTTAAAACGTTATATATTTCAAAATGACAATGAAAAATATATGACATACTATTTCATTCATATGAAAACACAAGTCAGAGCAGGTGAAAATTTCAGAATTTTCATTTCGCTAAATTTTGAGGGCTATATGAATTCAAACTATCTATTCTCCACTTTAAAATGCACTTTTATTATTCATAACTGGCATAAGTAAGTGGAGAAAAAAAAATTGATATGAAAACATATATCCGTGATATCATTCCTGCCCTTTTTCGCAGAGCAATTACCCCTTAATTCGTCGGGTACTTTTCGTTCAATGGTGTAATTTTCCATAGAACAGTATTGTCTCTAAAACAAACATCAGCAAATTTGAATTTTAAATTACTTTAGCGTTAAATAAGAATGATTGGCGATGAAGTTTTGGCTTCTAAGAGGTTAAATTTAAGCATTATTTCGGTCAAAAAACGCATCTTCAAGTGCAGATACAGCGAATATTTTGTGATAATTATGAGCAAAACGCAAGGATAATATGCTGCATAGACTTCTTCTTCCCTAGACGTTTTCAAGTACAATGGATCGACCAAGTGGGACATCAAGATATGATCAAACGTGGGCTGAATGATAAACACAATATTTTTTATATCGCAAAAGTCATTTGCATTCGATTGTAGCTATAATTTGCTCCCGATACGTCGCTGTGTAATATTGTGAACCAAAAAACTTTTCAAATACATACAATTTGTGAATGTGAAGATGTAATTGTTGTCTTCATTTGACAGAAGAAGAATTAATTAATCTCCAACGAATACTGAAACATTTCAGCCTGGCTTATATATTATTGATTGGAAGAGGACGAGAGAACACAGGCTATAGCGACAAGTAAATCGACCAGACTTGATGTGGTTTTGAGCGGTGTTATTGATGTCAAACAACATAGATACGCCATGGAAGGTTGCCTATTTGATCGTAATTTTGGTCACAACAATCATTGGAAACATCCTTGTAATAATGGTTGTGTACCGCAGCCGACGAAATCAATGGACAACAAATCATTTTGTCATCAGCCTTGCTATTGTCAATCTCCTTGCTCCAACTGCTTATCTTTTTATCACGCTATACTCAGCCTTTCACAAAGAGTGGTTCCTTGGGAATATTGGGTGTAAAATTAATACTTTTCTCGTGCACTTTAATGCACTAACATCAGTCGGAATATTATGCTGCATGTCCTTTGATCGCTATTATCTCACAGCCTATCCGTTAACATTCAAGCTATCAAAAACGCAAACGAAAAAAGTCATTGCAGCCGTTTGGATTCTGGCTATATCCATTGCTTGCCCGATGGCATTTTTCTATAAAATGCACTCTACGGATTGTCAACCAGAGTTCTCAGAACAGTGGACTGCTTACATTTGTTGCTTTTGTATACTATTTCTGCTGCCGCACTTCACAACATATGCGACATATTTGAAAGTATACCACTGTATCCGAACAAGAAATAACCAAATTGTGTCGAGGTTTTCTCAAAAAGTCCCTCGAACGAAGATTAAAGTAACTAAACTTCTTATGGCACAAGTTATTGTTTATACTGTGTTATGGCTTCCATATATTGCTTATCAGTTGATTATATCGTTAACAGACGATCGAACATCAGTTTTGGCAATACCATATCTCGCATATGCATCCAGTGCGGCAAGCCCAATGATCTATAGTATTTTCAGCGCCGATTTTCGCCGTGGATGTAAACTAATATTTATGAAATACGATGCATCGATAGCATACAGACTGCCTGTGCAGATAGACCGAAAGAATAAGGTTGATGTCGTGGTTTCGGAACATAGGAATTATCGAGCGCCCGGAGCGTCGGAAAAAGGAAATTCCAACCTCGTTCCCAGGCGGGAAACTGAATTCCCGCCTTCGACAGGGTTGACATTCTTTGAGCAGCCTCGAATTGCATGGTCGGATGTTTAATTAACTCAAATCATCAGATATACTTGTAGATATAGATGTAGAAATAAAATCATGATAGTTTTTTTCATGTAAATAATATGTTATTGCATGCGTATCATTGTTGGTTTATTTTCCAACACATCTTGATTAAAAAAATCCAAACACTTTCCAGGTTGAAACTTGAAAGTGCTCAAAATGTTATCAAAATTTTGTTCTGCAGAAATGTGTTCAATTTTTGCAGGGATTATTTTAATTAGAATTTGTTACTAGGTGGGCATTTAACTAAGTTGCACGATGATTTTATCAATTTCACGTTTCACAAACGTAATACCTTGTGATTATCTTGAAACCAAGCATATACTCGTAAAACTCAACAAGGAAACATTTGTTTTGGGGTTTGTCAAACCCCAAAAGTAAAAAAATAAGTCAAAACAAACTCGGTTTGTCAAATGGAGTGATTTAAGCCGTTTAGCTTTGTCGATCATAACTTATTGTTAACAAAAAATGTGATGCTGTGAAATAAGACGAGGAATAAGAGATCACACGCTTGCTTGGTTAAAAAACTGATCTTATCTTTCCAACAGGATTCAAGCACTCACATGAGACCATATTTCATGAGACACTATATTAGTTAGCGGAAAGGTGGATGCGGATAGATTCTTACGGATAATGGTAAAAAACGTTGATAAATTCGTATACATTTACACTGCGTCCAAGAATTATATGCAAAATCGTTTTCCGCCAGGGGTGGATCCAGCACTAGTGCACAAATTTGCATTACAAAACAAAGTGGTTATTTTTAGCAGTTTTCTTGTGTCATGCAAATTAGTGCACTAGTGCTGGATCCACCCTTGTTTTCCGCCACATTTCATTTGGTCAGTTTTTAAAAGAGGATTATGAAATTTCGTATATACACTGGCGGTCAAAAATAACTGCTCAAAACAAGTTAAAATGCTCTCAAATGAACGTAACTGGCCCTCTAACAATATATACGAGTAAATATAGACAAGATTACATGCTAAGCTATATGAAATATTAATATTTTGTTGACCCTCCTTTGGCCTTATAATTGATGACGGCCTTACACCGGCGTGGCATACTTTCTGTTAAGGTGGTAATCTCAATGGTCAAAAGAGATTCATCCTATGGACAGTCTTTACAGCAACCCATAAATCATGGGCGCTTTATGAATTAATTCCTTTCTTGCACTATCCCTTTCACATTGTCCCAGAGATGTTCAATAGGGTTAAGGCCTTTCGACTGTGCAGTCTAATCCATTTCTGTCACTCCCTCTTCCTGAAACCATTGTCTCACTATATCTTGGAAGTGTGGCAGGTTGCATTACATTATTGAAGTATTGCTTGGAATAAGAGAATTGTTCAAAATGCCTATAAAGCTCTCTCTTATATTCGCTTCTTTTTTATGAATTTGTATCTGAACAGTTCTTTTTGACCGCTAGTGTACAATAAAAGATTGATTGTTACGATTCCTGTCACATACGATAAAAGCAACATTTGAGCAGTTCTTTTTGACCGCCAGTGTATTATGAAAACACTATAACATGCCCACTACTGAAGCTTTTGGCTGATCTGGGCAGTGGTAAACAAACAGCGGCCATTTATGCTTTAAATACGGATCTTGGGCGTCCATTTTTATATGCATATTACACTTATACTGCTATTTAGCGAATTAATACAATGGAAAAATTTATAAAATGAGACAATATCGTCTTTCTAGGTAATTTTAATCAATATATTCTCACACACATTTGATAAATAATAAATTATATAATTATATACCAAAAATAGAAGATTAATATTATTCATTAATGTTTAATGTATCATCCATGATTTGATTTGACTAAAAGTAGCCTTCGATCCATCAATGCGGTGAGTTTCCTGTTGCATCAGGTGAAATACCTCTAGCAGTAGTTTTAATTGCATTCCACAGATCTTCTGTTGACGAGTACTGTTTTCCACCGGCATATATACCTCTCTTTTGAGAACGCTCCACAAGTTCTCAATTGGGTTGAGATCCGGAGAGCATGATGGCCATTGCATAATTTCACCTTTTTTAACAAGAACTTTACTAAGAAAGCCTGTTGTCAAGTGTGCAGCATGGGAAGGAGCATTGTCCTGCATAAAAACCATATTCCTCCGAAATGACAAATTTTTCTTCTTATACCATGGCAAAAAATGCTCCTTTATTATCGTAGCCCCGAAAATATATAACTCCACCTTCGCCTTGTTGATGCCTGAAACACTGTGGAGGTAATCCTTTCATATCACACCATCCTCTTCTCCAGCCATCGGATCCATCAAGGGTTGCTCGGCACTCGTCAGTAAATAACACCAACTCAAAGTTCTGTTTAACATATTTTTTCGCCCACTCGAGTCTCTTTTCTCGATGAACTTTCTTTAAAAGAGGTCGCAGCAAGGGTCTCTTACATTTTGCATTACGCTTTAGAATGGAACATCGGCTGCTTTTAGGAACGTTACACATACCAACTGCTTCGAAGACCTGCTTCTTAAAAATATGATGAGCGTATCCCACATAGCACTATATGTTACGTAAAACTGTATTCATAGAAAATACAACCTTTTAAAAGATCAGTTTGGGCAGCCTCGTTTTTCAATTATCGCACTACGCAGGTGATAATTCGTATTCTTATATTTGCGAAACAACATTGCTACTTGTTGGCATTTTTGTGCCAAAACATTTAAAATTTAAGCATTGGATAAATTGAAGCAATAGTTAGCTATGTAGAGTATATGTGTGTGAATGATACGTAATTGTAACTAACAAAATCTTTGGCATTACGTAAAATTGGTTACAAATGGTACTTATCACAAACAAACTTATACATGTCACATAATTATTGGCTCGACCCGAGAATGAATTAAAAAAAATTAAATAAAAAAATTAATAAAAAAATTAGTATAATAACGCAATTATTCACACTTTGACCACTGTAACTTAGTTTGGGATAACTGTTATATAATAACCTAAAAATAGACTTCATGAATTGCAAAATAGAACAGCTGGAGTCATAACTGGTAAAACTTAGCTAAGAGCTAACGAAATTAGTAGCGAAGAAGTTTCTTAAAATAATTGTACTGGCAGTCTTTAAATAAACGTTGGTTTAGTCCCGGGAGATTGATTTACAGTCCCAAATCATTCACAATTCTTTTTCTCGCGCGATCATTGCCTTAACACCGTTATACATATCCTGAACTAGCTGTACTTCAGTTCTTCCCAATCGACGTTTGTTTGATATATCATAAATGCCGCCCTCGTTCTTCGAGTGTTCCCCGTGTGTTCCACGGATTTGAACGTGGAACTTGTCAGCAATGGCTTGGAATTCATCTTTGCGCGCCGATAGCTTGGGTAGCTTGATATGAACCGATGCTCGGAGTGCGGTTCCAAGGTTTGTAGGACATGACGTAATATAACCAAGATGGTCATCATAAGAGAACGTAGCCACTGACTCGATATGATTGATTGCTCGGCTAAGGCGTTTAAACACAGCACTAAAGTCAGATCCCTGTTGCATGGAAATGATACGGAGTTGATCTTCTTCATTTACCCAAACCAAAAATGTTTTCTTAGCATTGTAGAAGATGCCACGGCCAGATGGCCAGTCCCTGTTGCACCCACACGCCTCCAGAAACCTGTCCCCTTCCCTAGGAAGTGATGTCGTTTATAAATTTTATTATGTGATATTGTAAAAAATCGGCCGAATAGCTTCCTAACCTATATATTTGTCCACAAAATATTTATGGGAAAACATGTTCAACTACATAACGGAGCAATTAAAAAAACTGATGTAAAAATTTGAGTTAACCTAGAGTTAAGCTAACCGGCTTTTGAACAACCTTCCTCAGGGGCTGGTTGTTCAAAAGCCGGTTTAGCCGGTCTCCCTCTACTAACTGTGGTGTAGCTTAACCTGGGTACCGATTTTGGCGGTGGCGTGTTAATAAATCGAGTGTAGTGTAAACCAGGCTTTAATGGCTTATAATTCCATTGTTAATCTATTACCTACAGAATGCATTTGGTTAATCGAGTGTGCACTCCACCGATTCGAGAGGTTCAGTTCAGTCATATGATGGTTTCGTCGATCAGTGCAGCGCTTTTAAAACTTACTTGAAAAGAAAATGATCAGCAATCAACTTCTTCCGTGTTTTTTCAGCCATTTCTTCCAAGGGATAAAAAGCTCCTTTCAGATCTCCTGTGAATGTGTCACAAGCACGAACCACCTTAATAACACGTTTCAAATTTAAAGTGACTGTCATGTTAGACCTAAGCCTTGCAAGACAGGTAATGTTAATGGCCGTTAACAGCGCAAAATGTACTTTATGAAATTTTCCTACTTATTTCTTTGTCTTTGTATCTTGATTCCAAAAAAGATAACCACCTCTCTATACCTACCTTTCCCATAATTTCATCTCGCTGTTCTTTTGTTACCCCAGGGGCAAGTGGATAGCCCTCCAGATTTCTACTAACTCTGATACGAGTCGACACAATCATCTTGGCTTCATCTGGAGGAAGTAGTGGACATTTGAGCTTGTTTGCGTCCATATCTGATATGTGTTTGTCACCAGGCTTGTGTTTGTGATAAGCCTCGATCACCTGGTCCATGAGTTCGGAAAAAGTTCGGTAACTATCGTGAGAGGAAGCGTACACGCCAACCCCAGAGTCGAGATTCTTGATTCCGGAGAAAACACAGAGCTTGTAAGGCAAACCATAAGCGTCTTTTTTATCGTGATATTTTTTCCAGATTTCGCGGGTGTTAAACCGGGCCATCAAGGATTTTGTCCCCGTTGGAAACAGCGGGTACCCAGTCAATTCATCAATACTCTTTAAGTGTGATCCGCATTTCACATCTTTACCAGACATATTTGCAGAATGAATGCTTGAACAAAGTATATAAACTCTTAACATGGTTGAAAAATGTATTCAAGAGCCGAATTAAGAAGTCAGGATGCGATATTAAGGATGAAGCAGACGATGAAAAGATGCAGCCCAGCTAAATTCAATAAACAAAACATATTTTAAAAAACTCCAAAACTCTGAGTCTCTAAATCCCTGAATGGGCGCATTTTAAGGCACTCAAAGCCGATGTGGCAGACAAAATATACAATAGTTCTGATAAAGGAACCATCAGCGTCTTCAGTGACAATGCATTTAGTCGCGTAGCCAGCGTGAAGCCTCTTACAGACGAGCAAGTTTTCTATGACAAGTTTTAATTGGCAATTGCACGTGTGTATGTACAACAAATTTTCTGCTCGTGTGAACGTCCCAACAAGTTTACTTTGACAATTTAGTTTGCAGCCAGCGATGTAATCGTACAGCGGACAACGTGAGCGCACCATTGCAAAATACTATAGTCCGCTGGCCAACCGCATACAAGTGCTCACATTATGTGACAAGTTTTCTTTGTTGACTCAGCAAGCAAAATTTACAGACGAGCAAAATTTTTTACTTTGACAATTTTTCTATGACAAGTACACTTGTTTAAAATCAAGTATAATTGATTTTGAACAAGTGTACTAGTCACAGAAAAAATTGTCAAAGTTGGGCGTACAGACGAACAAATAAAACTTGTCACATAAAGACTTATCGTAGAAAACTTGCTCGTCCGTAAGAGGCTAAAAGGCTTGAACAACTTTACATCCATTCCTCAACCTGAAGCAGCAAAACAACGAACTTTTTTCAATGTTGATGCCATTTGATCTTTTATTACGATTTTTAAATGAATAAGTTGCTATACTTCATGCAACAAGCAATAATAAATTAATAATAATTAGTACTGAATACGTGGTGATTACTTGTTGCGTGAAACTTGAAGTGGCAACTTATTCATTTAAAAATTGTGATAAAAACATTAAGCCCTTTTACAGACGAGCAATGTAGCGCCAACCTACCAATTCATCGCTATTTTTACTGATGAATTTTGCCATTTAGATATAGGGGCTGGTTTAATGTCAGACCCAGATCAATATATACCTAATTCGTTAAATCAAAAAGCATTATTTTACTTATATATACTTTTTGCCACTGAACGGAAAACGACGATGCATGTCGTACACAGCAGGGAGGTGTGCGCATGTTTCAAAATTTCTACACACATGCACGAATGTTTACTTACATACATGAAAGTTTTAGTATACAGTACATATTAAATTGTACAGTCTTCTAGGAAAAAAATTAAAAGTAATGTTCGGTCGAGTCTGTGTATAACAATGCGTAACAATGTGTAACTTCAAAATTGCCTAAATTAAAATTTACGACATGTTTCAGATTTTTCTCGCACCTTGCCTTACGCCCTTAGCTCAGACCCATAACGAAGCAATAATATGAAACAACACAGACAGTTTGTTGTGTTTCACAACAGTGCATGCCTTATCTATCTGGCTAAAATTAAAATTGTGGGGCCGGTTGCTCAAAAGCAGGTTAGCATAACCCTGGGTTAAAGGAAATCTTTACATCGATATTTTTAAACCCTTGTTCACAAAGTTGAATATCATTTTCCATAAATATTTTGTAGTGACAAAATACAATTTTCTGACTAAATGTAATTTTCTGTAGTGCCATATTTTGTAAATGTTTTAAAACGAACAGCGGTTCAGAAGCACTTCAGTAAACCAAAACAGTGCCAGTGGATTAAAATTTAACCCAGGGTTCGCGCTATCCCAGCTTTGAACAACTGGCCCGTGACCTCGATTACAAACCTAGAATTTTAACTTCATCTGACAAATTTTTGACGTGTAAACCTAGATACTTGTTCGAACAAGCAATAGTTAATTTTGATCTAGTTTTATTTAGAATTCTTTTAATTATGTATATAGTTAATCATAAATTACATCAAAGTTTTAATAAATAACAAAAAAAAAGCATACAACTTACCTTTCGTGTGTACAGCGTTTACTCCCTTAGTCAGTATAGCGTCATCGAGAAAGATTACTGACTTGTGTATTAATCAGCTAAAGTTAAAGGACCCAAAGGGCGTCAAAGGCCAGCGCGAAACATTCTAATAACGTAGACAACGTAATAACATTGACGTCACGCTATCGTTTCTAGTTTGGATTTCAAGTGTTACGTGCACGAAACGTCAAGCTGCCATGTATTTGCGGTTGAAGAAAAACGTCGAAAACTGAAACAAGCTTAAAACAAGGTCAGTGTGTTGGTCAAGATAAAAAAAAGTTGTCAAAAATGTATAGAATATAGCTCAGGGGCCGGTTGTATCAAGCCCGTTTAGCTAATTAAACGGTGGTAAGTTCAAAATAGAAAGTAAGTCTATGGTTTATTGACTTTATTCAACAAGCGAACTAACTGTTTTCGACCTTAATACAAAGATACTGTTTACAACTACATATTCGGTGCATATAATATTCAAGTTGACTCATTCAAGAGAGAATTTAATTTCTAATTATTAATTATTTAATTATTAATATTTAATTTTGATCTATCTACCGTTTAAGCTAAACGGGCTTGATACAACTGGCCCCAGAAGGGTTGCGATTGCAGCTCACATAATCTTGAATTTGCAGTTTCATTATTGGCAGCTTGAATTAATTTTCACTATATAATAGCCATGCATACCTCCATGCATATAATAAGATTGTTTTAGCTCTGCATACTGACGTGCATAAAGACCTTAAAAACCCGCAAGTATCTTTCATGACGTCCGACAGCAAAGGACAAAGATATATTCATTTATTGTGGTACTCAAGCAAAAGTGGTAGTTCCTCTTTCCTTTATGTAAACAATTATTAGATCGAATAAATATAGTTGATCAGAAAAATTGCTTCAAAAAAATCCAAACAACATCAACTGGATAAATTAAATGCCGCCGCGTGGTCATCATATGGTGATCATGCACTGTGAAAATGGTAGAAATCATGATGCAGTTTCAACAACTACGGCGATGTGCAACGTTTAAGACCATATATATACATTACATTTTCTTTTGTTTTAAAGGTTTAATGCCATTGCTGATGAGCACGTTGCGGTTGCCGTTGTATTTTGCAAACTCTTTAATGTTGGTGCACATAGCGCAAAATGTGCATATATAGTACTGGTTTCCTTTAATTCGTCAGCTTTTGGAATCCACTTCAAAAAAATCATACTAAACTAGACAATAATGAGATATTTCATCACAAAAAAGGGTGTGAATTGTGAAACGTACCTACTACCTATAGTTTCCACGACTTACATAAAAAATCACAATATTCACTACCATATACATGGAATATTACAACCAAATTCGACTTACATTCACTGGCGTCGGCAGCATCGATAAGTGGGTATTCATACATGTTCAAAGAGCGTTAAAACAGTCAATATGAATATGCCTCCTTTAATTCGCCACTTATCAAGCTGGCGACGCCACTCCGTAACACACTATGCAACTTTCCTTGCAACTTACAATGCAATTATAATTTTGAGGGATTTTGATTCGTTAAGAGTGTTCGCAATGCTAAGAAAACGTTATCGATCGTAAGAAATGTTCGTATTTGACAACTTTAGATGCCTCAGGAGTAGACTTGCATTGCAAGTTGCAAGGAAAGTAGCATAGTGTAACACTGCAGTTATAATAATATTCCTGACAAAATGCATGCACTTCAAAATGTACTACATGTGCTTGTATAAAAACATTGTTTTAATATTTCAAATTAATTCACTACATTAAAAATGGCGCTAAGGGTGCTGGCCGAGGTATTGATCATACTTTATGAAAAATATAACGGCAATTTCAAGATTCACAAATAAAATATCTTCCATCAATTTACCAATTTACGTAGAAATTACAAAAAAAGCCGTTCTATTATTAGAAATAACGCTTCCTTGGGTTCCACACTTACAAAAAACACCTCTTACAATCCTCCTAACATTTTACACATGAATCTATGAAATTTCATTTACGATCGGTCCATTAAAATTGCTCCTACAATTCTTGCATATTATATACCTAAGTACGAATTCCACTATAAGCACTTTACATGATTATATTTTATGCGTCATACTTAACAAATATACGTTTCATAACAAATGTAAGTGAAGTAAAGTTGTGAAAAACTACAAGATAATGTGACTTATATATAATGTGGCTTATCTTAACATGCATTTAAATCGAAAGTTTATTTCATTTTATCATGCATTTTAACATTCGCGTCGCTTCAGAAGAAGACCTTTTTTGCGAGGGTAAAAACAGGTGCTGGACACTGTTTGTAACCTTTCTTGGTATAGGCATCGCTCACCTTGTTGTTTACACGAAGCATCATGTGCATAACATCTTCGGTTTTGTAGAATTCGCTAAAAATTGACACCAAAGCGTTTACGTACCATGTCCCATGATCAGTACTTCTGAAGCTTACATAACCTATAAAGTAGCATATGGTTAGCATAACATCAGTACTTCTGAAGCTAAGATAGGTACATAACCTATAAATTAGCATATAGTTAGCATAATTATCACATTGGTGATTTCAAAGCCCAAAGCTCTATCATTTGGCCTTGGGCAAGTGAGATTCAACTACAAGGAATTCACAACGATTTGAAACTGTTTTTTTTATATTTACGGAAAAGAGTACCTGGGGCTGTTGAATATCCGAGCAGAAAATGTGGTTCGTTTGGGTCAGCATTTTGACGGAATTTTGAATTATTAATATTATCATATTGATCCTCATATGCTGCTGCTGCTGCTGTGGTTTTACCCATTGGGATTGCGTCTTCATTGGTTTTTGTCTCTTCTGTAGTCGTTGTCCCACCAGTCCCTGGCGTTGTTGTATTTTCCACCCCAGCGGCGGTGTCAGTCCAACCTGTCTCAGTCGCTCCCAAGCGCTGTGTCCCTCTACATGCTTGAATGAAGAACAACTTGGGCTTTCCCTCCAAAGCTGGACATTTGGTTGCTTTGAACAAATCGGTGATAGTTTTGATTTCAAGATGTCTGCAATCAGAACCATAAATCTTTCCCATGGCACCGTGAGTCATTATACAACACACGAAGCACGACGAACCAAGATTTTTGCCAATTTTCTCTGCCATCTCTTTGACCACATCGTAAATTTCCCAAGCTCCCAAATTTCGATGTGCTTCTACCGTGAAGCCGAGAAGTCCCCACAGTTCCTTTAAATTTTGATAGTCGACACTCGAGCCTTTTCGCTCTGGCAAAGTTATTCCTTCGTCTTTCGTGAAGCCTTTGAACGTTTGGTTGTCAATGATAAGAGCGAAACCGTGTTTGCCAGGTTTCATCTTGTAGCATGAGGCTGGGTCTCTTCTAGAGGGTGGTCGTTCTGTGAACAAAAAAATAAGATATAGCTAATAAGATGGGGGGGGGGAGGCTTTCAACTATCTCAAAAGCAAGGGGGGTGGAGTACATTTCAAATGTCAAAAAGAATCTCGGCCAATTTTGATTTAAGACAGTTTTTTGGACATGTATTTGGAAACCTTTTTGAGGGCCATTGAAAAGTCTAGAGAGGTCACAGTTATGCTTAGTTTATTGTGAGTTCTGTTAGCTGCACTAGGAGTCTATCTTTCAGCAACTGAGTTGCACAACAAAACATCATTTCTATATTTTTACAATTGCTATTAGCTATGACTGTAAAATTTTATGAATTTTATAAAATAGTATATATAAAATGTGCAGCTAGGAAATACAGGTACCCAATGAAAAGGGCAGTGTACTCATTGATATTATAGCCCAGAAAGGCAAAATTTGTATGCCCAGTTCTAGATCCTGCCTGAGATCATGAATGGAACCAGATATTTAAAAGGGGGAAAAACTATGAAGTATGGAATTACATGTGAGATGCAAATGCTAGTGTGTAACTACAATACTTTATATTGAAAATGTATAGAGGGGAAGGACCCCACTTTTTCATACCTTCATTGATAGAGAAATCCTCTATCTTTTTTATTAAATCCATTCGATATACATCAGATAATAAATTCTTCAAATCAGAGAAGTTGTCTTTAGAGAGTTTTCCATTGCCTTCAAGGTGGGTCAACAAACTCTGACCATCTTGCAATTTCTCACCTATACCATCTGTGAAGACAGCCACATATCAGTTAATGATAAACATACTGTATCAGTTAGTTAAAAATAGATATTAATAGAAACTACAGTTACACTTCAATCTTCACAGCTTAGTTAAGATGTTTGGCAATCTGGAGGATTCCCCCCACTGCCACCCCACCCTTGGATATTTTACTTTGACAACAGACGACCCATGGTGATAATAATTGAAGGTTATGAAACACATTAGGTTTTGAAATACATTAGGTTTTGAAATACATTAGGTTTTGAAATACAATACTGTTCACAGGGCGCTACACATTTTTCACTCCTGATACAACAACCTGAACAATTTTTGGCTGTGTAAGAATCTTAAGACCTGGTACAGCAGTATAAAATTGGGAGGTCTACTATCTACTTCATATAGGTACCACTGCATGCAACATGCTAAAGAATTTTGAAGATTAATTACAACATCTGATTCAACCATTCAAAAATTAAATTGTACTGGTCCATCCAAATGACCAAAATATCAAATGCCTTATAATTAACATTTATTGAATAAAGTTGAACAAGATATGAAAAATTATCAAGCTGTAATTTGTCAAAGCCAACTTTTTTAGGCTTAAGTTAATAATAACCTACTGAGGGTTGATAATCGTTGACATTATTTGAAAATGGAATTCAATTATTGTTTTAATGTTTATTCATGTTATTGTAACCACAAAATTTTGCCTATGACACTTGGATCTCACACCAGACTTCCCAGTATACCCACACAAAACAATCTTTCTGTGATACATACATACATACATACATACAAAAGTAGCAAACCTGGCACATCAAGCAAGAACTTCATTTCACTGACATTCTCCTTTGTCAGTTCATCAGCCACTGCTTTCAACAATACAACATACGGCGACACAAGATCTTGACTGGCCACTGAACTGGACATTGCATTAGCAGCAAACCCTGCCCCACTATCGACCATATCACCAGAAATCGGTTGGCAAAATTCATCTGGTATTTTGCAAACCAAATCGACGCGTTGTATTTGTTTTAAAATTCCTCGTAACCATATTAAATTATCGGCCGTAATAAATTGTCTTTCTTCCAGCAGTTTAAACAACTTTAAGGGCTCGCTATTGGGTACTTTATCCAGTGCAGCAGCGCCGATTTGTCCTCGACAGACAAATTTTAGGGAGCAGACATCACTGAATGTTAAATTATCTGCTATATCTTTTAGTAACCTTCGGTAATTGTTTCCTGTTGGAGCCATGTTTATATCAAACTTGCATATGGCATCTTTTCTTTAAGTCTTTCTCTGCAGAGCAGGAAGGTTTCGACCCTCCCTCCACGTTCGGTATCGACGAAAACAAAACAACAGACTTCGAACTTCGAAGGCTACGAAGATTTACGGAAGAAACCGAACACTTCTTTCTGGGAAATGGGGAAGTCTAAAATTTCCTATCCCCACAATTCCCCGAATGCAGTTATTTTAAGGAACCATTACCTCATTAAATTTTTCTGCCATTTTTGAATGCCGTTATGTTATCAGCTGTAGATAATTCCGAGTGAAGGGATGAAAGGACAGGCCACATCCATACGGTCGAAAACGCTGTGAAAATGTTTCTTGAATAACGATCATGAGTGTCAGGCCAGTCGGAGTCTCTCAGAGGAGGGGAATTTCCCCCCCAATATTGCCTGGGTCCATGCACGTCCTGATGACTATTACCAGTGTGGCCGTTATTTTATTTGTAGTGGCAGTCCAGTCAGTTCTACTTACCTTTTGATTGTTATTCGTTTTACAAAAATTAACGAAATGAAGCGATTATAAAAAGTACCACAGTTCTAACGAACATTCATAGTAGCCCACCCCCGTGACAATGCCGACATTAAAATAATATGGAATTCTCTTTTAATTTTGTTTTCTATTCTACCTACAAAAATTAATGACGCAAAAGGCACAATGGAGTTGAGTTGAATAACGAAAGTGCCCGTCATTCCGACCAGAAGCAAAATACGCAATAAGGATGCCAACTGCCTGTGTGATATTTGGCACAAAAATTATCTTCAAGATTATTTAAAGTCGAATAAATCTTCGATTTCGTTCTTTGTGAAATGTAGGACATTCAATACAGTTCTTTTCATTTTATTTATTTCTCTTGTTCGTTTCAACGTGGATGCTTGTTACCGCACGCACACGACGTGTCATGTATATTGATGCTGAATCAAACATATACATGTGAATTCAAGGTTGTCTATAAAACTGACCCAGGTAAATGAGGTAATCATGCTCAGAGTTCGAGATCAATTCAGCAAGTTCTCCGACTATCACGTCCAAGATCTCGGAACAACCAACTTTCGTCTGGGGTCCTTGGGTGTCACCTAACCCTAGGAACATTGACCTTGTGTTTTGACGGCCAAACGTTTGACAGGATCTGTTGTCTCGGGTTTTCACACAACCGGTGTCACGTGACCTTGATGTAGATCATGTTTTTAGCACTGAACACCATGTCGGTGGAGTTGTTTTTGAAAAATACCCATTTATAACCTGAAATCCATTGGTAGATAAGCACTTTAGTAGTGATAAAATGTTCTAGCATAATTATTGCCAAAATCGTGCAGGCGGTGCAGTAAATAATGATGCAGAATTAACTTCATACCCGGTTGTGTTCTGTGATTTCTGTCAGGGGAGAAATTTCATAACCTCCCAAAATGCAACTAGAGATCCCATGCATGGTTTATGAGGTTATAACTTACATAGGTAAATGATGATAGATATAAAATAAACAATCAAGGCCACCCAAATATAGGACATTTGACAACATCACAATTGTTGAAAAATAATGACTTACTGAAATACTGAATAATAATGAAACTATGATTCGATCAATTACCCCAATTACTGTCCATGAGAAAATAATTACGAACTTACCGATCCACGTTTTGTCATATGACATGACGAAAGCTTTGCACTCTATATCTTCGTCGCATTGTTTCATAGCCTCAATTTCGTCGAATTTCAGAGACTGACAGTTGACCAGTGATATCGAATGGTCACATTCGTAGTCATGACGACCAGGAAAATCTGCGCGAGGTATTGCTTTGTATCGGTAATGAGGTCTGTACTTCTCTGAAAGTAAAACAGTATTTTTAAATCATGTTTACAACTCCTGTAAGGTAACTAATGTGTCTCATATGTAGTTTGCATGCATGAAACACGGAACTATCACGGTGCATGATTTTGTGCGCAAACAAAGCTAAAGAGACCCTGTTTCCATACTTTTACAGAAGGAAACTTCGGTACCTGTCTCAGATCCCTGACCGCTCCTTAACCTTCCTAACACTCTCTCAAGATCCCTCGCCAAATCCTCACTGTTATAGTTTAACATCGCAGCCTGTTTTTCAATGTTCTCCAAATCCCCTAAAACATGCTGTGGTGAGCCAGGCAGGAGAAACATTTTAAAATAGAACCTCTGAAGATTATAGAGATTCCACTTTTCGTTGTAACCCTGACAGAAATTTTTAACACACGGCAGTGTTATGTTGTGTGTTAGATCACCAATTACACAGTCACGTTTTGAGCGACATGAATGCCCTTCGTTGCCAATGTCGTCTAAATCGGAGAATCTTAGGTCGCCGTTGATAGTGACAAATTGAATCAACTGAAAATCACGGATGACCAAAGAACCGAGAGGAGACGAACTGAGATACTTGATAAGTCTAGCAAGGCCAACCGCTATCTAAAATAATGAGTATATATATATGACAACACTTTAGGGAATGTCGAAATACATGATGACATGGGGGTTTGCAGAGGCAACGATACAGTGCTAAGAAATTCCTATTTTACCAATTCCCAATAGGTTATTTTTGAGATTAGGTTATTGTAGCTTTATATGGGGCTGGTTGAATTGCAAACAGTTGGAATTTTTTTAATAAATGGCTATATAGAACAGTTGATGATGAAATAAACATGAACAATAATTAAGAACAAATAAACAAGATAAATTGATCACTGTATCTTGACATGCAGTCAATTGATCATTCGGAACATGATTAAGTAATTACTTGGGTTCCAACATACCCTAAAACGTTGAGGCCACGCCATTTGCAACACAGTCATAAGGTTCAGCGGAGTTCCTAGTTCAGTTACAACCGTCAAACCTCTATTTTGTATATCTGCCGAGTCCTGGTCGTTTTGAAAACAGTAACCCAACAGCTAAATAAGAATTATATTTAATAAATAAAATAGCAATAAAAATATCGAAAAGAGCCTGTAGATTTACCATGCCTGATTTAATACACTTACAGTAGATTTTTGAGCGACCGTTTCTCTAGGAGAATACAGTTTTAGAAAGAAAACCGCTTTTTCTGTGCCCTAAAGCCCAGAATTAATTAGGGCCTTTTATCAATCATAACCTAGCACACCTTTATTCCTCAATGCATGTTCATTTTGTAGTTAATTAATTCGCGCTTAATTCTGAGATTATTTACCAGTTTTGATTTCGTTGCGGGATTAGACTTCAGCTTGTATGCATATTAACCCATGAGTTTCAGATGTTGTGACCATTGAATAGCCAATAAACTTAACCATTTCAGACCATGTGATTTAAAATAGGTTAATTTGCATACAAACTACATTCGAACTTAAAAAACGCAGAATCGTCCTTTGGCTTCGTTGCGATCTCCTCATCTTTACCAGATTATACACAGAGTCAGAGGAAACAAAAATAGGTTCGTTTCGCTGGATGTTAAAGTTGGAAACAGACATATTAGGACTTACATTGCAGACAACACTAACGGTATAAATAAACTTCCACGGTGCATTTAGCTCACTCATTTGAGAAAAATTAACATATAATCGTTTAGTTCAGATTGATTTATATGTTTACCTCTCAACGGCGGGCGGAAATTAAAGCTTATCGGCATTGTTCAGGCAACCAAAAAAAAAAAAATCTCAACGAACAAAGCGGCCGGCTTCCGAGAAATATTCAAGTCATTATTGCCTATATTGCCTTTTTATTGGTGCTTACTATTATAAACTATTACGAACTCATGGACATGGCTTTCGATCTATGTTAATTATAGGTGACGATTTTACAGCACACCATATAACGACCTATCGTTGTAGTGTCAGGACTGATCTTAATATAAACTGATATGGCAGTAGCGTCTTGAAGTACCCTAATAAACATTTGACCCGTCACAGGCTAAAGGCTAGTTTCCACTCAGGAAAAATCAGCTTTGGATCGGAACGGACAGGAAAATTTCCTTTGTCGGTGAGTTCTCAGGCGGTGTTTATACAAACGAAACTTCCCTGTCCTGTCCGATTCAAAGGGGAATCTTCCTGAGTGGAAACTAGCCTTAATAAAAACGCTCGACTTTAAAATCTCTTGAAAACATTAAGTAGTTTACTTTTTTGTTTTGATAAACAGATAATTATGACTATTTCGTTAAAAAATGTTTCGTTCTTCAGTATCAAAACGCTTTTCGGTCGTTTTATTTCACCACTTCAATAAAACCCACGAGAGAAATGTTACGAAAACAAGGGACAGAGGCGCAAATTTATGTTGATAATATATGCAAATGTTACCATATGCATGCATATAATATATAGCAGGGGGCTTTGGCAATTTCCATTCGCATATAGTGGGGCGGTCCATACTATTTCCGACATATTTTCACACTCATTAACGCAATCACGCTAACAATGGCAACAATTTACGTTTAAATCACGATATTTGTACTTGCATTTAAACATAATTAAAAAATATGCTACTAAAAGGATGATTTCCAGTGGTGTGTTTCACATCATTAGGTAATTTAATTTTCGCGCATGTCGAGTATGACAATTATAAAAGCAGACAAAATATGCTTTTAAAAGATGAAGGATATTAAATTTCCTGTGTTTATTGATAACAATGTTTGGATTGTATAATGATTTTAAGTCTCCATGCCTTATCAGTGCCGCATATTTTAATCCATCTGTTTAGTTTTCGGAGGAGACAATCTTGGCAGACTTTCGCGCACAACAGAAATGGCTTCTATAAATCATTTGCAACATAGTGAATATGATATCAAGGAAATGCTGTTGACGACTTGATAAATTTGTCAAAACGTTTGCATCCCCCTGGGGCTGTTTTCAAAGCGATTCCTATCTGGACTCAGCGTCCTTTAAAAACCAAAATAGAAAATTTCAACCTATGAAATTGAAAATTTCAATTTCAATATGTATATTTATATATAAGGCAAAAATTGCAGCGGCCAGCGGGGGTAGAATCTATTTGAAGACTGAGACAGGCAAGTGCAACGAATCTTCTAGCAGATAATCTGAGCTTAAAAATTTCGAAAACTAATGAAACTATAAACTATTTTTCACATACGGTCAAGGTTGAAGCTGAACGCGATTGCTGTCAATTATTCGATAAGCTTCCTAATTTTATCTGCACGCAACCTTAGAACGCGTTAACAGTTAATCGATATTCACAATGCTTCGAACAGTATTTTTCAAATGTATGCCTCACATCCGGTGATTTTAGCTAAAATGCTGAGTGAAATGAAAAGTATTGGTAGTTATTTTTACCCCAGAACACGTCTGTTTTTCGTCGCAAATATGCTGCAACTCAAGCTGCAACTTTCAAAGATGTAGGGTCAATATACAATATACTCTATAACCTTATAACGCGCTTTTAAACAAAACTATAGAGATGCGTAAAGGTAATTTTGAAGCAGTCGGAGGTTATTTTTGGGATGAAAGGTATTCAGAATTGTAAATTTAATTTAATGTGTTAAAATATGAAGCGGATATGCTTTTCTATACTGCGAGACAGGAATGAAATGTTACATAAAGCAGATGATGTGGTATACTGTATCCTATATATTTATAGTATATACAATTGCAAAATTTCATACTATTTTCTCCTTTTTGAATGAATACAAAGTTAAAGAAACAGAAAATTAAAGAGAGCACTAAACTAAACCGCGAAATAAACTATACACCAAAGACGACATCTTATCTAAAACGTGGTGCATATGTTGGTTACCAGGAGCATCAATTTAGCTCTTTTATACAAAACTTTAATTGACACACAAAGTCACAAACCAAGACAATTTATTACAGAACATCACATTAAAGCATGTAAAAAGGCATTTTCCTGAGAGTATATATAATTATATGCAGAAGAAAACATGCAACAGCCGCGCGCTCGAAAGCCAAGATAAAACAGCTTATTAACATGCATGTAGATAAAAGCGATAGGAGACTAATAGCTGTACAATTAGTGAATTATTGCTAAGCATTAGGGAGCAACCGTAATACATTATTCACATATTAACAGCAAACTATATCCTGTTTGGAGCAAAGATGATGCGAAGAGGAAATGAAGACAAATTGCCAAAGTTTTGTAATGTAAACGAAATATGTTTCGTGTTAACAGGACATTTAGGGCTTTGTTATTGAAAATTGAGTCAATTGACAGAATAGGATATCGTAAATCATTTCATGAAATGTTACCAATCTGTTTTAATGAAGACGTCGACTTGAGATGAAGACTTGAGACGTTGAAAAAGTAGAAAGTGAAAAATAGCTAACATTGAGTATCGAGCTTTCTGTTTTGCAATAGTCAAAAGGAATTTCTAGTTCTCTCCTTGCTTTTGGCTTTTATACAAGAGACAGTCAGTCGCTAATTTTTGATATTAAACTAAAGAAGCCGATATAAATACTCGAAACAGTGTATTTGTTTTAAATAACGCCATTAACACATGCGTTTTAAAAAGGCATGCAACTTCCTATTTGAGATATGTCGCTGTATTTAGATGGAAATTTAGTAAACACGCATATATTCTATATCAAATCTAATTTTCAATTTGCCCAGCCGTCCCGGGAATTTTTTATACGTTGTCGTTGTTCGCATGCAACTCATAAATATAACCAGCTCAGGGCGCGCATATAGTCCATGTATACAATAATTGTGAACTGTACGTTTTTTTACAACAGAAATTTGAGGCGGCGATATGCAAAACTTGAAGTGCCACTTTAAAATGGCTGAGTAGAACGCTTCGAAGTTTCAAATATTATATAGATTCAAATACAATCGAGATAATAAACAATATATTTCCTAGCTTCTGCGAGTTTATTTTCAGCGTCTTTAACCGAATGCTCGAAAATAAAAAAGGTAACAAATTCGTTTTAGATGAGTTGGAAAGAGCGGCTGACGAAAGGCATTTACTCTAACATTCAAATTTCATTAATCCCTTTAGGCAGCTACAATAGCTTATCAAACAACTTACCTTAATGACGTTAGGATGGCTCAACTGTTGGTAGAGCAGCAGTTCCTTCATGACTTTATATCTTGAAAACAGCAAGCAATCAGAACGCAACTTCGCTCGTTTTTCTTGCACGCAGGTATTGATATCGGTCGAATCCAATCCTACACTCTTCACTGCAACATCAAGTCCATTATAAACACCGCGTTGGGTTAGTTTTGTGTACCCCCTGCCTAGCTCTTCTTTGACGATGATCTGTGATATTTCTTGGCAACCAAGGCCGTTATCACGATAGGAACCCAAGGTTTCCTGTACACGAGAAATCTCGTTTGTATCCTGTCTCAGATTTTCCTGTCCAAATCTCGGTGACTCGCCGATGATAAATTTCAGGCTGCGCTCCTGCCATGTCTCGGCAATGCCAGAATACTTCGTTGGCATATCTTTAAACGGTCCACGCTTCCTCAGTTCGCGAATAGTTCGTCCAAGCTGTTCATTTTGAATATCCTGGATGTATCTAACTCTCTCTTCATATCGCGGCAACCTACCCGATCTGTCTGAAAGAACTCGAAAGCCTTCACTTGCCAGTCGGTTCACGGTCCTTTTAAGCGCAATATTTTCGGCTATAACTTCCTGGAAATTCGTTGAATCTCTGTCAGATAGATTCTCTACTTCGTATGATTTGAATAGAGTTCTATAGTTCACTGTGTCGCCGGCTTTTGTCCCTCCCTGGCACGCGAGTATATCATGGTGGTCTTCAAGATAATATAAGCTCAGGAACACGCATATTAAGCAAACAGAGCACGCAACACAGCAAGCGATCCACAGCAAACGCTCCGTGAGGCGTCCATAACGACAGCACGAACGAGTCGACATACCTTGGTCTTCCAGGAGAAAGATCCACCCAAGCGAAGACCGACTTCCAATACAGCCGACTCTCTACACTCGACTACATCGCGACCGAGGAAACATTATTTTGATATGACACTTGCTTAATGAATTAGTTACCCGTCACGTGACGCAAGAATTAATTATGATGTTAATTGTAACTACCCACTAAGCAAAGTGTTGATAAACGTCCAACACGTTGTCTGATCAAGTTTGTTTGGTTTTTGGATTAGATCTTAAAAGGCGTGTATTAACACCTCGGATGTTGTTGGCTGCACCTCGAATTCACGCTATAAGCCAAAACAAACACACGAAAAATTCCTCACGATTTCGATAATTATTTCGCGGAAACTCAATCTCCAAACATAACCTTTATTAATATTAAAGTATCGACCTTGATCTGAGAAAAAGGTCAGAATAGTATAATATTTGCTATGGATTGACTGGAGCAAAAGACCGCCATATTGGTATATGGCCACCTCCAATATGGCCGCCATGCATGACCTTCATCAACTGGAGGAAGCAAGACAATCATTTTTTAACTTAAACTTACATAGCGAAAGCCGAAAGATGTTTTCTTTACCGCTTAGCGAATACAGGTATTTGTGAAAGATCTGATCCAATTAACAATACCCAGTTTTGATTTCCTATCAGTTTGAAGTGTCCGAGGAAACTGATTCAAAGAAATTGTTTTCACATTTACTTACAAAATGAAGACAGACAGTCTTATATGGACGACTCTTTTTTCCAAGTGTTTGTAATTAAGTATGTATGTATTTATGTATAACATTTTCTTGTTAAAAAGTTATAGCATGTTGCCCATAGAGACGGGGAAAATTAGTTTTAATGCCTTATCAGTAAAACTTGTCATAAAAAACCCCACGTTTTCATGCTTGTCATAAACAGCCCGGCACATCTGGGACTGTTAAATCATCTCCTGAACCCCACACTTCGATTAAAATGGATATTTTTAAAATCATTAAAATTTTTTCGATAAAATATAAGATAAAAGTCATCAAACTTCTTTTAAAAGACCAGTATCTGGCAGTGGGTGTAGTTGACAGAGTGTCCCCCACACTTTCCACCTGACGGACACTGCTGCTGCTGTCTTCGCCATATTAGCGAGCTTTAGCTGTGACTTCGAGTACGTTTATTTCGATTCGGCAAAACTCGCAGTCGACGAGTACAAGTTTGTGAATCAATTTCCGATGGACAAAAGTTCAACGACTACGAGTTTTGCGACTTTTGCACACAGCGTAAAAGCAAACAGCGCTTATTTTGGCTCTGTTTATAACGAATTCCTCAGTACAGAATCCTACTCGTAGTCGTACCCGTTGTCACTGCTGACCTCAGCCTTACTGACTTCAGCTTTCTCAAAGAACATTTAGAAAATGTGAATGAATTAATTACAGAGACAGTATTCTGTTAGTTTTGAATATCATCCGGGAAGCGAACTAATTTCCGTAATGACACATGCTGTGACTAACTTAATTACACATAAAGATTATACAGTTTGAAATCGTGTTGTAGAGAATAAGCGGTTCGTATCGCGGAGCCAAACATTTTTCCCGACTTCATATTGCAAATGAAGAGCTATTGTTTGGTTGTAGTTTTTCTACAACGAAATTCCCTTTATTTTGCTCCGAGTAACAACGTAGCAGTCTGACGTAGTAGCGACTAAGATCTTCGAGATTATCCAAACTTATCATATATCTCCTTGAAACTCTTTTGGGTCAAAGACAAAAAAAATCCTTGAAAGCAGTTTCACCTCGATGTGCAACAGGCTCACAAGAGTGAAAAGACTATAGTAGAAGTCCTAAAGTTTTTAAGTCATTATTTACTACCTTCAGGGTCATGGTCGTTAGCTTGGGAGACCAAATATTCTGACAGTTCCAGCATCACGATCATGTTTATCCTAAAAGTATCAGAATATCAGTTTTTAACCGGTAGAAGCAGGGCTTCTCACAACCCGCGTCCAGGCCAGAACCGCAGAGTAGCAGGCTCAATTGAGGGGTATATGGGGATTAGAGGAAGGCAGTGAACTCAAAGAAGAGTTCACTGGAGGGAGGGCACTAACTGCAGGCTAAATGTCGGCTCAAGTGGTTTTTGAGACGATCTGACGTCTTCTTTTAGTCTTCTCACGAAACAGACTATTTTATATAAGCGTCTTGTTTTGAAACATCTCCGTCTTCTCACTTTGCTTAGCAACAGATTTTAATACATATTCAGTATAGCCTTCAGGCTGCATGGGTGCGGGGAAGATATGTTACGTCCACAGAACAACACTAGATATACTGCAACACAACCATATTAAACTAATATCACATACCTTATCATCACAAGCAAAAGCCAAGATATGTTTTCTGGGATGCCAGGCTAACGTGAATGTGGGAGCCGTACAAGGAACATCGCATATCTTCTCTCCTGTTTCTACCATAGCCTGAAAAACAGGTAAAAATAATTTAATACAGCCTAGGGCGGGCTATTATTTGTGAACATTTACGTGTGCACGGAACATGCCTGTTAAAAACCCCTGCTTATAAAATAATGGGGAAACTGGTTATCATTGGGTACAGACGTGCCGGTAGCAGAAGTGCGTGGGTGTGGGCCAGGGGTATGGTGCACAAGGTATTAATAACCGATTAATATCTCTACCAGGAGAGGCAAGTTGTATAAGGTGACTAATTTTTAATTATAGTTAGTCACAGAATTAGTTACGATAATATTGTAACATAATTATCGAAAGGGTCGATTTCCATCACTTACGATATCAATAAGTAGATCTTCGGAGCCAGAAGCAATCATTTGTCCGTCATAACTAAAACTCAGGGTTCGTACTGGCCAACTGAAAATATAGCATATTAGTTGATCAATGATTTGGCCAATTTTAAAATAAAAATCGTGCAGATGGTTTGTTAAGAGAGCGAAGAATTATTACAACATTTAAGACCGAATATTATTACAACATTTAAGACCGGCTAAACATGGTCTTCAATACAACTATATAAAACACAAAATACCTGTAGAAGTGTTAGTTTCACATTCCTTCGAAAATATTTTGGAGAATGACTCTCTGAAATACTAAGGAAAACTTACTCTAATCTTGAAAACGTTCTAACACAGACGAGCTCATCCAGGTCCCAAAGACTCATGAGAGCGTCAGCACTCCCTGTTGCAAAGTATCTTAAAGAGGAAACATAGATAAATTCATCACTTCTTGTTCCATGAAAACGACAGTCTTTCATTCGGGAAATATGAGATGGCTTTTGATGCATAGATAAACCAGTGAACTAGGTTAAACATACTTCCCAGTCGGATCAAACTTGATACAGATACAGTTGGCTGGATGAGCGTGAAGCGTCTGTAGTGGTTTTAGCTCTGGATAACTAGATGGAAAAGAAGGGGGAAAAATATATACAATATATATACCAAAGAGCAATACAATATTACTATAAGAAATATATGTTATTTACCAGCTGCGAGGTTCGGATAGAAAAATATTGAGACCGAGGGAAATATTTCCCTATACGGACCGACTAAACTGTTAAATAATAGCTTTATTTTTTTCTTGCGGTCCGAATTCATATCTTAGCGTTGGCTCTGTGCTTTTATATCTCGCGCGGTCCGTACGGCCTCATACGGACCGCTCGCGTAGCCAATCAGATTGCAGGAAATGCTAAAATATGAATTCGGACCGCAAGTCGACGTACTTTTTATAATCAAGAGGAGTAGTGAGTTAAGCATGCATGTATTCGGATAATACAAATCAGTAGTTAGTCAAACGCGGTCAAAAAACGGCACTCCTTATAAAAATATCGACGATTTCTTCGGGATAGTGAAAAAATAAAATTCTACTTAAAAAGTTGGAAACAATATAGCAGTTGGTGATTTTCATTTAGGGGTCGCAATGAAACACGAAATTTTGGATTGTTTGCAAATAAAAAATGTGATAAATATTTTGGGGATAACTGCAATTGGGGATTTAACTGACTGCAAATTTAGATTTAATAAAGTGAGGCTAAGTGACTTCCTTCTCCACAGGCCCTTTTCTGGGCAAATTTTCAACCTGTCCGAAAGACCGCCTATATTAAAGGAGTTGAAACAGTTTTTAAAAAACGATTCTTGAGTAAAGACTATTGTACGTTTCTGTCGCGTTTTTAGGCAGCTTCATCAACAACGACGAACCTTAAAATATTTATAAATCCTTGACCATTTGTTAAGAAAAATAAATTGTTGTCATTATTCCACGATATTTCGTTGACCTAAAAATTTAGAACATAAATTAAGTTGCTGAATAATGATATTTTTTCTAAAAAATATATATATACAGTAAACCCACCTCAAAACGAAATTGTTCATCGCATTTTGGTTTGTAAGTTTTTGCATCTACAAACGTTATGAGGTCTTCCTTTAAAATCAGAAAATATACCAATCAAAGATTTTAAATTGTTATATTGAAGAGTTTATGTGGTAATTTATCTGATACAGCAATCATTACACTGTGAAGGTTAGAAACTAGCAATTTTAGATAAAAAGAAACTAGATAAAGTTTTTCACCAGCTAATCATGTTACCTAGCAAACTAAAATTAGTTTTATTGCATTGCAATTTATCTGTAAAGGCTGATTGTCCACAGTTAATAAACCTGGGGATGATTTTCAATAATTGACATTGCAGATAAATATTATATTCTTAATCACAAGGGGAGTATTAATTCCAAACCTGAGTGGCACAGCAGTTAAATATGTCAATTTTGTTAAACTCAATCCTGTGAAACACCAAATAGCTGAGTTTTATTTTGCCCGGATATCTTGTGATGTATATATTGCTCCAGTAATCACTTGTACATTATGTAACAATTTCTTGAACAAGGAAATAACAGGAACTTACTTTGTTTCCAACTGCAATAGTGTTCCCATCTGGACTCCAGCAGATATTAATATTTTCACCTTTGGTGTTGACAACATTAACACATTTACCAGCTGAGAAAACATTAAAGTGTTCAATGTTAAAAGAGACACCCTATGCACACCAACTTTCCTGAACACAGATACTTCTTATCAGATTCACTAACAAAACATGCAGTAGAGAACTATTGCAAATGATGCATTTTGGTTTGATTATCTTGAGTAGCAAGTAGCTATAAAATTTGTTTCTTTCATCCCAAAAAGCTGCTGCATAACATTTTCCACTGGGTAGAATCAGCTTTTATATTAAATCCATAGAATATTCATTTACCTCTAGTATCCCATATTCTAATAGTTTTGTCCCCAGAAGCTGTTACAAGCATGTCAGGGTTACTGGGATGCCAACATAGCTGATCAACACTCTCTGTATGTCCCCTATAATTAGCTTCTTTACTCTAGAATAGCCATGAAATATACTCAGTATTTATCAACGTCTTAAAGTTAGTAAATATAGATTCAGTGTGAACACCTACCAATCCATATTTATCCAGAGTATAAATACTAACAGATCTATCAAATGATCCTGATGCCAGCCTGCGACCATCACAGCTCCATGCTACAGAATGAACCTGGAAATACAATGCATATCATGCATCTTTCAGACTGATGTGAGTCTGATAAAACTAATCATAATTTTTTAGTTTCAATAAATGAACAGTGTTGTAACTGACCTCATTTCAACTACTAGATTTATTTAGGGCAGGCATTAATGGATTTAAAGTCATTTAGTGTAAATTTGATATTATTTTCTGGAAATATAGAAGGGTAATGTGCGAAACATAGTTCATATTCTTTATCGCATACCTTTGAGGAATGTGCCTGGACATCCCTAATCTTAGAATTCTGCTCAAAATGTCTTTGCATTTTTTGCACATATGCTTCGAATCCTAACTTTTTGGCGTCCATCTTTGTTTTTGAGCACACGCTACTTATCTACAGCAGTTCCTACCATCTTACCAGGGGGGAGACGGGAAGGGAGAATGGAGGGGGGAAGTTCTCAGAATTTATTATCTCATCGCTGTTTTTCGCGATTTGTTGTCGTGGTTAAAGTACGGGAAAAAATATTTTTTCCAAATGGCGGCCGTTCAAGGAGCGGAAAAATAGAAATACGGCTGAGATTCTTTTTTTTGTAGTTTTTAGCTAACTCGTATGGTTTAAAATGTTCATGCGAAGAGCAAGTGACAGGGTTCTGTCTTTTGGTAAAGCAATGACTCGATGCCTCGCATTAGCGGGAGAAAATAAACGTTTCTTGCGCGAAAAATTCAAGAACTTAGGAGGGGGAGATGTATTGCTTGAACGGCTTGATTATCAAGGGCAAAACATAGCTTTAATAAGTTTATCTAATCCAGAAAACAGGAATGCATTAAGCGGCAAAATGATGGTGAAATTAGCGGAAACTGTAGACGAATTACAGCATTGGTCTGAGGGCAAGGCAGTGATTCTTCGAGGCGTACAGAGAACATTTTGCTCTGGTGCTGATCTTGCCGTGGCTAGAAATATTTTAACACACGAAGAAGGCGAAATGATGTGTACTTTAATGCATGACACAATACTTCGATTGAAATATTTGCCCCTTGTTTCTGTAGCTGTCGCAGAAGGACAAGCTCTTGGAGGAGGGGCAGAGGCAAGTCTATAATTTTCGGACAATCACTATTACTAAAGGGCAGGAAATGAGGAAATAGTGAAGAATTGACAAATACAATACAGTTGACGGTGACTGATCGTTGACAAATAATAAATTTGGACCGTTATAGGCCTTTTTTAGCACAACACTTCCAATACATTTGCATCTTATAATTTATTTTGTAATATCCTCACTTCTCTTATATTAGCTTCTTCTATGCTGTGACTTCAGGCTGATGGCAGCCAACGCAGGTAGGAAACATTTCCGGTTATAGAACTTTACACTATAAACTTCACATGTTTTTAAGGATTCATGGTAACATTCCACAGAATAGGATCGCTTTCTCCTAACTAGTAAAAAGTTGGCAATAGGGACGTCAGCTAAAAATGAGTTTAACGTTTTAGACGGCGTTCTCGCTGTTTTCAAAATCACACTATTTTTGCGTCTTCCGTAAAACGTCAATACTCAAAGCCTCGATAGGTTCTACCTCAAATTCGGTTTACAAATAAGAGTTTTCCCACCCTTATTGTACTAGTTTCGTAACATTGATAATATGACAGGTTTTCGTTTCGACTATTGATTCGAAGGAGTTTATTTTAGCCGTCGTCCTTCCGTTGCAGTCTTAATTTTTAAGCTCCCTGCTTAAAACATTGTTGCGACTTACTTCAAGCCTCCAAAATCATTAAAATAGGTACATCTTTGGTTTTAATGCTGACGGTTGTTTGTAAAATCAACTGCGCTCTCTTTCAGTTATTCATTTTGTTCAAGCAAGAATGGGTGTGACACCGGGCTGGGGAGGAGCGAGTCAGTTAGTAGATACAGTTGGAAAACGAGAAGCTTTAAAAATTTTGGCTTCCTCTAAAAAGATTCATGCAAATGAAGCATTAAATTTGGGACTTGTTGATGATATTATACCTGATGATATAGTAAGTTGTTGCTTACAACGTTTAGTTAAACCATTTGACTGGAAATAAAAATCTTTCTATGTGAAAGCATTGACCACAAACTTCTGGCAATTTTTTTCCAATCAGGAAAACGTTCAGGGTGTAGTATGTGATTGGTTGTTGCCTTATATAAAACACCCACCTGCAGTGATACAGTCAACAAAGAAATGCATCGTGGGAAACATGAAACCACTGGAGGAAATATTAGAATTTGAAAGGTTTAATTTCCACACTCCTTGCATCCTAAAATAACCACTAGTGGAGTGGAAACATTCACAATTCGAAGTCCCTTATAATTGTTGATAATAATCTTTTTTTCTAGGGCTATATTTAAAACAATGTGGGCTAGTGAACATAATTTGAAGGCTCTTTCAAAAAACCTAAAGCATAAATAGTAAGGAGTTAATTCGTTTGGCTGAATGTATATACAATTTTTTTGTATTTAAATCGATCTTCAGGCACCCTCAAGGCTAGTTTGCAGGGACAGTTTTGCTGCTACTCCAAGGTTTCATTTTATTCCTTTGATTTTATCCTCATGTCCCCACCTCTAGCCCCCTGTATCTTCTTCATCCCTCTTATTCTTTCTCTAATCACTTTCTTCTTCATCTTCAGGAATGCTATCTTCATTACCACCTGTTTTAGGGTTCTCACGATTCCGTCTTGCCACCTCAATGCTGTAGGGATGGACCGGAAGAATTCCAGCCTGAATATGCATCAACAAAAAATTGAAATGCCTTCTTAATGTAAATAAATGAAATAATGCACTATGTTCCTTACCAAACCTAGAAGAACTGACACAGGCTTCTTTGGTTCTGCACCATGGGCAAGCCAGTATCTATGTCAAGAGAAATATTTAATATAGAATAAATGAAATGTTTGAATATTTTACCAGTGATGGTTGCACATTTCTATAATGATATTGCTATAATGATATTGCTATGATGAATTGTGTCTGAATTAATTGATCATTCAGCATAAATAGTATTCTATGAGGAAACATTAAAAAGTTATGACCCATACTTACTTTATCCTATCAATATTTAGACTCACAATTTTTTCATTATGTTCATTTGGCATTGGATCATAAACGCCAAGCTAATAATTAAGAAATAATTAAGTTACATCCTATGAAATAAAAAATCTTAGTTTTGTTGCAATGGTCTCAAAGAGGGTCAAAAGCTGAACATCCAAACAGCATGGGTGGAAAAACCCCAATAAGACAAGTTTGGAACCAGAGCCCTAAAAAGCTACCAAAATAATCAGATTGTGTGATGCTTGAACTTATTTTTTCTATAAACTTCACACAACTGTTTTATTGATTGCCTTGATGATGTTCCCAAGATAGGACAGGTGGATTGAAAACGTTCGTTACTTGGGATGGCAACTTGGGTATGGGCATGAGTCACTTTGATGCTGTCCTTTAACTGATAGTAATCTCTCCGTGATCCAAAGTTTGCACAATCCAAAGTAAAATAGTGTATCACCTCACTAACGATTAATGTTAAATCAGTGACTGGCAGCCAGGGGGGGGGGCTAGTTTTTGATTTGTAAATTAAACCAAAATACAAGTTCTAAATTCGAAATATAAGAAAATATCGTGCATACCTGTTCGTATATATATCTGTTTCGAGCTGCCCTTCTTTTTCCCGCGACGATGTGAAAAAAAGGTCTATTAGGGCAGCCATAGAGAGCTAAACGCAATACGACAGAAGGCTTTCGAACTCTCGCCATGGCATTTAATGATTATGATTTCCGGGGGGGAGCAACATCTTCAGTTTCAAGATGGCGGACGAGACATGATTTCATAAAATGACAAAAAATTAATATAAATACTGTAACTAGTGCATGTGCTAATGTCAAAAGATAATGTATTAAAACCTTCTAGCACTAAAAATGTTGAGGTATATCTTTGTAAAGACTAATATATTAGAAATAAAATTGAAGAATTACTACCTTTTATATTTGATCATGCATTGAAACTAGATAAAAACAATGTTTTCTAGATAAAATTGGACATTTTGCATAACGACGAGCTGCAGAGTGAATTAAGAACTTTGAAAGAACTATTTGAAGCGTCGTACGGCCCCACAGGACGGTAAGTCAATATAGTCAAAAATACTGTGAAAAAATACTATTGTGAAAAAATACTAAAATTCCTTTTTACTAGTTTTTAGTATATGATCTCAATACTAATTTCTGGAGTATTATGATGTATCGGTTAATCATCAATGTCATTTGCAGTATCGTGGTTCATGTCTGTTGCTTTAAAATGGTTAATATTCAAAATTTCATCACAAATTTTTCATTTTATATAGTACGAGCCTCATTCAACATCACACTGGGGGTCATGTGACAGTTACATCAAGTGCCAGTCAGATATTGAAGAACATTACAACAGTATCAACCCCCCTAACTAGGCTGCTTCTGCAAGCCGTGCAGGGACATCTTAACCAATTCAATGATGGAGGACTGTTTACCGCATTTTTGGCACTGCAGTAAGCATCATTTGAAAGGGAACGTTCGTAACATACTGGGCTTAAATTTTGCTCTCGTTTGTGTCATCAGCGGACTGCACTATTGCTTAGAAAACCACAGTGGAAAAACTAAGTGGGTCATAACTAATAAGAAATACGCTAGATCTTACTGTTCGCACAATTTTACACCGACACTCTTGTTATGGGTAAGATTGCATGGTCATCAGAGCGCTCCCCTCCTGGAACATAGCGATGGGTTGACCGTTGACGATGCACTGTGCCATGCATGATATTAAGTAAAAGTTTCTACCTCTACCAATAACTATGGATTAGCTCGGCTATTCAGGTTTTCCCTACAGGCAGGGTTTTTGCGCGATATCCATCGAACGCAGGCGTTCCTGCGCTTCCTCCTTTTAACAGACAAAAGTCGTACTTTTGGAGAGTCAGACCCTTATAGTGACTTATAACAAAAGGTCAGGCTTTTCCGTAAAGTCAGTTCGTTGATAATAAAAACTTTTATTATCCGGTGCATGTACCCATGTGAATTAGTTTATTTTGGCCGTGGCGATTGCTGACAACAGTGGCTGTAATAACACGACAAAACCAAACTAATGTATAGCCGTCCTGAATTTGTCCGAATCTTGAGTGTGATGTGAAAGTTGTCCCAGATAATTGGTCATTTACAATCTCACCAAATTTTCCCATAAATCACCTTAAAATGTCATTAAAAATATTTTTCAAAAACTTATCGCAATCCCTATTTTGATGAAGACTTATGTTTAAGCATGAGACTCTAGAAATCCAGGTCACCAGAAACAATCACTTCCTCTCTTCTTTAGATTAATCGACTCATCCATAACGTCAGGATTAGCGAGACACACAGCCATTGCAATAAATGAACTTGCTCTCACTACAATCCTTAAAAAACTCGAGAATTCACACCCGTTTATAAAACTCCCAGCAGATCTGGGAAATATGGACCAAATGCTTTGTGTTATAAGAAGCATTCTAGCAACAAAACCTGCGTCTGGTTTGAGCACAAACGAAATTCAGTCTCTGGCAGTTTTGCTGTTACGGGTAAGACAGGAAGAATAAGCTCTATATTATAATAACTATATTTTCACTTCGATAACTTCTAATAACGTGACTTCAGGCGACCCATCTTGTAATGCCGTCCAATAACTTTACAGGGATTTTTAAGTTGTGTACCCACAGCTGATGGCAAGACAGTTTCTCTTGATAATTTGAGGATTCAAGGCTGTGAAGGACCACCGTGCAGCGAGTCATGTTTGAAAAAAGGAATACTGTTGGAAGCAAAATGCCCCCCTATCACCGAGAGTAGTGTATGATACATTCACTTTTCAAGTAAATAGAGTAGAAATCATTGCGGTTTAATGCCGTTCCAGACCGTAGGGTACCTAGGTGACTTGTAAGCTCACATGTGAAAGATAAAAAAAAAACACCTGTTCCATACGGCAACATGTAACTTAATGTGCTGTAGGTACCAAATGGAAAACTGTCGTATAGGTTAGCATGAAAATATAATCGTACAACTGAACTAAGTTATCCAGGAATAAAAATTCAGTCACAAGAACACATACACTGTATTTACGGATGCAAAAGAATATTTGTAAAAATCCATTTGACATCTTTGCAAAAATATTCTAGGAAAGCAAGGATGACATTAAAGTGGCGTTATTTGATTGTTCTCTTGCGGGAAATGTCGAGGACAGATGGTTGGACGGAGCAAAGACAGAACTTTCAAGCAATGTAGTGACTATAGAAGATAACGTTTTGACGCTAATGAAGATGATGGTGGATGATTTGGTCAAACATGGAGTGAAACTTATTGCATGTCAAAAAGTCATCCACCCAACACTTCAACAGCATATAACAAGAAAGGGAGTTCATGTTATCGAGAGGTTGTCAATAGACTACATTGACGCTGTGCAAAAATTAACTGGAGCTAGATTATTTAGTTCTTTTCAATGTGACATGAGTGCAGAAGGCTTTGGGTCACTTGCAGAGGTCAAATCTCTAGTTCTTCATAAGAGAAGGTATTTTTTACGTTGTTGTAGTCGTATATAGATTATTTTTGGATGGGGTGATTTTGGCTAGAATGAACTAATGAAGGTATTGCCAAATGCAATGCATGAAAAAGTTGTAGTGATCATCGCGTAATTTCGAGTTATATGAAGATTAAATTTAAATTATGTGACACCATCACTCTTGACAATATTTTGTGCTTATTCGTTTGAAGTATCACAAAACACCTCACAAATATATATTTATATTCCCAGTGTCGCATGAGGTCCTCCATTTAACATCAAGATCTTCCTCGAATATAGCGAAAAGTACCGGCAGCATTTTTGCAACTCTTTTACGACACTTATACTCGATGATTATAGGGAATAATTTATACATCCAAATTTACAGGACTTAAGTTTTCGATTTTACTTGTTTTCTAGATTCGTTCATCTTATTCCACATTCCAGCTTAAAGCACGATATATCTACTCTTCTATTATGTGGGCCTGATGAACACAGTCTGGACGAACTGAAGATACTTTGCTGTGCCGTTTTTCAGTCCTTGAAACAACTAGTTTATAACCCATTTCTTGTTCCTGGTGGAGGATGCTTTGAGACAATGATTGCTGGTTTGTTGATGCAAGCCGCTGCTGAATTTGATAGCTCGAAGGAAGTGGACTGCTCCAAATGTATGTAATAAACCCATTACAGTTGAACGAAAGACCAGGGAGATTAGATTTTATCAGTATTCACTTCGGCTCAGCTCATGTTTTCAACATGTACAGTACAACCAGAGGATAATAACAAGGTTGTGGTGCAAACATAAGTCTTCGAACCAGAATTTCCAACAGCTTTCCCATCATATCAAATATCAATCTTCAACGGAGGTCGGATTTTACTTTCTTCAGAAAAGACTTTAAAGTTTGTGTTCAATTGGTTATCCGGTATATCTAGCGCCCATTCTGGCTCGAAATAATGATATCAAGTGAAATATTTTTTTGCTGTTTCTTCTTATAGACCAGTTTTCAAAAGGTCTTCACTCAGTTGCGTCAACCTTTTTCCACATTGCCAGAACACTTGACCATGATGGCAATAATCATCTTGTCGACAGAACCACATTCCACCATTGGGTCACACCACCACTGGCTACCGTTGACACTACTACACTTCGCAAGTGTCTGTGTGGACTGGTGACTAGTACCCAGGATATGGAGTGGAACATGACTGAAGAACTGCGAGATTTATCACAGGATTTATCAAGGGGAACATATATATGCAGATCATTGATGGATGATGTGAAGAACTATAAGCATGCTGTACTTGATGTAATGAGCATGAAAGCGAATGCAATGATGACTGCCTTTGAAACGGCAAACACCATATTGAGAATTAAACACTTCATTAAGGAAACTTTTGAATAAATGGAATAAAAAATTATAATTACTTTGTTTGCATATGCATTAAAATGAAAAATAAATGCAGTCTCCAATACTTTACAAGTCTTTAGAGCAAGTAATTTTTCTACAGACCCAGTGGTAATTTTTCTGTCTCAGTTGATTATTTCAAATCATGGTCATTTTTGCAGTATTGTAGAAAATATGAAAATTCAAACTTTCACATATGCTACTTGAGAAAAAAGTCTGGCGTTTAATGCTATCAGCTTTGCTTAGTATTATTGACGGAAATTTGATAATTTAAATAGTATCCCAGTAAATATATACAGGTTTGGTTTGCAGCATACCATGTTATTGTGTTGCTGTGCTCATTATAAACACATTTTCGACAGGCCTAAAAATAGAAAAGAAAAGAAAAGAAGAAGGTGCATTGGTGTTTGAATTGGCCACAAACATGGGGTATATAGACCCTTTAATTAATAACCTGCATTTAATATGCCCTAGTTTGCACACAAAGCATGCTTCTGACTATCTCATATGCTCAGTTCAGTTGGCCAATTTATCAGGGATTTTAAAGGTCTCTAAATGAATTATGGTGATCACAAGCCAGGATCAACCAATCATGCATGCATGTATTACTACCATATTACTCACCTGTCACCATCATCTGTGGCCACTAGACCTATCCTTTTTACAACCTCCATACCATCACTTACTCTACCAAATATACTATGCTTACCTAAAACATGAAATGAAGCTTTGCAAACGGGATTCATAAAGCATGCTAAATATAAATTATATGAAATGCCCAAGGAACATATGAACAACAGCAGTAAAAGTATATTTAAATTTACCATCTAACCACTGTGTTGGTGCCAAGGTTATAAAAAACTGACTGCCATTTGTATTTGGTCCACTAGGAAAATAGAGAGAAAATTACTTCTTGTGGTGTAAGGATTAAGGTGGTATAGTGGTCATGCAGAACTTAATTGTATGATTTAACATTGTGAATGTTTTTCTTTGTTATAAAAAATATTCAATACCTGTTTGCCATTGATAATATTCCTGCTCCTGTATGCTTAAGTTCTCTTGTGAGCTCATCTTCAAATGTTGGTCTAAACACATTACCGGTACATCACAAAAAGGCACATGTTTCCGCAACATAGAAACTAATTCCTGCACATGCAGGGCCACTGTGACAGATACACTGTGGCAGCTTGTCTTTTTCGAGAAAAGCAACTTGGTATTATTTTTTACTTATGCTAGTATGTCAAGTCTTACCCATATATAGATGCTCCTCCTTTCCCTGTTCCAGTTGGATCCCCACCTTGAATCATGAAATCCTGATGAAAGGTAATATTGTATATAGTATTATAAATAGTATTTTTACCATAATGCAGTATTTATCATTGACATCACATACCTTTATAACTCTATGAAATTTGCAATTATTGTAATAGCCTCTTTGTGCCTAGAATAGTAAAATATATTATATTGTTACTAAAACTTTCCTAGTATAAATACAGGTAGCTAGGATAGATACAACACGGTAATATTTACATACTTTGGATACAACATGGTAATATTTAATAACAATCAAGGCAATAATAACAATCAAGGCAATCTAAAAACACTGAGGAACTTATTTTTTCACATTACATTGATGAAGTTTACTAATTAATAACTTGCTGTTTTCCTTGTGAGTTGTGAGAAATTCTGATCAATCAATGAAAAGGAAGATTAGAGTTTCCCAAGGTATTTCCTGAAATACCTTTTTACTAACTTCTTAAATCAACAGACCATTTTGAGCAAATCAATTATTTTCCCTACCAATTCTGCAAAATTTTTGCATGTCTTTGGAGCATGTCGCCAGTATAACTCTACAGCAATATCTCCCTATATATTTTATAAAACATCAAACAACGTTATGTCAGTACGAAATTTACAATCAGTCAATAAGAAACATGACCAAATATTAATATGCTTTTTACCATTGTAGTTTTTAACACGATTTTCACTGGCTGCTTCTCCATTTTCAATTTTTAAATGTGGTACAATTTTTGTGCGGATTACAGATGACCTCAAAAATTATGACTGATGGCTCAGAAGCGGGTTAAATTTTCGGGTTGTCGTAGAATGCAGGCTAGTGTTAAATACAAATGTCATTTTATGAATAAAAATCTTCCATTCTAGATGATATTTTCGTTCTGTATACAACACTTTATTACATTTACACTTTCTACACGTTTTTAAGACATGTACAATACAATCATTATTGATAAATTACTGGATTAAAATCAAAATGCAAGAGCTTTCAGCCAATCAGATGCGCCCATAATAGAAGTTACGAAACCATGACAACCGAATGAGCAAAACAACAAAATGGCCAAAATCATTCGAAAAATATAATAATATCGTCTAATTTGTACACGTTCTTCTTTAAACTTAATAATGATACGCGCGTAATGTGTATTATTGTATTGGTATTGATGTTCCAATGTTCAGAAGGAAATTGACGTATTTTCGCAAAAACGTCGAACATCAAAAATGCCAGTCGCACAGACACGTTTAGAACAACTTCAAGTGCTCAAATTACTTCAATCTGTTCGCGCTGAAGACAGGACTCAGATCGAAAAACTTGCAACGAATGGTATTCCTGATTTGATAAATTATTCAGGTTTGTACGTATTTGAAAAAAAAAGTCGATTTAAAATGCTTCAGCAACATCTTATAAAAACTCTCCCTTATGATATGTAAGGTTATAAATACTATGATATACCTGTAACCTGTGTAAATCTATTATGATTTTTCGCACTTCACTCGATGCAGGTATCATATACACATTAACCACGCTTGCTCTTGCCAGCTACCTTTGTAGCTCAGTGGCAAGAGCATTGCACCGGCACCGCAAAAGCGTAGGTTCGATTCCTGCTGGAGGAGCTATAGTTGACTAATTTTCCATCAACTGTTCCTGGCTTGAATTTGAAGTGTGTATAATTCCACTCGAAACTGTAACCTTAATTACCAACTGCCCCCATCCCCTCCCCCTGCTCCCCCTCTCAACACCTATGATATTTTTTGTCTGCTATCAATTTTTTTTCAATTTTTTTGTTATATTCACACAGGACACATAATTATGCATATATCCACCTCCATAAATCATTTGCCCTGGGATAAAAGTTGATCTGTATGTCAACACAATTTAGTTCTAAAAATCTATATTTTGATGCACAACTGGCAGCTTTCCTGCAACAGCTTAACTCCTATTACAACAGATCTTGTTTGCACAAAATATCTCAAAGGCTTATTTCTATACGGTATGGTAATAAATTATTTTGCTATATAGAAGCTGAAAATGGTGATACAGCGATGCACATTGCTGCTTGCAAGAATAATGATAACATGATATCATTTTTACTGGATATGGGAGCTAACCCAAATGTAGTGAACCAACAAGGTCAAACACCTGTAGTGAAAGCTGCAGAATATGGTCACATTCAATGTTTACAAATACTGGCTGATGCTGGATCTGATATGACAGGTACCCTAAATATATATAAATATTGTAACTCCCATTGATACCACCAACTTCATAACTTCCTTAGATACAAGTTAGTACCTATTCACAGTTACAATTAACAGATGTTATATGTATTTCCAGCTAGAGACAAAGAGGGCAAAGGTATTCTGTTTTACTGTTTGACATCAACAAAACGTCACTTGACTGCAATGAAGATTGCCTTGGAACATGGAGCAAATGTCAATAATGTGGTAAGTGGATACCTATATTTTATATATATATATCTAGATATAGGTATAGTATTCTGCATTATTTCAGCATAGTGCATGCAACCATCATACCATAATCTATGTTTTTTCCAAACCCACACTAGGCATGAGCCTGCGCCCTGATTTAGTTCGTCGGATAATTTTAGAGCAATGATGGAGAACCACTCATAGTCAAAGCTGCTGAAGATGGACTTGAAGAATTTTTGGAAGAACTTTTGCATGCTGGGGGTGATCCAAATAGTAAACACTTGGTAGGAAACCTTAAATGAAATGAATCATTTTAACCCTTTAATTATCTTCTTGTCCAGAGATCCCCCCTCATAAATGCTACGCTTTCCTGTTTAAGCTTTTCTAGCCCAGTCTACAGAACCTAAATAATTTTCCTTTCCAAAATCTTTAAGCAAAGAATTAATCCCCCACCCAACAGTCTCCTTCTCTTCCCTTTCATCCCCCTATCTTTAAAAACCTTTCCACTTAATCCTTTCAGCAAAATTACTTTTTATCTCCTTAATCATAATATGTCTAAGTGAAAAGAGGAATCCCTAGGAACTTTAAAGGCCTGCAGATGGTCAAGCACATTGCAATTAGAAAATGAATATTTGTACCATACTTTGCTTTAGAAAACATCATTTTCTGCACTTCATGCGGCAGCAGCCTCGGGGAGTGTTGAATGTGCAAGATCCATTCTCGAGGCTGGGGCAGACGGAGATGCCTTGGATGGAAAAAATACTCACGCAGTTCATCTGTAAGTCGGAATGTTGTTCATTCGTTGTTGACTGGTGTAAATGATGCTGGATGTATACAGTATATTCTAGCTGTCTCTATTATTCATCCCATGTTATCTGTCTGTCCAGGGCCACGGAGAAAGGTCATTACGAGGTTATCAGAGTTCTTGCTGCATACGGAGCTGATCTTGGAAAAGTGAACACCGAAGGAAATACAGCGTTACATATCGCGGCTGTGAAAGGATATGCACAGATTTGCAAATTTCTGGCACAACGAGGTAAACTACTTGAATTTATAAATGAAAACTATACGAACCCCGGGGTGGGGGAATTCCGCACAAAGCCCTCGCTGTGCACTGCCTGCTCGCACAAAGCCCTCGCTGTGCACTGCCTGCTCGCACAAAGCCCTCGCTGTGCACTGCCCGCTCGTTTACTTGTTCTACCTACCTATAGTGTGTCAGGGAGACGCGAGGAAACCCTGACTTGCCGCTTGCGAGTTTTCTTATAGAAACGATTTTCATCGTAGTTTATATAATATATTTAGAAGCATTCTAGTGCTGTATATTGCGCGATTTCTGTAGCCTTCATCCAACAAACCTTCTTAAAGTCTTGATTATATTATTTTTCTACATCCGTTATATATAGGCTGTCCATCAGGCTTGAAGAATAAAGAAGGTAAACTAGCAAGGATTCTTGCTAAGGAAAATGAACATAAAGACGTGATGAAGGAGTGCAAAAAGGCTGAGAAAGCTGAAGCCAAAGGAAGAGGAAGTAAACCAGGCACGGAGCCTTGGGCTATCAGAGTAAGAACAAAGAATTTACTCGAATTTTATTTCTAAAGAGAATGTTTGCGACAGAGTTAGTCAACCTTGTTCTAAGTACAAAGGAGAAGTAGAAATAACAGATAGCAGCATTTGCGAACATTCAAATTCGGTCTACCAAACTATATAAGAGACCATTCAGATGACAGGATATTATTGTGTTTGAGAGAAAACGTTTTTTAACTCATTTGCAATGAATTATCACAATCACATCATTTTGACAAATATTTCGTAAGGCCAAAATCCTCCTGAAAGAAGATTTTAGATTTCCGAAGATTTGCAACTGTTCTACAGTTAATATTTACACAATTTTCCCAACGGCAGCTCCCCCACACTTTGCTTGCTATTATATAGCTACATGGCCCAACTCGGAAACAGCGCCCTACCTCCAGCCACCCACCAACCATCTTCTCATGTGGCTTTCTATGATCTATGCCTTTTCTAGCTCTACGATTGGACGTTGGAACACCAGGATAAGATCGTTGATTTGTTTTATAAATTCGACATAGAAAGAGAAGATGGCAGTCGCTCAGGAAAACTAAGCAAAGATAATCTGATGACGTGTTTATTAACACTAAGTGAGTTGCTTTGTATTTAACCTGAAATATATTAGGAGATCTTTGTATTTAATCTATACGCGAGCTTTCATATTTACCTCACCAAAACCTGAGTATATTGTGTTTCAGACTACACGATGTTTTCAGCTAGAAATCAACACCCCCTTCTTCTAAGTTAGGTTATCATTCACAATTTAAACATGTCAGAAGAAGATATCCAAAAGGAGTAAGCCGGTTATTTATCGTGCGGCCCAGTCGCCAGAATTGCATTGCTAAGGTTTGATTCCTGCGGGAGAAATCGCATATTTTGCAACGTCCCTGGTTTCGTATTATATTTCTGTCCTATATTCTCCTACCACCTAAGTTTCCTTCATACCACTTTACACTTTACATACCCGCCGACACGAACGAATTCCTATGACATTCCAGGTGCACCGATAGACAACGAACTATTAAAGAAAGTCATTGACGCTCACGACCCCAACAAAACAGACTCGATTGATTACTCTGTTTTCTTAACTGGAAAGAAATTCGTCAACAAGGTAATAACAATATCGCGAAATTTGACAGGCAGATTCCACATTAACTTTGTCTCATTTTTTCATTATTTTCAAATTTTGTTGTAGCTTTATCTCGTCGGTGCTGTGAAGGTAAACTACATTACACGCCTGCTTCTTGTGACTTTCTTACCAATATTTATACCATACGGTGTAAGCAAGGTCGAATTTTAACGTAACAATCGGGGCAGTGACTGGGTTTCCCATATGGTACAGTGTATGATGGGTGGTTGGGCAAACTTTTTACCCGTGATGTAAAATTCTTTTTCTAGAAAAAGAAGAAGAAAGGTGGCGGTAAAAAAGGAAGGAAAAAAAAGGTGACATATTTTTCAAATATATCTGCCAAGTAGGCTAATGTCGACCAAAGTGGCAAAACCTAATCATTCGAATGTTTAGGGCAAGACTAAAGTGCCTCTGCCAATCTGTACAGCTCCAGAAGGACCGAGAACTAAAAATGGCGGACCACCTTCACAGTACATTGAACGATGTGTGGTAAGTTTCTCACCATCATTTTGGTACGAAACCTCACGTCGAATCTAAGAATAATTCGTAGACTTCGTGAAGCGCGAGCATAATTTCCCAAGTATCACAGTTTTCATTGTTTCGTATTAGCTTTTTACAGACGAGTCAAGGTTCGATCGTGATAACCCGCCCGTTCATCCGATACAAGATGATTCAGCTTGGTATCTACATTCACCTGGTAAGCTGCTGCATTAAACCAACAATAAATCCGGGAGAATTTTTTTACACGTCCATCCGCTCATTCACTGAGAAAACAAATGTTCTGCGTCTTTAAAGCCCAAGAGAGAACCACAAATCTCTACCACCACCCAACCAGTATTCCTCGACTATGAATAAGTGGGAAAAAGTGAATCTTGTTGAATTTATGTTGTCCATCTATCTGTCTAGACCCAACTTATGTCAATCTCAGCGACGCGGTGAAGTTTGGTGACTTGGAGTCGATAAAACTCGCAATTAACAATGGTACACCGGTGAATCAGCGTGATAAATATTATAAAACGCCACTTATGATTGCTTGTCTTTATGGAAAGATTACAATCGCACACGCTCTGCTTGATATGGGGTAAATTATTGTATTTTTGCAACCTTGTATAACACTGCATGGATGTAGTTTATCTTTCGTGTACATTAAGACATGTTTACTAATCAGGGTAATATTATTAAGAGTATTACCTTATTTTTTCACCTTAGTGCTGACCTTAAGTCACGTGATAATTTTTTCTGGACTCCACTTCATCATGCCTGTCATTGCGGTCAGTTGGATATCGTCAAACTGTTGCTTGAAAGAGGAGCCGATATTGATGCGAAGGCCATCAACGGAGGGACTCCACTTCTGCGAGCTATCGAAAGTTCAAAAGAAAATGTTGTTAGCTACCTGATCTCAATGGGGTTAGTAGATTTTTACGACTGAATCTGGATCTGAATCTGCACAAAAATAGTTCGCTGGCGACATTTTAACAAGAACTACAGTAAACTATAACGATACTTATACAGGTCCCAAACTGTTTTCTTGAGATTTTAATTGCATCCCAGCTGACTCAGTGTGACTTGTAAAAGAAACTTAAACTAAATTAGAGTACACTGCTGCTAAATTAGAGTATCTTTTCTTGCCTGAAAAACAATTAAAACGCCACAAAACATCACCGTACACAAGCAATCTCAGAGTAGTGGAGGTAATGAACCAAATAATAGTATTGAACCAAAAAGATACGATTACCTTTCTTTTAGAGCAAAAGTTCAGTTGGAAAACAAGAAAGGTCACACTGCATTGGATGTTGCCAAAGCTTATGCTGATCCAAGAGTTTTGGCTGTCGTTCAGAAACGATGGGATGAAATCCCTCCACCTGTTGATAAAAATAAAAAAGGAAAGAAGGGTAGGTTGATGATGGACCGCACTTGGATCACGGAGAGACTATGGTATTGCCTTTATCTTTGGGTTATTCAAACAATACTTCAGGATTGGATTTTCCTGCAGTCCTGCTTCAAATGGTCCTTTGGATTTAATTCCCAAAACCTTTCGTAGCTAAACCTGCTGAACTCTCGCGTCAAGCATGTGCATGATGTTATTTATTGAAATCATTGGGTGAATGAAATATTTTATGAAATCATTCGATGAATACATTGAGAAACCTAAAATGCAGGATTCGGGTTCTTTATGTCGATTTTATTGTTTGTCTGCAGGTCGAAGTACTCCTAAAAGATTGAAATCCGCCGGGGAAAAGAAGACCAAAACCAACACTCCTGTCTCTGTTGAGGGTGAAAAGCAGGTAGGCCTATTACCAAAAGATTTTTTACAGTCGGTACATTAGTCGCATTATTTCATTTCAACTTCTAATTACTATTGAATTTCTGTATCAGTGAAGCATCAAGTGATATTGGTAATTTTTTTTGGATATCACTTGATGAACACGTTTCCTTTTTTGTTTTAATAGGATGCCAACGATAATAATGATCTTCCGCCATTATTACACAAGTCATCAGTTCTTCGAGCTGCCTCAGCATTGGGTATCGTGGGAGAACAACAGAGATCTATCGCATTTGTTCCACATAAAGCCTGGATACCACAAGCAACAACGGTACGTTTTTTTCACAATTAACCGTGGAGGTCAACACTTTCTTTTGTGGCGTAACACCCGAGCTTCAGCTTCCCCAACACAGAAAATGTATTTTGTTGTATGTAATTCAATTTTTCTTCTCAGGAGGATCTGTTACGAGAGCGAGAGACTCGGAGATTGCGATACGGTTTTGAAATAGACTTCCCAGAATACAAACCGCCATTTCAAAAGAACGTAGATATACGCGTCACAGAGTTAGCAAAACAAGATAGCTGACCATGGTTAGGTGATCCAATGGATGGGTAAAGAAAGCGGCATGGCTCGTTGAAGCGCATTGCTGACTACATGGTCGGAACTTACGGGGTAGATTCAGAAGTATCTCTACCCTTCATTATCGACGGGTTTCAAGTAAGCTTGGTAGGATAGCAAATGGTGGTCATATTTGACACTGCTGAGAAAATTGAACTACATTTTTCATTAATATACTGCATAATGTTTATGCAATCAAATCACTGACAATATTGACCATCATCTGCTAGCAAACTATAGCAATGTTTAAACCCAACTATAATATCGCTATCAGTGGAGGGATTCTGCTATATGGTCAGCTTGCCCAACTAACTGGTAGAGATTGGAGCTTGTTTGATAGATTGGAGCTTGTTTGATAGATTAGATAGAGTTTTGTGCTGCCTTGAGATGTTTTTACTACCAATATCAATTATCTTACTCACTTTCTACTCATTACCGACGGTTGTCAGCCATTGAACTTTAGAGATGTTTATAGTTTAATATGTTGTTTTTCATATTGCATTTGTAGAGTAAATATTGTAAAACAATTTTTGTAATAAAAGTAACGGGAGATACGTAACTGTGAAGGTACTTTTTCAGGCTTGAATTCGCGACATTTATGTGAGAATGAAAATTAAACTACATTTTTAAATTCGATGTGGCTAGGGGAAGAAGTTAACATCAAGGGCTTGCTATCTTCATCATATACATATTAGCTAGCATAGCGGAACTCTCCTAGAATGACCGCTATGTTTAACGGATGGATGTAAGACTGGTCGAAAGAAAACTTTGTGAAATCATAAATTGTTTGCGGATTAGAACAATCACTTACAATGAACAATTTTCAACCGCTATCTAGAATCAAGATGGGCTCGCCCCGCTAACAATACACCTCTGCTTTGGACTCCAATTGATGTGCAATAAAATTACTACATATTGTACACATGGTGAGATAGATATTAAGTAATGTACATATTTTTCACCCTGTCGCTCATCACAGGCTGACCTCGACTGAACGAAGAAACTTTGCGAAGATGACTGATGATAAGGATAATTACTGATGATGATAATTTGGAAACACGCAACTCTCTAGTTTTATACAACTCTGCTGCTTTGGACTATCGGAAAGTGAAACTGCAGTATAATTAAAGTCAAACCAAGTTTGCGACTCTAAATCATTTCTGCGTCAGCTGCGTCTAAGCTTGGGAGGTATTTGAAAAATCAAATAAAGCCAAGAAACGTTTGTTTATTCAAGATAATCCTATAATCTCGCGGTTACTGGAGAATTAGAATAGTTAACGCACTTGTATTAAAATAGTGTGTACATTTCAGTCTGTTCTCATAAATGTAACACTGCATTGACGCACTGACAAGGCCTATTCCCGAAACAATTGTAAACCAATAACCTTACTCAAAATGGCTCGACCGCCTGTCTGGGGAGAGTTGACTCTCTTATCATTACAATGGATTTCTATTAAGTGATAGAGTAAACTTGAGGGCGAACAAAGCAACGTTTGCCCTTATCTTCACGAAATTTGAACTTCGATGTGTCATGGCTTCTTCTGAAGATTTGCTACCCTTCGAAAGGTAGGTTTGTATAAAATGTAACTTACATATAGACTGATACTAAAGTTTCTGATTCAGTTTATATGGTGATTTTTATTGCCATTTGTAATGATTAGAAGATTTACACTAATTTTGGTTCGCTTAAAAATTCCTTTACTATAACAGGCAAGTAAGGCTTATTTCCGTCGATTGAGCAGCAGCGTGGAGTCGGTCCGTGACATGAAGCATGAATATTGCCGCCCCCCCCCCCTCTTTCTAATCAGGAGTCTAGTTACGAGCCTGCCTCCACTCAGCACCAAGAGTATTTACCTCCTTCCTACCTCCTTTGGCCCCGGTTGGCCCAATTTTTTATATTTCTCACTTTTTACTGACTTTCCGTCGTCGCAGTCTGTTTGTTTTCTTTCGCAGTAAACATATGTTGCACGGCAGTGTAATTCTCGTGCAACTTTGAACTTATTTTGGAAACAATTTTGACTAATTTGACAGCCCTAGTGAAAATATTAGAAAACTGCATATTGCAGGATCATCATCTAGCAAAAGCCAATTACTAAAAGTATAATAATTCGCTCATGAAGTAATGAACATCCAGGTTAGTTCAAGCTGGCTTTATCCCAATATCCGTTTTGGAAGACTCCACAAAGCCTTCGTCACCAGCTCCTTTCATCTTTATCACGGACTACAACATTTCACCTTGGTCGGACGTTTCCGAAGAATACGCGGTCAATGACGAAGATTTCGGGGTAAGTTGACTACTCTGTTATATTGGGGGTGATATGTGGATACCTCTCTAGTTAGGTACGAAAGTGTTCTACATCCCAGTCCAGTCCTGGTGCTAGGGTAGCATCATCAGACCATATGATCAAACATACTCAAATGAAAAAATTATAAAGTGAGGGCGGGGGGGGGTGGAAAGATACTTTTTAAACGGTAATCAAATTTAATATATAAGTATTTTTAGTCTACTAATATGATAAAAATTTTCCAAGTTTGCATGTCCACTGGGAACATCTTAGTCTTCAAAGTGGCCAAGTGGGTTTGAACCGTGTCCTAGTCTAGTCCAGTGACCAGCACTGTCCGTGATCATAATTAATTAATAATTACGACTCGTGAGCTTCGTTTGATTACAGTAAGCTACCCTATCATTCAGAAGACTGATAAAAACCGTAGTCGAGAAGACTCAAATGATTTCTTTTCTCATTGAGGAAAGTCTTAATTAACATCACATAAAATTCACCGGACGCGTTTTGAAAAGACGTTTTACTTTTAAAGACCAATTACCTCACAATGACAGTGATGACACCACAAATATACGTAGATAATTTAAGTTTGATGAACGAATTAGAATTAGAACTAAAATAGCATTGAAAATCCGTCCCCTGCAGAAAATGTTGATGCTTTTACAATCTAGCTGTGTACACTATATAAATACAGTTGCTATTTACATGTGGATTAAGTTGCAATTACTGCATCTTACAAGATAAAAGTGAGAGAGCTAACTAACAACACTATGGCCCATTTCCCACTTCAATGGTATCGTAGCGTAACGTAGTTCTTTGCCTCCTAAGTATGCGGCTAGAACTAATTTCTTCAAAACACTGAAATAAGCTACGTTCTGCTATGATAGATTGTGGTAACAGGTATTCATAATGTGATGAATTCTTTTTAGCCTTTCTAATGATAGGTTTTCAGGCATATTGCAACCCGTCTGGTTGACCAATTAATTAGGAAATATTTCTAGCTAAGCATGATTCCATGGTTTATAACATTAAACATGATATATAAAAAGATTATGAGCGCTCAAATTACGTGGTGCCATATCTATACTGGCAATGCGCATTAAAACCTATCATTCAAATGGTTAAACAGTGCCTATACAAAAGTACTTGGGAGAGAATAACAAATGTTTGCATCAGAATGAATGTTTTCTGGTGTAATAGCTCCCCCTAGAAGAGAACCCTGACTAAGTGAGTCTAAGTCACTGCTTTTATGGTAAATAATTGCAAGATGAAATAAATACAACCAACCATTTGTTAGCTTCAGCTGGAATGCCTTCCATCACTGTTAAAATGGGACATCATGTACATGCTGTTGAGAATTTTTGCACCATCATTCGGTCTTAGAACTTTACTTGAAAATCTAGGTACTGTATCATTGTTGTTAAAATAAGGCATTGAATCATTCTGCAGCACCATTTTTGGAATGGATGGTTCACTTTTACTGTACACTATAGTGTTTGGGCGACCAGGATGAATGAACTTCTGGGTTGAAATGTTGGGTTGCATTCTTTGTTCTTTACCTAGACAGTCAGCATTGGACTCCCCTGTTGTTCGTTGCTCATTGCTATGACCATCTGCTTTTGTATGAGGGCTTGAATTCAATAAGCTTACTAAATGAGTTTGGTCTTTGTTAGGAGGATGAGATATAGTTATGACTGGCTCCCGTACACAACTACTTGTTGTCAATAAAGTTCTTTGAATGTTTGGTTTAGAACTTGCACTCACACTTTTACTATAACTGACTGGATCATTCAAGGTAGCCAAGTCTACAATACGAGAAACTGAGGTTCTAGGAGCATATCCTGATTTGATCTCGCAGTTTGTTGCCCCACTCCCTGGAGGGCTTATAGCCTTCTTTATATGTCCAGGCAATTCTTTCACACCATTCAAAACAGGTGACTTTGCTACCCCAACCTGACTACACCGTAGTGAACCAATTTCTTGGCCAATCTTATGACATGTTGCAGCATTGCTTGGATCTTGGGAGTTCACTTTCTGACTATTGCTGGGTGACAACTTTTGGATGTTCTTCTTTTCAACCTCTTTCTTGTTGTTGGATACAGTACTCAAGTCACCAATTCCAGGACTTTCTTGATTTCCAATTGATGACTTATCCGAAATTCCTGTAAGATGAGCAATGCTAAAACTTAGCTTTGCCTTTGATTCAGAGGGGTTGGAGGGTTTCTCAGCTGACTCAGGGTTTTCATAAAGTAAATTTTGGATCTTTTGAAGGTTTCTGGATGAATGTCTTGGCTCACCAACTGTGGATGGAAACAGTGACGACAGCTTGGTTGATGGGCTAGACATGAAGAGTGATGGGAGGGTACTAGGTACTTGCTGAACAATCGAGGGCTGTCCTTGGGTTGGAAAGTTATGAAAGGTGTAAGCAAGCATGTGATCTGGGGCTAGGCTACTTGTACCATGTTCATTGATGGGGCCTGGCACAGACCCTAATGGCAAACATGCCATGGGGGGATCATAAGGATTACACATTGTAGGCTCCATCAAAGGCAACTTTGAAACTTTCTTATCTTTGCTTTTCTCGACTTCTTTTAAATTGCTCATTGGAACATTTGGCACTCCAACATCAATCTCCATATCCTCATGGCTTTCATACTTATCCATTATTAACCTCTTCTTTGTTGGTGACACATTTCCAGTTTCAAGGAGACTTGTCTTGTATTCTAGTTCATTTATCTCATCTAATAATTCACGCTTTCGCTTCGTTTGCAGCGTCACCTCATCAAGTAAACCCCTTCTGAAATTATCTGGTATGTACAGTTCACTCAAGAGGACATTGTTTTCAACCTTACAACTGTCGCTTGCTTCAGCCTCTCTTGTTTGACCACAAGAATCTTTAAGGATTGTGACCTCCTTATCGATACTCACACACTTCTCAATAAGTGTCAGCTGTTCTTCCACCAGCTCATGCAACATCACAAATGTTTCAGCAGGTTTGGAAGCATCAAGATCCATCTCTCCCATTCGTTCTTCCAGAAGTTTCTTCCCCTCCTGCTGTAGACCATAAACCTGGTACTCCAAATCCTCTACCTGTGTCGTTAGCAACTTTTTTCTCTGACGTTGCTCTGTATACTCATGAAAAACAGTTTCATAGTACTCTGGTGTATGCATATGTTCCCAAAATGCAATGTACTGCTTTTTCATTGTGTCTATAAACTTGTCTATTCCTGGTGGTTTTGATCCTGCATATTTCCTGGAAGACTTTCCAAGTGCAGACCTGGTTGCTTGATCAAGTGCAGAAACAGCTACATAGTCTAAATTCTGCTTTCCTTTCTTACTCTTCATATGTTTACGGTACTTCCGTTTCACATTCACTGCTGCATCTTTCCTTTTGTCCTTCCGCCTTTTCTTTTTCTTCTTGCGGACATGGCTGGTATTCAACGTATTGTCTGTCTCATCTTTCTCTGGCTCAATCTTGTGTTGTTGAATTAAAGCAATGAGATCATTCCACTGGTGTCGAGTTGTGGTTCCAAATGCAATGTCATCAAGCTCATCCAACTTGCCCACCCATTCATCATCAACACTTACTGAATCATCAAGACTTGCTGTGTCATCCCTGCCCATGTCACGCTTCTTTTTCAAGCTGGAAAAATACTCCTCAAGCATGGTGCTATCAACCATATGCAAATAATATGACACTGGGTTACCAGTCCACGAGACAGATCCTGGCATGGTTGCCAACTCTGTAATTCTCAAGATTGCACCAATGTCGGATAGGTTGCGCTTTGTCAATCTAAAGTTGAGTGGACAATAGGGCTTTGAGGAAATAATCCTTGTACCATCTTTCAATGATGAAAACCTTTGTTTCAGTTTGTGATCTACATTTGGCCCAAAGGCAAAATTGTTTACAAATATTATTGACGCTTCACCAATTTTAGCATGATTTTCCTCCAACAAAAAATCCCCTTTCACGAGGCGGTAAGGACTATACGTTTTACCATGCCATCTCATCCAATGCCTGAACAACCTATCCATTGCAATAGCATATTTCGCCGGGGTTTCAGCTTTCTCTATGCCAAAACATTCCTTTATGTTTGTTGAAGCGGCAACCTGTAGTACAACTTGACCAACACCGCTACCCAAATCCAGAAAGGTTTCATCGGATTTGAAGGGAATCGCCTTAACCATTTGCGCCACAAGATCGAATGACGTTTCTCCGTAAACCTCGGGAGAAAATGGTTCATACAAATTCAGCTTGTCAGGATCCTTTACAGAATGATTGTACACTTTCGAAAGTACATGTCTTAATAATTCCTGCGAAGGACGCCGATTTAAACACGCTGGGGGAGCTCGTCCTTTCCATAGCTTCACAACACTGTCCACGGCACGATTATAGCGTTCACACAATTTAGACATACTGTCAAAACAATTCGGATCATAATCGTCTAAAACACGGTCTATAGCGATTTGTAATTCTGGAAAATCTTTCCCAACCCAGCGAATCGTATCAACAATTTCTAGTGTGTCATCTCGGCCGTGCGTATGTTGTAAAGGCCAGTCGTAAATCATTGCCTCTGCGCCAGCAGGACTGTGAAGGCTTAGCACTTGTGCCATTCTTACATCTACTGTTTTAAAATAACAACATATTTGTACCCGATCGTTTCAAAATATGATTCTTTTACTTGAGCATTCATGTCGTGCTTTGGCGGCTACAATCATTCCAACCCATGATTCCAACCATGAAATATACACGCTATGTTTGATACTGTTTCCACTTCCCCAAATTTATTTCGGTTTTCAAAATATCATTTGGATTTCCATCACAGCAGAATTTCGCAAAAACGCTCTTTTTTATATAATTTTTGAGTACTCTGTCATTCTTTTATAACTGTACTTTTCGATTAAATCGAATACCGCATATATCACGATAAAAGTATCCCAAACGAAGTAAAGAATTTCAAATTTTGACATCATATAATTTACACTTTTGTAAAAAAATTCCCAGAACACAAAAAATGTCTTCCGGGAACAAAGTGCCGGTGGCCTAAAACTTTGAAACTGTAAACTCGCTTATTGCTATTGAAAAGTGCAATGCTGCAAAGATTAATTGCATGTTCTTAAATATTTTTTTAATTCTTACTAGTGACTACGCCACAATAGAAAGAGTAATATTTACAAAACGCTAAAGCATATACGCTTCCTTATTGCTTTATAGAATATTTTATGTCACTTTCCCTATGCTAAACTAGGCGATTATCAACTAATATATTTGTATATATATACAATCTTATCAACCTCCTTATCATCCTAATAGGAAATCAATCGAAGGAAATCATAAAAACAGTGTAAATAACAATATTTTTGTAATTTGAAATGTATTGAAACATACAGAGATCAGTGACGGAAATTTTTTTCTCAATTTCATGTCTCTAGTTTCTAGACCTCGAGCGGTTTATAGACTTTGTTATTTTTTTCGAGTTGTTTGTTTCGAGTGAAAAACGGCTAATGAAATTAACAATATTTTGACATAAAACTGGTCAAGTATGCCTGAGAAGGTATGTATTCTGCTATGCGCAGAGAATATATATATAAAATAGTTTATGTTTTTAGCGAGTGCTAAAGTCTTTTGAGCGTCAATACAGATCATGTGGCGGTCAATTCAAAAATTGTCCTTTGATCTCGCGAGCTTTATATGGATTTTATTCAAGGAATAAAAGATATATGCTAGTTAAAAATTATAAATTTTCAGGAACAATTATTGAATATCATCGAAAAAATGATGATATTTACTGAAAGACAGGAAAACAAATTTTCTGTTATCCGTTATTTGATATGTAATAAATAGGTGTGGGTAGAAAGAGCTTCCTAATTCAATTTAAAATTTGCCAAAAATGGTGATTGATATTCGAAAGATTTCATTTTTTCTATACAATTTCCACAGTATAAAGATTCTATACAAGGATTCATTTTTTATACATAATGGCACAACTATAAATGAATAATGATAGTTTGTTTAAAAAATATGAAAAATATAACCACAGTGATCAAGCCTAAGGTAAAAGATTAAAGTGATTGTTTTTAAGTTTAGTTGGTTATGGCTAAAGTTTATATTCTAGAGATTGATGATTCTGGTAGGCTATTAGAATGCCCATAAGGTTAATCATTGATTTCATACATATTGTTGTATAATTGTGGTAGAGCTGACACTTTAATAACTCTGAACATAAGACATACTACTCTTAGGGTGAAAGGTTGGTTCTTTGATAGTTCCATTTATCAAAGACATCAATCTTGTTTTCTAAGGAGGGGAGAATATTTATTGCATTTTCAAACGTTCTTTGTTCTTTTATATTAAAGCTCAGATCAAAGGATTTTCAAATTTCAATTTTGTTTTTTCATATTATTCCAGAGAAACAAATACATAACTCATTCTATAGCTGATCCACCAATATGTGAAGAGGTAAGATTAAAACTCTTAGGAAGAATTTTTTACTCTACTTAGGGACAAAACATACTTGTTAATTAATGAATGTGATAAAAAAACTTATATTATATTTAGTGTCAAAAGAAAGAGCTCTCATTTTTTGACCCAAGTTGCCCTGGATGTTCTGATATACTAGCAGAGTAAGTTTCAATATATAGTGATTATATTTTAGTCAAACAGATGTGCTATCAATTGTTTCAGATATTGTAGGTCCTACAAACTGACATATAATTACAGGTTAGATGTTACGTTAGAAAAATAAAAAGTTATTTTTCACGATGGTACATTTTCAAGAACTGAACAGTATTAATTTCCATGGCTAAACTACAGTATAGTTCATGGCATCTAGGTTGTTAATCCATCCCATACTCTGGTTTGATTAATTAATGAAAGTAATCACCACACAAAGATTACATTCACGACGCAAACACAATAACACATACAGGATCCAGTCACCTTGTATGTATGCAAAATTACATTAAATTAGGTAGATTTAAAAATGAAATCTGAATTTCTGCCAATACAGCATAAATCCAACATTGAGATGCACCATCTGTTATTTCTAACCATGCAATTTGATGTGTTCTCTATTTTATATATTACTCTCTATAATCTAGTTAGTCCAAAAGCATAATATGAAATGATAATAGGAGGAGGGAAGTACAATATCATCAAATGCTTCTTCGAAGATGGTTTAACTGTAAGACATGCATGCAACCATGTTGAAGTACAGTACCTCATTGTTTCATGGTTTAATTTTTACCATTACTCTTTCCAGCCATCTCTAAAGAAAAGCCCCAGTGAAATGCAACACCAATTGCAATTTAATACATAAGAAACTATATGTAAAAACACATGCTAGACCTATGGTATACTAACCATACAATGGTGTACTGTAATCGCACGCGGCATTTTTGACGTTTTAATTTACGGATTGTTTCGCCCAAGTTCTGCCCTCCGTTGACGCATTTTGAAACACCAGAATGTAGAACATACAGCACATATTACAGTATATACATCTTTGCCGAAAATTGACTCCTTAAATATAAAAACACGGTTCAATCTTTATCGCCCGTTCTCTTCTCGTTGTCATGAAGTATGAACCATATTTAACATACAGGGTGTCTCCAAAAAAGTACTCCCTTTGAAATCAAACCCACGGATGCGTAAAATTAATAGCGAAAATTAGCATATAACAATCGCGCATTTGAAATCCAACAAAAGCTAGATTTCAAAAGGGTACTTTTGGGAATTAGGTAAATTATGAAGTCCTCGCAATGCCGGGACTCAAAATTTAAACTAATGCAGTATATTCGTAAGTGGGGTATACTAATAAGGTATGTCAAACATTACACCCAGGCCTCTAAAAATTTCTTACCTTAGGTTTCTGAAGCCTGGAAAAATTAGTTAGTCATCGTAACATAACAAGGACCGTGAAATTTGGCTACCAGCCTACCAATATATGGAGTAGTGATTTACATAGTGGCTTACGTAGTGATTCCTTTCAACTCGTTTGAATTTTTGGTGTCTAAAATCCTTTAGCAGCAGAAAGTGTTTGCTTTAAGACCAAGACTTAACTAAACCATTAAAATGTACCTTTGAAATATTTGCAGTTCAGAGACGTCGATATCTGAGATATTTGCTATCATCAGGCAGTGGGTACCACAAGTCCAACAAAACCTGGAAACGTTTGTAAATGAGGTATTACTGTAAAACCAAGCCCATGTAAGACAGACTTAAATACGCAATTCCATTTATTCTATTTAGTCTTAATTTATAAAATTCTGGAAAAATATTGTCCATACGATTACGCTTTTCTTCCTGAATGTCATTGCATCCTCCCATCATTTTTGCACGCATAACTGAAGTCATTTCAGTTGCACTTACCATCACGTTTTCATAACAGATAACAAGACGAGGTGCTGGTGTAAATGACCGGGATGGTTTGACAGATATGACACTTTTACATTACGCCTGCAAGTCAGGAGCTGGTGAGATTTTTTGTTATAAAAATAGGTACGCAATACGTACATTCTACAGCTTATTCTCTTTCTCCAATTAATCTTAAGTTGGTGTTGGTGATGTTGACAGCGCAACTACCCTGGTGACAGAGCTTATATCACAGGTAACTAATGCAAAATTTATACAGTGTCTAACAAGTGGTTTCTGCCGTGTGACACAATGAGAACTCTACGTTTCAATTCTCGTCCATTTTTACTACAGGGTGCAGATGTTTCGTTAAGGTGTCGTTGGACAGATATGTTGCCTGTGCATTATGCTGCATTCTTCAATTCTGCGTCTGTCATCAGAGTTCTACTGAAAGCAAGCGGGAGTAAAGGTAGAGCTTGTTCTATTGTAGCTTCCTGTTTTATTGTACTCAATCAATAAGTAAGTATAAATTATTTTGACATCAGATATCGATGCGACCTGCTCAGGATTTGATAACGGCACAATACTTCACATAGCAGCGAGCAATTTGTGTCTCGATGCAGCTAAATGTTTGGTAAGTACTGCACGAGGGAAATTTATATCCGACTCTAGACTGAACCAGAAAGACTAGTTGCTGAGCAACTGTTTCCAATGTACTGTATTATATGATACCAGTTTTCAGAAATCTTTCTTGACTTTCCGTGAATTCTATATTGTACCACCACCTTTACAAACAGAATTGTTACCACTGTAGTGTTTCATTTTAGCTACAACACGGCGCGAATGCATTCGTTAAAGACGACAAAAACAGAACTCCGTTAAATACTATTCCAGAAGGTACAGTATAGACCATATATCTGTAGTTATATCTATATGATATAGACTCTAGCCCCATTTACACTACGCGCAATTTAGTTTGGTACAGATGAAATTGGTACGGATGAAATTTGACAGTTTATTTGGGAGTTTAAAATTTCATCTGTACACTGAATTCTTTAGTACCGTACCAAAAATTGTAGTGTAAATGGGGGTTCTACTCTACCTAATATTTAAGCATAATGAATAACTCTCGAAAGAACTTCCACAAAAAAAACAATCCACACTGATCGAACTGTCCAGTTGGCATTGTTCGCTTGGTCAATAGGAAGAGTTGTTTCTAACTTTTTAATTTAGAGTCTGGATTTGGAGTTGGTTTTTAACGGCTAAAAAATTCGATGGTTAAATTCTTTAACTCTTGTAGCGAGTACTTTTGAACGGGATTCACCATCAGCTGTTATCGCTAACAAATTAAGAAGATTACTGTGCGAGGCAGAGACAAGTGGGAGTGAGTCCGGAATGGAATCAGCTACAGTAAGTAAAGCAAGATGATATAGCTATGTACTTTTATAGTTGAATTTCACACGATTTCTTAAGTCATCTCACTAATGCTTGCTTTGCAGGATTCATCTGTAAATATATTGGATATTATGGGTTTAAAGATTGGAGATAAAGTTGTCGTCGGGGACAGCAAGGTTAGGCCAGTACTGCTAACTAACCTAAATAACACTCATTTCTAGGCTGTCCGTCGTATGAACTTGTTAATTCATATCTGCATGTGCATAGTGTTGAAATTCTCTGGGGATCCCAGAAAAATCAAGGGATCTATATGCAGGGCTATAAACAAGTGAACTGTTACTTATATAGGGCTGGAAATAAATTCTATCCTTTACCTCGAAATACTTTCAACGCTACTCAGTTATTCATAATGGCAGGGATTCTATCTGCCTCACAACAGCGTTCACTGAAACCCGGCAACAATTAAAAAGTCAATCAACAATGTGGTTTTTCAGGTTGGAATATTGCGTTATTGTGGCAGTACAGACTTTGCAGAGGGGCAGTGGGCTGGCGTAGAGTTACAAGAAAATGTTGGAAAAAATGATGGATCAGTCGGTGGCAAAACATATTTCAATTGTAAACCCAAACACGGTACGATTTCGGTGTTATTTATAACCTATACCCCATGACGTTGAATCACTTCCTGGTTTACTCTAGCCCAAAGCCAAGAGCATCTACTAAACAGATTGTTCGAATGTTTAAGAATGTGAATCTATCTTTTAGGTATATTTTGTCCCGTATCAAAAATCTCAAAGCCGAAAATACGAGCTCTTCAAAAAGCGCGACCGAGCTCCGCAAAACTTCACTCGAATCGCGCGCGTGTTGTGCACGCGAAACATACCACAGGTGGTTCGTTACCAGGCTCCCGGTCACCGTCACCTCAACCAAGGACGAAACGCGAGGACAATAACAATATTAAGGTTTGAATTCTAGTGTCTATTGATTGTGTTCATGAAGACTTCGAGAATGTTAAACATAGCAAGATAAGCTGGACTGCCATGTGAAAACTTATGGTGCTGGGTCAAGTGGTACGAAGGCTGGATATAGTGCCTATCCACCAGGTTAGGGTTAGGGTTAGTGATTCTCTCAACCGTTGTGAAAATATTGGAAAAGCAATAAAATTACAACTTTGGAGCTAACAATTATTTAAGAGGATCCTCAATTTAAGAACACTAAGTTTTAATCAAAGTTACTCAGAACAAGAGTGAGTTAGAGCGATTACAAAAAAAAACACTATACAATGGATAGCTCTATCCAGCTTTCGGTCCCTGGTATAACTGGACACACTTCCAAAATTATTATCTAACAATTGCGTTTGGTAGAAATAAAACTAGAATTAAAGTGGTCACTAGCAATGGTCAGATCATCATACATCATGCCATTATCCATCATATTCAAACATACCCAAATCCATAATATCCAAACATATTATCGTTCAATCTTAGGTTGGAGACAGATTGATTTTGACGAATGATGAAAAGAGAAAAGGCATCGCTAGATTTGTTGGTGAAACACAGTTTGCTCCCGGGTAAGGCCAGGGAATCAACTATGCAGAAATTTCATCATATCTTAACGGTGCTCATGTAATACAAAGCGCGGTCGAGTTAACAGTGACGAATCGATTTTTTTTCTAATCTAGACTTTGGGTCGGTGTAGAACTCGACACAGCGTGCGGTAAAAACGATGGCTCGGTGAATGGTGTGAGATATTTTGACTGTCAACCAAACCACGGCCTTTTTTCACATCCTTCAAAATTCCTAATGTATGTTTCACTTCTTTTATACAAGTTCCAAAAATATATCTTATTCAATGCTCAGTGGTTATCCACCGTGTTGACACATCTGAAACCAAGGGGAAGTACTAGAGATGTTCAGAACAAATTATCCCGTATAAAGAAACGTTAAGCTTTTCGCCTATGGTAACACTGAAACGATTAGGAAAGATTTTTTGTTACATTTGGATTAACTATTAAACGCCTGAATAATAATACTGGTTATAAGTTGAGGTTTTCGGTGGCAGTAACACAGTTAATAATACTGCACTGGGCAGAACATTAGAAATATTAATGGTTGTTTAAGGCCTAGGTTATACTTCGGATTATGGTCGCGTTAAATGCAATTCAAACAATAGATCAGACGATAAACCTTATTCTCACCATTATCTATTGTTTGAATTGCATTCAACGCGACCAAAATGCGACGTATAACCTAGGATTTAGTTTCATTATTCTGTTACCTCTATAGTGAGAAGCAGGAACATACAACGTTGGCTGAATCAAGAGCAATAAGCGCCTCAGATGACTCCTTAAACACGAGCAGACTGGAGGATCCTCATAGCTCAAACCCAGATCTCAGCGACAAGAAATATTCTTTAAGTCCTTTGACTCGTCAGTTGTCCAGCTCTGTTCCTGATCTTAGCAAGAAAACTGATAAGAAGTAAGTTGGTTAGGAAGCAACAAAGCATGCAGAGGTTTTGATTGGTTGAAAACTCGAAGCGGGTCTGTGAATGTCTTCATCCAATCAAAATGCTGTTGTGTTTTGATTAGATCAATAGATACAAGCATTCGCAGCAAGCTTGCAAGTAGATTTTTGCGATGAGTGGAAAAGAACCATGCAATACCGTAAAGATATTGATTCTTGATCATCATTTCAGGTCGGATTTGCGTCGAAGCGGTATTCCAAGATTTAAGCGTCCAACTTTAAAGACAAATAACAAGAACAACACAACAGAGAAAACTATTGCGAAGAGAAGCGCCGAAGAAAACAAAACAGGCGGCAATAAAACGTGAGACGACAGCTGGTGTAGCCGTGGAGCATTTACAATTGTTACTACCGCTTCAAAGATTAAAATCAGGACCGTTTGATCAGTTCGAGCAGACCTGGCATTTTTCGTGATTATTATATATTTGCAATAAATTTATATGAATTAGCACCGATATGATAATATTGTATATAATTATGTGTTTCAATAATCACGCAATCGTTATCATTCTATCACATGCAATGTTAATAATTATACCAGCTGATTATAACAAACACACCAAGTTACGCACAATCAAATGTTATACCAGCATTCATTTGGACGCAATACTTATTCGTAAATTCTTCATGCCAGTTACCAACTTGTTGTGGTATTTCAACTTGCAAGAAACTTATTCCTATATCGTCGAAACGATGTCGGCTTTTTGGCGTGAAACCGATAACTTTATCCACAAATATTTTGAATCCGCCTGTCTTCAAGTCTTCCTCAAACCTTTTTGTTACACGGAATTTTCCTTCGGAGAAGGGAGTGATAGTAACGTTCACGTCTCCTCTTTTCGACGGTGGACACTTAAATTCAGCACAAACTGAACGGTTCGACGGTGGGATGGAAACTATCTTAAAGCCTTCCCAATTTTTTGCACCAGACTCGGTACTTTTAACATGAAAATACACTGTTTTATTATCACTGCACGAACCCTTTATAGCAATTTTTACAAGACAGAATTTAGCCGGGTCAAATGAATCGTGCCATCCTTCCTCTGACGAATCACTTATTTCAATGCTATTACTGATCCGATTATCTTCAAATGTCAAGTGATTGACAGCTGAATAGCACTCAAACATTTGTTGGAAGAAAGGCCCACGAGACGTTGAAACTGATACATTGTCTACTGTTATTCTTCTGCTAAATCGATCAAATGCATCGCTAGAATTGTAATACTTAATGCCATTTCCAAAGTTTTTAGCAACAGGCTTCAGAACTTTGTTTTTAATTGTGGCCTGGATTGTAAGACTTTTGCAAAATGTTCTAATGCATGTCGCTCGACCGGTGCTGGTATAATGGACATTATAGTTGTTTCTGTTTCCCTCCTTCGACACTAGCGTGATCTTTACCGAGCGCGCATTAACTGAATTGCTGTTGTCATTCACCATAATACTGATTATGCAATCGTTAATACTTATTACATCAAAATTATAGAGTTTGTAAACCGTGTGATCAATTTTCCCAAAGTAAAACTGTCTCCCCGACCTTTTAGATCTACGTGTCTCGTGCTGTTTCAACCCAGAGTCCATCATGCGCCAGCGCCCAGTCTTCTCGTCCATATACCACAGTTTTATAGCTCTTGCTTCTTCTTCGGTAATATTGTATTCATCAAGATCTAAGAGAACATCAATATCTGTTTTCGGTTGCAATTGTTTGCCGTTTGTGTCCTTAAAGTCAAGTTTAAAAACTCCAAATGTCTCTAGCAACTGTTCTTCGCCATCATAACTAACCGTCGTAAAATCCCCATCAGCCTCGCGCACTTGCGTTTCGTTTCTTGGATCAGCGAAACTTACTTCAACGTTCGCAGTTCCATTGTAAATTTCACCGTCTTCAGTAACTAGGCTTTGTGGAGGTAAAGATAAGACCACAGGAGCAGGGCCCGTCTTACCCTGACTGTCGTTTCCTGAACGCCCCATTTGTATCTCAATAACTGTCGAAGAGTTAACTAAGATGGGCAAAGGCCTTCGTCTCATTTTCACTTCGACGAATGTCACGCTTCCAGGCACAATTGAGACTACCTTAGTTAAATCTTGGAAATCGTTGTAAGAATCTCTGCCTTTAAACGTCAAGACAATGCGTGTTTGATCGCCGGGCATGGAAAATGAAAAATCTCCATTTCTACCAGATCTTGTTAGGTACTTTCCAGCATGGTAAATGTAGCCGTACTTAAAAGGAACATTGTCTGGGCCAGTTGCTACTCCTCTTATTGTTGTCTTTTTGGGTGAACATTGGCCACAACCACAACTTCTTATTCTTGTTACGTTAAATTGAACTCCTACAATACAGCGAATTGTAACGGTCTCTTCCGCCACAGACTGGCAACAGTAGTTATCAGAACATTTCTGTAAGGAGAGCAAGCTGCTTGAAATGCATTTTTCACCGCCACATCGACCAACATCAACCGATGAGGAGTTCATGTTCTCCTCAACACATCCTGGTGGTAGCGCCAAATATTTTGATAACGGTTTACCATTGCAACTGTCATTTTTTGCTAGAATATAGAATAGAAGTTGACGGGTGAAAGCAAAGAGTAATCACATTTATATACACATACATGTGAAGACAGCGAAAACGTTTTTATTTAGTAAGAGATATAATTATGGTTTGAATGGAAAATGTGTGGGACGAAGATACCTGAAAGGCTAGGCTACTGAGGCACATAACTTACTGATAACTGTGATCCTTGCAACATTTGAAAATTCTGCACCGTAATCGTTGTACACTCTGCATTTTACTTCTCCTGACATATTTCGGTGCAAGCGAGATATGGTTAATTTACTGCTTTTCTTAGTGTCTTGTTGGAATTCGCTTACTGAATGTCCATTGAAAATCCTGTCAGTCAATGAATAACATATATTTATAAATACCACGGTATAAGTAGCAGAATTTAAATGTTTCATTGTCAGTTTCTTACCACTCATAGCTTGGTTCGGGTTCTGCAATACCAGCACAGCATAACACCATAGTTTGACCTTCAATACGAACTTTGTTTTCAGGATGGATGCGTACTTCGGGCGGGACTAAATGTGAAATATTTTTTATATATTTAACGAAATACTTCAATCAAGGACGTCTATTGCGCCATTAGAAATTATTTAGTGGTGAGTATGAAAATTCTTTACCTATTTGTTTTAGACTTGCTGAAAGGGAAAACATGGTTGGATTAATCTTCTTTGCTTGCAATGTTTGTGGTAAATATCCACTCCGCTCCACTATGATCTCTTCGTTCAAAACACAAATTCCTCGCAACTCAAAGTGACCAGCGCTATTAGTTCTGGCAAGAATATTGAATGGAAACTCCGCAAGGGCAATGGTAGCATTGTCTAGAAGAACTTTCTCTTCATTTCTTACAACTCCTTTCAAAGTAACGTTGGTGCAGATACACGCATCACATGCGCTGTTCAAGTGTCCTACTGGGCACGGTTTTGTACAATCTATAAAAAGATATATAATAAATATCTCTTTCGGTTACTGCCTATCCATAGTAAAACTAAGGGATCAAACTGATTTACTCTTTCTGCAAATCCATTCTACTCACCAGGACATTTCCAACTAGAACAATTTCTAAGCAATGTATCGTTGCCATAGCAATTTGTGATAACGTTTGACTTTTCTGGATTACCACAAATCCTTTTCCGTGTTTGTTTACCACCACCACAAGAAGCTGAACACACCGACCATCCTTGCCAGGTCGACCACAAAGTTGCTTGTGGTTGAGAAATTTTTTTGTTAATTTTTGTTAATTTTATTATTGTGTTTTTCTGGCGTAAAATTAATTATAAATTATAACAACTTAGGTTTTAAATAAACTTTTACACTATCGGATGGACCATCGTATTATGGCCATTGCACTATAATAGCATAGGCATAATCGCCCTGAAAATAGGCATAGTCAATAGAATATTGAAATTGACTCAGCGAAGGTTTAGTCTGTGTTCAATTAATCATTTTAATACCGTCAATTTCAAATCTTCCAAGTATACTTGTGTTTTCTCTGCACTTCAGTCTTCAGTGGATTTGTTACGGCAGATTAAGGGCCACACAGATAATAATTATACACATGCAATAGCCGATTGTAAACTGAAAAAGGAAACTATAAAAGCAGCATCTTTTTCAGAACAGTTTATAAAATTGTAAAATTCTAAAGTTTATAAAATAACTGCTTGTTTAAACTCACCTATTACCACGCTGGTTGTTGGGACTGGGTATGATGTTTTAGAAGGTGAAACATATTCTAGGTAATGACGACGTAAGATTAATAAAAGAGATCATCAATATAATAAAAAACGACGATTTTTTTTAATAAAAAAACCAAAGTCAACCGCTATATCAACTCACCTCCTTTTGAACTATTCATATTAAACGAAGAAGTGCCTTGAAAACAGACAAGATTTTCAAAGCCCCTGTTTATACTACACGCAATTTATTGGCACGGTACGGCTAAAATTTGTACCCGTACCTATATACAGTTGGAGTCAAAAGTCTGAGTCCAGTCGATTTTTCTTAATTAAGAATAAATCTCGGATATCTTGTGAGTTGGAGATTGGATATGTTGATCTTAACTTGCGTAGTTAATAGTAATGCCTCCCATAGATTTCTCGTTAATTCTTATGGTATTTAGGTGAATAAGAAATGCGTATTATTCTTTTTGTTGACCAAAGATAGCAAAGAGAGGGTCAGCGATGATGGGGTGTCTCTAAAATTGCGAGAAATTGAGGTGAGGTTGTATATATGTGTCGAACGAAAAGTTGGAAACGCTTTGTGAGTCAGATTCGTATTTAATTAAATAAAAATCTGCGAGACCAATGGCTACTCCGGCTGCAAAAGTAAATGGCAAGAAACTAAGAAGAGTAGAAGTAAAACCAGTGGACCGTCCTTAATCAATGGTGGGATGGAATTAAACCAGTTGGAAATTGGCACTGTTCTAATATTTTGTAGGACTCTTTTACGTTTTAAAACAGCTTTGACTTTTTCTGGCATAGGGTGAACCAGTTTTGTTAGCACTACTGGTTCAATTCTATACCACCATTGATTAAGGACGGTCCACTGGTTTTCCTTCTACTCTTCTTTGTTTCTTTCCATTTTCCTTTGCAGAAGTATCCCTTGGTCTTGCAGAACGTTTCCAACCCTTCGTTGGACAAATATAACCTCTTCTCAATTTCTCGCGATTTTTCGAGACATCCCATCATTGTTGGCCCTCTCTTTGCCATCTTTGTTCCACAAAAATACGCATTTCGTATTCAAACCATGAGAATTAACGAGAAATCTATGGGAGGCACTATACTATAATAAAATACTCAAGTTCAAATCAACATATCCAATCTCCAACTCACAAAATATCATTTATTGTAAATTGAGAAAAATTATTGACTTTTGACCCCCGATTAGTGCTCAGGCTACAAAACAAAGACCCTGGCACGGAATCGGGATGAATTGGGTCACCAATTTTAGCCGCGCCGTGCAGCCTCGTACCCAGGCGCTTTAATAGCAAAAAAAATAATGTTGCATTCAATAATTGTATAGAGGTTAGCTAAAAAAACGGGAGCGCGCTGGGTATACCATACCTGAATCAGGGCGCTTATATATAAGAATATACATATACAGTAGAGGGCAAAAGTTTGAGTCCAGTCGTTGTAGCATTCCAGTTATCCAGTATTAAATCCTGGCAGTGTGTTCGAGTTAAGACATACTTGCTAGTGTTTCAGTAATGTAAACCATATTAATTGCACACTGTCAGTTTGGTCCTAATGATCTAAATTATAACAAAATAAAGTTCTTATTCCTTTACACTGCCCAAGATGGGTGGGAAAAAGGGCGAAGTGATGGTGCACAAGGACAAATAGTTGCATTAAGTATTGAAGGATTCTTTCCTCGTAAGATCGCAGAAAAAGTGAGAATTTCAAAAGGTGGTATGCATTAACCTTGGAGAGGTTCGAAGAAACTAATTTCTACTCAAGCAAACTTTTAACTGCTTTGGTCATGCTGGGTTTGGCAATATTGAAAGATATTATAGGATCCTAATTAAAGAAAAGTATCATCCAATTCTTCAAGGACATGGAATTTCATCTGATACAAAGATGATCGCGCGTCTAACTACATGATAATCACCCTAAGCACATGCACATCTTCTAAGTGCCAGAAATCTTTTAGAAGCAAACTCGTTCTGGTGATCTCGTTCTCATGGCTTTTCACCTCAAATTCCAGATCTAAAACCTATGGAACACTTGTAGGACCGTTTTAACCGGAAAAGGGCGAAGCACAGACCCACCAGCCAGGATGACTTGAGGCAAGTGGTCAACGAATGCTGGCAAGGTATTGAACATGCGACATTAAAAAACCTATGGAATCTATGCCAGCAAGAATAAAGGCCGTTTCAAGAGCAAAAAGAAGCATACTAAGCATTGACATGTAATGCATGTTTGCACATTAACATACGTTAAATGAATATCGTAACATCTCATAGATATTGTACAGCATGTATTTTTCAGTTTACTTATTTGCTTTTTTCTAGTTCACTTATCGGTAAGGTTTTCTGTAGAATATTAATATATGCTGCTAAAACAATGAAATACAGTCACTGGACTCAAACTTTTGCCTCCTACTGTATATAGGCCCTGACCTGAATGCAACGTTATATATTTTACTATTAAAGCGCATGGGTACGAGGCTGCGCGCCGTGCCAATAAATCGAGTGTTGTGTTAACGGGGTTTTTACGGTTTTAATAATAAAAACTAAAGATTCAACAAAAATTTGGGCCAAAAAATGCCGAAAAACTGACCCCTTTGTCCAATTTTACGTCAGGAATCGATTTTTGGGGTCAAATAGACCCTTGGGGGGTGGGCATCACAGACCTTTGTCACATTTTTGAACCGCGTGACAATATTTTGAGCAAGCATTAAGCACGCGCTTAGCAACGCTCATCGCTTATATCTTATAATGGCTATTTCTCCGATTCTTTAGCACATGAGCACATCCTAACCCCAGAAAACCTCAAAATTATAACGGAATAATAAGTAAAATTCAGACAGTCTAAAGACAACTGAGAACAAAATAAAGTCGAAAAACATGGAATTTCGAAAAGTATATGGTTGCCATGTGTGAGTAATTTCAGATAACAAGTTTTAACAACGCAAGCTATAATTTTGACTTATATTACAAGTGCGGCATATAACTATCTGCTGATTTGAATTTACTATTTATTGACCTCTTCAAGCGCTATCAATTGGTGGCATTCCGGCATCTTTAGCCTAAATACTTGCAGAGATATTCAATTTAGGCAAGGGTCCCTTCTATGACCACAGACATTAGGGACCAACTGAAAAGGTATTTTAATGTCTCGTGAATGTCACCTATAGCTGTCACCGTCCGTGATTAAAGTACGAATCTTTTGTGCATTATGTACCTGTTGCAACAGAAGACGCCAGTGAACATGTGGTTTGAGAGCACAACCCTTCTTCCAGATTACTTGATTCTTTAAATATAAATAAAAAAACAGACAATGAAAAGGCCATGCTAGAAGGAATGTAGATAGTTTAGTAAAGTAGTATATTCGTTAAAAACTCGGTATAGACACACCGGAATTTAAACTCTCTGAAGATTGGACAGCTTTGATAATCCCAACAGTACCACCGACAATCACAACAATTACCATCACGAAGATCAACAACAAGCAGCATCGTTTTGATGCGTGGCAAGACTTCCTGTATTTCTTCTCATAATCCGGATCAACAATATACATTCCAGAGGCAGAGCTATGAAACACGCCACGTTTGGTTAACTCTTCGGTACTGACAGTGGCCATCGCAGTTTTACACTTTAACAGCACTTTACTGTAAGATCAAACTAATCTTAGCAAGCAAGTTTCCATGAAAAATTGACGCGCTTTATTATTATTAAAATATCTGTAAGGGCCTGAACTTGCAGCGGTTAATTTGTAGTGTTGGAGTTTAATTCGTTTCAAAATAGAAGGATATAGAACTGATAAACTTTGATATAGTATAGATTTTTGTAGTATTTGAGCAGCCATAAAATTTCAAATTTCTTACCTCAATTATCGCAGCCCAACACAATTAAGGCTTCAAAAATGCAAGCAGTGACCACACGTTTCCTAAAACCACCCGCTGCTTTGATTGAAACCGGATTCTCAAGCAACTCAATATGCATTTCACTTAATTAGCAGCCTCGTTCCCCGGCTCTTGGAAGTTTTCGCGGATACAGCACTGAGCGCGCGGGGATGCTTTGGGAGGTTGGGAAATCGCACCTTGCAACGTCCCCAAGCACCCCCGCGCGCTCAGTGCTGTATCCGCGAAAACTTCCAAGAGCCTGGGAACGAGGCTGCTTAATTAGGCAAAGTTTTAGATTTATGGAAAAATGTTTAAATACCGCTGTCCGTTGTGCAATATGAAATGGGGGAGTGGGCTAGAATCGCGTAAGATTTTGTGAAAACCCGTACCACATACAGACAGCGAAAACTATGCCAATAATTAGATTATTAATAATTAAATTCCCGTACCAGAATTTGAACTCTCTGAAGATTGAGTAACTTTAAGAATTCCTACAGTACCACCGATGACCACAACAATTACGAGCAAAAAGATCAACAACAAACAGCAACGCTTTGGTTGTCGGCAAGATCTTTCGTAATTCTTCTCGACCTCGTACTCCGGATCAACAACATTCATGGCAGAAGAGCCATAAAACGAAACACGTTTGGTTAACGCTTCGGTGCTGACAGCTTCCATTCCTTTCTTAGAGTATTTTATTATACTGTAAGATCAAACTAAACATAACAAGTATGAACGTTCACGTGAAATATCAATGCATGCTTCCCTATCAAAATACCTTTTAAAATTCAAAAAAACAAAGTATATATAGAAATGAAATAACTTTGATTTAGTGAATGAATGGCTTTGAATGGCTTTTGGTACAGACGCATTAATAGTTTTGAAATCTGAAGTTGAAATTTCTCACCTTAACTTCGCACCATGCAAGATATATATTGAGAGCTCCAAGCAGAATTTCCTGCAGGTTTTTCTTTTCCTCCAATTGCAAGGAAGTCAGTACGTAACTGAGTGAATAGCATACATATAGAGATTAAATATAATCTCTACAGATTACTTATGAACAATGGTTAATACTGAGACCTTTACAGTAATCATGCAGTCATGCATCAGGGCATTAAAGCAGGTATTTGGTAATATTTTAGTTCATGTAGTAGTATTTCATCTTAATTCCAAGACTCGTTGTCTTAATTATTAGTACTTTTATACCCTCAACAGCGCAAACCATTTACAATTACTTTTTAATAAAGTGTTATTAATATTTAAACTAAAGTTTCTGAAATATTCCATCATCTCCGGCATACCGAAAAAAAAACTCCAGTTCTTCCAAAACATTACCGAATCCAGAAAAGCATATCACTTCAAATTTGATATAGCACGAAAATTTTCGTTTAGTATCACGTGAGAAACTCGCAAATTAATTATTATAATAGGCAATCGCAAAATTTGCCGTGTTTCCCTCCCACCCCCAAATTTTCGCATTCGTCAAACTTCATTTTAAACTATATTATATCGATAGTGATATCTCAGCTATTATTGCACGTCGTAAGTTAACGTGGTATATTCAACTTTTTATGAATTAGGTACACTTTACCTGAGGAGGTAGCTTTTATAGTTTTTTAGCTACTTACATGCAATTAATGCAAACGCCTAAATTTTGAGGCCAACCGATAGTCTTTGAAGATGTTCATTTGATCGGTGAAATACCAACTATATACTCTTCACAACAGACAGGGAACAGGGACCAGTGGTACGAACGAAAGCAGGATAGCGACATTCACCGGATAATGTTTTTTAATTTGCTATAGTCAAAATAGTCCAAAATTTGCATGGTAAAACCGTTAAACTTCGGTATTCTTAAATTTGTATTTTTCTGTTTCCTTCATTTCTGTATATAATTTTTATAACTTCTTCAACATTCTGTAACAGTTAAAAATTACTATCGGTGGCTACCAAGCCTTCACACGACCGGGTCCGGAAGAGAAATGCAACGATAACCTTATCTATACCTATCTATACAGACAGTGATTAGAAATCATAATATCATTTGATAGCTCCTGTACCTAATATGAAATCTTATTATTGTATCATCAATTAACGCCTACAATAAACTCGTATATCCCACAATCAGAAAAAATATTCCACAATCACCCATATATTCTAAAATAGACACATCTATCTATACTGCTAACTATGCTTATCGTACAATCACCCTATATAACAACATACGTCATTTTTTCGCTGGCGTTCCTAACTTGGACCTCCTAAACCAAGGCTTACTTTCCTCGGCAGCCACTGCCGACATATAACTGGACAAACGATGTTCTAAGTCCTGGACATTACATTCAGCTTCGACCAACGACAGTTTAGTTTGAGCTAATTCTAGCTCGAGTTCTTTCATACGTTGGTCCGCATCCTCAATTTTTACACTGGGTTTGAATGTGTTACCGGGCAATTCTTCGCCATCACCCGTGAACAGTCGTGAACAGTTCGTACACGAACCGATCCTTTTCTGAAATTTATTATATTAATGCCTAAGTTAGACGGGTAATTCGACTCGATCGAACTTTATTATACTTAATCTTTATTACTCAGTTTTTATTTGTTGATTGTTAATGCTTTTAAAGTAAAAAGAAAAACGTAGCCAACGTTTAAAGACATCGCTTTTTTGGCTATGGACTATTGTTAAGTCAAAATGTACTATATTGTTAAGTAATCAATCAAACATAAACTGGAAAATTCACGTCGGTCTGATGAATTGCGTTCGGTATATGTAAGGGGCGGGCTATGTTGAAGACATTGTACGGAAATGGAGGTAATGCAGTATCATTATTGCTGAATACCTACTTACTGCTGACTGCAAACCTTACTTTTATCAATGGAGTAATATCGAGTTTCTTACTTTAATTTCACGCAACTCTTTTTCCAAATTTGATTTGAGTTCTTCACTCCGTTCGTCAAGTTGCGAGCAAATCTGGTTTGACAAAAAAAAAGCATGGAACATCTCATCATCAAATATGTGCCCGAACAGACTTCAATATATACCTATACACAAAAAACAACCCTAACACCCCGTCCCCTAACCCCTTCTCTAATCCTATAACCCTTTTATACCTTTTTATATTCTTCAATGAGAGATTCATAACGTCGTCTCATTTCTTCACTTTCCTCAACTTTCTTACGTAATAATTCTTTAACCTATAAACAAAAATAAGCTTTTTGACAACTCTGGCGGTAAAGCGGAGTGTGGGCTTATTATTGATGATGGGGAGCTCATCTTTTTTTCTCACTTGGTAAAAATTCGAATAATAAATATTTTCTAGCCAAAAATTCTCAGCAACAGTACCAACCAATAGTGCCTGTCGGAGGGTGACTATATTTTGTGATAATGTCGTGTTTGCATGGGGATACTATCATGTGTCGAAAGCTTGTTATAAAATTTTTTAATAAATCAGATTAAAAAGAATACAGGAATGAGCGAATCACATTACTTTATTTGGAGAGATTACGTAAGGAAGAGAATTGCATCATATGAACAGTCTCTTACATGATTTCCGTCGGCGCGAAACTTCAAATTTTCATCTTGTAGTTCTGGAACTTTCTTTTGCAGGATTTCTAATTCTCGTAAATAATCCTCGGCGTGCTCTTCAGCCTTGGAGAAAATTAGGAAAGAAATTTTACTAGACTGGATGGTAAATCTCCAAAAAAATCAAGGTGATGGGTGAGGCTTTATTTTTCAAATTCAACAAGAAAATATGAGGAAGTGACGATGGAAGCTGTATATTTTTCAAGTTCAAAAAGAGTAAATAGAAAAGTGAAGGTAGAAGCTGTATTTCCCAAGTTCCATAGGGAAGAATAAAGAAGTGAAGGTGGAACTTGTATTTCCCAAGTTCGAAACGGAAGAATGAAGAAGTGAAGGTGGAAGCTACGTTTCTCCAAGTTCAACAAGAAAATTAATGAGGTGGTGGAGCCATATTTTCTAGCTTCAACAGGAAAAATTGACATTAGTCGTAATACGTGGTTATCTTAACGTAAAGCCACTAGTAACTAACCTCGTCAAGTTTTGCTCGTAATGAAACCTTGGTCGTGACCAGTTCATAGGCAAGTGCATCGTTTTCCTGTTCAATTCTGATGTTTGCCAACATTAACTGCCGGTTTTCACGCTGAGAGGTAAAACAACGTTGAAGATACAAAAAAGTATTGCTCGAGTCTTTAGTACAAGTATTTACCAGATTTCGCTGATGTGCTAACGTTTTTATCAACTGCGCGCTTACTTGTAATCGTAGGACTGGGTCCTCGTTTTCTTTTTCCCTCTCTTTCTTTAGTTCATACAAGTCTTCATATCTCTTCAATTTTCTTACAACAGCCTGAATAAAAATAACCATAGTATTCCTAAATATTTTGCTCAACTTTCTTACGTATTTTAGACTCGCAGATATTTCACTCCAAGTGCTCCAAGTGCTAGACTTCGTAATTCACCGGCGGCAATGGTATACGATCCATTGGAACCTTTGCACAAACGCAGCACCCATGCAATGACAACGCATACTGGGCAACGCGGTAAAGCATAAAAAACATAATAAAATTTGATAAAATAAACCACAAACGTTACTTTGTAGGAGAGAATCACGTTCATGAAGTTATTTTGCTCTTCCTCGCTGATAAATCGTCTTGGTAGAGAAACACGGAAATATTTCAACATTCCTTCGAAACTGAGTTGTAACAGGTCTTTCTTAGCAACCTACAACACCAGGAGCATACCAAAAAATGTTTAGTAAAGTCGAACTGCTACCTTCTTATTGCGGTAATAATACGGTAATAAAAGAAAATCATAGGCTGGCCAAAGTAACTGTACCTTGCATTTAGAAATATAGCATATATAATTCTATATATACCATACCTTTAACAGTGCTGTGGCGATTTGGTAAATAGTGTGTTTACCCTAAAATATTGAGATAGAACTCAGAGTAAACAACTCCCGGATGACAAAATGAACATGTTTCTGGCAAGGAACTACGTATAAAAACAGACACGCACCTCGCTAAGATATAGATCCATAATCCGGTAGACTAAAGGCAACGGAAATTTCGCGGTGAACAACGTCAAGAACCACTGGGAGCAGAACATGTGAGGTTCAACATTGTTTTCAAGAAAATGACTGTGAAGATCTGGTAGAAACTCCTAACAAAGATTATCGCACCGTTATTAAACCTTCTTCAAATAGTTCCATTGCATGAGAGTCACTCCTCATGCAATGGCAATTATAGGCATTACGTGTTACCACAGGCACAGTCCAAAACTGTTTTCCTTCAGTGAGCTTCTTGTATGTAAATGTTTTAGCCAGTTGTTTCAGCTATAATAAATAAGCTGGTAGCAAACCCTTATTATATATAACACCACGTTTCTCATACCTCCGTGATTCTTTCCAACACAAAAAATCTCTCGTTCAACTTTTCAAATCCATTTAGAAACAAATCTCTATGACTGAAATCGTACATGATCTTCACGAAAACGGCAAACGCTTGTTCCTCAGGGAGCTAAAAAAGGGATAAGATTATTTTCACTCATTCGCATCTATCAAAAGGAGAAAATTGCAGCAAAAATCGCAAGTGTAAACGGGCCTATACATTGCTCGCGCAATGCGGAAGCATCCTTTGGTCTCGCAGTCGTCAGACTCGGGCAATTTTTGCGCCCTTTTTAAAAATATGTTTGTGGATGTATTTTAGAGATGGCACTCGACGTGTATGAGATCTACAAAGGAAATAACTGAATGACGATAAACACGTACATGTAGCAAGAGCACTGCGGCAAGAAACGACATTCCTTGACAATAACCAACTTCATCATCGTACACTGAGTATGCCTAGAAAAAAGATTATTGTCCAATGATGTATGCAAATGACGTATAGCTATACCTAGTGTGGGGGAGGGGCCTTTTTAAGAACATTTACTCCACCAAAACCCTAAATGGAGAGCATCTCGCCTTGTTTCCAGTTCCTCCCCAAGGCCTTTTGAGAGAACTTGAAGACTCAACGCGAAATTAGTTTGCACCATTTCACCTCGGGTACAGGTAGTTACACACCTCCCCTCCCGGGATCCCCCCGGGATCTCTAACTCCTTCTCTAAACGGATAGAAAAGGCTATAGGAACATCATCGCACAAGGATATATCTACTAAAGGGGAATACCCGACAAATCTTTTGAAGATTCTCTTGTCCTTCTCCGCTGGTTCTGAAATAGTCGTGTCCAGGAAATGTTCGATGGATATCCCATTGTATCACTTGCTCATTTGGAGATTCCTGTTTGAACGAAAAAAATTGACATTACATTATCTCACTCGGATGTACGCATGATTTTATAAAGTTATCTGCTGCACGAAAACACCGGGGGGGGGGGCAGTTGTATAAAAGTAGTTAACTTTTAACTGCAGTTAAGGACAGAAACGGTCAACCAGAGTCGTGTATTTCTGAGTTAACTAGGATTTAACAATGCAAAATGTAAATTCTAGAGGTTCAAAGAGTCTTAATTTCGAGTGGAATTATACACACTTCAAATTCAAGCAAGGAACAGTTGACGACCTATTTTTCCATCAACTGTTCCTGGCTTGAATTTTAAGTGTGTATAATTCCACTCGAAATTAGAACCCTTTCAACCTCTAGAATAATAATTGATTTACCCTCTATGCAAAATGCAGTTAAAGAGTTTTATTACAACCGGCCCCATGCAGCTACTAAACTACATACAACAGACTCTCAAGTTTGGTTGGTATGATAGTTTTTGGGTTCAATCTCAGTTGCGATAATCCTTTCTAGAAAGGTATATTCTTACCCTTCTAATAAGATCTTTGTAACTTTCAACTAAATAATTTGTATCCTCCAAGCCAACCAGCATCTGCCAGACTTTCGCTCTCAATGGTTCTGGGACACCCTATATGGAACATCTTTGAATTTAGACCCTTTCATTAGTTCATAAACAATACAATAAGTTTACTGTTTAAATATAATATTTTCAGTGGTGTGGTGTCCTTTAGTTGACTTGGTCACTTTTAGGATGACATTTGATCGGAAATGATGTGATGAACTTGCTTAGAACCTGTCAGTTTTGAAGAACCTGTCAGTTCTGAAGGCCAGCTACTTAGAGAAAACTTCGTGAATACTGGAATCACACCATGACTGAGGCAAAATTATTATCAGGGAAGGTACAATAATTGTATCCATATAATCTATTATATAAGGCAAAAGCACTTTACCTGTTTACGTATCAATGATTTCACTTGTTTTGGACGAGATTTAACATCTTTCCACTTGATCATAATCACAGACCAATTATCGAGTTGTTCTTCGGAACATTCACGTGTCACATCACCAGATCCAGACATCAATGGTTCATCATCTTCATCTTCTTCCACATCATCATCTGAAAATGAAAACATAATCTTGCATTTGCCACAAGAAGAGAAGACTAGTTTCACTTCCAGTTACAATCGCTTCTAAAGATTCGTCTACATCTGAAGTTCTTCAAATCGATGTAAATGAGTGGATGAGTAACACGAAAGTTCAGACAGACACTCGACGCATACAAAATCAGAAACATTCATACATAATTCGCTCGTTCACAACTAACAAAAGTCGCATTCAATCGCATTTAATACCTTCAATTTTGTCAGTATGTGATGTTAATATTTCTTTAAATTCTTGCTGGGTGGAACATTGAAGACTCAATACTTCGTACGATTTCTCATTCTCCTTTTCATCTTTTGCCTGTGAAAAGCAGTCACTCAATCATCATAGGACCAAGCAAGCAGAGTCAGAGGACAGAATGAAAAAGATTCAATGGGAGAAATGACTCACTCCAAAAAGTCCCATACACTAAGAGTTTCTATGAAATCCCTATGAAATCTATGAAATTTTTTTAAAAATGTCAAAATAACAGGCTAATTTAGACCACTATCTGACAAGACCTACGTCAAAGTATTTAAACATACCAATTTCAACTCGAGTGTATACTGTTCCTTGATCTTTGGACGACTAGGATTCCAGAATCTTTCATTGTAAGGATAAACTTTTACTCCAACCTCTTTGATAAAACGTACTGGTTCACTGATGCCAGATACCACGAAGTCGACTGCGACTGTCATGTAAACTATAAAATCTAAAAAATCTCCACAATATAACTCAAGAAACATTAAAATATGTTGCTCAATTAGTCCCACTGTATTGATTGACACTGCTTTGGGCTACAAAACGTTACTTAAAATCAAAAAGAAAAAAATGGTAACCTTTTTTAGTCTCGGTATTCAACACCAATGTATCCTCTCTCTCTGGGTCCCAGTTTCCCGTAATGACGTATGTTCGTCCATTGTCCAAATTTTCCATGGTTACCTAAACACGTGATCAGCAGTAATGAATAAGCAAATATATCTTGACGCTCAGTTACCCTCAGTAAATTCTTCGTGAAATCTCCACCTACCTTTTCCAATAAATTCATGTCAGATTGTGTGACATTTCGACCCGGACAAATCAAAAGACCAAAGCACCTAAAAAAAGAAAATTCCAAATGATGATTTCTTGGAGAACCGATATGTAATCCAACTCTATTACAGAATTATCGTCATTCCAGTGACACTGGAATACAACCAAAAATGTAATGTCAGCAATTAGTTATAGCTGTTGGACAAAACTTTTTTCTATCATTACATACTCCTTTCTATCATTACATACAGATGCAGCAGACATTAGGGGTCAAATCAGGATGACCCTCCCGCGTATCCAGGGATAGAATGAGATCACATCGTATTAGAATGGCAGTAATAAAACACAATATGTGTATTTGGGCAATATCCTATTTTTTTAGATGCTCAAGTTTTTCTTGATGTTGCACATAGACGACATAGACGCTGTGTAAGGTTATTACCACCGCCATTACCAGCCCCCCCCCTTATCAACCTGAGCCTAGGTATTCCTGCTTGCACTTTTAGTAATTGACCACGCCCTTTAGTCAGACAAAAGCAAAAGCACCCCTAAGCTTTAGGTACGTGCTACACTTGTCGGCGGAGAGGTTAGAACAGATCTTGTATCGTATATACCTTAGTGATCTTATTAGTCTATTAAGACTGCAGAACTCCTCAGCGTACCTCAATGTCTCTCTCAGGAAACGAAGTTTAAATAATGATTCTCACCTTTCTAAGATAAGCAATCTATTTGACAGTTGATGCAGTTGTATATTGATCTGTTTATGAACATCACGTTTTAGCTTGAAGCAAGTTTTGTCCCTGGGAACTGAAGCATAAGCTCCTTTTCCATCATCTTCCAATATATCAAAGACCAGATCAAACTTGTAGACAAGACCAGAATCGGTTTGCAACTGTGTATAATAAAAATCAAGATAAACGCCAGCGTTAATTTACTAAAACAAATACAAATTTCTAACAAAAAAATATTCTTTTTCAATTGGGATCGGTTAAGTGGACCTGCTTCAGCTAGTTTCAGACAATCGAAACGATTGAGGGAAAAGTTTAGTTTGAACGAAAAACCGCCTAGACACTAGCAGAGGATGTGCTTTACTTGGACCACGATCTAATGGAAATATGTCAGTGCCAGCTAGTGGTAATGTACTGCCAGTAAATGAACTAAAGAATTATGTGTTAGTGTATTTTAAAATGTACAGTAGCCCCGAGATGTTTATTCAAAGGCCGTTTAGCATCAAGATCGAAGGATTCAGTATAAGCGGTGGTTTTTTCAATTACTTTGCTTGAAAAAATGAGGGGTTTTATAAAGAAGGAGGAGTTCATTTCCAATCACAATACACAAAGGAATCCCTACCTTTTGTTTATTTCTGAATGACTGTGCAAATCTTGTCAAAATTTTCGCTGCCTAGAAGTTTAAAATAAAAAATGAAAAATATTTTTTCTCGTCATTAAAATGTTTGGATCCACCAACCTTCCTATGTTTTTGAGAGTTGTTTCCACGTGGAAAATGATCAGAATTAACTATATGCTACCTACACTTGACAAGGAATTGTGGGTATAGTTACTGAAGAAGATTACTTCAGAAAAAAGTCACAACAACAGTAAACATTGGCAATGCAGTGTGCCCCAACTGATGACTGCCTACTTTTCTCGCCAGCGGAAGGGCACTGTCAATTGTAATGAAAGTGTATCAACATCCCAAGAAATAGATTGTTACTCACCACACCGTTTTCAAGGCAGCGAAAAGCATGGCAATGAAAAATATCCGCGCTTCCATGACAGGTATTAAATGCAAAGCAGTCAGCTTCATTGCCATCATCATCACCACGACCACAGAACAGGATCTTCTGCAGCTGGTATGTTGCAATTACTGTTTTACTATGAGGGTCAAGAAGCTTAACCGCTCTATTGAAGGATGCTCCAACAGATAGCACAATATCAATTGTGACTCTACTTTGCTGTTTAAGTACTGACATAGTGCGCTTCAACTCAACATCACTGACTGGTGCGTTGACAGTGGATGAACCAAGATAGGTTATACTGCTAAATAATGTGACATTGCTTTCATCTGAAACTTGTGAAAGATCTGATAACTCATGACTATGTCTCTTTTCCCATTGTTTCCCTTCTGTTTTGTTTGACCCTTTAGCACCTGATTTGTTTTGTTTAGGCTTTTCAGCCTGTCCAGTATTAGCTTCTGAATCATTCTCAGATTTTGTAGCATGCTTTGAAGTCAATATCTCTTTTTCTGTTTTTGTTTCCGTCTTAATAAATGAAGTTTCCTTGAACTGAAGTTTACTTGAAGTTTCCTCCAAGGTATCCTCAGATCTTTCTTCATGTGGCTCTTTATTGTTTTCAATATCAGGGGGGGTTGTGTGTTCATCTGTTTCATTTGAACTCTCTCCACTCTCTCGACCAGCTTCATGAAGAAGCTTTTTCAAGTCTGAATGTTCTGTTGTCATTTCAACTCCCGGGGATAGAGGCAGAGATTCAACCTCTGTGAAGCTACCAAGACTACTGGCACCAGATTTTGTTAAAGGTGCAGATTCCCCTTCATCTAAATCACCAGGATTTAGCATCTCAAATTCAGGTTCCCTTGATGGTGCTTCACTCCCAATGGAGTCATCGCTCTTAGCTTCAGGCGTTGAGACATCATGTTTCTGCTGCACAGAAAGGATCTCTGGGTTTTCTGTAGGTTCTTTTTCCAAGGCTTGGGGGGTTTGATTGTCTGTGTTCTCTGAACTGCTCATGGTTTTATAATGATTAGACCATTGTTATCACCAGATCGTTCTTTGTAAGCAGTTTTCTTAACTAATATAAAAGGAAAATTTGTGATACTTAAAAAACCTTTAATAGCTTAAATGCTAATTACCAATGCCATAGGGACCTTTTAACCAATTTCTTGATCACCGAATAATGGGAAAGTGAAAAGGGTTGGCAAGGTAGGAGGACTGTGCCCTTGGATGACTCTCACTGACCTCACATTCAAGTCAACATAGCAATTTTCCTAAATTTGTAGACCTCAATTAGGGATTATCATTTTCACATTGCAGGAGCTCCAGATAACTCATTTACACTTTCAGAACTCATTCTACAGCTAGAAATTCTAATAATGTATATATGCAAAAAATGGAGCTGAAATAACCGAGGATTGAATTTCAAATGTATATGAAATGAAAATTGGAAATAAAAGTTAAAACATAACCTAAGATCAACATATTAAACTAGTCATATTTAACCCCCCCCCCCCCCCCCCTTTTTCCTTAGCAATTTTATAAAGATAATGAAAACCAGATGTCTTAAATGTCACTGCAGCTGGCAATATAAATTGCATTATACTATTGCACTGACAAACCTAATGCCTTTAGTTAAAGTCACAGAGAACCTGAAGACAATCAGTCTATGTTATATAATTTACAGTATTTTTCTGCAATAATTTCCTTTTTATTCATAGAATTGCAGAAGCTAAATCAGCTGGTAAGTTCACATGGGACTATGAAACATCTGCAATCTGGAAATCTTTTTTATTGGCCTTTTTCTCAGAAGGAAAACAAAGTCATTGAATGTTGTAGTTATTTATGACTTTAATAGACAGGGACATGTGACTGAAAATTGGATGAATACTTATTTGTTTAAGATCCTTTAATACAGTACAATAATTAACAAAAAATACAGTGAATTATAAAATATTCTACTCAAATGAAATCAAAGCAAAATAAAACGTGCCGATGTTAATGAAAATGGACTTAAACGTACTTCCTTCTTGTATAAAATATCTCAAGCCACATTTCACGAAAGTTTTAAACAAATATTTAAACTACACTGAATCACCGCTTCATTGTCAGACCGTCAGTTATCGTTCCTAAGAACCTCCAAGCACCATCACATGAATGGCTGAGACTCTGAGTAGATATAAGATACTTACTAATATTTAATACAAGAAAGCCAAACACATATTCATTTATTTTGATGCACAGTTCTCTTCCTTTTGTCTTTACAAAATTATTTTTTCCTTCCTCTCAAGCGTAAGAAGTATCAACGAACAGGATGATTTGAAAGAAATGAGAGTTTCTTGCAATATCGAGCAAAAAAACAACAAGCTGCTTCCAACCTGAGCCAATTGATCAACACACAGCGGTGTACGCACCCAGAGTTGATACCAACTAGCGCATTGCAAGAATGGAAATTTTTAAATCAAGCATTTTTAGTAAGTTTAGGCAATATTTTTAGTTTTAAACGGTGGATCATTGAATAGTGGGCCGTAGTTTGAAGTAGTTTGTATTTAAAACCTTTTCCTTGATATAGGGTTGTATAAATGTCAAATTTGGGTAGGGAGAGCAAGGATCATCAAAGCCTTCAGAGGGGTACCCTCACACTTTAAATGTCAAAGTTTCAGAAGTTGCGCAAGTGTGGGACAATCTAGATCGTCAAAAGATAAGCAAAATGAAGGTTGGTTGTTTTTGTTGACAGTGATGACCAAGGAGTATATTTCCCTCAAAGTTTCTTCCCACTCATAAGAATATTTCACTACCAATGTCTTGTTCACCCCATCCAATTCTATTGCATCTAATTTGATGTTTTGTAGTCTATTTTATAGCCATATATATGGACAGGAAATGGACTGAAATCAATGTAGTGTGCTTTATTATGAACAGACTTAATATGTCAGATGTGAATTGGATCCAACAAAATTGGATCATGCGAACATCCTTAATCCAGAACATCTTTTTCGTGAAGGGTCTCATAGCTAATACATTTAGGCCTAAGAAGGTCATAGTTCTTTGGTGAGGTATACCCCAAGCCAACCAAAGCCTTTCCAGGAGAGGCCTGACAAATTATTTCATTCCACTTCTACAGTGAATCATCAAGATGAACCATTACAAGATCCAGATTTCTTCCAAGTTTCAAAACTTTTTACTGTCCGTGATTTGCTAAATGCTAATGTTCACCTTGGTCATCATGAGGGATGCTGGAATCCCTTTATGAAACCTTACCTGTATGGATCAAGAGAGAGATTTCATATCATAGATCTTGATAAAACATCAATGCATCTAAACGTAAGTCATTGACATGAATCCATACACACCCACAGTGTAATACTCATCAGTTTTATACCTTGCCTATTTTTAGCTGGCACTTAATGTGATGTCACACATTACCTACCGCAATGGGGTAATCCTCTTTGTCAGCACTCATCCACAATTTGAAGAACTGGTACAACAAACCGCTCGTGATGCTGGCGAATACTTCATAACAAGACAGTGGAACATTGGGACATTTACAAACTCTAACATATTACTAGACACCACCCGTTTACCAGATTTGGTTGTATTCATGAATATACCAATGTTTGGGCGAGGTGCGCCACCCATCAAGGAAGCAGCACAATGCAACATTCCTAGTATTGGTATTGTTGATAGCGATTGTGATCCCAGGTTGATAATGTATCCAATACCAGGAAATGATGATACTCCTTCAGCAATGGAACTTTATTGTAAACTGTTTAAGGAAGCAATTCTTAATGCAAAAGAGTACAGAGATAGTTTAAATGAAACTTAAATAAAGTACTAGGTATGCAGGGTTTTCAATATTTTTGAAAGTAGAAGGTTTATCTTCTAGGTAATTTATAGGTGGCACAGATCAAACTCTCCTTTTATTTGACTAGTAATTAAAAAAATACTTGCCAATCCAACAAAGGAACTTACCATTGTTTTCATTAGTAAAACTCAACTCATTGGGTATGCAAAAATTATTTTATTTTATTATCATTACCAATTTACCATTTCTGCATTCCTGTTTTAATCACATTTCAAAATGTTAACAGAATTACTGATAGAAAATTCATCGTCTAATTGATTGCTATCTCGCTGTAAACATTCCTCCCATTGGCTAACCATGGCAGGAGTCAGAACCGCCAAGGGAGTGTCACGATTAGGTGCATTTAAAGGTGGTAAAGGGTAAAATTCATTCCCTTTAGACTGTTTTGCTTTGTATTGCTGCATGTTTGCTGTAACCTCCATGAAATGTTTCTCTGCATTCTCCAGTAATCTAATGTTGATGTCTTCCTTGGTCTTCTCCATCTAAAAAAATCAAAGTATTATGTTGGGTGGGTTTAAGGAACTGATAGTGATAACCTAAGTCAGGGAAGAGATGTTGGTATATATACATCTTAAGCATATGTTTATTAACGACGGGACCAAAGGACATGCTAACAACAGTAGCGTAGCCAGCCTGACGATTTGTCCTGATATGCTAATATTTTCGTGTTCATTGACTGTGAAAACAATAAATTTCTAAAGAAAGGAATAATTATAATAACTCGAAATTTACATAGCGGGATAAAATCAGTTTGACCACGCCACTGGTTAACAACAAAAAATGTTTCATGCCAGTTCTTCAAATGGCATCAATCACTTCTCTAAGAACTTTCGACTACAACATTCAACTGATTCAAGGAAAATGTACATCCATCTTTTATGCGATCGTGGACGCTCACGTTTCATGGATGTTGCAAAAATAATTTGGCATTTGTAACGAACAATAAACCGGTAAAACAAGTAAAATCCATAATAACCAACTTAATAATATTTCACTGTGTCTGTCCCATGTGTTAATTTTAACGAATTTTCCGGCCGATCTAATCAGTAACCACAAATGATTTGATGATGACGTCACCCCGCACGTCATTAGCGCATTCCTAAATTACTCTAGCCTAAAATTACCGATTCAAATTTCTATGTAGAGGTATCAGTTTAGAGCTCACCTCAACTTGATTCATTAACCTGCGATGTTCCATATATCTTTTAACTAACGCCCGTTTCTCTGAATTATTCTGCCGTTCAGATCGCACGATGTCCGTCTTTTTTTTCGCCTGTTCTTTTTTCGCCTCAGCGTGATCATGATTTCGCAAAGCCTGGGAAACTGAGTTCTGCTGGCAGGCAAATTCGCGCGCAAAAGCTAAATGAGATTGCCGTATGCGATCTTCAACCATCGCCACTTGTCGTTGTTCCGAAACTTTCCGACGCTCTTCGTTTTGTCTTGCTTCGTTCTCACGCAAGGTATCGGCAACTTTCACCCCATCGCGTATGCGCTCTCTCATAACGGTCTCCTGGTATTCTTGTTTCAAAGTCTACATTGAAATAAAAGAAAACGATGTTTCTCTCTAGTTGTATAGTTTCTAGTGGTACAAACACAAGTGTGATTACGGGCTAAATGGCACTGTGTAGTTAAATGTTAACTAAGTTTCTGTGCAACCCCTGGTTTCTTAAAGGCGGATTTCCACTTAAAGCGAAATCGTTCGCAAGCGAAATATTAGCATATTTTCTTTTGAATTTAAACAGCATAAATAAATTAGTGCGACTTGAGTGCTCTCAATTCAAAAGAAAATATGCAAATATTTCGCCAGCGAACGATTTCGCTGTAAGTGGAAATCCGCCTTAACAAAAACACTTTCTTCGCACAAAACACTACCTGAAGTCTCTCAACTCCCAATTCACGCCTTTCTTTCATTTCATTAACACGCGAGTTCAACTTAGCTAGTTTCTGTGCTCGAGCTCGGTCCATGTACGCCTGATGGACGGCTCGAAGACACGCCAGTCCCATAGTACCGTGTGTACGTAAGAACAATTTCTGATCATTATTCAGTTTTATACTCTCGTCAGGCTTCTTCCGTTTTTCCGTCGGTTTCCGACGGAATTGCCGAAGCGACCTTCGTACGTCTTCGCCCATCTCCCTTTTCGACAATAACATTTCAGCAACAGGTTCGTTTCTCTGTTTTGGTGGCACTTCACCTTGTAGACGGAAACCTGACGTTCCATCTTCGTGGAATTCTGTAACAACTTCGTTCTTCCCTTTTGACTCCACCATGTCTCCAAGGAATACACGGACAGTGCGATATTTTCCGACCATTTCCGGCTTCAAACGACGCTTATGAAGTGCATCAGATTCTTCCTTCTCACCTCTTTGTCGCTGCTCGATCAAAATGATTTCTCCGTCGTTGGAAACATTTACAGTCGTTTTGCTTTTCGTTTCTTTGGCCGACTTCGACTTTTTGTCTAGTAAAAAAAATAATAATTTGTAAACATCGTCTTAACGCTTTTAATAGACTGAACAGGTGCACAGATAAAAAAAATCATAACCTCTAATGTACCATCCCAATGATGGGCGAACCAGGAAACATTGCTTTTTTGTAATGATTCTTTGGGAAGTAATTAGGGCCTCACCTACCAATAGTCTCAATAAGACGGAAAATCACTCGAAATAGAACCCTTATTTGATATAGTTGCGTGCGTTACGTTTCTGACACGTCTGATTAATTGGATCTCGAAAAAAAAATGCACTCAAAGTAAATTGCGACTCGTTTCCATTTGTTTTAAAAGCCCTGTTGCTTTCTAACCAGTTTTATAGACAAACGAACCAGGAAACACTGATACATGATTCCACAACAAAAGGAAATCCACGCTTCTTAGTTTTCTAGCTATATTTTAAACCAGGCAGAAAAATAAATTATTCTCCAATTACCTAGTCCAAGGCCGAGAGAACTATCAACTGTGAGCTCACATGTTGCGCTCTCAATTGTTCCGATCGCTGATGATTCAAGTTTGTGCAAATCAATCGTCATACGTCTTGTGACCTTCTTCTGGGGAGCTTCTAAAGAGCTTCTTTGCCCAATTGAACCATGATAGCTTTGCTCACGAGTGAATGAAGATCTTGGGGTAGAATTAACACCCTCCAAAAGGTTCACAGTACTAAGATCGTACGAAGTTATAGAGACTTTACTCCGCTCAGCACTTTCTGTGGATATTTTGCTATTTCTGAGAGTGCTTGAAGATTCTCCTTCTTGTACACTGAGATTCTCCACTTTCATTCGACTGCGTTGGGTCTTCTTAGATGAACCACTACTATCGTGTTGACTTAACCCCCAGGAACCGTCTTCAGATTGTCTGTTAGTGTAGTCTGCATATATGTCGGAAACGGGGGGAATGAACGGCGAAGTTGGAGGTGGAAAGACGTCTTCCCCAGTTCTTTGAATACCTTTATGAAAGCGATAGAATCTCTGGATTGATGTTGCAGCCCTAAAAAAATAAGTTGAAAATTATCTTAAAACGTGCACACAGGGTTACCTTATGGAAGATCGTATTCTTCGTTCGTATTCAAAAATCTTGTAACAGGGATGAATCATTCCCCCTTTAAATTGAATATAAAACTAGAAATATTCATCATAAGTTTTCTACTTTTGAATTTAGTTTAAAAGGGGAATAGCCTGGGTGACTGGGTTAAGGGACTGTAAAAATGCCTTTAAACAAATGAATAAACACATTTTAACATGCAATATGTCTCTGCATGTACATGCAATATTGAAGGCCTGCAATAATTCTTCTCTACTGACTTACCAAACTCTTGTGGCCATAAGATATTTATATCTTTTTCGAATGGCAAACATTCTAAAAGTTTTTTGGATTAACAAAACTGGAGAATGTTTACTTTGAATTTTGTTTACTTTAGCTCTAAGCTCTTCCATTTGTCTGACAGCTGTTTGCAATGAAGACTCCTAAACAAATAAAATTTGCATACGTTGTGTTTGACCCATAATGTTCATTGAAAGACTTTTCAAAAGTAGTATTAAAGTGTAGATAGTATTCTATAAAAGTATGCTGTTGAGATATGGGTCTGAGGTTCTAAAAAGATATTTTTAATGTTGGAAGGATATCCTGTGTCAGGTTGGTGTCTCAAAGAATATAATATATACCTTTTTTAAAGTGTGTGTGAGGTCTACTTTAAAATTTTTATGTAATGCAGAAAATTTATCAGGCATTGTTGAGTCCTCGATGATCTCTTCATCTGATATAACATGAGAATCCAGTGCTTTCAAGGACCATATACCATTGACCACATGATGACGATAGTTTTTCTTTAAACTCAGTGGAGTGTCATATAATGTGAGAATCAGCAAAGAGGAAGAGGAACTCAGAATACGAATGGTCTCAAGTTTAGCAATCCCATTATCATGAAGAAAAACAATCTGAAGTTGGCTCAAAGCACTCCAGAAATCACATCCAGGGACTCTTTTTATCTGAAACAGTATTTTAATTAAAGAAGTAGTAAACAAATTTTATCCTAGCCTAAATCTCTATAAAGTACATGATGTTTCACAGCACAGATCAATACTAGTTTCACACCTGATTTCCGTGCAGATCCAAGGCCCATAAGTTTGAACACCCCGCCAATGCATCAAACTCTGTTATATAGTTGCCAGGTAATATACATATTCTTAAACTGATACACATCTCTAGGGCCCCCAGGGAACTGAGCTGTTGCGAGGACACATTTAAATAGCCTAAAGTTGGCAAGTCGCGGTCATCTAAGCCTGCAGTGTCGTTCAAAAATTCAACTGTCATTCGCCGTAAGTAACCACGATTTGCCGCATTTCTTATCGTCTCCTCTTCGCGCTGTCTGTCGTAAATAGAAAGGCGTTGAGCCTTCTTCTTTCTAGGTTTATTCTCGTAAAGTCCACTCGCAATATCAAAGCTCATTTTTTAGAAGAAGGCAATTTCAAAGCGTTCAAAATCTGGTAAAAAGTGTAGTTTTAGTCCGCCATATTAGTTTTGTATCATCGCTTAGCAACAGCAAACCACAGCTAACCCAAACCATACGATTAAATTTTAAAAAGAAAGGTTTTATAGAAATCTTCAGATGATCAATGTGACGCTTCTCTTAATCATAAATAATCAATCTAATATATTTTTTTAAGAAAATTGAATTTTTTATATCATATTTATTATCGCATTAGTATATTACTATTGGGTTAAATGATGATGAATCTGTTCTAAATATTTACATGAAGAAGTGATGAAGATATTAATGTATTATGTATAAGCAATTTTCATTTTAAATTCTATTGTAACTTATATTAGCTATTTTAGCTCCAAACCTTTAATTACCCTGAACTAACCACCCCCCCTGAGAGGCGCACGACTGATATGTGAGATAATACGACATATGTAGTACCGATGCTAAAAGGTGTGAAATGTTAACATTTTTAGAATTATTTAACATTGCACGAACAGCATTAGAAGTGGGAACGGTTCTCTCGCGTTTTATCTAAACCAGCAGCAAGAGCAAACAATTGCAAAACATAGCACAAATGTTGTTATCAATCCAAGCCAAGTGAAAATCAACAATTGATGTTGTTCAGCAAGACGTTTCTCTACTTGCTTCTCATAGATAGCCATTCGGTCTTCCAAAGCATTCAATCTTTTCTCGTGATCTTCCAAAATTACACGCACACTACTCTCTTTACCAGTTTGATCTAGGAAAATAACGACGATGTCGATGGTTTTCGAGGTACCTATGGTACAGTATTACGTATGGGGTAACTTACGGCTAATAAGCGACTATGATCTGACAGAATTATACGACTTTGAATTTGAAACAACATGGCAAGGAGGGGAGGATGACTTTCGTTCTCGGGACTTTAAGACGAGAATGCTTTTCAGAGTAGAAAAGAAAAGAAAATATTAGAGTGGAAAAGAAAAGGAAATATTAATAAACGTTTTTCAAATTTCAATTCATGAGGCTAATATCAGTTCAGGAAAAGAAAACGAGCTTGGTAAAAGGTCACCGGTGCTGCGTGGATTTAGGACTTTGCTCTCAGATTTTACTGGTTCTGCTTGTTTATACTGTTGGCAGTATTTCTTAACAAAATAAACTTCGATATTACAAGCACCCTGGGGATTCGTTGACGCATTTGAGGTCAAAAGCCAAAAATTTATTAAACCCGGACACACTATAGAGATAAATTTATAAATAGACCGTAGTAGTTCAGCAGCAAAATCCGTTTCTGTGTATAGAAAAAACGTCATCATGTTTGCTCTTGGACCATGCCCAAGAACTATACTTATTGATGAGTTAATTGGCTGTAATTGGCTGTAATTGTAATTGCCAAGGTTTTAGTTCCATTTTATTACTTCGTTGTAATATTATTGCCGTAAAAAGTTAAATAATTAATATGCCTTGACATAGATGTCATTTTCTAGCTTTGCTTATGAATAAAAATTGCACTGAAGTGAGAAATAACAATGTCAATACAACGTAATACTGGGTTTTTGAAAGTCGCTAGTGGGATTAACCAAATAGGATTGAGAATACATATTTAGGTTTTTTCATAGTTCACTTTATCATGATTCCCTTTATCATGATGGCTTTGGAATGGAGATAAATTTTAAATGACAAGAAATTTTTTAATTCTGCTTTCTGAGTGGCATTAACTTTCACAAACTGTCAAACATCTTTTGTAAAGGCTCATCTGGATTTTTGCACCCTCTCAGTGATAACCCGACAATCGTGTGTAAATGATTCCAAGAGGCTATAAAATGCTATTAATCTAACCTCCCTCGAAAGGTTAAAATACCAAGTCTATTTTTGGTCGAGCTTTTGTTATTTCTTGGTGTATCGAATTAACTTCCTTCATGATAACTTATAAGTGCTTGAAGGAGTGTTAAACGGTGATTTGTGCATTGAAAAATAATTAAACTTTAATTTTACTTTAAGTTATCGTAAATACAGTACATTTGACTTGTCGGCGCATTTTCATAACTTGTAATTTTAACACAAGACTAAGACTGATATTGAATAGTACCTTTCACAAACGAATACACGTTATCAGCATGACATGCAGACTGTTTCAAATGAAAGCATACCTTTTCAATTTTTTATTGCGATAATGTAAAGTGAAAAGCTCTTGTTTCGTAGTTTTTCTTCGGGAAAATTCGAGATATTTCACCTGTTTCTTTCCAAATTTACTGACCACTTTAATAAATCCCCTCTAGCTGACTGCACAAAGTCAGAACAAACGGGCGAACAATTTAGCCTGTATTTTGCCAAAGAAAAAGCCCTCATGGAATCAAGGCAGCTTTTTACTGTTTTTTTTGTACGCATCTGTGGCTGTACGCACGAAAGCCAAACTGTAGAAATGCCACATTCATATGAAACGAAATATATACGCCATAATAAGGGAATTATATATGTATAGTATTCCATCTGCTCTTACGAAGCAGCCTTAATGTAAGGCCTTTTAATAATCACGTCAGAAGTCAGTTAAAACCCGGTTTCACGTCAAGGAATGCAACTATTACTTGAAAACAATTACAATTTACATAGTGCAGTATTGCTACGAAAGTTTAGGGTATCATGTACAGTATAGTTATAGGTAGTTTAAACGCGTGCATGAATTTTGAAATTGTGGAAGAACGTCATATACCTATAACTGACCATGCAATCTATTATAACGGAACGTGTGAAATCTCACCTTTCATTTTTTAGAGTATAAAACCAAATATGAAAAACAATATACAATGTCCCTAAGCATGACTAAAACAAGGGCAAGTGTACTCTAATAAAAGATAGGGGACAATCTGGCAACTACGCGATATACTAATAAATATTTTATTATATGATCCTAGTTAGTATTCTACTTTGAAAACTTACTTGAATTTTCATCTAACATTTCTCGCATCATCTCGATTCTCGCCAGTTGATCTTCAAATTGTTCTTCATGCTTTTTAATACATTGTCCTTGTTCTTGTAACTGCAAACACTGGGCATCAAACTGATGCTTAATCTTCGCCAATGAGGTATCGTCACCGCTATCGTAAGCTTTCTTTTCAATCATCGAGCTCAATTGGTTCTCAATTCGATCCCAAAGTGTCTGTGTGTCTATAAACAAGATATAGACGTTATAGTGCTCGATGCTAGGCGAATTGTGTGTGTACTACAAGTAAGGAACATACATAATAATCTAGCTTGGTTGCAGCTTCGTATATCAATAAATAATCTCGTTAATTAGTCGAGTTCAGCTGGGGACCGAACTGATGAAACAGAATATGACACACGTAAATATACATTTATCGCAACGGTATGTAAATGAGGTATGCGGGAATGAGTTATTTGCATTTCTTTAGAAATACTTCTTCTATTGCGTCACAATGGTAAACAATGCTTTTAACTAACTATGCCTTGTTTCACTGAAGAGATATGCCATGCAGTGGCTGCTTTCAACGAGGTATTTCTGGTTTGTGTTCATGAAGGACGTTCAATCAAAGATGAATTTTAAAGTATCTTCTTCGAGTATAGAAACACGTTTGACGCTAAATTGAATATTTGAATTGCTGCACAGTTTATCTTTCTCTAATTGTTATTATAAGAAATCTTCCTGAAGTTGTTTGGTTGCTCGTAGCCTCGTATTTAGGGAAATTAGTTAGCATTGATAGTTTTGATATTCCAACTAAACCTTTCGAAATTTTGTTTGAAAATATAACCTTTCGAAATTTTTATTGAAAAAACCTTTCGAAACGAAACGATTTTTGCCAAAATTCTTTAATTTTAAAATGTGAATAACATGACCGTTAATCGGTCAAATTAGTGTCACGAGACATTTCATTATTTGCATCTGGGATTCTCTAGCCGAGATTTAGTCGAGATTAAATCCTACTCCCAAACTAAAAAGCAAAACCCCAACCTCGCACCCAGGGTTTTCTCCACTCCCGTCTCTTTGAGAGGGCATGTGGAATCTTGCAAAATTGAATCAGCGCCGACACCACGTGAGGGAATAACTATGTAATGTACATAATAGCCCGCCATAATCTACTGATATAGATAATATGTTATAAGCTTTGAAGTGCTTATCGTCCACATGTTTCCATATTGCAGTCTGCATTTCATTGTTTCACACATCCGAGGTTTAATGGCATATATCATTTTTTCATCTTACTTATTTACTTATTATGGCTTCTTGTTGTTGGGATCCTGCCGTGAAGACTTGATCAAATATGTAGTTAAATACATAAATAAATAAATGGGTTTAAAGTTTGCAAAATTCCGTACATATATTCTTTCCAAATGTGCTAAAAGCTCTCGGGAAGTGGCAGCACTTTCCAGATTACTTACCTATAGACGGACCATGGTTCACGATTTTTGGCCGTATGAGGTTTATCATGCACTACTGTACGAAATTGCTATAAAAAGTTCAGATATAACAATACCAACCTGGTGCTGCCTTTGCTAACTGATCATAAGTGTATTTATCATCATTTTCTTTTATGACCAAACATTGTTGTCTGATCACCTCTTCCAACATCATCATCTTTCCCTGATGCTCATCCATCATCCGTTTCTGTGATGCAATTTGTTCTTCAAGGCTTGCCATCTTTTCCTTTGCCTCTTTCATTTCTTCCAGTGTAGGACGTGTCCGCTTCTTGGCAGGTTTCGTCGCTGAAACGTCGTCGTTCGCTTTGTTCTCCCGCGTCCTAGCTTCAGCCTGATTCTTCCGTTCGCTTTCTTTCCGTTCTAGAGATGAAAATTACAGAATAGAACTCTAATTGCCCTTAGTTCATCTTTCATTGGAAACAAGCCTCCGGAAGCCTAAGGCTGTAGTGCCATTTATACAAACCAGCGCTGTAGTCTCGTTGAGGTCGCGAAGCTTATTATTATAAAACCACAGATCAATTTGCCTTTTTTTTTAAATTGTGAAAACCGCCAGACTGAATATTTTAATGAGATTAAAATATATTCTAGTGAACGAAAAGTATCATAGTGAGTATTCTCAATCCCCGAAATTCCAAGTATGGGACATTTGTCAGCTCTCTTTGGCTGCAAAGAAAGATCAATTTTATCTTTTTTTAACGCGGCTGAAGACATTTTCCCAATGTCAATGTTTTTGTATGGTTTGGTCTAGCATTAATTATTCATCTCTTTTGACATGTATAAGCTCCATGTAACTTCTTGAAATAATACTAGCCGATATACTGCAAGAGATGCTAAAATTAAGCACAGCCACTATTTACCTGAAGTTTTTGTTCCCATCTTATTTTCATTTGCCTCTCCTTGGTTCATTTTCTCGAAGTAAATTCTCAATTTTTCCAAGAACGAACCCATAACATAGAAAAGACCGTATGATCGGGTGGGCATTAAGACAGAAGGCCGTATAAATAAATCCAAACTTTCAAGAGCTCTGGCTCAGAAATATACCAACTTGACAAATCTGCAAGAAACGGCGTGTTTGAATTTTGCAACTGAACTTCGCTGTGCAGAGGACGCCAAATTTAAAAAACTCTCTTCTTCCTTGTGTTTTGGCCTGCATGAACAATAGACTTTGAAGTCTATCTCAAACGACATCTCGTGTCCAGCTGGCTTTCAATATGGGGCAAAGCTCATTGGTTCAAATCTTGTTTAACATGCTAATATACGCAAATGCAAATTACTGTTTTGACAGTCCTGTATTGCCGCTACAAAATATAGTATGAAGTGCTTTTTCAGCACCGCAGTAGCTGTATACAACCGCATCGCAATTTAGACAGCAGTAGTTTTATTCAGGACAAAACTCAGACGCCACTTCACCTTCCTTCCGCAGTAGTTACGAAAGGTATGAGGAAAGGCATTCTGGGTAGGCAGTAGGCTATAGCAGTGGAAGTTTTAATGCGATTTGTATTTTGTTGACATTTTCCCAGACATTTTCCTAGTTTGTGTGAACCGGAAGCTTATTTTGAATAACTTTTTTCCTGCAGTGTACGCGTGCTGCACTTGACACTTCGGCCAGTGTTTCGTGCGGTTACCGCGCTCAAATCCACGACGTCAGCCTACACCCTTGATAATTCGCCACAAATTAAAACCAATCCCTATACGCACGCCATTGGCTATAGAACAAAAAATAGACTATTTTCCATGTTTTCGAATTTGGAAGATTTTTCTGCATTCCTAATCCGAGTGCATGGAACCAACGAAGTCGATAAACATGAATACATGATGATATTAGAAAAGGTAAGAAAAATTAGAATAAAATCTGCAATACCCGTGCAAGGTTTCTTTACTCTTTACGCGGATGGCGAGTATAAATCAGGCATTTGTTACATATTTATTATATATTAACGCTGGACATAATAATGACTTCACTTAACGTTGATTAAAAAGCATTACAAAAACGTTACAACGTTTCTTATCCTCGGCAATGACTTCTGAGTTCTGATTGGTAAAGAATTAAGCATGGTTCTGGGCGGTGAAAAATTTTCTTAACAGTCAGTGATCTATGAGAATCAACCTTAAAGTACCATATTTAAAGTGTTATTTTTGCCAAAAAAGGTTTCGTGCGTGGGCCGTGGCCATATAATTCAATTTGCTTATGATCTTTAAATCTTTACACACGTGAATATTTTACGTCCAAGTTCGTCTCATCATGATGTCAGGGCCGCCGATTGTGGGGCCCGGGGCAAATTTTATTCTGGGACCCTATGACGTCATAGTTTTAAATATCTGCGAGACATAAAGTGCTTCAAAGCGTTATGCAAACGTTTTATGAAAACGTTATGAAAAGCGTTATGAAAACGGCGAATTCGACCATGGTCGAGTCTATCCGAAAACGGCGCAGATGAAAAATACACAACATGTCATTCCCAGTCAAATTATATATGTTTTAATACTACGCCGTTGCTAGGTTTATAGCCTATACGGAAGTCTGGTAGAAATTGTTACATTTGAAAGGAACTCTATAGTAGAAGTTATCAACATTGTCATTGAAGTCAAACTCAACATGCAAAGGGACTGTTCTTGATATCAAAAAATCAACGAGTTGAAAAATATATTCTTGCTATATATTCTAAAATACTTTTTATATCAGTCAGGACGCGTTCTTTGCCCTTTAAACGCACGTGAGAAGGGTCCTGGGTACGAGCATGGAGGCCACACTTCTATAAGCGCATAGATTCATAAAAGGTATTCATAACAACAGACTTTAGATCCTTACCTAAATTGAGCTCGTTCTTATTCTCGTACCGAGGGCCCATCTCACCGGATACTTCCAGATCTTAGTGCAAGTTTATTCACGTATTTTGTTATATCGGAAGTATTTTATTGTTGAGATACTTAATGATTATATTCAAAATCAACCTTCCAAAACGAGGCGATGATTCAGTTAGCAATTACATTGCTTAAAATAAATCTTCCTAAAGAAGATCATTGCTGTGGAACAAACTTTGTCTTGGAACAAACTGGAACCAGAAATGCTTCCATTTTCTGGTTCTTAAGATACAATTCTTGCCACTCCTCTCCACTTCCCTTAACTATACCACAGTTTCAAACATGACTAAAGGCCGCTTGCGTCGAAACGAGGCTCGTGGTGGTGCACTTTTCCCTTTGGTTCGGTTGTGTTTCCACTTTAGCGGACGCAATCCATTAAGAATAACAGCCAAAAGTCCCACTAGATCAGCCAACACGGCCATCCACACCCGAACGAATCCAGTGAGGGCAACAATAACAAACACAAGCTTCAGTAGCACAGACATGATAATGTTTTCAAGGATGATCCGACGACAAAAACGGCTTAGAGAGATTATTTCGGGTACCTTTAGAACACTGTTGTTCATCAACGCTACCCCTGCAGCTTCTACAGCAAGTGCGGACCCCCCGGCTGCCATCGCTATCCCGACATCCGATGCAGCCAGAGCTGGACCATCATTTACGCCATCACCGACCATACCAACGACTTGGGTCTTTTTCTAAGATTCACAATAGAATACAATTATTATTCTGCCTTTACGGTCACAACAGGAAAATGAATAAACCATATGAACTCAGAACTTATAGTATTTGTACCGCATTAGCAGCTTCAGACAGTTTATTTTTTAGACAGTTTAGCTTCAGACTATCCTTAAACCTTTTTGCCGAATGTTACCACGAGAGAAAACCTTAAACATTTATAGTTCTAAAGCTCTTCGCTAGTCATTCATATTAGATTAATTTAAACCACATGTGTGTTTAAACTTTGCTACTAATAGTCTACAATAGAAGCAACTTTCACAATTGACTTTTTGCTTTTAGATATCGCCAAAAAAAATATCGCCAATACAACGAGATAAAAGCTTACGATTTCTTTGTCACTATTCTTTACATAGTATGGGTGTCTTTTGATCTATCTTACCTTTTTAAAGCAACCAAATCTTCTTTGTCTTATTTCCTGTTCTTTAACATCCGTAATCCAGTTTAATTTATCGTCTGGTTTCATGTCAGATACGCACGAATCCAGCTTCAGCTCTTTCTGCACAGCATTCGCCGTCTGCTTTGCATCACCCGTCAACATACACAGGTGTATCCCGAGGTCTTGTAGCCAAGTGAGCGCAGCACGTGACTCCCAACGAATAATATCAGCCAGTGAGATCATTAGTGCCAGTTCCCCATCCACACACACAAAGATAACGGTCTTGGCATCAGTACCGAATGATATGTAGGCTGTTTCAAATTTGGGTGTAAGAGAAACCCCAAGTTTTTCAAGTAGTGACCGATTTCCAACTTGGATATCATGACCCTCGATCTTGCCTGAAATTCCCTGTCCTTCCATCGTGCGGAACTCGAAGACGTCCGGCAAGACATCGGATTCGGCGACGAAATCTGAAACACATTCGCCAGTGAATTCGTTGACTATAGCGGCCGCCAGTGGGTGGCTTGATTTACTTTCCAATGCTGCTGCCCAGCGTAGAACATCGCTCTCGTCATAGTTGTCCGCTGGCACCTGAAAAGTGTATCATTAGTTTGGTAAATTTCAGGGACTTTCAGGGATCAACTATTTTGGAAATACAATTAGACCTTCAAGATGTATTCTCGATCCTAGATTGTTATTGGTCAACTTTTTTACACACTATTATTACTTCTACATAAATTTTATACTGAATATTGCATAGGAGCAAAAAAATACAAATTTATTTATTTAGCACTAAATACAAACATTCCTCGTACTCTAATCACACTCTTATTCTATTTTCGTATAAAGATATTCATAAATAGGAAATGTACACAAGAAAACATACATACCAGGTCGACGACTTGAAATTTTCCTTCGGTCAGAGTTCCAGTTTTATCGAATGCTAACAGGTTTATCTGCCCTAAAGCTTCAAGGTACGTCCCCCCCTTAATAAGAGCTCCGAGTCGTGCAGCACCGTTAATACCGCAGATAACAACGGTGGGTGTGGCCATTAGAAGCGCACATGGACACGCGGTCACTAGAACAATCAACGCTCTCTCGCCCCAGGTTTTCGCTCGACCGTCGTAAGCCTCGACTCCAGCCAAGCCTAGGAACAAGGGAATCAGGAACACCAGGCCTGCTACAACAATCACCAAAGGTGTATAAAACTTCGCGAACTTATTCACCATGATCTCCGTCAGAGAAACATTCATTTGTGCGTCTTCGACCATCGCAGATATTTTCGAAATTGTCGAAGAAGTTGAACTGGATGTCGTCTCGATTTCCAAGTAGCCATTTTGAATGACAGTCCCACTATAAGCAGGTGATTCAAAGACTTTCTCGACCGGAGTTGCCTCTCCTGATATTGAACTTTCATCAACCGAGGCTACGCCTTTGACAACTATTCCATCCAGAGGGATCAGTTCTCCCTGACGTACGGCAATGATGGAACCTAAATAGGGGGGAAAAAGCATAAAATCAAAGCTCTCTAAACTGGTGGAATTTCGAGTTTTTGCATAATGCTTGAAAGAGGGTTGCCCTGTCTAATTTATGAAACACCAACATACATGCTGCCTAAATATAGAAATCTGTCAAACTGACCGCCTGAAAAAGGAGTTAACATTACCTATCGGAACATTTTCTATGGGAATACACTCTCCAGTGCATGCCATGACTGCATTCGAGGGCTTGGATAACATCAGGCTAGAGATAGTCTTCTGTACACGATAAAAACAATATCTCTGCAGGAAGCCCGCGAGTGTAAACACGAAAACCACGGCTGCGCCTTCTATCCACTCCTGGATGGCCAGCGTGCCAATCACGGTAATTGTTATAAGAATATTCAAATCAATCTCCCGATTTCGTATCGCATGGTAGACTTTCTTAAGAATGGGTACAATCCCAAAGCATATTTCAACAATTGATACCCACATGTACCAAGGACTGGACGAAAATGACCCTCCCAGGGCTATGCCTATGAGTACAGATTGTACAGCGAGATTTACGAGACGGATCTTGAGAGTCTTCGGTAAACCTGAATAGAAAAAGATTCACATTGTTTACAATGTTTTTTTTGAACAGTGAATTTTATACCCACTCAAAAGGTCTGTCCACACGATCAAATTTTGTCTGATTCAAATTTCAATATTTTAAAGTATTTTGACTTGCTATGTATGAAGATTGATGAAGCCAATGCCGTACGCTTTATCAATAACCGACAACCTTCCATGCGAACTGGATCCGACAAAATTGGCTTGTGTGAAGAACAAACTTTCAATAACGTCATTTCGCCTAGAAGCCTTGCTCTTATGAACTATGAACCTTGTGTGACTAATCAGTCCAAGGCTCCCAGGAAAAAAATGACGTCTTATATGGTTATTGAAAGGGTGTTATTTAAAACAATTTGCTCAGTGCCATAAATAACCAACAAATATCACGTTACTCCAGAGACCAGAGTTAATCAAAAGAATATTTATATCGTGTAACCAATCACAATTGAGAATTCTGGATCAATAATTGTGAAATGGAAGTTTAAGATAAAAAAAGTTGGACAATCAAAGTCAGGTGAGAGATAACTACCATTCACTACAAAACGGGTAGTTAAAAAGTAGTTAAGTCTTTATAATACAGCCCCCTGGTGTACAACGGGTGTTAAATTAGTAAAAACCAGGTCCTTGAAACGAAAACTGGCCGTCAAAAACTGGCAAATCGATAGCTTCAATGAAACAGGTCAGTAACAATGTTGTGTATACCAGCAATGTTACATATGACGGAGAAATATTTCTCATCTGCTTTTCTCTTTCATCATTCACTCCCATTAAACAAGAGTAATTGCAGGTCGGTATTTCTTCCTGTTCTGAGACGATGATTGATCAGCAATCAGTCAGCATTTGCCGAACAGAATTCATCGTGACCTCAGATTTGGGGCAGCATGCTATGAATGCATCTGCCCACCAGTGGTTTGCTGAGATATAACATCACCTGCCAACAAGATGAATTTGGATAGCTCTCGTTCTTAATATCATCTCGCTAGGCTGGTGATATCATCATCTCAAATCGCGTTGCGCATGTAATTTTCCCAGGGATCATATGAACAGAGGCCTGTTTTCCACTACTGATTTCCTTCACGCATATTAATCTTATTCTATTTTAATCCAATCACTTGCAGATGGTTTCAGATGAAAACACGGACGAAAAGCAACAACCCTCTTCCCTCGAAAAAAATCACTAGTAGAAAAACTGGCTTTATGAACTAAAAAACAAACAATGAAAGTTTTCTGCAAAATTCAACTACCTTTTTCTACCTCGGCCTGTGATCCAGTATCAACGATGGAAACCCCGAGGTGTCGTTTGTTTAAGGTGGTCATTAGCGTTGTAGGGGAAACCAGTTCTGCAAAATGTGACACATAAACAACACGGCCAATCACATTCACGCGAATATTCTCGATTCCCTGTTTCAAAAGTAATAAAACGTGCAGTTTAATAGCGGTGGCAATTATCAGGTTATAAATTCTAATCTAATTTCAGGACTATTTTATACAGTTGCTAGACTTACTAATAGTGTATAATGGGTACAAGATTTTAAAACAGGTTGACGGATTTAGAGACACTCTATGGAGGAAAAGTTTACTGGACAAGCTTGGAGTAGAAATTGGAGTGTTAAAAGTAGAGTTCTCCAATGGAAATAAAAAGAGGAATGGGAAAGAGATATCCACTTCCTGAAACTGGCGCTATTCATTCAAAAATGAAGAACGATGGTCAATTTAAAGCAGCCGGGACCTCATCACGTTTGTTCGTCCGCCCACCGCGGGGTATATTGTAACTAAATTGTCACAGTTTGTAACATGATAATTAGTAGCAGGTAATGCAATATGGCTGTAAGCCAAAGACGAACCGATCTAATATTGGTGCTATAAAAAAGTAATGAATAATAGATGAAAATAAAAAGGCTTTAACACATACTCGTAAATTGGCACGTTTCAAATACTTTTGTCTGTAATGATACGTCACGTAGTTGAAGTATTTTATGATTTCAATAGCCTTACTAACCCGGTTATCAGCTGGTTTCTTAAAACAATCTTCAATAGTGTCTCAAATTCATATGATAATATCACATGTGTAATAGCTCAGAGTGATAGATAAGACTAGCTTTAAATTATTATCATATGTGTCATATACTGCTGAATATTTTTTTGTTTTCCCCTTCATAGAACATGGGCTTTCTGAAGTGAGAGGAGAGGGTTTATATATGTATATATATTAGCCATGAAGTTCGTACAGTTGAACAATAACACCGTTGAAGTAATGCATTTCAGTTCCGTTGATTAATCTAGCCACATAACAGTACCGGTTAAGTCCTGAGGGAAGTTTCAGGGTGAAGGGCGCTTATGCACAACATGTTAAAGTTTTTATTGAATTTTTGAAAAATAATCATTCCAGTCGAAACGGTGATTCAATAATCATGTTATGTAGAGTTGCAGTAAAACTCAGACAACTTGATAAACAGTCTACCGGCAACACAGTTCAATATGATAATCTCAATACTGACCTCAAATTTCTTGAGTTCTTCGTGTACAATTTGGGCTTCCTTGGGACAGCACATATTCTGTACTCTCAGTTTAGTTGTCCTCAACACCATCTCATCGATGTTAACTTTCGATACAGACTTCATCAAAGGTTTGAGTTCTTCGTGCGAAGTATGCGGCGCATCCCCGCACGTCGGGTCCTCGCAGCAGCTATTTGGTGAATCGTGCTTCGGAGAGCCTTGACAACAAGAGTCCTTACATGCCTGACTGTCGTCGTCATGGTGATCATCGTCATCATGGTGGTGGTCATGGTGATCATGGTGATGGTCATGACGGTGATGGTCATGACGGTGGTGGTGGTCATGATGGTGCTCATGACGACGGTGGTGATCATGGCCACGATGCGGGTCAGGTCGAAGACCCTGGCGCAGCTCTTGTGTGGAAAGCTGGAAACAACTGGGTCTTCGTTCGTTCAGAAGACTCCCCAATCTGGCTTCGGCCAAACTCTGACTTCGCTTCGTTTTGCGATAAGGTGCAGGGGAGACTTCAAAATTGAAGTTAGGCTTTATTTCAAAATTTGGAGCTCTCGCAATCTTGGCGGGAGAGTTAGGATTGGAGGAAGAATTTGTCGGTAAGCTGTTAGTGCGTATCATTTCACTGATATGTGATATGTGATCTTTGCTTTTTTTCTCAGAACAACTCTCCTTGCAACTTTTGTCATCACAGCAGCGTGGATTTTTGTGCGCTTCTCCACTCGACGACCCCTTCTCGCATTTCTTGTCCCCACAGCAAGTATCCTCAGGGTGAGAATGCTTGTGGGTAACTTCACTTGGGGTGGTTTTTCCACAACTTTTATCGTCACAGCAACTTGCCTTAGAGGAACGACCATGCTTTGCTTCGCCAGATTTTTCTGCCCCACAAGATTTATCATTGCAGCACCCACTTCCGCTTGGTTTTGGATGTTCGTGGTTATCCGCCTTTTCAGCTCCGCAATTTTTGTCTCCGCAATTTTTGTCATCGCAGCATTCCTTTGATTCTTTCTCAAGCTTGCGTTCCCCCCCGCATGATTTGTCCTTACAACAGCTTTTAGCAGGAGTATGGTCATGATGTTTCACATCTTCCGGGGGATGGCAGTCACCGTCTTTTTCGCAGCATTCCTTTGATTCTTTCTCAACCTTGCGTTCCCCCCCGCATGATTTGTCCTTACAACAGCTTTTAGCAGGAGTAAGGTCACGATGTTTCACATCGTCCGGGGGATGGCAGTCACCGTCCTTTTGACAACTTTCATCATCGCAGCAATTTTGACCAGCTTTATTTGGCATGCTCCCGCGATCTTTCACAGCGGTTTTCGCACAGCTCGCATCATCACAACATCTGTCATTATGACCGAGCGGGGCATGCCTACCAGACTCGCCGGTATGGTCATGTGAAGCAAGAGTGGAATTTTTGTCATCAGAGTGGTTTTTACAAACAACATCTTGGCAACAATTGTCTTTCGGACTCTGCTTTGCGACAGGGTCAATCTCGTCTTTGTTCACGCCTTTAGACATTTCCTCTGTGTCATCAACATCAAAGGAAGGCTCAATAGGCTTGACATAATCGGCCAGTTCTTCCTTGGTTCGGCACGGGCAGATCTTGAGGCGCGATCCGTCCGGTATTTCTTTCAAATCTGTCCCTGAAATTACAAATGGATTCTCGAATCCAACGCCGGTGGCAAAATCTGGAGGCAACAGACATTCACAATCATTTGAACAGTCGCATATGTCGTCCGGACAACAGCCCACCTTACATGCGGGCATATTCAGGCTCGCGGGTTAGAAAGGTCAGGGGTTTTTGGTTTGGGATTGGATGCTAAAAAAAGAAAGTTATTGTTAACGACTGGCATAGTTCGGTGTTGAAGGATAATTCACATGCAATTAATCTCTGTAAGTTTCCATTCCGAGGTCTTCAGTGATTTAGTTATAGTTAGTTATTTTACAATACTGTTTCGGCATGAATATCACTCGTATTTAATGGATGTCTCGAATCTTCGCCGGTCATTATTCCAACCGTGTCTAGTATGGAAATGATTATTTACGGAATTTTCTAGCTCAAACATCCATGCTACACACACCAGCGTTAACTACGAGTCTATAACTGCTGAGTATCAACACCGATGGTTAGTATTAGTATTTGCAGATAGAATATTTCAACGAAAGCATGTGTCCATTTTTGGATCTATCTCGGAGCATTCTGAGAAAAAAGTCCTGCTGCTCTAATCTCTTGGCAAAGTCCTGCTGCTGAAAAAAAACATCGCAAATCGAGGTGTTTGAAAAAAGAACTTCTCAACGAGAATGATGATTTATTTACGCGTATTCAGTTTCCCAAGAGTAATTAATTTCATTATCTACTTGACCTCCTTATTCGGTTTCGTATATGCAATAAAATCCCCTAGGAATCCACGAAAATTTCTACAGTACTAAATTTCACCACTGATAGTTCAGTTCCTAACGTAAGGGTATAACATATGTTGAAGACTTTCCGGGCGCACATTACGAGGGAATTTTTTGAAGCAGTGAGCTCCTGAGTGAATTAAACAGCGCTTCTGTTACGTTATCATTTCCAAAGCAGTGTGAACGAGCTCAACGTCATTGATATTACAGTAGTACTCCAACCACCCTAACTATAAACACGGACCATCGTTAATGCCTAGTTTCCATGAACATGTCAAGGTGGCTGATGTGATAGAGTATTTCAGTGTGTGCACTCAACTATGACCTATTGAATACAGAAACAAATTTACATCCGGACTATTTCTCATCGGTGAAAATGACTTGTTCACGATAGTACGAGTATAAATGAAAACCAGGCTTAAGTTAAAACTATATTATGTTAACTTTTTGGCGGGCATTGCGGTGCATTTTGCGGGCTAAAATGATAAATTTGCTGGGCTCAGCCCGCTGATCAAAGGATGACTGAAGTGTTTACCCGTTGGCCGTTGCATAATTTTTCAAGCCAAAAACACATTTATGCCCGCGAACATCAATTCTATTGTTATATTCGACTTCTCACTTGGATAGCTTGAACTGATTATCAGCTCTTGAATGTAAATCTTTATATTTTTAGGGTAAACATGACCTAGTGAGCATAACCAAATAATCAACAACCATTCTTCGTCGCTACTCTACTTTGCAAAAGCCAATTAATTGCACCATCTGTTGCATAATAATGGTGATAAGTGAGACCTACAATTATTGCATTACAACTTAAAGATCGCTTTTATGTCTTTAGCTTAGGTACCCCCGTGGTATATATTGCATGCACCCTGCATTAATAAACAAACGAAACGCTATTGTTATCCGGCGTTTTACCCCTAAAAAGAGGACAAGTATAACTTCAAATACATCAGCCGTAGAAACAAGACGGTGGTAAAGAAGTGTATAACATCATTCTTCGGTACAAGTGTTTATTGCAAACAACTGACGCTAATCGCATTTCGTATGTATTTCTTTCGCTTTAAAGCTTCCTGTTTTAGCATTCATTCACGCCTTAAAAGCTTGGAAGATAAAACATGTAAGAAACTTCATGAACCCACTCAGTTTTCCGTATTGGTATATTTCGGTCACATTGCATGAGGTAACAAAACAGCCAATGTTGATATAACAGATTTTAAGCTATTCTACTCACTTAAAATGTTTTTTAATCGGATATTGTTAAAGGATGAACAAGGTCGAACCGTTATTAGGCTACTTAATGCAGAGAACGCAAGACCCAAGCGTGACGTATATATTCACTAGAAAAACAAAGGGATTGGAAAATATTTTCAATATTTCACATTTATAAACTATTTAACTATAACCTATATTTAATAATGACCTCGATTTTAGCCTATCGTTTAGCACGAATGGCATGCACGCATCAATGTTATGGTATCTGGCATCGAGCCTACTTTCCTGAAGAGTGCAGTGGTAGATGTTGTGAAATAGACATATGGCTGCCTTCCACTTAGAGGTTTTTTATACGCACGTACACGATCTTACAAGTCTAAATCCTTATATATGTTATCTTTGGAAAAGCTATGTTTTAGTATATGTAAAATTAGCGTGGGTCAAAAATTATGACAACGACAAGAAAATCTGCACGAGTTTCTGGGCAAGATAATAATAATAAGGGCTGCTTTCCACTTGCGTGTATAAAAACGCGTATATAAAATTGAAAAATATCATTCAAATTTTCATCATCTTAAAATTTTTGACGCCACACTGTCAATCTATTCGTCTCTCAAACATTTTGAATCGTCATGCATGCGCATTTCCTGGAGGAATTGGGTCCAATCTATTTCCGGTTTCCCACTCATCGAAAGTGGTGGAATCATTCCTCCGCCCGCGGGATGAGTTTCGCTAACCTTGAGTGATCTTGTTAGGAAACGCTGTAAAGTATAGGCAGAAAGTCACATGCCACCGAACAAACCATGTTGTGTTGTATACACTTTGACCTCCTTTTGATTTCATGTGGATTGTATTAAACGATGAATGAGATCAATTATTGATCTTAAACGCTGATTATTTCCTTTCACAGTAGGGTCCGAGTCTGCGACTACGTTTTGCAGTCAAAGAGATTAGAGCAGCAATAAGTTTACTGGCGCCAATGCGAACAGTCATCGGTAAATTTAATTACCATAGACAGTAAATAATACAGCTGGGAATTGCCTGCTCTGGTGGAGGACCGGGTATTTTAATTGAGGTATAGTGGAAACGCAAGCAAAAAAGGCATGACATTATCCTCCCGAAACTACGCAAGCCGCCCCCTCAAACTTTTGTCAAATGGCAAGGGAGTGCATATGTATTTATCCCATTTTTCCCACTTATACATCAATAATTTTTTCTTCTTTGCAATAAAGCATTTTTTAAATATGTTATCTTTCAAATCAAAACAATGCGAAAATACTTTAAAAAATAACCCAGATCTTCTCCCAGATTCAGGCGCAAACCACATTTCTCAACCTTCTTGACAATCTCCCAAGCAAAAGTTGCGAAACCAAGTATACTGTTACTGCTTCAGCTAGGTATAACATATTTTGAAAGGGTGGACTGGAAAATAGATACGTTCCGACATTCAAAGTGCTTCCTTTTTAACTGATAAGCATTCAAACGTGAGATTATTTACTTTGCAGCACGCACGCAAGACGTTTCGCGTTGGCGAGATTGTTTTGAAAATCGAAATGCAAAATATGACACCATTCGTGTGGCATTTACCATGCAGGGTTTGACACAGTAAAACTCTTTGTATTCAAAATTATTGAATGACTCACTCTCCTCCATCTGTAATTCATCAAGGTGACGTATCAGATACGAGAAAATATACTTTATATTTGCGTGACAAAGCATTGGCATACTTGAATATATTTTTTATAGCTGGTCACGAAATTTCCCGACTGATGTTTTATCTCAAACGAGTAATATAATGACGATAATTCTTCGATACAGACATTGTTGGTAATGTTGTACAGGAGTCAGCGATGTTTTATTTCCCTTTGAGTATCACAACAACAGCTCGATGGAATGGTTAGTCCGTTGAATGTTTTGTTAAATACGAACTCAACTTCAAGACATGCGCGCTTGCTTTTGCACGCGCGCGAATGAGCGCACTCATTAACATAATTCGCGAATGAAGATCTATATAGTTGGTTATAGCTTGAGTACTTCACGAGATTAATTGAAGCAACATGTTAGGTGAACTTATAAGCATGCCGGCATACACTCTTTCCTTTAATTAAATAATTAAATTATCTTTGCGCAAGACGTATCCTAGAACTTCATGTGTTTGTTATTCGCGTTCATACGAGATCCTTTTATAAGGGCAATTGTATACAACTTTCTTATAAACTAATAAAACATCCTTATTTAGTTTAGTGAACCTGTTTCAGTGACTATAATTGATACACTTTATTGATTGATGCATTTCATACTGTTATTTAAGCATCAATCTTGCTAACGTTGTATCTAATATAATGATATTTTCGAATTCATATTTATAGCCAGACCTTGTATGGAAGCATTTTATCAGAGTAAATATATCAGTCTTCTTTAAATTATTTCAAACACTCATTGACGATACTTATCTTCCTACAATTAAACTTACCTTTATTGCTTGAACTTGTGTAAATACATGACTGACGTAAAATTGAAGTTAAATACTGAAACAAATTTACTAAATTTGATTATTTGCACGAACAAACGTATACCTTTGATAAGGCTCTCAAAATTCCAAAACTCCAAACCACATGTTAAGATTCAACCTATCAATTTTTTTCACAGCAACCAAGATATTTCTTTGACAACGGAACTTGAAGTGCATCTGTCGTGGTAGGAACAGTCTTAAATAGTTGACCTAGGTGAGACATCACAAATCACTAAAGATACGCGGCTATTGGGTTTCAGGGCAACTGAGAGTAGATAAGAATGTGCGTAATCTGTTAAAGGTGCCCGATTTCAGCTCTCGGGGTATGTAAAAGCGATAATCTTAGCGCTACTAAGAACATAAACAAATTTTATTTACATTAGATGGTCGTTCTATTGGTTGTAACTTGTTCTCTCCACAGGGTAATACGGGGTTACTACAGGAGGAAATATTGATATCGATGTCGCGGGAATGCCCACAGGGTCATGCTAAATGATTACACGACATTTGCAACCTCGGTGTTGCACGAGTCCTATATGGTTAGGATTAAGTTCGGAAGCTCAAGCCGAGATAAAATTTCGACCCTGCGGTTGAATTAGGCACCGGGGCTGAAAATTTGCGATAAGTTGTATTCATGGTAAGACCGGGCTGAAATTACCACCTACAGTCAATAGGATGGTTGATGGTTGTTCCATGCAAATTCTATGCTTGTAAATGATCGGTCGATTCTGAAAAAATGCTTTTCACGTTATAAAACTTATTGCATGTAAACCCTTTATAAATACACATATATCTATGTTATAATATTATTATAAACTATGCAGTAAAATACTTAAGTAGTTATCTCAGAGATAATACTATCAGATAGCCAACAACTGCACGTCCACGGAACCTCGTTGTAGAGCTTCTGGAGGCGGTGTATGATGTAGCTGATAAAGTTATCACGCATTCGTTAGTTCGAAAGACAACCAATTAAAATCAGTTGACTGCAATTTAACTGCAAGTTAGGTAGGAAATCCTGAAACCGGTTCTATAGAACTCTTTTATACCGCATGAATAAAAATGATTTCTGAATAAAAATGAACTATCCCATTAGCTCTACTTTCATTAACTTTACCTATACCCATGCACGCGTAACTAATACAACTAACTTGGGGCCTTTACCACGTCCATCGCATATTTACCATGCATATCTTCTTCTTTCCCTCTACACTACCCTCTGACAGGCCTAGCCCACGGATTACTTAATGTGTTCTTATCTTATTACATAATTGTTTTGTGTAGAAAACATGCAGCTTTGCATCTGATATTCTAAACTGAATTACGTAGAGTGCATATCTTGTCTGGTCAGAGCGTAAGCCTGAGCCAAAAGCTCTCTGGCTGGCAAAGCGTGCACGACTCATAATCACGTCTCAGACCAACATAACCCAACCCAACCCAATCAGTTAACATTCCCCGAAGACTTTTGTGATACAGCGTTGACTGACTCTTTACAGAAGCGCTTGCATGCTTCAACATCTGTGTGACCCTGATAGGCCAGATAGGGTCAGCGCATGCATTCAGCTAACTGCATGACAACGAAATGTTCACGCGCGTACAATTAATTAAGCATATTCAATTCACTCCTTTAAGAACTCTTCGTAGAAAGACCGAAGACGTGTTAGATGAAAACAAACAAAAGCATGACCGAGTACATGCACATGATAAAATGCGAGATATCGGGGGTTATTTTTCCTCATTAACACTTGTGACGTATTTCAACAAGAGATGTACGTAGATTCCCCAAGTTAATTAAAACAACAAATTCTTGGCTTGGCATCCAGGTTCATTCGTCTCATTCTTGGTGGTGTTATTTGGTATTATTTACATCCTTGGTTCAGTTTTTTTTTATCGATTTAGGGTTCCTTATCTTCCATGGCCTTTTATGGGGAATAATCTTGTGGGGTAATCAGTCATGTTTCCTTTAAAGTAGGGCTTTGTTTATGGCCTTTCATTAATGGTTTTATATGCTTTAGTCTTTACACTGTCTTACTTAACCCGGAACAGGGTTATTTCCCTAACCAGTTTGAGCGCAATGAAACACTACTCATATATACCGCTATTTTGACTAACATTAATAAAACACGTAAAAAACTAGCCGCTTGTAATGTACGTTATTAAAATATGACATGATTTCTGAAATGAACTTTGATTTGCCGATTTTTTTAGTGAATGGTCACGCAACAACTTTACTATTGACTATTTCACTATACAAGTGCATGAGAGGGACGCAGTGACTAGTAGTAGATATTGTGATAGTTTTACATACGTTTCACATCACTGAGATTACCCGAGACTATGAGAATTTCCATCCGTTAAGCCCCGTTTACAGTTTACACTACACTTAATTCATTGGCACGGCTAAAATTGGCACCAGTATCAATTCCAACAGGGCTCAGACTACCAATACAAAGGCCGACCACAGATAAAATTGGCACGGGTAGCCATTTTAACCGTGCCGCACGGTGCTACTTCCAAACGATGCCCATATTAACTTATTTTATCTGGAGGAAAATTAAATGATAACAGCTAGAGATGACTACGGGGCTAGGGTGGGTTGTATAAGACAGTATAAGACTCGGTTTATTTAATACACAAAGCGGTGTCTATATCGAGTTCCCCCCCCCGGACGCAGGTTAATTAAATTCCTTATACAACTTACTGCAGCTTAAAGTTAAAAGAGGCAGCCGCTTTAAGTCTGATGCCTAAAGATTTCTGGAAAACACCTTCTCAAGCTGATAAAGAGAAAGCCATGCACAATATAAAGAAGCCGTTGGAAATTTTATTTGTTGATTTGCTTGCACCAGGAATTAGCTTTTAAACAAGTTACAAGCTTTACTGCTTTAGGACAAAAAGCTTGCTGGACTGCCAGAGAAATGGCTATTGGATAGAGACTTCAGCTATACTGGCGTGCAATAATGATTAATGAATAGTTATTGTTCTAGTTTTAAGAGCATGCAAAAATAAATACGGTAGAATTGAATTTACCAAGGGGGAGAGAGAGCGGAGGCTGTTGACGAGCGTATGAAACTTGTAAAGATGCGTGAAGCCATTCTATAACGATAAGACATTGAAACCCTCAGCAACGAGGTGCTACCATATGCAGTTACGCCTGTTTTGAGACTTCCAATAAAAACAAAGGATTAACCCCCTTCCCGAGTCGAAGAAAGGGCTCTAAAGTTTACTCCAACTCCTACGGCAATGCGGTCTGTGATCTAGTTCATTCCGTTGTATTAATATACTTATGCCTATATTGGCTTCCAATGATAGGTTTTTTCCTCGATCATGCTTTAATTATGCAAACAAACTCTTTTTTCTTTTCAGTGTGGGAGCCTAACAAACAAACGCAATTTGCTGCCAGTCACGACAAATTTTCGGCAACACTATTCATGCAAAAAAGCTGAACTATATACACAGTTCGGTGGCAAACTATTAAAATCTCTTACTACAAGACAGCCGACGAAAGTAAAAACCGAAAACTACAGTCAGTGATCCCCCAGTCCGACCAATAATAGTTAATTTCAAAATATATACCCTTGGTTGTTATTGTATTTTGATACGCCATATAAAGCGAAACACAAAGCCATATTTGGGAGCATATTGTGACAATAGAACTACTTCTTTCCGTGTACGGTATATTTATACAGGGCGTCTTATTTGTCTTATTAACTTCAAGACATATCTCGCATGCATCTTCCCTGACACGTTTGTATGTATTTTTCATAAAGCGTCTTCACTATTTCTATAAATCCTTTCAAGAGGTAAAAAAACCTCGTCAAACGACTAGTTTTCAACACACTTGGTTTCGGTGTCAACCCTACTCAAGTGATAAATTACACTGTACACCAACGCAGACACAGTTAACCTTTTAGCTAACCTTATATACAGAAGTTTCCTTGCGAGTGAACGGTCCCGCGATGGTTCTAGTAAAACTCTGGTGATCATGAAACAATAACGTTCAAATATGTCTAGATGTTGAAGGACGTCGAAACGAAATGCCTTTTGTGGACAAAGGAGGCCAAAATTTTCTTTGACATTTCAAGATCCATCACCATACGCCTGCTGCCATCTAGTCACTGACACGCACACGAAAAATGCCTGGAAACGCAGTCCAGTGACAACATAGTCCAGTGACTCGTATTTTGTACATAACTCGTGACTTCGGTCAACAAACTGTTTTTTATTTCAAAAAACAACTTTTGTAGACAAAAACATCAAATCCAAATGTGGATTTTTTTAAAAAAAGAAACCTACACCAAAATCCTACCAAATAGTTGAAAAGATACGACATAACTGTCTTTCTCGCAAAGCTGCAGGAGAAGCACTCGAGCTCGTAGAAAAGCCGATTAGCGCAAATCCTCAAATTAAACCTTCCAACAGCTTGTTTATCAGATAATATACACTCTTTTTTTGAACCAACACGTTTTTTTTTCGATTTCACCCTGAAAATATTCTTGGTTTGTTGCTAATTAACGCCTCTCTCATCGGGAATTTCAATTACGTTTATCATGGAATTTCTGGCAATCCATCGGATTAAGTTAAGTTTTAGGACCAATTATAATATACCTTAGGTGAATAAAATTGATAATAGAGCTTGTTTGATTCTAAACATCAGGCGATACACTATTTTCATTAGCTGCAAACTGTCAGTATAGAAGAAATAATCCCAACATCCGAGTTCATTTTTTTTTCAAGTAAGAAAATCAGCCTCGAACAGCTTACATAGAATGAGTTGCAACTTGTAATGATAAAAACACAATGTTAAAATAAAATTCTTTAGACCAATAGAAGTTCTATTTTCAAAAGAAACGGTCAAGCAAGAACACTTGACTTGAAGCAGCGGGCTAAAATTTACCCAACAGAGTTAGAGCGCAAATCCCGCAAGTACTCCGGAACAACCTACCAGAGCTTGAAGTATATAAATATAATTGTTTGCACAGAAAGTTCAGCCTTACCTTTCAGGAAATCAATTTCCCCACGGCCAGATGTACTTGCTTCCAACACTGCGATTATACTCTACAGTCAAAAACAAAAAAGGCAAATCAATTAAGCGTCTCTCCCTCGGCCAATCGACCATGACTCTGAAAACGTCAAAAGGGACAAAAGAATCAACAAAATAAATTTACTAAACATTCACTGACACGCTTTTGTTTCCTTATTAAGGCTTCAAAATTCAAGACAAACTTAATCGTATTATAAAGCGGCACACAGAAAGTAGTGAAAAGGTGTAACTTTTTTGCAGATATACACAGCTTATATACGCAATTGCAAAATCCGGTTTTGGCACACAAACATTTTTCAAAGGCACAACAGGAGAAAGCGGACGTCCAACCATTTTTACAAGCTATGCAAATTCACAGTTAAAAAGAACCCTCGGTGGCTGCGCTGTAAGCAGCTCAAACTCGAGACAAACAAAATAGTAATTAACACGAAGTATCTTTGTTATTCCCAGTGACGTTTGTGAGCACTTCAGATTTCAATGCACAGACGGATTATTCCGAGTTACTCGTCTGTTCTAGTAGGGAATGTTAGACAGTTAAAACGGAAATTGGCATTCTGCATGGAAATTCGCATTTCAAGTCTTAATTCTAACCCTACATAAGAGTTGCCATTTGGGAGATCATAACTTTTGACGGGGGGCATATTACAATAAATCTTTATGAGATAGTTCAGACAGTTATGGTTGAAAAACTGCTGATGCAATGGCTAAAAATGTACAATATTAGTAAATTCTACGTTTGCTTAATTGAGCCTAATTCTTTTTCGGGTAGTTTATACACCGAAATCCCCAAAGCAAATTTAGTTCAACATTACCAACACCAATTTTACAACCTTGAGAGTAAAAACTATAGGTTTTCAAGCAGTTTTAAACAAACTACGACGCTGACAATAGTCAATACCTTTTACAAATCTACTTGACCCTCAAGCTGTTTTCATACATACGTGTATGCACGCATGAAAGTTCATGATATTTTAATAATTTCATCGTTATATTTTAGACGAATACACATTTAATGATAGAGATGCCTAAATTCTGTTATTACCTTTTATTAGTTATTCATAGAGTACATTTTATGAGGAGTCCAACTTATTCACGAGTATTTACACGCACGTATAGGACTGTAAAACGATTAAGACTTAAGTGGACACACAAAACCTGCCAGGGTTATCGTGTATGTTCATCATGTGCAGTAAATTAGTAATCTTGTAGTGGCCATTTGTCGGGTAGAGATGAAAACTTGGGATTAATTTTCGCGCTCTTCGAAGACATTAAGGTGTCAACATTTGCTTCCCGGCGGTAACGCATAAGGAACCCTGCCTAACATTCACAAAAGATTGAAAATAATTGAAGTCGAACTGGGTATTACAGAACACATCTGGAAGAAGGATAACATCGAGGAATGAAGGATAATTTGGATAAACAAGAAATCCTCATTAACAATTTTGTCAAGTTTGCACTTTTCATCCCATTTAATGCAATTCACCCCATTTAACAATTAGACAACGAGTCCGAGTTGTCTATGAGCGAATAGACAACGAAGGCGAAGCCTGAGTTGACTATTCGCTCATAGACAACGAAGGCGAGTTGTCTAATTGTTTTAGTATACACCCTGTACATAGATATATTAATTTCGAGGAAATAATCGATACACCGCAAAATTACACCGAAAAATAATTTAATTAAGGCAATTTTATACGGTCGCGCGAGCGAATTTTTCCCAAACGTGCACTATCACGAATAGACGATTGTTGAGTAGCCAATCAGAATGTAGGATTTGTAATAGACAATAGTCGGGTGTATACTAATTACTAATAGTAAAACGCATTGATAAAAGTATACTTAAGATTAAGACCTAGGCTCTTTATCACAAATTATTGGCACTTATATATGTGTCTGTGATCTATCATGGTTGAATACCTAAGTTTAGACCAAGAGAGGCTCAAGATGATATTTCAAAACCTCTGAAGAATGGAGGTCATTACAGACGTTATGCAATAATAAACTAAAACACAGATGAGCTTAAAAATGTCCTCCTCCTGTAACCTACGAGCAGATATGCAAGGAACTTTTATATATTTGATATATCATAATATTTTGATAAAGTTACACTAATTGTTTAAACCATTGTACTGTAAGCTCTCATTGATGATAACAAATTTTGTTACTCACATCTGGTTTTGACATTCTAGAACTATTACTTTTAATTACAGCACTTCAACCATCCCAGAGCTAAAATGGGTGCATGCACTAATTGTGTTGAAATCACTACTAAGACACTAATTAACGTAAATAAGCTTATTAACTATTAGAGCTTTCCTGTCCCACACAACAAACTAAGCTTCCTGTCCCAGGCTACAAACTTCCTGCCAAAGTCTTCTCCATCAGATTTAACTCAAATCCTATTCTCCAGCTGTGAACTGGAGTCAAAAGCTAATCTTTAGTTAAAACCAATATCTTATTCAGACCAGTATGCAATCATACACCCTTATGTAGAATACAATACAACAATAACTGTATATAATGAAAGCATTTCTATTATTCAACATTTTGACTTTATTTAGTCATAATCAGAAATGACGACTAAATAAAGTCAAAACATTTAAAAATAAACTCCCTTTATTATTCCAAAGGTAGTTCTGTATTTTATAAAAATACTAGGTTTTCACAATTTCACTCATGTGGCTATATTTCAAGCACAATAACTTTGACCAGCAGATTATAGAACAACTTGCAAATTCCTGACAACATTTAAGACTTTTCAAATGAAATGTCAAATGTAATGCCATTAAACCCAAACAACTGTCTTGCCAAGATAACATTACTCTGGCAAATCAACCACTTAATTAATATCTGTCATAGGTATCCCACAAGTATGCATATATACTCCAGATGTTCCAATAATATATACAAGGCTATCACATCAATTAAACTTGCAACCCTAATGACCCTGCAACCATTACCAACATTTGACAGACATATTTATATCAATTGTCTAGCAAACAACATTGAATAAAAGGAGTTAAAACACCTTAATGTGAACATTTGTTAACAAAATATCATAACGTATCATACTTAAGCAAGAGAGACATGAACAAATGTGACCAGACTTTTACTACAGTTTAACTATATCACAAATGTATGTTTTTACAATTATCTATTAAAAAACAGCCTGAAAATAATTGGAATGCTAATACTTGTTGATTAAAAACCCACAATTGTCTGTATTTAAATAAGTGCAACTTAAACCATTTAATATACCCAACCTAAGTAAGGATTTTCTGGTATTTGCCTGGCATATCATATGACTTAAGTTTCATTACCTATTAAGCATTTTTGTACATCCTGGGCAAGGTTAAGTCTTATTAATGCAACTAAACATCTGTATCGCAAACAAACAGTTTTAAACCATCCAAACTGAATCTAATTGAATACTAAATACCAAAATTACCTAAAGTGATCAGAGGATTCATAATATGTTTAAATGAAAGAAATGCTCTTCAAAAATCAATCATCTAGGTAACACAAAATGAAGTAACCTTTTGACACATGTGTCAAAAATATTTTTGACTCTGAACAGCAAAACAAGGCAAATAGGTTACACAGGGTGCTGGTCATAGTACCATGGTATATTTTGGTACATTATAACCTAAAATTATAATTTACACACACTAGTACTCTACCCTAAGGATGCTTGTTTATTTTGGAGGCAAAAACATCTTTCCTTCAATATTCCCAACAGTGGAATCATCTTAGTATAATACTAAATGGACTTGACTTGTTATTAAATTAAGAACATTTACTCACATATGTTTTCAATAAAAGAACTGATTGAATACCTTGATGTTATATTAGCCTGAATCAGCATACACACTGGGTACTAATAACAGATATAACCCTGCAAATAGGTATGAACAGTTGGCGCTAAAATTCGTACTAGAGTATCATAATTTTACGGAATATTACGCGTGTACCGCTATATAAGCACGTAATGATTACACATAGAGTAAGAGCATAGCGCTTTAGCATTAAATGGCATTCAAATGTTGTCGTGCATTTGAAGTATCAAATCATTTCCAAACGCGCCTTTCTTTGTCCAAGCACCAGTACAGTAATATTACAGTAAAGTAGCTAGAAATCTTTACACACAAGGTTTACTTTGCCATATCCGGAGTGGAAATCTAAAGGACCACCACTTCATGCAAAACAGGAGAGAAAGAATGAGAGAAATGCATTTAGAGTATTCTTGAATACACTATTTTAGACACAAGCGCACGATTAAAACACGATTAATAAATACCGATATATAAGATATATATAAATATAATGAAACTGATATAATGTATGTACCAAAAAAATATTAAAAAAACAAACTTACCTACAGTACCGTTTGGAGCAAACAGAATGCCATCCGCCGTGAACAATCAGAGTTTTTGAATGAACAAAAATATAAAAAAAATATTTTGGAAGGAAATGAATAGTCATGTGTGTCGTGCCGTCCATATCGTTCCAAATATGGTCATAATCTCCTTATTTGGTTGGCCCTCTCTGAAACTTTAAACTGATCGTGCACTTCCTTCCTTTGGGATTAAATTTCAAAATGTCTGGCCCGAGTTGTTTGGAACAATATAATTTTATAGGAATTTAATGTATTTGTATTGCTTAGATTAGCGTGAAAAAGAAAACCATGTCTCTTGAGGATCCATTCTTTGTGGTAAAGGGGTAAGTTTTCCCATATTACAATTACAAAGCAGCGAGTTTACGCAATTACGGTGTGAGCTTCGATAGTAAGCGTTTACACTGTTTCGTGTCAAACGTATGAAAATGTCATGTGTTGTTGTGTGATCAGCAATATTTTTATAGCGTTGTACGGTAGTATCACGGTATAAAACCGGACATGCGAATACGACATTTTCGGTTCGATGCTACTTTAAAGCGTTACGTTCTTGTAGAGTTATAGTTAATGTGTCAGCAAGAACATTCCCAATATTTGATATTGTGAAATTTATTTAAAAATATATTGGTGTTATTATACGTCAATAAGTGAAATTATTCCCTTTGGAAAGGGCAAAAAAGGTGTATGGTGTATTATGACACATAGGACAGTCAAATAATATGAGTGCCATACTGCCGTTTGGTTTATGCCTAGCTGCATAATTTGTTGCAAAATTTAATGATGTCAATACAATTTGAGTTTCTGAAGTGCTCTAGGTTCTCTGACGTGAAAGAGGGCAAAGGGCAAAGCCTTAGCTTATTTTTTTGTTGTTGGATGTTTCTAGCAGAACTGTAGCCAAAATCTTTCAAACGACCCTTGAAAAAAAAATTGTGTTTCATATCCGTTATCCGAAATATCTTTTTTCAGTTAGATATGATATGTGTTTTGGGACAACAAAATAGATTATTCATATATATGAAATTTACCATACTTCTTTATTTTCTCTACTGTGAGCATTTTATATTGTTATGGAAAAGCCCTCAAAGTTTCAAGTATTTAATTTTTTTGGTATCCCTCTTTAAGAATACTTGGACAAGTTAAGTGTTTATTATGCAGTCAATTGAGAGATTTCCATCTTCCCAACCTGAATGATAATCTCAGGGATGAGAACAAAAACTGTAATGATGCCCTGTTAGGGTAAATTTTGATTGGCAGCATTAAACTCAAAGGCAACATTGGAATTGTAAAAGATGACATGACTTTTGTAGAAATTGTGACAATGACATGATGAAGATGAAAAGCTAGGACAAAACAAAATTCTAAAAACAACACAAACATAGAGTTTTTTTGTAACTTACAGTGTTGCCTGTTTAGGAAACCAGACAAAATTTGATAACTTTAAACTCTTAAAAAAAATTGTGTGGCCAAAAAGTAATTTTTATTAGTTAGCTGAATCATCCCAGCTTTAGTAATAAGCAAGATTGTTATTGTGACAAAGTGGACCTATGTTGCCTAGATGATTACAAAACAAATTGCTCCCTCTAATGAGAAGAGCAAGATTATTCCACTCATGTCTGCTAGATTACTACTGCCTCTATTAATTAATAGGTCACATCAGCAGCCATTTAGGTACACCAACATTGGATGTTTATTTCTTAAAAGTAGATGTGTTGTGTGATTAGATAAGCTACTTAACAATATAATGAGAACTTCAACATTTCAAGCAAATCTTCTTCATCTGGAGGTTTGTATTTAAGGACATGATTGGATGACATATCTTAGATATGTAAAATTTACTGAACACTCAGACTTGTTGTCTCCATACAAAAGGGTACGTAAAATTTCTTATGATAAAAGTTTCTTTTCTGCAAAACCTTTCAAATGATATTTGAAGATATTGTACAAATCTCTTGTATAATTTCTTGTTAATTGTCTACCATTTCTAGTAGCTGGTAATGCCATCATTAAAACACCATCGCTGACGAAAGTTATCGGAGATTTGTAAAATTGGTCCTTTCAAATAAAAGAAACTCTTATTTCTAGAAATTTTTTTGCTCTTGCCAACTACTTCACATTAGTGTTAGTGCCCTTAAATTAATAAAAGACATTCTTAGTTATCAAATGCTAGGGTGCTCTAAGATAAAGTTGAGACATCTTTGTTGTATGTCTATAACCTTATCTAAATGGGTGTTTTAAACAGAAATGTTTAAGTCTGATTTATGTCTTCATTTTGGAAGAAAATCATCCTGTGTTGTAATATTGCATTTTAACAATGAATAAAGCATGATAAAGTGCCTGACTCTCTGATCTAAAGAAAGTATGCTACAAGAATCAAACCAGGCTAAATAATTTATCTTCAAATTTTTTGTTTATTTAAAAACAGAGAGGTTCAGAAATCTATGAACAATTTAAGTGAGCTTCATGAAAAATGGAAGTCATTACTAAACAACCCTGCCATGGTTGGTCGAGAAGAATACAACCTGACAACCAGTGAACTACGGAACAACATTCGTAGTATTGAATGGGATTTAGAAGACCTTGAAGAGACAATACAAATTGTTGAAGGAAACCAGAGAAAGTTTAATCTAGGCCCAGAGGAAATTGAAAGTAGAAAGAACTTTGTAAAACAGACAAAACAAAATTTGGATGAAGTTAAAGCATCTGTTAACAGTCCTGCTGCCCAAGCTAAAGTGCAATCATCCAACAGACAGGTGAGGTTTTGTACATCCCCGAAAATCCCAGCAAAATAAATAGTATGGTCCTATCTGAGTTTTGTGTGACATTTTTCTAGGCACTAGTTGGTTCAAGCAGTAAATCTACCTCAAACAAATATTCTCGTCTTGATCAAGAAATTGAAAGATCAAACCAAGATTTTATTGAAGATCAAAGTCAGCAACAACAGGTATACTATTGTGGTTTTACTTACGTGGGACGTTCTGTATTGTAGAGAAAATTTTTGGCTGGATGTCGATTTTAGGCGTAGAACGTTACAGCTCCACCAGTGCAACCTTTTGCTTCGGCCTTTGATAACTCCAGATTTCTAGCTGGTGGTAATTATTGCAGCGACATGAGCTCACGACTAGAACTAATACCTTCATTGAACTTCACCGTACAGTCGCAAGGATATTTTCCTGAGTGTAAACAAGCCTATATGAACAGCCTTTTGTAAACAATGATCGTTTCAAACTTACAATCATTTCGTCACAGCCACAGGCCAAACACAGACAATACTGTCATTAGCTGCATGTTTTAAATATTTATGCTCCCTTGAAACGTAAATCCAGGTAATCCAACATGTTTGCTACGACGTCCATGTTTTCTTTTTATTTCATATTACCATATTTTTTATTATATTTTCTAAATCCATATCTACATGTCTAACGTGGAAAGTCAAGTATTCGTTTTCATCACACAGTTGCGTGAATAATTCATAACTCAGTCAAACTTAAATCCCTAATATTTTTACGTAGTTAATAATGGAATCACAAGATGATCAAATCCAGTTGGTAGGTCACAGTGTTGGAGTCTTAAAGAACATGAGTCAGAGAATTGGCGATGAACTTGATGAACAGAATGTGTAAGACTTATTTCAACATTACAAGTAGTACCGTGTATTATATAGCCAAAATAATTTCCCGCGCTAACAAAGCCAATAGCTATTTATGTGTATTGCAAGTAAACCATAAAAAATTCTTATATACTGAAGAATAAATGAATATTGTCTCTGAGCAGTTTTACGGGTCATCTGCGTTTGCGATAGCGTTACCTTTGCACTGGGAAATAGCGTTTATCATTTATCAACTAAGAATTCTCTAAATTTTTTTAGCTTACTGGACGATCTCGGGCATGAAGTAGATATGACCGATTCCCGCTTGCAACAAACATTACAGAAGATTGAGAAGGTTTTAAAACTTGCCGATGGTAAGTTAAAGTTGTCCAATTGGCAGAGTCAGCTTTCGAGCGGTTAGATACTTATATTACCCCATTATTAAAAAAAGTAAAATCTATAGTATTTCCTTCTTTATATATATCAGAGGTTTTAGCTAAAAGCCACTTTTCAATGACTAGGCAACAATCTACATTTATTGTGTATAGAGCAAACTCTTTACTATCCTTCTTTATTTCCAGACAAGAAACAGACTTATGTTCTGATTGGTCTTATTGTTATCCTGGTGGTAATCGTCGTGTTATTTATTGCCCTATAACATCCACTGTTGCCTGGTAACATCAGGCCAGGACTGGATCACAATTGGGGATTATTGTTCTGGGATTTTGCTAATTGTATAGGACTGATGTGGAAAACCTGAACAACATTGAACAAGGACGACGCAAAAATGTTAAAAAAGGAGAAATTTCTACTGCGAAGATGATATGTTTGAGAGAACCTGAAGATAAATTACAGATGCAAAGACTATGGCAGTTAGGACTTAACGGATTATTATACACGCGTTATTTCGCTGGATACCCGTCGTGCGGAACACTAAATTTCCTGGAAGATTGAGCATAAACACGGGCCTGGATTCGTACATTTAGGCACTCGTTGGGAAAGTTAAAGCAGATATACAAATCTTGAAACGAGGAATATTATATAATTGAAGCATATACGCAAATATCTCTACGGATATAATACTGAAAAATTAATAAGTGTAAAGAAAAAGTAGATGAAATAAAATCAAAATTTATTTCCTCTTTCTTGTGTTTGAAAATCAAATAGCGATCTTTTTTATTATATGTGAGTGAGAATGAGCCAACTCTTACCAGGATCAGATCTTTATAGGATCAGATCAAGTACGTTTCATTCTCAGATGGAGAAGTAAAAGAATGTTAGGCCTGTTTCACACGTTGAACCTTCATATGCCGAACCTAATGTTAATGAGCTAAAGTAAAGTCCTTGTTTAATGCAAATGATTGCATTCGATTCGGCACATAAAAAGTTTGACGTCTGAAACGGGCCTTGTATGATAATAGTGATACGTATACTTGGTGCTTTTGGGCATGTATAATTCCATAAATATGTTTTCGGCCCTTCAGACTATAAAGTTCATTTCTTAATCCCAGCCTTGGTCTGGCCATATGGCCATATATGCCTGAATGCGATAAAGTATATTACAAATGCTATGAATGTTATCTATAATCTTTCTCTTTTATTTTAAACGCGACGACAAGAAAGGGTTTTGTTTTCATTTGTTTCCATTTTATATTTAATTGCTTTGCCAAACTAAGAGTTCCGATACTGTTCGCCAAAAAAAATCAAGTTTCAGAAAAACAATAAATCTCGAGGAAGGAAAGTGCTGTCCAGACGGAAGGGTGGTGATGCGAAAAATAGTCTTACATTTTTGTGTTGTGACATTATTTTACAGTAACGACTCGGGAAAAAAACTTATAAATATTATGGATGGATAAAAAGTTCACCTAAAATCATGATTTTTGCTGAAGAGAAACCGGTAGATATCGTTGAATCGAACGTTGGTAATTGGCTGGCAGAAATTCCAGAAAACGATGATTTTTCTTCGTATGATGAAGAAATTATGGCCGTTAGTACACCAATAAAGAGTCGCAGCGTTTCGTATTTGGAACTAACAAGTCCTTGCAATGAAGACAGTTTATTATCAGACACAAGTTTACAACGTATGCGTTGTTTGAGTCAAAGTATAAGCGACATGAAAATTTTGAGGGAAAAACAACAGGAGCGCAAGCACGAGATGGGAGAATTACTAAATGATGATTTCCTGAAGGAGCACGCACGAAAAATAAAGGACGCTAGGGATAAGATTAGGACGCTTGAAACGAAGTATCAAAACCAGAAACGAGCACGCACGAAGCCTGAAACGTCGAGTTTGAATAAAGAGTTGAGAATCTCAATGATCGAGGGACAAAATGAGAGTTTAGTCCTCACAGGAAATACAGGTGAGTATTAACCGTGCATGCAGTGTTAAAAGGCCAATATAAAGAATAACCTCGTAGGAACACAATACCGGATCTCCCGTATCATCATCGGTTCATCGGTCCGTATCAGTTTATATCCGGTGAGCAGAGAGAACCAGAAAAGTCTGTGATGTTTGTTAGAATTTGAAAGTGCCCTCTCCTATACTTGTACAATTCATGGACTTTATTTATTACCATATATATTTATAACTCTTGTCGTTTGTCAAAATTTGTCTATAGGGAAAAGTTATTCCGCTTACGTTTGTAAATATAACGATATGCTTGCATAACAGTTGAAGATGAATCCAAATTCAGAATTGAAATAAACAGTTTGAATTAAATGTTTAATGCGTTTTAATATGCACTGACTCTTTATTCGGAATAACTTTTATTCTATATTTGCTGATATGATCGGCTGGAAAAGAATTTTGATCTGTCAGTTATACTTTTAGACGAGAAAGAGATTGATGGATCGCTGACCCCATCCCAGAATAGGCAAACACAGCAGCAGAAGGATGAAACAACGATAAAGTCACGGAAGCTTCGGTCACTCACCTGGGCAAATGAAGAGGATTTCAGTTCTGAATGCAATTCATTGACATCATTTGAATCAAACAAAAAAAGAATCATGGAAAACATTTCTGAAAATCTTGACTGGAATCGCAATTGTCGCTATGAAGATGAAGGTTTGTCAATGATCTAAAACAAAACTGGAATCCTATTTTTTGAAACTAACAGTACTTTTTTCTATATAGGAAGCCCTGAACAAAATCTAACATTACGAAATCATTTACGACAGAACCCCGCAAATACAAAACCAAAATGGAAGAGTATGCCAAATCTGTCTAATGGCAGCGAGACTATTTCTCTTGAAAACCGCAAATTAATGTATGGCGAGGCCATACCTCTTGACCCCACAGCCAAAAAGCAACAAACGAAATTCACCCGAAAATCAGGTTTTTATACAGTCAACGAAAGCTCGAGGGAAGATTCATACGACTCGAAAAGGAAACCAGGAATGTTTCGAGAAAAATTTTTCGCGAAAAAAGGCAAAACAAAGTCAAAGAAAAATTCTCGTATCGCTGATGTCAGTTCACCACAACAGGGCCTCGCTTTAGGAAGAATGGTGAGATGCCATACATGTGTAGAAACTGCTTATATCATTGAACTAAACAAACCAGAGGAAGGAACTTTTGGATTCGACATTTCCAAGGGAAACGAGAAACACGAAGACGGCGTGTTTGTGCGTAAAATTACCGACAAAAAAACTGAGAAATTTTTAGGTGGACTTTTAAATGTGGGTGATGAAATTTTAGAGATTAACAACACAAGCGTGAGGGGTGAAAGTTTAACGTTTGTTCAGAAGCTGATGCAGAATGCTGAGAAAATACAGTTAGCTATTTTGCCATGTTCAACGCGTTAAAACTTAAGAGCATATTTACAAATGCAACATCTTTTAATAGAAATTCAGTTACACCACTGGTTACACACATACGGTTAATAATGTTAATATATTTAAATAATTTTATGATATATATTTTAATTAATGAGGTGATATACATTCTTTAAATATTAAGTTCTATAAATAGTTATATGAACAGACGTATTGAGACCGTTGTTGAAGCATTATTCGCAGGCATCAAGTCAACAAAGAATTTCACGTTTGCAACACAGGCTTAGCAATACAACGCAGCTTTTGTTATTTTAAAACAGGTTGCTATGGTACAGCTTTGTACCTTTGCTTTGTACTCCGTTTTATTCTTTGTACCCAGATTTTTGTACTTTACACTGATATGTTTAAAACCGGATGGCTCATTGAATTACTAACTTAGCCGAGAAAAAACCGCGGGAATATTACCGTATTAAATAGTGAGCTTAGCCTTGAGCAAGTGACGTTTTTGACAACACAAACAGCATGACGTCAAAAGACTGGGTCAAGGATTGTGAATTCCGGCGCTGCCATAACGGCATTTCATATTTGCCATTCTTTCTGGTTTTAACAAGCTTAAATCTATGCGTCTTTCATTTGCGAAAGAATTTACAAATGAACCCGCAGATTTCATACCAGCAGATTTGAAACCCGCAAATTTCATACCAGCGAGCTCCATATACGCCATGATAACTGGAGTGGGAACGTACGTCAAAAATGTGAAACCCAAAGGGAGTTTAGTCATTTTGGTACATTCTTACCGAAATGCGCAAAACGTGCGGAACACAACAATGAGCAATTGTTACTGAAAGTGAATCGCTGCCGTTCTAGTATTATTCTTATATTATTTATTACCTTGTGGTTTGTTCCCACAGGACAGCAGTTCTATCAGCACTTGTACTAAGAAATGAACGCTCACTCGGGTGCCAACGACATTGTATGACTTTGTCTATGTGTCTGCCAACGACGAAGGTCTCTGAAAGTATCTTGCTGCTGTTGTTGTGTTCAACAGCCGTGATTGACACGCAGGAATCGTAGGAACCCGTGAGGATGTGTCGGGAGTCTGGGGAGAATCGAATTGATCTACAGTCCATCTCGTGAGGATTAAATGCAATGATAGATTTCCTTGCTCCAACATCGTAGACAATGCATTGGCCGTTCTCATCCGCTGTTAAAGTGAAAAAAGTTGCTATTCTGGTTAAACATAAACGATTTTTCCCTAAATGATCAATAGTGAGAATCTCTCCATCTCGCTCAAAAGTTCCAACTACTGTGGCGTGGTAGCGTGGGCAGCAAAGCGCGTGGGACGTGTGACAAAGAACTTAACAAACTGAGTTTACTGGAAGGTTTCTCCTGTTGTAAACAATGATACATGTCAGGACTGGATAACCGCGCATCTGCTATAAATTACCAATGTTTGTCATGTTGAACAGTCCTCGCTACTTCGTGATATGGTTCTAGCCAAGACGCGAGACAGTTCATTTTTTATTCCTAAACTAATTGGGATAATTTAACATGGCTGCAGTAAATAAGTTTCATTTTGCCGTGTTCAAAACGTTCAAAAACTAATATTACGAAGTATTGGTAAACTGTATTTAACAAGATAAAATTGCTAATTTAATAATTTTATAAAGCAATATATTTTTCTGAATTCAGAAGAATGTATTATTCGCCCTTAATGTAAAACAGTTGTTCCAAACTGATTTCTTAATAGACATCCTGTAAGGTTATATTTGTAAATTCTTTCGCAAATATTTGTTGAGTCATCGATGTTTCCAGGGTTCCTAAGGGCTCGTATATTCCAGAAAAGGTGAAATTCAAGTTTCTCAAGGACTTCTGTCGGTTTTAAGAAATTCAAGGACCATTAAACACTGATTGACGACATACCGAGTTTTAGCAACAATGCAATCGAGGACACAGCGTCCAAGAATAAGTGACAATTGTCCCGGTATGAATTTCAAGAAGGGCTTGAACAGCTGTTTTCCTATTTAACCAAATGTTGAACAAAAAATCACGAAACTAGTGGCCTGTTGGATGAAGGCCGGGTAGCACTATTCACCGGATAGTGGTTTTTTCAATCGCTCAAAAACCGTCCGTTTTTTTCGTCAAGATTAAACTTTGTTTTTCATGAAGTAATGGTGTATCCTTATTAATTGCTAGTGAATATCTGCGGTTTTATTGTTCCTAAAAAATTTCTTCAACAGTTGAAAAAATGAATATACGCGTTGGTCCACATTCCAGATATTCGTGGGAGTTCAATGGCGTTGATTGCTTTGGTATGTAGAAAAAAGCGAGGTTGCAAGAGTTCACATACCTGAAGCTAACAACAGAGATTTTGTTGTACCATCGCTGAGGCACACTGACGTCACACAGCTGCTGGTTGCTATCATGTCGATACATTTTGCTACTCTCAGATCCCACAATCTAACAGTCTTGTCCGCTGACCCGGAGCACAGTAAGTGAGCTTGATTGCTAGCAAATACCGCCATAATGTTTCCAGAATGCCCTTGCAGTGATGAATAAGTCTGCCCAGTGTAGCAGTCGGATAAATATATAAGACCACCTCCTAAAATACAGAATTTATTTGTAAATATAACAATAATGTCACAGATCTGCTGAATAAAGGATATTATGCGAGGGTTAGGATGGGTTTGGATAGGGTTAGGTTTATTAGTGAACCAATCCAAGCTATATAAAAGATTTCAACTAAGTTATGCTATTTTTAGTAACTTATATATATGTTTACCTAACAATCAAATCTCGTAGCTATGGAACAATTATACAAAAAAACTTTTTTCATTTCATTATGTTCCTGGAATCTTACCTGCACCGCCCGATGCTAAAACAGGATGACTGCCCGCAGCTGTGTTAACAAACGTCAGATCTCTAATAGTTCCTTTGTGTACTACCAAGTCCATCTGATCTTCTAGACTTACTGGATTATCTTCGTCAAATCTTAAAAGTTTCACTGTCTTGTCGTTAGAGCCTGTGGCAATGATGTCTCCATTTGAACTGAACGCAACACAGTACACAGAACCCTTGTGTATCGAGGTTTTTTGACAAACAACCTCAAGATCTGGGGTGTCCTGTTCATTCCTGGATAAAACATAAATTTTGTGTTTCAGGTGTTTTAGACAACCACGGCAATTTATTTTAGAATTAGAGCTACAATGGATGTGCAAGTCGGAGATATCAGTCTTAAGTAGTTTAGACGCAAACCACGGCAACTAGTTTACAATGCTTATTAGCATTGAGAAGGAGGGGGGGGGGGGTTGCGGATTATTTATCTATTTCTGACGATCTAGGCTGAGGCTTTAAATCATTAAAACTATTCTCGCTCGGCGCCACCAATGGTTGCGCATCGCCGCGGTACACCCTCTTTCGTAATGTTAACTATGCTCCAACGCCTCTGCCTTAAGAACAGGTTACAGACTTACAACAGAGCCTGGCTAGCACACCAACGGGCCTTGACGACGCCCTTTACAATACTGCCCAACGCTGAATCACCACGTTTAAAGAATATCGTTTGCTCGTAATTCGAAAACGAACAATGGCAGTATATGCGATACTATCTACACTGGACCACCACCGTGTGAGATATTTCTTGCTAGTAATTCAGGCACAAAAAAGTTTTAGTATAATACAACACTTTGCTCCGGTGATTGAAGAAGTATTACTGAGTATACTACCTACACTTCTATTCCGAGAAATCGTTTTGAATTACTGTTTGTAGTTCATAAAAAAACACGACATAAACATGCGTTAATTAAGACCCACATTTAAACTGAAAAAATTCTTACCCATCAAAATACGAAGGAGATACATTCTTGCAGCAAATCTTAAGCGCTTTTGAGTTCGTTCCGACAGCAAAGTATTTTCCATTGGGATGAAAGGCTACGGCACGTATCGCTTGGGTGTCAGCTAACTTTGCTGACTTGTGAAAGTGGAGCGGAACGTTGCTAGATTCTTGAAGTAGTTCTTCCCTATTTTCAATGGTAAATGTTTTACAAGGTTTGGAATAGATGGATGTGTCTTGAGATCGTGAATGTTTTGTATCAGGCTGTATTTGTCGAGGAGAACGAGCATTCGTCATCGCACTATTTGGTGTAGAATGGTTCTGATACCTTGAGTTATGAGGAATACTTTCAACAACCACTGACGACTGACTAGAATTGTTACCAGGAGTAATGCGGGAAATATTTTGAAATCTTGGCTCGTTAACATCAGTGTGAGCCGGTCTAGGAAAATGGGGATCCTTCATCGCACTGTGGCGACTATTTGAGGCAGAATAATTCTGGTACTTTGAATATTTCGGATCATTTTCTACAGTTGCGGAAGAGTGACGAGAAATGTGTTGATCGGTGACTCTATTAGTCGAAATAGCTTGAAGTCTTGAGTCCTCGGCATCATTTGCATTCGCGAAAGGTTTAGGTCCGACTCCTTCGTTGTTTTCAGTTTGGAAAACAGTATTTTCCAAAGATCGTCTTACAGCAAACGGCTTTACACCAGATATTTTTGGCGTTTGTTCACTCTATAAAGAAATAATTATCCATTATTAGAATAAGGTTACTATATTTCAATATGAGTGGTACTGTGGTAGATATTGCAGAGATGACGGGAGAAGCGAGTGAGATAAGGAGATGTGATGGCAAGAAACGAAAATAGGCAGATATGAAAAGATCAGATATGACTTAGCTGATAACAAAACTAGCACTACACACGACATGTGAAAGGAAGAATGGCTGAAAAGAGACATGCCATGAGATGAGATAAGGACCAGATATGATATGGCAGGCAGGCATCACGAAGAAGTGAGGGAAACAAGGGTAAAGATTATTGGAAAATGTACAGGGAAGAAATGATGGTGAGACACATTACTTTACATAAAGTAAATATAATCTGATTAACAAGTGTTGGTGAGAGACATTGTAATGTAAACTTGTAATTAGGACACAAATATTCAGATATTATGTTGTTGACATAGGAGCTAGTTAAATAAACAAGAATGAGGTTACATGACTTAATGCACAATAGGAAAGATAAAGAAGGGTTGATAAGAGACATTGTAAGGTAAAAATGCAATTAAGATATCAAAAAGGCAAATATTCTGTTGGCAATGCGTAGTAGTAAAGTTCAAAAGGATTGGATTACATGAACACAAGAATAGAAAGAGACAAAAATGGGTAGTGAAGAGATCAGGACAGATATTATCTGCTTCACAATATGGGGTAATTAGTGAAATAAACATTGGTGGATTAGAGATTAAGAAAGAGACATTACATGGAATTATGAGGTCCAAAGACAGTTGTGATGAGGTTGATATCAGGGATAAGTGAGAGATGGAAGGCTGAGATTATATAAACCTAATGTAATAGCAAGAGATGAAGAAGAGTTGGAGAGATATAACATGAAATTAAAATGTTAGAAGAAGTACAAAGCTCAGATTTAAAATTCTTAGTCCATCTTCAAAATGCAAGGATTGTATGAAAACCATGCACAGAAAACAAAATAAGTGAGGCAACATGCAGATGGTGTAAAGACAAAAGATTTAATATAAGTTTTCTGAGAAGACATTTTTACATACATTTGCATCGGGTGGGGTACTTTCATCTTCTAAAGGATTCTTTTTTGGTTGTTGGGATTGCCGAAGTGGCACATCATGTCGTGAGAATATTTGTTCGGTTGTAACTGGGGATGCTGGTAATGGCGTGGTGAATGTTTGACGGCCAGCTTTAGGTGTGCTGGAAAGGAAAAGTGTTACTAATTGACCCAAATTCTATTTCAAGCCATGTTTGTGGCAATGTGTTTATCAAGCAATGCATTGTGTAAAAATTTAGTTAAACAGAGTTTTTGTATGGTCAAACAGCCATATACTTTTGAAAAATCAATGCATAATTCAAAGTGTAAATTATATAGTGTAGCATAGTGTAACTACAGGGGCAGATCTTTTGGCAGGGGGATGTAGTTTAGCACCCCCCCCCCCTGAAAAAAATGGTATATGAACTCTTATATTATTATAAGATAGAAAATTGTACAATAAGGGTGGTTGTAGAATAAGAGTGTAACTTACAACTTAAGCCTAAGCTAATTACATATTAAATTTTAACCCCATAAATTTTGCCCCCGTTTACCAACTGAGCGTATACCATTCCTTTTTTTGACATTCACGCAAATGTGCAATATTGCAAGGAAGTACTGTAATTGAGTTTGCTAGCACACCGATGCACCCCCTAGGAAAATCTGTACCCCTCCTACCAGATGAGTATTGATCTGGCCCTGTGTAAGTGTAACTAGTAACTACTATTGTGTTAATTAGAGGGTCACAGGGACCACAGCTAGAACATATACTCTTTTGTATACTAAGAACTATATTGATATTAATGGATCAATATATACTCATACCTAGTATTAAAAGCTCCAGAACCATCAGTTAACTTTACCAAGCCAGGGGGTAAGCAAGTGTTCACAGGAGTCTTGGGGGCACCTGCTGACCCTGGTGTTGATGATGAACTCTTTTTTCTCAACATTTCATTTGGGAGACTGTTTGTATCAGGGCAAGTCCCTTCCAGAGTCAGTACACCTTCCTGATTCATCTTATCCCTTTGTTTATGATCATTAATTTCACTCAATCTGAACACTTCATCTTTAAGATCTGTTTGAGCAGTTTGTGGAACCTTAGGGCTTTCAAAATTTTCTGTCAATAACCTCAAGTTTTGAATGCTCTTTTTAACAGCATCTAAACCTCTAGTTGCAGCAGACTCATCAGGAAAAGCCTCTGTATTTTTTGAATCTTTGATCCTACCATTTTCTTTTGCAAGACTTGCACTTTCAGCTAATTGGTCATATAACTCTCTTTGACGTTGTTTGTGTTCTTCTAGCTGCTGTAAAACTGAACTTTGTTGATCACGACGAGCTTTCCTTGGTGATTGTGCTCCTTTACTTGATGAAACATTCAATGCATTACCACCAGGTACATCTGGATATATTTCACCATTTCTCAAAAATACTTCGTGATTTTTGTTCGAGGTCAGTCTTTGGGTTGTGTTTGAGATTCCTGATCTATCATTTGTCTTGTCCAGAATCTCAAACTCTGCAAATGATTGTGAGACATCTCGCACATCAAAATCTAATATGGTTTGCTTCGATGAAGATAAATCACTAAAGCGCTTTCGTCTCTCATCTTTACCTCTTTGTGAAAAAACTTTACCAGGTGACTTCATCTCAATTGTCAAACTTCGACTAAGAGAGTTATTTTTGACATCAACTCTATCTCTATTCTGTCTGAATTTCTGAAAACAGAGGTCAAAATTGAGTTCCTCAAAGGCCTCGACAAAGCTTTCTTTTGAAAGACTATGCAGCCATGAGTAAAAATTGCCAGCACTCTTGAGTGACTGCTTTCGAAAGAAGTCAATTTTTATATCTGCAGATGACACATCAGACAAAGTCGTCTTTCCCATTGCTTGTTTCTGACATAACTCAATACAGTTTTCATAAAGCGAACCTTTAAACAAGAGTGTTGTTAATCTATCGTCTGATCCTAAAGTATTGTTGGCAAAATTTTGCTCTTCAACAGGAATAAATTGTTTTAATAGAACTAGCATTTCTTCAAAAAGTTGCATCCTTGAATAATCAATACTCCAGTCACAAAACTCTGGTTCTGTGCGAAGAGATGGTACAGACAAATACCAGTATAGTTTATTGTACTCTTCCTTAAATTTACAATACCGTTCTAAATTCTTAAGGCAGACTAATAATCTGTCCCGCAGAACTTGTTCATCCTTGATAGAGTTTCCCTCGCATTTTTCAAATAATATTTCTAGATATTCTTGCTTTGTAACAAGAAAGTTAAATCTAAGGTACTCAAAGGCAGGAATGTCAGCTAACGGTTCGCCAAATTCTCTAACAGCTGCCCAATCGCCATCTAGTACTAAATCACGAAAAAAATTGATGTTCTCTGAGTAAGGATTAGTATTCACTCCTGTCTCCTTTTCCAGCGATCTAGCGGACTTATAATATTTTCTAGAACTGAGAAACTGTAGTACTAGTTTGAGGATCTGCTCTTCTTGTAAGTATATTTTCTTCGTAGCCATCAGGTTGAAAATATAAAGTTATCTACGTTTTTCCACCAACTGAAAACCGCCATATTTGCTCTATGGAAACGTGCCACTGACTGAACACTAAATAGACTGGACTGTGTGTACTACAGTTCTACAGTTCTCTATTGTACTCATGATTGTACTGGGCGGGCGAAACGATACCTGTGGAGGAGACTAAGCCTGCGAATGACAGAAGTAATTTTTTCTTTTGTGGTCCGAATTCATATTTTAGCGTATCCTGCAATGTGATTGCAGGAAAGAGCCAACGCTAAAAATATGAATTCGGACAGCAACAAAAAAATAAATCTATTATTTACCAGTTTAGTCGGTCCGTAAATGGAAATATTTCCCTAGGTCTGAAAAACGTTGTTTTTGAGACCTTGGGAAATATTTCCCTATACGGACCTCGAATCTGGTAAATAACATATATCTATTTATACGCTTATTCCATGTATAAACAGATTCTGTTATTCGCAGGTTAGCGAAACGAAGGCCTGTGTCAGGGCGCCTATATATAAGCGGCTTAAGCGCCCTGGTCTGTGCAATCTCGTACCTCGGGTTTTCGTCACAGGGGGCGTTCAGGCTACTATTACTACAAGCTGGAAGCTTTTTTGTGGGGGGGTGGGGAGAAAATATTCGTACATTAAATAAGCGTAAAACAATTGCTATCAAAGAAATCAATCATTGTCCCCCTAATCAACCCTTTAACCACGGCTCAGAGCTACGCCCCGACATCGCAGAAATTGGTGTTTACGAAGTTTCAACCCGAAAATCTAATCACTGATTCACAATTCTGCATTTCCATATCGCTATCAAAAATAATACTAACAAGTTAAAAAGGTCAATTTTTCTTACGAATACGAATTCGAATATAATTTCTGCAATCTTTTGACGGCTCAATAAGCTCATCATACAGTTCAATGTATCATACACATCTGAGCATCTGACATTCTGACAGCTGTGATTCCCTGTGAAATGGCCATAGAAGTTTATTAATTCAGACGATTCGTTTTTAACCGTGTGCAAGAGTCAAATTTTCTGTGCAACTTATATTTTGTTTAGAATTTATAAATCTTTTTGTTCACGAAATTTGATATCTAGGAATTAAGAATTGCGGCGAAGTCTCACCAATTTCCGCGGTGTCCTACGGTCCTGTATTTGCTTTAAATTTTCTCAAAACAACGATAGCCCTAACTTTACCATACTGTACTTTCACTTTACTCCATCCACACAATCCTTTTTCTAATTACCCCACCACTTTCTCTAGTCTTAGGCCTCCACCTCGCAAAAAATTAATGACCGCCCCTCTCATCTCAACAATCTATCCCATTGATTTATGGTTGGCTCCAATCCATTATACCTATTTACGTTTTCCTTTTCGCTTTCAGTTTTCGTTTTGGCTATTTTCCTTTCGCTTACACTCCTCGTTTCCGCTGACAAGTATCCTGAGAACTATTATGTTGGGACTGGACCGAGTGAGGGGGTAATAATTATGTAATAAGTGACGTCATTGTTTGGAGGCGATATATGGATATCTATGATATCATTTTTTTATTTAGTAATTAGAGAAAAACACATGCGCGAAATGAAGATCGGGCAATGGCGCGCACTGTCGAGCGGTTACGTCAACCTCCGAGTTTAAAAAAATGCTAAATATTTATACAAAATTCATAAATTAATATATAAATTCAAAATTCAGATGAAAACACAAAAATACGAAATTTCTATTTTCTTGCTTTTTTGAAATTCATATATATCTATGATACCATGGTTCTATTTTTAGCATGAATATATTAACTTTTCAGTCGATCTATATATGGAGTGTATGACCTTATACGGTAGAAAAATATAATTTTCTAATGACGTCACATAAATATGTGCATTATTATACCATATATGGTAACGCACAAATTTTATGCAACTTTCGTCTTCAGCGAACCTTCGTTTTGCACACCAAGACGAAATGGCGGGTAATGAAAATAATTTCTTAGAGGAAACGACTAAAAATCCAAGTAATTTCGATATTATAACGCTTTCAAGTGATGAGGAAGAATCAAAGGAAGACAAAGATGTGAGCTTCCTCTTTAAACGCTTCATTCTGGCATGCCGACCGCATGTAACGAAGGAGGCCATAAAAGATGTGCGATTATTATTTACGGAAGTTCAAGGAAATTTACACGGATCGAACGAACTGGGGAACATGTTAGAACGTTATGGTAAAGAGATTACGAAAGCCAACGTAGATTTGTACTTAAATCTGATTTGTAATGCATTGAATGAGAAAAAATCTGAAAATCGCAATAGTATCCCGTTGAATTCCGTCACTGTGAATAATGGAAATTCTGTGACAGACAAAGTTGAAGAAAATAATTCACTTCGTGACGTAAGCGGCCCGCCAATTTTTAAAGCAACTCTAAAGTCATCCACAGGTCAAAACAACGAACCAGTCTTGCCTACAAATGAACGACCTGATATTACTTTCATCGAAAATGATGATGATGATGATGACTTTGTCAGTAAAGTGCCATTAAAAAAACCTATTGAAAGAGTGGAAACTATGCCTTCAACCTCAACTGCATATCACAATGCCAAATCTGACAAAGCTAATAAGAAAATGTCTATTAAAACACTTACCAAACCCCAAAGGAAAAAACTTGCGGCTCGGCTTCAGCAACGCCTAAAGCAAATTAGCAATGAAATCAAAATATTAGATAGAGCAGAACTAACACTTGAAGAGATGGATATGGATGGCAGTACCTACATCAAAGAAAATAGGTTGAAGAAAAAATTTGAAAAGACTTGGAATAAACTATGCAAGATATTAGGTCGGCCACCCAACACTGGACGTGTTGTAGAAAAACCGATTCGTGCAAGCTCGACTGGGTATTCTATGATAGATAAGGCAATTTCCAAGTTCTTGCGTGATCATCCTGGCATGTTTCCTAATTACTTTGATGTACAAAATATTGTGTTAGGTGCAAATAGAAAACATGACTTGCGCATGTCATCCCAAGTGCTGAAAGGGCTTATTGCAGATATTTTCACAGATATCGGCAACAAGCTACAGAAACAACGAGAAAAAGATTTACTGTTTAATTTTGGATCACATTTGCTAGATGATTTTAAGGCAGATGACGATCCTGCATTATTTAGTGAGGAGCTTGCCCACCAGTTGGCAAAGAACCGTAAAATATCGAAAAGAAACCTAAAACAAGTATACTCTAAGTACACACACCTAGAACGCTACAAGATTGATGATAGATCAACAAAGTATAGTCCCTTGGATGATGACAAGGATAGTAGTACTGAATCAAGATCGTCTGGTGATGAAGAGGAGACTATGAATATGAAATGCAGTCACCCTCGTATTCATGGAGTTAGGGATAAATCGAGAAAGAGGAAGGGTTCACTATCTCCTAGACCTAGCACATCTAGACAAGTAGATAGAGATGTAAGTTGCGAATCCAGTTCCGATGATAGACATCATCCCTCAAGATCGATTGATGTTGATTCAATTGTAGTTATTGATACAGATGGGTCTTCCACACAAGCACCCTTAGTTGCACCTGTTTTGCCAGAATCAGATGTGTCTTCCTCACAAGAGTACTCTGTCCCACCAACTATGCAAGAACCTACAGCTATTAAAGTGGAGTCAATCGTGGTAGAGGATGCAGGTGTGTCTTCAGGAGAACATTCTCTCTTCTCTGCTATGCCAAACGCTTTGTTAGACATTTCGTCAGCTACAACAAATTGTAAAACAACATCAGCAGACACCGACCATGTTGATCAATGTCCAGCATCCCCAACGTTTCCACTATGTAGTACAAATGACAAGGCTGATATCAAAACTCCTGAACTGGCAACTTCTGATCCACCCCCCTTAGATGGTGATAGGAAAATTGATGAACAGACATTGTCCTCATGCAGTGACTGTGAAGTCATAAATGATACTAATGAACTCAGACAATTTAGTACACCTGCTAATGAGCCTCTGGATTCTCAAAATGAACCAAGCACTGATTTTAATAATGAGCTGGAAAAACTTAATAAACCTTCTGATGAGTCATCTTTTCTTAATATGAAACTAAACAATGTCCCACAGGAACCACCTATGAAGCAACATGACAAACTAGCTAATGAGCCATCAGTATGTGAGTCACGTTCACCCATTGATGATAACTGCGTAGTAATTAAAGATGATGAAGATACCATTCATGCTACTACTAGTTGTGAGGGGCCACCTGAGGTTGCAAAAGCATCAGCACCTAATGATGAGCTGGTATCAATGTTAAATGCTCTTCAAAATGTTTTTCAACCTAAAGATGACATTTTAGACAAATCAAAACCTTCTATCCCAATGTGTAATGATGCCATTAATCCTGGAAACACAGGTGGTAATGACATCCCAGACAGGATATGTGAAGCAACCAGTACTAGCATTGACAACAAAGTGAATTTTGGTCATCCTGTAACTTCAGCTGTAGCGTTACCTTTGGGTGATAAAAAATGTTCAACTGATAATAATGACATTGATACAGATTCAACCGATCAACCACTAAAACCTAAAATAGAACAAACTGCTCTAGAAGAACAAACCACTTGTATTATGTCAACAAAGCAAAGTGAAACAGAACAGAGGAACATTTCAAGTCAATCATCCCCAAACATTTTGGAAAATCCAAGAAAAAGAAAAGCAACTGCAGAACTTGCAGTGTGCATACCAAAATCAACAGTGAAATGCTTAGAAAAGATAGCTCTAGCATTAAAAAATAAGAGGTTGAAAATCCCAGATGCTTGGGTAAATTCAAGCAAAGTTGAAAGCATTAATAATACGTCTACATCAATCCAAACACCAATGCTAAAAGAATCATCCTCAGCTAGTGTTGGTGCTTCCTTATCCAAACTCCCCACAACATCAGCAGACACTCATTGTGGAATTCAGAATACATCCCCTCTGGTAAATGGAAAAGCAAAAATTGACTTAGAACACAGAGAACAGTTTAGAAAGAAAACACTAAATGCCATAAAACTGCCCATAAATGTTGACTGCAAAGAAGAATGTCTGTCTGACGAAGAATGTCTGTCTGACAGTAATCCCCATACTAGCTCTGTATCAAACAAAACTGTATTAGGCATGGTGTCTACATCTGATATTGTTGGTCAGGGTGATCAACATGAAGTCATTGTTATTGATGATTAGTATGTAAATAGTTTTCAGTTTACCACTGCTCAGTGGCATTGACATTGTGTATTAAAGAACTATTGTATGTATTTATCAGTAGTTTGTCTCAGTGGTTGCACAGGATTTTCTCAGGAGATTACAAGAGCATACCTGTATGAAACGTGTTTCATTATTGATCCTCTGAGAAAAAAATATTTAGTGTTGACTGTTTGACCTAAATTTCTGAAAAAAAATAGATAGTATCATTTATTATCATAAACCAGGGCCTTGCAGGGAACAATTTAGGGAGGCTGGGCAACAATCAATTTTGTGGCCGCTTTCCCATGGGTGCACTGTTTCTTCCTTGTTCTCATGCTTCCTTGTTTTTTTCAGCTTCTCTTTGAGTTTTAAAGTTGTCCCCTATCCTCTGAGATACAGGTCATAACTAACCAATCACAAAACCTGTTCATATAACTTTTCCCAGGAATATAAGGGCGCTTTCCTTTATACGGTGAAAACGGTCAGACCGGTCCTGTTGTATTTCAGTTCAGACAGATTACTGGTTTTTAAAGTGTTTTTTGAGATCTGCATTGAGATTTAATGTTATTTACAACTGATTAGCGAGGAAAATGCAGTTTCACCGCTATATTTTTAACGAAATACTCTATTTCAATTTAAAATACGACCGGTCTGACCATTTTGGCCGCTTAATGGAAAGCGCCCTATGTCATCTATGGCCGGTTGTATGAAAGCCGGATAAAGTGACTAAACTGTGATTTTTTCAACCGTTCTAAAAAATTCTCGAAAAGCGATAAAATTTCATCAAGTATACCAAATGCTAATAAAATGCACGTTTTTCTCACAGTCGGGTTTTCATAACATCTTTCACCATCTGCGACTTCGAAGTGTATAAAGTATAATTGTGATCATTTTATCTGCAGTTCATTATCGCCATAGGCAGTACTCCCGGTTGGGCTCATTCTAAGGACTACCATTCTCCAAAATGGACAGTTCTAACTAGAAAATGGGTAGTTCTAATAAATTTGGATAGAAAATGTCGAATTCCCAAACGTGAAAACGGTTGCAGAACATGCATCTATATAAGTTTCAAGAAGTATTTTTTATTTTTATTAACATTACACATAACAAAATGCACTACAAAATCTATATAACAAACATCCCTCCCCCAAAGTGTGCTCACAGTGCTTAAATTCCCATTAGTAAGAGCTCGATTTCAGAAATCCAAAACCTGATTCGATAACGACTTTTGTCGGAAAAACTAGTCGAAATATTACCGCAAAATTCTCATATCCTGAGTATACAAGATTTTGCTTTTTACTTTTCCTTTCTTATTGATGAGAATCCTAGGATTCGTGGAATACCTGTGCCTTTTTAATTTCTATCAATTAGTTTCTTTGAGTTCCATTACGCTAACACTCGATCCCAAAAAGGCACTCCTTTTCCGTTTTATCCACCATACAACAGCAAAGACGAGAATGATACAAAACATAAGAACACCAAGAACAACGCCAACAATTAAACCAACATTATCATCATCGTCCTCGTTATCGTCATCAACAGAAACAGCTGTACCTGTGATAATATGAAGCATAACTTGTTAGATTCTTAAATAAAAATGAAGGTAGTTAACATGCATATAGAGTCAAGTATATAAATATTATACAATTATACTTATTTTCAATCGTAGTCTTACGTACAGTACGATGAAGTATAGCGTTCCTTAGTACAGTACGATGAAGTATGAAGTACAAAGCATAGATTATTATGTTTATAGTAACATACTTGAATGCGTTGACGTTGGCGTGTGGCGACTGGTTGGTACCGATGATCTCGAGACGGCGAATGTGGGTAGAGGTATAGTCTTGGGGATCGGACAGCCATAGAATTCAACACGGTAGCTTATCCACTCCTTAAAATGGTACTCAAACATTCTGACATAACGTGTTTTCACAGGGTATGGTAGGGTATTTCGTACTACGGTATCAACGTTATCATTAGCGATGAAGAGCTGAAGAAATTACAGAAAGTAATATGTTGTCATACGTTTACACTTATATTCACAATCCACCAACCATATATAAATATATACGGTTGGTGGATGGAATAAATGACAGATTGATTGAATGAATGAATGACAGATTTCCTTATGAAAGTCTGACTGAGTCACGCCACAGAATACCTACCAGAAGTGGAACTCTATACTATTTTTTCGTAAGTGTGATTCGTCATGATTCGTCACTTAGCAAGTGCATTTTTTTGAGGTAGTCACCCCCCTGCCAATGTCTAAAATCAGCGCATATTTAGTATTGGCAGGGGGGTGACAGCCTCAAAAAAATGCACTTGCTAAGTGACGAATCATGACGAATCACACTTACGAAAAAAGTACAGGAGTTCCACTTCTGTAAGGTATTCTGTGGTCACGCGCTTACCCCTCCCCATGCAGAGTAAAAAATAATCTCTATTAAAAATGCGAGAGCGTGGCTTACGTGTCGTGTAACATATTCCCCAACATAATACACCCAATTTCTACCATCTGAGCTTGTTCGAAGATAAAAAGTTTGCAGCCAACTTCCACCATGATAAGAGGATCCTTGTGTAGCAATTCCTGTTAACCAAATTTCCTCCAAGAAGTCTACTTGCAAATACACATCGTCACCTGAAAGATATTGGGGGGCCCATCCTGGACCAGGGTTATGTAGACGGGCATTTTTAGGCGGTAGATAGGAACGTTTAACCCCAGAGGTTATGGCGCTGTCAGGTATGCGACCATTTACCATCCCTAACGGTTGCGAGCATGTGAAGTTGGTTATGTTCATAGAACTTGTATCCACAATTAGGTCATCCAGGGTACCGTCTGCCACAGCTGTTGTAAGCGTGTCTGCAGGATTGGAAAAGCTAACCCCACCTACATAAGTAAATTCAACGTCACTAATCACGCTGCCCGGATGGAAATCGACCACGTTTACGGACCGAAATGTAGTGTCATTCACCAACTCTGCTCTGATAGCATTTTCAATTCTCAATGAGAAATGCTTAAATTCAATACTCGCGGAATTTTTAAGAGACTCGTTCCAAGTTAAAACAGGAAAACGTATGGAGATTTCCATGCTGTCTGAATCTGGACGGTCACTAATCCTTTCACATTGTTTTCCGATAAGAAATTTGGGACAACTGCAGTTGAAATCATTGTCAATGTTGAAGCATTCTCCTCCGTTCAAACAAGGAAATGATGCACAAAAGCCAACGCACTCTTCGACCGACTTTGCCCCTGTCCCGAGCGTTGTAACATTCGCGCTACCACATTTTGTACAAAAGTCATCTCTGTATCCCTTCTTATCCTGGTAGAAACCTTTTGAACATTTCTCACATCTTCGGGTTGTTTTCTCAAGGAAATAACCTGGCTTGCAAGTCTCAATGCATTCTGTTTCCTTGGTCGCACCAGAGATGAGGGTGATGCCTCCATCTTTACAGGCGGTACAATCTTTCTGACCAGATATTTCACTGAAGAAATCCATCGGACAACGCTTGCACATGACCGAAGTATGACCTGAGATGTTTTGGTAAAATCCCCTAGAACAGTTCTGACAATTTTCTACAGTTTTGTTAAGAAATTCCCCATAGTTGCAAGGATTGATGCAAATTTTCGATCCAATTTTTATTGTAAATGTTTTACCTTCACACAATTTACACGTTTCTTTCCCGAATTCACCTTGATACATATTAATTGGACATTCCTCGCACAATTTACTTGTTATATTGAAGAATTTGCCTTCACTGCATTCATAAATACATTCAGAAACATTTGAAGATGCAACTTGAAGGGTTATTTTGTACTTGTCGCAAATTTTACAACTGAAGCTTGTATGTTGTCTTTCATCTTGATAGGTATCAAGGGGACAGGGTGAACATTTTTTTAAACCAATGTCAATATAATGACCAAAAGAGCATGGACCAAGGCAGTCAGAGGACAAAGATGAACCGGTGCCGGTGGTAGTGGTATTCGCAGGACAATTCTTGCAGTGTCTAGCGTTAGCAACAATGATTTCATCTTGGTAAGTGTCATTGGGGCATGGAGCACAATTTCGAAGAGTCATGTTGAAATACTCCCCTGAATTACACTTTTTTACGCATTCAACAGCACTTTTGTTCAAGGTGGTATAATCGCTTTCACATTTGTAGCACTTTGGAAATCTGTTACTTGCATTTGGCATATAATAACCAACATCGCATTGAACACATTGGGTATATTTGAGATAATAGCCAGCTGGGCAAAGTTTTATACATTCCGAAATATTTCTTGCTCCAGTAAACCCAGTAGTTAGACCACCTGGACAAGGGGTGCACTCTGGATTTAATAAAGTCGTAGAATTTTGGTATGTTCCGTATGGGCACCACTCACATAATGATGAATTAAAGTTAAAGTACTTTCCTAAATTGCATGTATGTTTGCAGTATTTTTGAGATGGGTTTGGATAGTTACGTGGTCCTGGAATACACGCAACCTCGTCTTCGTTTCGACGAGTTCCATTCTGGCACTCGTGACAAGGAAGAATATTTCTTTCCTGTGGTTGTGTATAGAAATTTGGTGGACAGTTTAAGCATCCAAATTTAGAACTTACATAATCGATTTTAGAGGCTGCATTAGCGGGACAGTCCTCCGTAGGACTTCTCCAGTATACATATGAAATTCCTGTATGTTTGATACCACTAACTGTGAGATTTTTAGTGATAAACCCTTGAAGATTTTGATTATCTTCATAATATGCTGAATACAATCTATGGTATCTTTGAAAGGCAACGGTTTCGTTAGTGGAATTTATAATATTATCTCGCACAGTCAATATCAATTCAGCTGTACGCCTATTGCCATTGGATTTACACGATATATTTAGGCTTTCAACAGAGCAATTTATAGTCCTTTGTAGATTTCGATGTTTAAAACACTGACTAACATTGGCTATCGATTCTACACCCGAAATATATTGCCGTATTTTGTGCACGAATTCTGTTTCGTTAATTTGGGCACATGACACATTTGCGTAGTTAAATTTATAGCCTATTTTCAGCCGTGTAGCAGGAAAGATTCTAGCGCAGGTTATTAGTTGATTGTCGTGCAATATTTCATGCTGAACTCTGGTATGCCATTTACCTTTATAAACCAAATCGCGCTTCGGATCGCCCATAAAACATTGCATTTCGAAATCGTTGGAGTAAAATCGATTCGCAATAAAGCGGTTTTGGCCACAAGCCACCGTGCAGTATTTAGTAAGGGTATCTTCCCGGAAGTATTGTGAGGGAAACGAACAAATTGTTTCACCATTGGTTACAGGTAAACACTGGCAACGATCCGGAGGATGTGGAAACATATTATAAGTGATTTCAACATTCGTAGCCTTTGAGGAAATCTTATCGACGTATATCAAGACAGCGTTACTTGTACTGATAGCAATATAATGATCAGTTACTCTGTGCCGAGTTATCTTCGCGCGGTTCTTATTGTCAAAGCTTGTAGCACCATCATAAACATACATAGGTTCCTCTTCGAATATTAGAGTGTTCACGGTAATGTTAACTTTAATTCTGTAGCCTTCTGGTGCAAGAATTAGTCTGCTACAATGCATTCCGCATGTGGCATATATTCTTCCATGTTGACTGGTTAAAGCTGGACCAATATCGCAAAGATTATAGCTGAATGCTGATCTATTTTCGCTCGAATTAGCTCCAAGTGCCCCCAAAATCAAAAGGTAAACTACTAGGAGCCCCATCGTGACGTGATCGTGTATCAAACATCGATCAAAAATTGTGCAATAACCGAATGACAAGGTTGAAACAGCACAAACCAATATCTTTTTATAACTCTCCAGACAACACAAAACGCCGTGCCCTTTAACTAAGCAATTTTGATGTCATAATTAGTATTTGCATTAAAACTTAAAAGTCTAAACAAAGTCTATAAATACCTGCAGTTTAATTAAAAACCTTTTACATCAGGGTGAATAAAAGCGTGACATTTGTGATGCTTTTCGCCATCGCATTCTAATTTTTTATATTTTACAATCTTGCGAGAGATAAAACATTGTTAATTATGCTCTTTTGCTCAGAAGGCGACTGTCAAACGAGGTCAGTCTTTACAACAAGTACGATCGTACTATGTATATAGGCTGAATATTAATGATATGTATATATTATTTGCTGCAAATATATCAATTTAAGAATTGCTTGTAAGTTGTAACTTGCTTCAAAGGTCAAAAGTAAAAATTCGAACTCCGTCAATCGATGCGGAATATTGCTTAGAATAATTGTGCCAAGTTTCATTCCGATCAAACAAGTAATGCTAGAGCCTAAGGGTTTTTTTAAAGAGCGTCGCCCCCTAACAACAACAACAACAACAACAACAACAACAACAACAACAACAACAACAACAACAAGATTAGCAGCGGTTAGGGATCAGTTCCTGGTCCAAAAAGAAATATTTTCAAAGGCAGCCCAGCAATGAGTGCTGGGGCTGTTTCAGCCTACTTGTTTGTGCTTTCGCTGTTGCGCTCGCGGGCTACACGAAAACATATAGATCATAAATCATTTTTAAAAAACAATTGTCAGGTAAAACCATAGGGTAAAACCCTGGGGTAACCCCTGGGGTCGGTTGTATAAAAGACTAGTTAACACAGAATTGGCCAAATCAGAGTTGTGTATTTCTGAGTCAACTAGGATTTAACTATGCAAAATGTAGTTTTAAAAAGGGTTTTATACAACTGGCCCAGAAGATTACCTATTGGAGGAGAAACACTGGTGTGGGGACTGGCATATACCACATATTGATCAAGGAAAAATGATTTTATGTTACATTCTTAGGACAAATCATAAACAGAATAATTATAATGATGGTCCTACTATGCCCAAGGAGATTGGATTAATGATGGTATGATCGATGCAGTTTAATGATGGTATGATCGACACAGTTTAATGATGGTATGATCGACCACAGTTAATCAACACAGTTTAATGATAGTATGACGTACAATAACATGCTGTAGAAAGACAAACACAAACACTAGTGAGAGTTCTCAAGACGAAGTCATCATTGGAAATAAATAAACAATGAACAGCAAAAATAATAGGTATCAAAACACTTTAGGAACGAAAAAACACTAGTTATTACATTAGTTTACTACCACCAGCTAATTAACATCTGATACTATAAACATCCAGGTTTAAAACTTAAACAATAAAACATTGCTTTTATACCTAAACCTAGTCTATTTAACTTTAACAACAATATTAATATCAAAGCCTTTTGTAATTCAATGTTACTTTTTACTATTATTACTGCATGAGCAAATGTTTGTATGCTACAACTTTAGAATTAACATCAACAACCAAATAAATGTAAGAATTTAGAATTATACATGGAAGCACTGACCTCATAGTGTTTTAATTATGAGAAGAGCAATTCAAGACCCTGTTTCCTTCATTGGCACACCTTCAACGCGACCAAATTCATGAGATCTTTTATTCTTTTTTACTTGCCAAACCACAATGATTATAACTATAAACACAGCTGAGATACCAAGAACAAGGCCAACAATCAAACCAGTGTTATCCCCATCATCATTATCGTCATCTTGATCATTACCTTTAAAATATGCATATGAGAATTACAATATTAGAATTACCAAAGAATATTTCTATTATACACTGGAGTTATACCTATAATTACCATTGCCTTTTCAACAAACCTTTTTTAGTAAAAAAGTCAAAGAATAATTGGTAAGGAATTATGCATTGTTGTCTTGTCATACCTGTTGTACTGGATTTATTGGTAGGAAGATCAGTGCTTGTCTGTCTTGTCATACCTGTTGAACTGGGTTTATTGGTAGGGACATCAGTGCGTGGAGGCACAAGTGTTGGTAATATTCCATCATTTGGTATAGGGCAGCCATAGAACTCACAACGAAAACTTAAATAGCGTGATGTGACATATTTTATAACTCTAACATATCTTGTTTTCACTGGATATTTTAGTTTGTTACGCACAACAGTATTAACATCTGAGTTTGCTCCAAACACCTGCAAAAATTGTAGCTTTTGTCACAAATTGTAAGAAAGAGGAATATTATATTTTAGTACAATTAAAATAATATATATTGGAAACTGTACAAAGTGAATCATGACCATACATTAATTGAATAATAATATGAAATTGAGAAAATGCTTGTATGAACCATCTTTATAATTAATTTAAGTTGTGCAGGGCCAATGATGTATTTTATATATATATATATATATATATATATATATATATATATATATATATATATATACACATATAGGCTACAGCATCGATCGCTTCGCTGTCTAAAGCTAAATAATACCCGAGGCTTTATTTTGTATTATAAAAAGTTTGGTAGAGTTTTACATACCTTTGCCAAATTATTTGTATCGCCTTTATATTCTGCCCACTGTCTGCTGTCAATGCTATAATTAAATTGATAGGATTTTAACCAGTTACCACCACTATAAGAAGAGCCTTGTGTAGCGATGCCTGTTAGCTGAACAACTTCCCCGAAATCAACCTGTAGATATGCATCTTCAATACGATTAACTCGCGGAGTCCAACCAGGTCCATTATGGTTTAAACGAGCATTTGTAAATGGATGATAATTATCTGGGTTTGCTGAACTAAGGGCACTGTCAGGAATGCGATGGTTTTCCATCCCAAGAGGTGTGCCACATGTATAATTAACAATGTCTAATGATGAGTTGTCTACTGTAAGGTTACCAATTTCACCATCAGCTGCAGCCTTCATCAGGGTGTCTATTGGGGTAGTGAAGACTGTGCCAGCCACATAATTTATTTTTAGATTACTAACAACACTTCCTCGAGAAAATTTTTCCACTTTGACAGTACGAAACGTTGCATCACTCTTTAGAACTCCACGTACTGCACTCTCAATCTGACGAGTTTGTTCCATAAAGTCTTTGCTCTCTGGATTACTGAGATTGTCGTTCCAAATTAGGTTGGTGAATCTCATTGATATATCCATTTTGTCTGCATTTACGCTATCAACAACATCCTGGCATAGTTTTCCTGTGAGATACTTTGGACAAGTGCAGTTAAAATCATTGGCAATGTTCAAACACCCAGCTCCATTAAGGCAGGGAGATGAGGCACAATAACCAACACATTCCTCTTCTGATTTTGCACCAGATTCAAGTGTTGTCTCATTTGCACTTGCACATTTTATACATGACTCGTATCTATACTTCTTTTGAGCCTGGAAGAACCCTTTCAAACATTTTTGACATTCTCTTTGTGTTTTGTTTAAAAAATAGCCAGGCTCGCATCGTCCAATGCACTCAGACCTAGCTGTTGCACCAGTCACAATTGTAATTCCATCATTTGAGCATTTCGTGCAATTCTGACTACCCAGTCTACCTGTGTAATAATCCATTGGACAAGGCATGCACTTGGTCGCAACATAATTACTCTTGTTTTGGAAATGCCCAACCGGACAGGCTTGACACAATTCAACCACCTTGTTGAGGAATTTACCAAAACTGCACGGGCTGATGCAAGTTTTTGAACCAGTTTTCAATGTAAATGTATTTCCACCACAAGGCTTACATGAACTTTGTCCTTCAGTGTCTTGATAGGTATTATTTGGACACATCTCACAGTTGGTGTTTGTAATGTTGAAAAATTCTCCTTTGCTGCATGTATAAATACACTGAGATATGTTAGTTGAACCTTTGTGCTTTGTGATTTTATGTTCTGGACACTGTTTACACCAAAAGCATGTTTGATTGCTTTCATCATTGTACTTGTTTACTGGACATGGTCTACAGCTGCGGGATGTTGTATCTAAATATTGCCCTGCGGAGCAAGGGCCAAGGCAGTCAGAGAGGGATTTAGCCCCTACTGACAATGTCACACTGTTTGGTGGACACAGTTTACAACTTCTCATATTGCTATCTTTTATTTCATCTTGGTAGGTGTCATTTGGGCATGACACACACACACCTTGGGTAATATTAAAATATTCTCCTGAAGTACATATATCGACACAGTCATTTTCATTTGCTGTTCCTACTTGCAATGTAGTGTTCCCAGGGGGGCATTTGTAACATTTATGAAACCGGTTACCTTGGTAAGGCATGAAATATCCAATAGCACAATCAAGACACAAGGGATGCTTTGCAAACTGTCCTTTATCACATTTTTGCATACAATCTGTAATATGTCTTGCCCCAACAAAACTTGTTGTGTTCCCAGGTGGGCAGCGATGACAAACTGGGTTAAGATTAGTTGTGGAATTTTGGAAGTACCCAAAATCGCACCAATCACAAATACCAGAGTCGTTGTTGAAGAATTTTCCAAGGGCACATTTATGTTGGCAGTTCAAATTTGAAGGTTCAGGGTAGTCTTGCGAGCCATTCACACAACTTGACTCGTTATACAAACGGCGTTGGTTTGATTGGCATTGTTGGCATATAGAGTCACGAAGGCGAGAGTTATAAAGCTTGAAGGTGTGCAATGGACACATAATACAAGACTTTTTTGGGGAAACATTGATATCATGATCAGTAGTTGCAAGATTAGCAGGACAAGTTGAGGATGTTTCATAGAAGTTATGAAGTTCAGAATTGATTGCTTTGGTATTATTTACACTCAAATCTTCAGTCACATATCTTTGGACTTTAGCTTTAAGATTTAGTAAGGCACTATTATACAGAATACCAAACTGTTCTCTTGTAGCTGTTTCATTACTCCCTAGGTTAACATTGTCTCGTATTTCCAATACAACCAATGAATTCTTTGTGTTTTTGGTATCCACAGAGCATAATGCTAAGACGGGTGTCACAGTGCAGTTACCGGTTGTATCCTTATAACATTCACCAATATATGAGGCACTTCTATTTTGCACCAGAAAATTGTGCACAGCATGTTCAATTGATTGTACATCAAGTTTATCACAAGTTATGTTCACATAGATGAAAGAGTAAGTGGAGAGAATTTGAGTGGCAGGTATGAGTTTGGTACATGAAACAAGATTTGGGTTGAACTGTAATTGTTCTTTCCCATTGTCAGACCAACTTGAAGTTGGTTTCACAAGATGTAAGTGACAGACCATGCCCAGAGTGCTCGTACTAGTGCTTGTAAGACCCAGAAATTTTGCCTTCACTTCCACAATTTCATGCTTGCTTTTACAGAATGTTGTACATTCTTTGCGCAAGTCATCTGCATTGGAGTAGAACTTGCCAGAATTATCGGGAAATGGAAATGAGCAAACTGTTTGCTGTGTATTAACTGTTGGCGGACAAGTGCATTTTTCCTTGGGATGAGGGTACATTTTAAACGTGGCATTAAATTTGTTGCGCACGGAACTGGAGATTCTACCAGTGTGTACCAGTAATGCATTGCTTGAGGTGTAAAATACCAAAGCAATACTAAAAGACGATCCTATACCAATATTATTTGCAAGAGTTCCAACCCTCGTGCCACCGTCATGTATGCGTGTTTCAGCATCGTGAAGTGCTATTTCATGAATTGTAAACCTGACTCGCCAACCGAGTGGAGCCAGAATAATCCTTGTACAGTCGGTACCTTGGCTGAGAACCAGAGAACCATTTCTCGCCGTTATCACATCACCTACATCGCAGAGCCCAAAAATAGGACCATATGCTAGACCATTCTGAAATACTCCACAGCAACAGAGAAAAATAGCACCCGCAAAAAAACTTGATTTAAACGCGTCCATGGCGAATTTATACAAACAACGATATTATTAATGCCAACGAATGTAAATAAAATATCTTTAACTTCAAGATTCAGCAAGATATCAAGGTTCCCTCTTCAGCTAATACACTCGAAATTTCACACTAACAAGTAGTGATATTAAAAGTGGCATTAATCTTTATACTCCAGAACTGAATAAGCTATTTTAATCTTATCTTTATGCTCGCTGAAACTGAAAGCGTTATTGACTTTATGACAATGAGTCGCTCGCAGCTGTGAGCTGTGCAACTGCATTCAATGCTTGATGTGTCGTCATGCGCGTAACCGGAATCCCAAATGAGGTAAATCGTTACTAAAATGTTACAATTCTAGCTATCAAGAGTACCATGTTTTAGAATTTAACTTAATTCCTGCGTCAGGTTTTTTTGAATTCAAAAAGAATAGCACAGGAAAACTGAAAAAGCCTTAAAATTGATTGAGGTGTTACCTAATACGCGGCTGTACATCCGTATATTGTTTGCCTGTCACTAAAATTTTGACATCCAACTTGTATATTCAGGATAATCGAATACAGATAAAAATCTACGTTTATTGTGTAATGGGCCGAAAATGGCCCTTGTTCTTGACCTTTTTGAGCTCGAGAGCGGAAGTATTTCCTTCTCAATCAAGAAAGAGGCTTTTTTCAGTTTTTTGAACGTTCTTATGAACATCAGAATGTAAAAAAGCATTGTTATATTAAGATTATGCATGCTTGAACGTGAGTCGTGATGTTGACACTTGACATCATATGATCATACACAATCGAAGGGATTCCAGGAAAGAATGTCTATGTTTCCACCCACGGATACGTTATCACGTTAAATTTAATTTCCAAGTTTTTATCACATTTAGCGCATTAACAAAAACCTGACCTAATGCGCTAATGGTAATAAAAATTTGGAAATTAAAATTAAAATGCAAAGTAATCAAAGATGTCTTTGAAACATTCCGAAGAGACTTAAACAATACACGGAAGTACTTAAGTACTTCAAAATTGGAAAAAAAACTCTTACCCGTAGTCGCGGACTGCGGAGTCCGCATGACGGAACCGGAACATGAGTATTAAACACGACAAAAAGAAACAAGCAACAGGATGTTCTCTCTAAATCGGTTTTTGATATTTTTGTACGGTTCAGTGTACCTTGTTTTTTACATATTCGTAACCTTTTCTAAAAATTTACACCAGGCAGTTTCGTTAAGCATGGTTCTCATACGTGACTGACGGTCGTTGACATAGTATGAAGAAATATATCTATATATATATACATAATCGCCTAATGATCGATCATTAAAGATCGTGAAACTCTGAGTAGCGAGCAATCATTGTAATCAGTTTAAGATTTTAAATAATATTTATTTTAATTTATTATAATAATTTATTTCAACAATTTTGTAGAGCATTTAATTTAATCTTTTCATTACAATTTTTTATTAAATCTGTTTTATTCAATTCCTCAAAACCATGGATAAAACGAAACAGTCACTCAACATTCGATGTGACCATGGGAAGCTTTGATGGTGCAGAAATTTGTGAACTTGTTGGTCTATACGCACTAAACAATCTTAGCGAAAGATTCGGAAGCAATAACATCGGTTTGTATAGAGATGACGGTCTGGCTCTGATAAAAGGTTCTAGGGAGTCTACGACTAGCAGATAAAGCAAGAAAAGATTTGTGTTCTGCATTTCAAGAATTCGGGCTAAAGATCACAGCCGAAGTAAACCAGAAAGTGTTAATTTCCTTGATGTTACACTCAACCTCACTAAAACCAAAACCCGAAAACCAAATAACGATCCACTCTACATCCATAAAGAATCAAACCATCCACCATCAATCATGAAACAACTTCCAGCGGCCATCAACCGCAGAATCGCATCACTATCATCTGACAAACAAGTCTTTGATTCTGTTGCACCCTTTAACAACGATTCCCTGAAGCAAAGTAATTACACCTCCAAACTACATTTTTCAACCCAAGAAAGCAAACCTTCAACCGAAAGGCAGAAAAGTCATTTGGTTCAACCCGCCGTATAGTAAGACCGTACAAACCAATGTCGCTCGGGAGTTCTTGAAGTTGATTGACAAACATTTCCCAAATCGTCACCCCTCCATAAGATCTTAAACAGAAACACCGTCAAAGTTAGCTATATAGCTGTATGAACAACATTAAAAGCGTCATATCAAAACACAATAAGCGCGTGTTGAAACAAAATCATTCCCAACAACCCGACAATGCTAACAAAAATAAATGAACGAGTGCCCAATTAGTGCCCAAATATTTACGTAATGGTTAGCTATTAGCGATCTCGCAGAAAATAGCGCGCTTAGATATAAAGAGGATTCACAAAAGAAGTTAGATCGTCAGAGGACTCAGAAATACTAGTGGAAAAGAGAAGGCAATTATTATATTTTCGGTGATATATACAGGGTGTCCCAAAAAAAACGAAAACTATTGAAATCACTCATTGTTAAAATTTGAATGCCGTGTTCACGAATTTCAGCCCGTGGGGATTTAATGCAGCTAATAAAATGCTAAATGCTTTTTGCTGCTAGAGAAAGGGGACATGTCAAAGGACATGGTCCTTGAGATGCACATTTAAATAATATTATCCATATTTGTAAATTGTAAATATTGTTAATAAATATCATTTTTGCGAACAAGCAAATTTGACTGCATCATAATGCATGCATAAAAATGCTTATGGCAACCCTGATTTATACACTTGTGGGCCCAACAGAGTGCTTAGGCATTCAAACTCTAACAATGGCATTGTTATGGGTGATTTCAATATTTTTCGTTTTTTGGGACACCCTGTAGATGTGAGCAAATGTGTCCCACATGGTTGAAAAGAGTGTGCCTTTTCATGCAGTAAAAGTTGAAATTTGCATGAGTATGTTCCGAGATGAGTTAAATGTCAACGAGTATGGCGAACGTACAGTACTACAGTTCATCACAGCATTGACACTTGCATATATCTTGATGCCTGTTTTTGATGTGATCTCTGAAATGAATGAAAGAAATGAGAAAAAACAGGGATGAGAGACGAGATACTAAAGAATAAAGTAAATATTTTTATTATCAAGTTGAAACAGTAAAACGAAACGTTTGAAAAACTGAGTCAAGGACTGAGAAAATCCCACCTTAAATTCCCTATAACAGTACATAAACACTATACATTAAACATCAGATATATTATTATACACACTCTCTTTAAAACTTCAACACTGATACATCTGATAAGTATTGATAATCAAGTCTATTTAACATCAAAGCGATCTTTTTCTGTTTCATTACCGAGCAAGTACTTTAAATAATCAACGAATGAATTAACTGCGTGATGTAAGGAATTACAAGAACTTATAATGTATTTACTATATTAGATCAGTGATATCAGGATTCACTGTTTGTTTCATCACTATAGACTCTTCGGCACCAAACGATCGAGTTATCTTACGTCTTTTAATTTGCCAAACTAACAATGGCGAGTATAAACACGGCTGAGATACCAAGAACAAGACCAACAATCAAATCAGTTTTACTATCCTTCTGATCACCATCACCAACATCATGACTAGATGTACCTTTGAAATAATTACATAATTATAAGGTTAAAATTGACATCGAGGGATGGACGAAATTGCTAATACTTGCAATAGCCTTTCTATCACTGGGTTTAAAACTAAATTAAACAACTAATTTAGAACATTGACGTAAATATAATATAAGTACATTATCTTGAAGCATGGGGTTTGTGAGATATTTTATTCCATTTTTTCACTTTCTTTCTTTTTTCCCCCTAAATTGTGTAATAGTTTTAATAGAGTGTTTAGTTTTAAGTCATTTGTAATCAATTATTTGTACATAGCTTAAATACCAACGGCCTGTTGAAAATCAGCCTAGACTGAAGAGCTACCGTTGTTAAAGAAATTCTAATGATAATAATAAATATTTTTCGGGGATTTTTCGTCAGTTTTATGCTTCTTCGTACCTGTTGAGTTGAGTTGATTTGTAGGGCGAGAACAACTTCGTTTCCAGGGCCTTTTACCTTTATTCTGGGTTGGGTTAAAAGGCACAAACGTTGGTAACATTCCAACATTTGGTATAGGGCAACCATAAAACTCACAACGAAAACTCTAATAACGACATTCGTGTTCTTTTTTAACTCTCAAATATCTTGTTCTCACTGGATTCTTTAGGTCATTTCGCACAGCCGTATTCACATCAGAGTTTGCTAAAAATGTCTAAAAATATTCAGCTAAAGTTAAAAATAGGCTCGCATGTGTACACGAGTTTGCTAAATACTTGCTTATTTGCACATGCGCAGACATTATCTTGACTTTCACACGTTTAACAAAACAAATCCCGAATTTCTGTATACGATGTATTTTAGCATCTAAACAACATTTCTATACGCCACAAACGTAGCAAAAATTATTATAGGGTTTAAGTATTAGAGTCTCACCATAGCATAATTATCTGTATATCTTCTTTATATTCTACCCATATCCTGCTGTCAACGCTATAGTCAAACAGATAGGATTGTAGCCAGCTTTCTCCACCATATGAAGACCCTTGCGTGGCAATGCCTGTTAGCTGAACAACTTCCCCGAAATCAACCTGTAGATATGCATCTTCAATACGATTAACTCGCGGAGTCCAACCAGGTCCATTATGGTTTAAACGAGCATTTGTAAATGGATGATAATTATCTGGTTTGCTGAACTAAGGGCGCTGTCAGGAATGCGATGGTTTTCCATCCCAAGAGGTGTGTCACATGTATAATTAACAATGTCTAATGATGAGTTGTCTACTGTAAGGTTACCAATTTCACCATCAGCTGCAGCCTTCGTCAGGGTGTCTATCGGGGTAGTGAAGACTGTGCCAGCCACATAATTTATTTTTAGATTACTAACAACACTTCATCGAGAAAATTTTTCCACTTTGACTGTACGAAACGTTGCATCACTCTTTAGAACTCCACGTACTGCACTCTCAATCTGACGGGCTTGTTCCATAAAGTCTTTGCTCTCGGGATTATTGAGATTGCCGTTCCAAATTAGGTTGGTGAATCTCATTGATATATCCCATCTTGTCTGCATTTACGCTATCAACAACATCCTGGCATAGTTTTCCTGTGAGATACTTTGTCACGAAAAACTTTAAATGCTTTAAAATTTTTATTATTCAACATCAAGGTCAACTAATGCATACTAAAATATGCAGAAAACGAAGTTCCTTCGATTTATTCACTGAGTTTTTTCAAAGGTAACATGTACAAGGACAAATATAGCTCAGTGGGACAACCTCGTACCCAGGGTCTTCTGTGTTAACGGGGCGCGAACACAGAAGACCCTGGGTATGAGGTTGGTACAAGGATTTTAGACTTTTACGTGCGTGTACGTGCCTATGAAAAACGCGTGAGTAGAAAACAGCCTTAGGGTGGATTTCCACTTACGCGTTTTTCATACGCACGTATACGGACGTAAAAGTCTAAATTCTTATATATGTTACCTTTGAAAAAACTAAGTGAATAAATCGAAGGAACTTAGTTTTCTGCATATTTTAGTATGCATTAGTTGGCCTAGATGTTAAATAATAAAAATTTAAAAGCATTTAAAATTTTCCGTACACGTATCAAAAACACGTGAGTGGAAAACAGCCTTCAGTGAAGCAATTATCAGCGACAATAATCCCAACTTGGCGTGGACTCAATAACGCAATACTTATATTGTTCTAAAATTCATATTGCTCTTAAGCACAATAGATTTTAGGTCTCTGGGACCGGGGTTACAATGGTTTGTCAGCCTTGTCTTTTGTATTGAAAAACACTGGATAACATGAATATTAAGGCCCTTATATTTGATAAGCAGTTATGAAGTTTCTGGTTTGCACGACTGTAACTTTTGGAGTTAGGGTAAAACCCTACGGTAAAACCCTAGTTAATTTTATACCATTACCCAATTGGGTAAAACGCGGATATGCCTTTTAAACGCCCGAAAATCATATTTCAAACTATATCCGCGTTTTACCCGATTGGGTAAAACGCGAATATGACGTTTAAAATTTGTTTTATTGAAAAGTAAGTTATCCGTCCGTCCGTCGCTATCTGTCCGTCCGTCCGTATCCGCGTTTTACCCTAACCCATAACTTTTGGCGCCGGTCAGTTGGCATCGATCAAGGAACGGCGCCATTTTCTGGCGTTCTAACATTTGACAGGTTGTAAAAAATGAATAATCTTAATATCTCGTTGCTGTCACTACACTCACTGCCCACTCATAGATACACAAACACAGTGGAATTAATCTGCAAATTTTAATTATCAAAAGCATGAAATATTGCGCTTCAACAAGAATATGTCAATTTTATGGTCGAGGGTTCTTTAACTTCTTTTTTATAAACATCATAGACATAAAGACCGGTAGTAGACACAAGGAAGTGCGTTTTTTAATGGACGACCTGCGCTAAAAACTAATTCCTGATCGAAGTAATTAGAAGGAAATAAATCATCACAGCTAGAAAGATCTTACTTAAAATAGTGCATATGCAAAGTTTGCCTGCGAAATTTTAGAAAATACGGAAAATATAGCCATGCGAAGTTGGCAAATTTTGTATACTTTTGTATTACGTGCAGAAATGTGTAACTAATTTAGTTACAAACTTCCGGCTGTGATACAACACAAAATTCGAAAACTTCGCTGATGGCTATATTTTCCGTACTTTACAACAATTCGCAGCCAAAAGTGATAGTTTTACTAATTTTAGTAAGCTCTTTCAGAAAATATCCTTTTTATCGCCGAAGTAAGAAATTAGTCTAAAGCGCAAGTCGTCCATTATGTTGGGATACAAACATTCAATACAAACGCAGCAACCGCTATTTCGGCTGACAAATAATTACAAAACAGTCCTAAAAGAAAAAATATTCGGATCGAAACTATGATTGCATGTACAAATAAAATATTGTTCGCGATGTTAGAAAAGTCCAATTAATAGAAGAGTCAAGTTGCCAGGTTTTGTTTTGCAGCAATCAGCCGTTTACTATTGCTACCCAAGATGGCTGCCTGCTTCAGTGATACCATAGACAATCCAGAAGACATGTCTTCTGGATTGTCTATGGTGATAGTGATACGTCATATTGCGAGGGCTTTGTAAGGATATTTCGTTTCGAAACATTTACGCAGAAATGTGTGATCTTTTGAAGCTACGTCACAGCTTAAGTGCTATTAGTATTTGAGCGTTTTAACAAAGGCTCTAAATGTTTGTACCTTTCCTCAGCAAGTCTGGAGATATCTGTCGACAAACTTTCCAAAGAACTATAGTCAGCCCTTTCGAAACTGAATAAATCTTTAATAAACCCCATTAACTCAATCTATACAAAGAAAATGTTGAATGAAATGTTTCCCTTAAGTAGTTCCCAATAAGTATTCCTCCGTTCAATCAAGCCATTTATATGATTTTAAAACTATCGTATGGGATACGTCAGCACAAAGGTTTACACAATGGGTTTACATGCACTGGTAATTCAAATGTGGCACATTTATGCTTGCTCTATATTGAAAATATTTATCTTTGCATCTTAAGGCCATGTTACACGGTGCAATTTTTCTTGCAACTTGCAATGCAATCCTACGTTCAAGAGATGTAAATTAGTACAGAGTGCTCAAAACTTTAAGTGTAAGAAACGTACATGGAGTGTGATAAACGTAAAAGTTTCGTAGTTGCCAAATTTACATCTCTCAAAAGTAGAATTGCAAGTACATTGCAAGTCGCAAGAAAATTGCACGGTGTAACACGGCCTTCAGCATTAAAAACTCGTAGTTGCCATTAGCTGCACGACAGTGTCCCAGTGAAACACGCTTCAGCGGATATATATTCTTGATAGCATTAAGCTTCTTTTACATCGGTTTTTATTCTTACCTTGAAAATAGAACAAGCGTTTTTTAACGCTTTGTCTGATCCCAAAAATCCCCAGGCTAGCACTGGAGTGAGGATTTCAGAAAGATGATAAAAATGCATCAAAAATCCTGCTGGTTCGTCTAACATCTGCATTTTTGCTTTCAATACTCCCCAAACTGCTGTTTCTAAACCCTACAAGTGGAGCACAATCAAATTGTTACTGAAAGTATGTGAGAATTAGAGGCCTGTGTACGGCACTTGAGAATTGTAGCCTTATCGAGGTAATAATTCATGTCGAGAATCCACGAAAATAATCTATATTATAATCCTTTAGAGTTAGTAGTTGGATAAGATTAGTAGTTGGATAAGATTAGTAGTTGGGTAAGATTAATAGTTGAGTAAGATTAGTAGCTGGGTCAGAGGATTATATTCGAGGGTGTCTCACCGTTTATTGACACAATGTCTCACCGTTTGTTGAATATAAGTAGGTAGCCACGAGTTTTGAACTGCAGCCTTAATGGAGTAAGGCGGATTTTCAAGATCAACAAATGCGTCCATTACCACGAAATCCAGAACTAGATCATAGAATGTGATGAAAGGTACCTAAAAAGGCGTTAATTTTCACACAGATAATGCATATATCATGGAGGAGAGTAGCCTACGAGTAGCAGGCTCGAGTGGGGGGGCGGGTTAGGGTCAAGGGCGGGCGGGGTTAGGGTCAAGGGCGGGTGGGGTTAGGGTCAAGGGCGGGCGACGGAGGGGAGGAAGGAAGATAATATATTATCATGTTAATTAAGTGGGCGTATATGAAATAACCTTGATTTTACTGCAGGCTCTTCCTCCCCTCCGCCGCCCGCTCTTAACCCCTTAACTCCCCCCTCAAGCCTGCCTCGCAGGCTAGGTGGAGAGTAAAAGTTGAAACCTCAGACATTCGTTATTGTCTCGGATGTCGTGTGTTAAGTTTGTTTTGTGCAGACAAAATAAAAAGAAGCTACCCCACTTCGACGACCACGTTAAATGCTAGAAATCTTTCAATCAAAAATCAAGACGTAATTAATCCGGGGTCACAGTGTTACAAGTATCCCGTGTTTTGTGTGCCCCTGTACCCGTATCACTAGGGATATGAGTACAACGAGTAGGGGCACCTAAAACACTAGGATTGCAAATACGAGCAAAAATGTAATCAAAATTTGATATTAAAAATACGTTTTTGATAAAAATGAAATGTTGTTTAAAAAGAAAACTAAAAAGTATATGTGGAATAAATCCTCGCAAAGAGAAGCATGCTTCAGCCACCCAAGTTGAGCTGCAAGTCGCGTGGACATTTGGCAGCTGTCTTCTGAATTTTTAACAACTCCCATAAGCAAACCGGATTAATTAGAATTAATAAAGGACCAGGTAGGCGCAATATGAGCAAGGTAATTAAAATAATTGAGCAAAGACCACATACTCCTCTTTTACTTAATTCTCTTTCAAAGATTTTGAAGTTTTCTGGTTTCTTACAAAAACCAAGCAAAGCTTTCCATCTTTTTTCGCATTCGTTATGATCCTGAAATCACGTGAAAACAGCATGTCAATTCATTTTCCTATCAAGTTTCATCACGTTTTTCAGTTTCATTGATATTGTACCTTTCCTGCAGTTGTAATTAAAAACCGAAGCAATTCTGTACCATTTTGTTCAAATTTAAGTTGGACATCTTTCTTGGCAAAAGCCATCTACAATTAGATGTAACAGATAATTAACCTGTTGTCTGGAAAACCAGTGACAGTGGTGTGGACAGGAATATTTTTTGAGAAGGCAAATGCCAAGGAATGTTCAGAAGAAATTGATTCTCTCTAATTTTGACACAGTCTAATTTTGACAAAACTTTGAAATTTCTAACTTTCCCCTTCTAATTAGATTTGAAAAATATAAAATCTAATTGAGAAATTATAAGAGGGGCTGCTATCCCAATCGCCAGTGCCAATGGGCAGTGATTTTTACAAAAAAAATGGTGAATCTATCAGTGAATATTTTTGTTAACTTGAATTACCTTGAATTTGGGGTACAGTATAGCTTGATAGGTTAAAATATATAAACAAAAACTATACTAGTAGATAAACAGACTTTTTCAAGGTTCTACATTAGCTCAAAGATTTTACCTTGGATGCTTCTCTAATGCAGTAGACCTTTGCAAGAAATTCTACATCACTCAGGCATCCAACCATTTTTGCCCTAAAAAATTTTTTGTTCTCTCAAAATCTTTTGGCCTTATTGCAACTGGTTAAAATCAGCATATATTTTTACTATTATTAACCAGTCTTTAATAATAATGATAAAAATAAATATTTAATTAGTACCTAGTTTTCTTGCAGCATTTTATTCCATGTTTGAAATATTGCTCTAAGGCATTCAGATAGAATGGTTTATCCCTAAAATGAATAAATGGTTGAAACAAAAAACATAATTCTTTTTTACATGAAAAGAAGACAAATTTGCAAGCTACTTTGTGGGTTACCTGTGAATACCAGCTGCTTGTAGAGCTTTCTCTTGTGTGTGATCTGTGTTGGAGATCTCTTGATTAAAATCATCCTGATAGAAAAAATTATATATTGACATTTTTCACATTACTTGTAAGATTTCATATATCAATTAAAGGCAATTTTTATCAACCTTTGCCTGCGGTTACGCACTTTTCATTGGTCAACCATTAAGGGTAAATATAGCAGGTATTAGATAATAAAGAGAAAACATACTCCGAAAATAAACATCTTGTAAACCCAAGATATGAGTTGTTAAAAACAAGATGCAATATTCAAGGTGATATTTCGACTCTATTTCAAAGTCATTGTCAAACCTGAAATAGAATCAAAATAGAGTCGAAATATCACCTTGAATATTGTGTCTTGTTTTTAACAACTCATATCTTGGGTTTACAAGATGTTTATTTTCGGAGTATGTTTTCTCTTATATTTCGCAAAACTGTCTGCTGGAAAAGGTTGGTTTTTTTTAGATAGTAAAGGTAGCAATAAAAAATGACAACAAACTACCATCATAAACTGTCTATTATATCATCATTCTGAATAGTGTATATCTGTGCCCTTTACCTCATCACCTTCTGCAGAAAGAAATGAGTCTGTGTCCGAATCATCGTCCCTTGTTATGGATTTACCAGGATTGAAATTACTGTCATGTTGTTTGCTTTTTAACATATATCTGCATGTGAAAATAAAATTCAATGGTTTGACATACTGCCTGGTATATGTAATAGGCAGCACTCCGATTTTGAAATAGATTCCTCATAATAGCTAAAAGTATAAGCATTGTTTATTGCTGAGTAAAAAAGTTTCAGATCCCAAAACATTGGAAAAGACAAGCCTCTTTTACAGGCGGACAAGTGATCGAATATCTTATTTACCTTAATTTACCTATTTTGCTGACAACATTATTTAATGTTGTATCTACTTTTTCATAAATCAAGTCAGCATTATGAAAACCAGCAATATCCATAGCATCAACCTCATCTCGGTCTTCAACAACATCATCTTGTCCCCTGCTCTGTTGGATGTTGTTTGCCAATAGATTTTCTAATTCTGCAAGGCTTCTATTCCACTCTTCCAAGTGTTGGGCAAATTCCTCAAGACCTAAATCCCATTATTTACATAAAGTATTAAAAGCCTTGTTAATTAAAAATCAACCCATCAATTGGTACTAGTAGAGGGCTGCACCATTAAAGTGACCACTCTAGTACTAGCAAGGATGCAAAATGAAAATTTCCCTAAAATCAAAAACATTTCGACGATTATTACCTTCGCTTTCTGTATATTTTACTCTTTCATCTAACCATATTTGTTTCCTGATTGAAACCTTGTTATTGTCTGTCATTTTTCTAACTGATTCACGACCAAAACTAACTAAATACAAAGCTCCAACGCCAAGAAAAAGACTGTTTGTTGTTGCAAACATTTTAAAAAGAGGAGACTCTATTAAACCATTCATTTTACAGCAGCTGATTTCTTACATAACTCTACGCTTGGAATCTATGGACTATGGTGGTGTCGAAGTGAACGACTGGTGCCAGTTTAGTTATTGTGCTCCTTAAAAATCCACCCGCACAATATTGGGGCTGTGCAGGTACACAAAAAGGCCTGGAAAGTGGTTATAAGCCCATGTTACGGGTCACGGAATATATAATTAGAATCGCGGAAATATATAACACAGTGTTTCCAGTTTTCTGTGTTTCCATGTTTCTATGTTTCTTATTTCTATGGTTCTAGTTTCTATGTTTCCAGGTTTCTACGTTTCTGTGTTTCTACGTTTCTACGTTTCTACGTTTCTACGTTTCTGTGTTTCTGTGTTTCCATGTTTCTGTGTTTCTGTGTTTCTGTGTTTCTACATTTCTACGTTTCTGTGTTTCTATGTTTCTATGTTTCTATGTTTCTCATGGCCAGAAAATTCGGACATAATTAACATTCTACTTCCGCCTAAATTTGCATATGGTGTCAAAATAAAGCTTCGCGAGTTTATAGTAAACTGTAATGTGCACAGTACTAAACGCTATAAATACAGCTTTAGGTGGTCGATTATAATTTGCCTTAATTGCTCGTTGCAGAGAAAGTTAATCTTAATATTTTGAGACAGTATTTCAAAATGTTTTATCAGTATTCGTCCTGCATTTTCAAAACAAAGTTTTGGTCATTTATCACGTTGAATACCATATAAAACGAAAACCGTAATAGCGTACAAATAAAATAAAAATGCAGAGCCGACATAAACCTTTACCAGCAAAATATTACCTCAGGATCTTTAATATGACACGAATTACAAGAAACAACCAGGGCAAATTGCAAAGATGCAATGGTTTTCCTTAATTTTGCGAAATTTAAGAATGCGCAATATAATTTTTAGTTCTGCAAACGAATAATATTTGAACAGATATGCAAATTTGCTACGGCAATCTGCATATTCCATGTCCGCAATTTCTGGCCATGATGTTTCTATGTTTCTATGTTTCTGTTTCTATGTTTCTATGTTTCTATGTTTCTATGTTTCTATGTTTCTATGTTTCTATGTTTCTATGTTTCTATGTTTCTATGTTTCTATGTTTCTATGTTTCTATGTTTCTATGTTTCTATGTTTCTATGTTTCTATGTTTCTATGTTTCTATGTTTCTATGTTTCTATGTTTCTATGTTTCTATGTTTCTATGTTTCTATGTTTCTATGTTTCTATGTTTCTATGTTTCTATGTTTCTATGTTTCTATGTTTCTATGTTTCTATGTTTCTATGTTTCTATGTTTCTATGTTTCTATGTATGTTTCTATGTTTCTATGTTTCTATGTTTCTATGTTTCTATGTTTCTATGTTTCTATGTTTCTATGTTTCTATGTTTCTATGTTTCTATGTTTCTATGTTTCTATGTTTTATGTTTCTATGTTTCTATGTTTCTATGTTTCTATGTTTCTATGTTTCTATGTTTCTACGTTTCTGTGTTTCTATGTTTCTGTGTTTCTATGTTTCTACATTTCTATGTTTCTACGTTTCTGTGTTTCTGTGTTTCTGTGTTTCTGTGTTTCTGTGTTTCTACGTTTCTACGTTTCTGTGTTTCTGTGTTTCCATGTTTCCATGTTTCTGTGTTTCTACATTTCTACGTTTCTACGTTTCTACGTTTCTGTGTTTCTACGTTTCTGTGTTTCTGTGTTTCTATGTTTCTCTGTTTCTATGTTTCTGTGTTTCTACATTTCCACGTTTCTGTGTTTCTACATTTCTATGTTTCTACGTTTCTGTGTTTCTGTGTTTCTATGTTTCTATGTTTCTACGTTTCTGTGTTTCTACATTTCTATGTTTCTCATGTTTCTGTGTTTCTATGTTTCTGTGTTTCTACATTTCTACGTTTCTACGTTTCTGTGTTTCTGTGTTTCTACATTTCTATGTTTCTATGTTTCTGTGTTTCTATGTTTCTATGTTTCTATGTTTCTATATTTCTGTGTTTCTGTGTTTCTGTGTTTCTGTGTTTCTGTGTTTCTGTGTTTCTGTGTTTCTGTGTTTCTGTGTTTCTGTGTTTCTGTGTTTCTGTGTTTCTGTGTTTCTGTGTTTCTGCATTTCTATGTTTCTAGGTTTCTGTGTTTCCATGTTTCTGTGTTTCTGTGTTTCTGTGTTTCTACGTTTCTATGTTTCTGTGTTTCTATGTTTCTGTGTTTCCATGTTTCTGTGTTTCTGTGTTTCTATGTTTCTGTGTTTCTACATTTCTACGTTTCTACGTTTCTGTGTTTCTGTGTTTCTACATTTCTATGTTTCTATGTTTCTGTGTTTCTATGTTTCTATGTTTCTATGTTTCTATATTTCTGTGTTTCTGTGTTTCTGTGTTTCTGTGTTTCTGTGTTTCTGTGTTTCTGTGTTTCTGTGTTTCTGTGTTTCTGTGTTTCTGTGTTTCTGTGTTTCTGTGTTTCTGTGTTTCTACATTTCTATGTTTCTAGGTTTCTGTGTTTCCATGTTTCTGTGTTTCTGTGTTTCTGTGTTTCTGTGTTTCTACGTTTCTATGTTTCTGTGTTTCTATGTTTCTGTGTTTCCATGTTTCTGTGTTTCTGTGTTTCTGTGTTTCTGTGTTTCTACGTTTCTGTGTTTCTATGTTTCTATGTTTCCATGTTTCTATGTTTCTGTGTTTCTTTGTTTCTGTGTTTCTACATTTCTACGTTTCTGTGTTTCTGTGTTTCTACATTTCTATGTTTCTGTGTTTCTGTGTTTCTGTGTTTCTGTGTTTCTGTGTTTCTATGTTTCTATGTTTCTATATTTCTGTGTTTCTGTGTTTCTGTGTTTCTGTGTTTCTGTGTTTCTGTGTTTCTACATTTCTACGTTTCTGTGTTTCTGTGTTTCTACATTTCTATGTTTCTGTGTTTCTGTGTTTCTGTGTTTCTGTGTTTCTGTGTTTCTGTGTTTCTATGTTTCTATGTTTCTATATTTCTGTGTTTCTTTTCTGTGTTTCTGTGTTTCTGTGTTTCTGTGTTTCTGTGTTTCTGTGTTTCTTGTTTCTATGTTTCTACGTTTCTGTGTTTCTGTGTTCCATGTTTCTGTGCATGTTTCTGTGTTTCTACATTTCTACGTTTCTGTGTTTCTATGTTTCTATGTTTCTATGTTTCTATGTTTCTATGTTTCTATGTTTCTATGTTTCTATGTTTCTATGTTTCTATGTTTCTATGTTTCTACGTTTCTGTGTTTCTACATTTCTATGTTTCTACGTTTCTGTGTTTCTGTGTTTCTATGTTTCTATGTTTCTGTGTTTCTGTGTTTCTATGTTTCTATGTTTCTGTGTTTCTACATTTCTACGTTTCTGTGTTTCTATTTCTATTTTCTACGTTTCTGTGTTTCTATGTTTCTGTGTTTCTGTGTTTCTGTGTTTCTATGTTTCTCTGTTTCTACGTTTCTGTGTTTCTATGTTTCCATGTTTCTATGTTTCTATGTTTCTGTGTTTCTACATTTCTACGTTTCTACGTTTCTGTGTTTCTGTGTTTCTGTGTTTCTACATTTCTATGTTTCTATGTTTCTGTGTTTCTGTGTTTCTGTGTTTCTATGTTTCTATGTTTCTACATTTCTACGTTTCTGTGTTTCTACATTTCTATGTTTCTAGGTTTCTGTGTTTCCATGTTTCTGTGTTTCTGTGTTTCTACGTTTCTATGTTTCTATGTTTCTACGTTTCTGTGTTTCTATGTTTCTGTGTTTCTATATTTCTGTGTTTCTGTGTTTCTGTGTTTCTGTGTTTCTGTGTTTCTGTGTTTCTGTGTTTCTGTGTTTCTGTGTTTCTGTCTGTTTCTGTGTTTCTATGTTTCTACGTTTCTGTGTTTCTGTGTTTCCATGTTTCTGTGTTTCTACATTTCTACGTTTCTACGTTTCTGTGTTTCTATGTTTCTATGTTCTATGTTTCTATGTTTCTATGTTTCTATGTTTCTATGTTTCTATGTTTCTATGTTTCTATGTTTCTATGTTTCTATGTTTCTATGTTTCTATGTTTCTATGTTTCTATGTTTCTATGTTTCTATGTTTCTATGTTTCTATGTTTCTATGTTTCTATGTTTCTACGTTTCTGTGTTTCTGTGTTTCTATGTTTCTGTGTTTCTATGTTTCTATGTTTCTGTGTTTCTACATTTCTACGTTTCTGTGTTTCTACATTTCTATGTTTCTACGTTTCTGTGTTTCTATGTTTCTGTGTTTCTGTGTTTCCATGTTTCTATGTTTCTTACTTCTATGGTTCTAGTTTCTATGTTTCCAGGTTTCTACGTTTCTGTGTTTCTATGTTTCTGTGTTTCTGTGTTTCTACATTTCTATGTTTCTGTGTTTCTATGTTTCCATGTTTCTGTGTTTCTGTGTTTCTGTGTTTCTGTGTTTCTGTGTTTCTGTGTTTCTACATTTCTATGTTTC